CCACCTCGCTGCATATGAACTGACCGAACCCAATCCCGGTCCGAATCATCCTTCCACTTCTTCACCATGGCTGTTTGTGGCCTCTCCCGAGTATCAAATACGCGGACAGCACCATCTCCAAAGCCAGCGACGAAAATATTGCCCGTCATTTGATCTGATGTTAGAGAAGTAACACATGATCCAGATCGAGCATTGATGTCGCTGACGCAGACTTCTGGCCCAGCGGCCCATACGCGAATGACTTTGACGTCGCCAGCAACAATGAGTTTCCCGCTCACTTGCTGCCAGTCAAACACCATGCCTGAGTTCACATTGCTGGGTACCATGTGTGTGAGAGCTCGCCACGCTGATGCCAGCTCCACCTTCTTATCCGAATCATAATTTCTGTAGATTCGAATAACACCATCTGACGAACCAGTCATTAAAAATGCCTGGTCATCCTCGTTGATGAACTTCAGGTCACTAATCTTCGACCCCTCTGGGTTACCGTTCGAGAAACGAGCAAGGCGGTCCTGTTTCTTCCAGTCCCAAATACAAACCGTATCACGGTCATCAGACACTGCGAGATGGTCCTCAAATTGATGCATGGTCATCTTCGTTGGCTGGCTGCCATTGTTGAAGAATCCACTGGGATTCGACCATTTGCCACTTTCCGCAACCTCCTTCTGGGGCTGCGTCTCTCTCAATATCGATTCATTTCGTGATCTCCGCCAAAGTCGCTCATTATAATCAGTGCTTCCAGGCTCCTCCGCCTCACTTGACTTCATCTGGGGCTCTCTGAAGTATTCGATCGACCACTCCAGGAAACTACTCTTCAGTGGGATGACTGGTGGTTCGGTCAGTTTCCGTGGCTCGTAGCCTCCAGAGAGGGGTTCCTTTGCCGCACGGTAGGCGCCTGGAGTTGGCGTCGTATCATTCTGCTCTGGTGGCGCGTTCCAATCGGTTGGTACACGGCCACGGACAGGCAATGAATTGCGGTTAAGGCCAGGGGACTTTGGTGGCCCTCTCATCGAATCAGTAGGTGACGGTTCAGCACTAGGGCTTCCAAACGGTAAAGTAAACAAATAACTTGCAGTGCGCTTCAGAAGCCCTTGCTGTGTAGAAGGTGGCGTGGCCGTTTCATACTGCTGCTTAGGGGTGCTTGGCCTCTGCTCAGTTGTTGGTTGTGAATAAGGTTGTGAATGAGGGGTGAAGGCTCGACGAGAAAGGACGAGAATCTCATCGACCAGTGCTTGTGCTCGAGAGCTCAGCGGGGATTCCAGAAGTTGTAGGTGGATATAGTCGACGACAATTGTTGCGTTTCTCTGGACTTCTGGGTGTGGATCGGCAGCCATTATAAGAACATGCTTCCATACCACGGCGAAAATTGTATTATGCGACACACCATTAGCAGAAGCCTTCACGGTCCCATCCGCATTGCGATGCTCGGCACGGACGTAATGAAGGCCCATCTTGTGATCGTTGCCGTCATCGGTCGGTGGGAATTGAAGATATTCCTTCTCCTCTTGCAATTGCTCGTATGCCGCGACGAGGAACTTGCTCTCGTAGCGCTTAACGTACTTGGACATGTATACGAGTAACTCTTTGCGGACCATCGCATTACCGTCGTTGGCCATGTCAGCTACCGTCCAGGTAATCTGCTCTTCGATCCTCGCAACCTCATCGGTGAGATCCGGAATTCCCAGGAAGGTTGTAATAGCGTACAGCATAGCCGCTCGCACCTCGCAACAGTTATCCTTCACAAGGGCACACAGCTTCTGGTGCGCGTTCTCCCTGATACCTCTCCACTTCGCCTCTGGGAGGTCATTCCACAGCTGGCTGATACATAGACATGCCCACTGCCGTAATAACGGGTTGTTTTGGTTTTGCAAGTGCGTTAAGCAGAGACTCATGATCTCGGTCTGGTTACAGACGTTCTGTCCCTGACGGTAACCATTGCAGAGCATCGCTAGAATGAAAGCGCACATAGCCTTGTGCTCCAGACTGTCAACCACAGGTAGTCCTTCGGTTGGTTTCAGAATGTTTGAAAAGTAGTTATACCCACTGTCCTTCAGCAAATCCTGCTGGCACGATAGGTCCACAGCTAGTACTCGGGTCCAGATGAATACCATCACAGGCTTCAGTTCCGTAGCTGCAGATTGAAGTAGCTTCAGGACGTAAGGGAAGATTCCAATGCTTAGCGCAAGGTTGACAGCCCATGGACCCATATCCAGGAACTTTCCAAGTAGAATTAATGCCCGTACTCTGTGCTGCTGACTGAGAAGTACTTGAAGAACAACTGGTAGTTGGTCCGGAGGTTTATGTGTTACTGCTCCTTGTGTGAGGTAGATATCAAAAGCCGTCAATTGCTCCGTAAAGAACGTCGAATTCACGAATTCGTAATCAGGTCGGATGCCGGCTTCCTTCTCTTCGAGCATTGGAAGCTGGGCCAGTGCCATATCAACCGCAAGGTCCCAGCTTTCCCATAACGAATGCTGATGGGTATCTGGAAGCTCAGGGTATGATTGAGGATGACATCCATAATGATGCATTACCCTTTGGGCCAACAAGAAATTCCTAAATAACGCCGCGACCATAAGATCCTGGCGGAAGAACTTGCGGAACAATGGGCGAGGAAGGGTTGTCCATGCAATGGTATCCGTAATGGCAGTAAAAATCCAATTCAGCTCTCCCAATGGCGTCCTACGCTCTTGTAGTCGGCCCGGAAGCTTCTTTGCCCTTTCGGGTGTAATATTTGAAGGTAATGGGTTCTGCAGGGCGAAGAACCAGAGGGCCATCTCAATCGGTGTTGTGAGGCAGCAGGTGAAGATGTCGGCAGGAAGAGCTGGGTTTGTGGGCAGGTTTTCTTTAACACCACATGCTGCAAGGTGGATGTAGGGGCGGAAATTTGACACAACGGTGCTTGGATCCTTCGCAAGAGCATCCGCCTCCTCTTGCTCATGCTTCTCTACAAAACGATGGAAGTTGGCAAGGATGTTGCCTGCGTCTGAGCAATCCCAGACAAAGAATGTAGGTGCCTGGAGCCACTGTTGTAAATCGTACAACGACACCGGAATATACTGGGTGTAATTCTTGTTGAAGACCCAGATTTCTCCTGACGCTGTTGGCTTCGGTACGCCATGGCCGTTGTAATGAAACAGCACACGCTCATCCTTGGCATTTCGACGTAGCGAGACACAGAATTTCTTCGTTTCTTCGATTGACGGATCGAGATACTGCTTATAACGTGTCCGTATAGCGAGCGTCTCGTATTGTGTTTGCAGGGCTTTTCCAATGGTTTCCAATGCCTTCTGCACTGGCATCGTTGTCGGGTCCGACCATGCTTCGAGCTTTGCGCCGGGTGTCGTCTTCAACTGGTCCGGTGGTTCAACTCCGATATTCAAGCAGACGGCAAGCGCAGCAGATACAGTCTTCAATCTATCCTTCATGCGCCAATCTTGCAGTTCATAATTCAAGGGTCGCGGGTTGCCTGTAGATTCGTGACGCTTATCTGTGAAGTACATATACCAGTTCTGTAATATCCCATTAGCATTCTGTTCGTCCACTGCAGTCGGTTTTGGGTTTGATATCAGTCTATATCCTGCCGCAGGATAGGCTGGCAGAACAGGGCATGATTTTGGCCCTTTGAGATCCTCAATATGATAATATCTTGTTGGTGACTTGTGAGGGCTCTCAGGACCAAAAAGTGGGGTGAGGGAGAAGAAACCGGCCAACTCTAGACTCATACCAAAAGCCTCCATGGCATGGATCGCAGCGCTTGATGCGCGCAAACCGTTGGTAGAGGTTTGGAAGCCTGGATTATTTGCAACCCTTATATGACATAACCATGGATCGGGTGAAAAAGAAATGGCAGGCGCGACTCACATTAGCTAGTTGCGACACATATTCCTCAGAAGCATAATGTCCTTCAAATCCATGGCGTGCGCCCCAATCCGACGCATCAGTATCATTATTATCCTCCAGCTCGTCCCCGCCTCGCGGGCCGTAATCGCTCTTTGACCGCTTCAGAAGCGGTTTCGGTCTCCTCCTGCTCGCATCTTGGCTCGTCTCCGATTCTTCGCGGGAGCCGTTTGGTCGCGCGAGGGCCGATGAGCTTTGGTTCCTCCTGTGCGTCTTGATTTCTATATCTGACAGCCTCCGCACTCCGTTTCCATTTGGGTGAGAGGATTCGCCTTTCGTTGTCGGGTGTGGCATCATGTCTGCCGACGCGCCATTTGGGCCTCCCGTTCTCCTCGGTTGTTCGTTATACGTTGCAGATCCAGAGGAAGCGGTGCTCACGGCGCCATTCGAGCCCGAGGCGCTGGTGGATGAGGACGGGATATTGTGGTTGTTGGACTGCGTGTAGCCCTGGCTCTGGGGCGTCTGCGGTTGGCTCCTGTTCGATTGCCGCGGGTTATACTGCTGTCGTGGTGGGTTCCTCTGGTGCAGTGCTACAGCCGCCATTGTGCCTCGGCAGCCGTCCTCTGGTCTTATTGCGACATGAGCTCGTCTGTTGGATAGGAGGCTTCTACTCGGCTCGATCGTATCTCTTTGGAGCGGCTGTCGAAGTCCAACACGGTCCTGCTGTTATTCGAAGGGCCAGTCGCGGGTGACGTTGGGCCTGGCCACGTCAATAAACTTCACCGCAAACGCTACAGCGATGCTGCGGAATTGCGGTGGAGGGACCGGCGATTCCAACGGGTGAATTATGTCGAAATGGCGGAGCCGGGGTGAGGTATCTGATTAGGATAAAACGGTATTAGAGACTTCTATACGTCAAAAGATTCTAATATTCTAGAGATGTTCAAAAACGAGGGAAATTCAAAGAGGCTGGCGGTAAAGACATCGGCGCAGGGCGGTGGTGTAGCAGAGTGTACGTAGTACGTAGTACGGAGTAGTGTACTCGGGATGGGAGGTCACGCACGCATCATATGTGAGGCTGATCAAGCGCAAATCGATTGGTCCCGACCCATCTCATCTTTGGGGGTATCCATCTATCGGCCCTTATCAGCCACAAGCAACTCATCCTTGGCATCAAAGGCCCAGGTCTTTATATTGATATTTCCAAACACGGCACTCATCTATAATATATATGAAGAAATATACGTTCATGTCGTATTTATACTCCCTAGACACCTACGTAATATCAGTAGATATCCATCGAACAGCTAGCATCGTAGCTTTTGTGTGTTGAAAAAAGACAGTGTATACAGCCAAATGCATCGACTAAATAGCATTCAGAATCCAGCTTCCCACCAAACCCATAAACCAGGCACAAAGCCAGCAGTGACACAGAACTCCAAATTCCCCAATTCAACCTCATAATAGGCATCCATTCCATCCCCGGCATAAACGCATCATAACAGCTCATCCCCATCCCCAACCACGCTATCCTCGATCGCAGCGACAATATCCCCCTCCGCAAACACCGGCCCCTGCCCATCACACTTCGCCTTAGACTTCAGCTTCTCACTAACAGCCGGAATATCCACAACCCCCTGCTTCGCCAACGGGTGCGAGATAATAAAATCCCACGACGCCGCCGCCGCCAGCAGCCGTCCCCCGCTCACCGGGTCCATCACAATTCGGTGACTTATCGTCTTATTCTCATGCGGCTTCAGGAGCTCGGTATAAAAGTCCGTCGGCGAGTAGCACAGCGGGCCCGTACTCGACAACAGTGCCTCGCCTTGGTGGTTCGACGATGTGGCCTTGAGGATCTCATTCTCCGTCGACACCTTCTGGAGGTTTAGGCGCAGAATCTCGTTCTGTGTGGCGAAACTCGAGCTCTCCTTCTTCAGCTCCGCGACCTGCTCCTCCAGCTCCTTGACGTGTCGCTCCTTGCGCTCGCGGAACGCGCGTTGTCTGTGCCCGGACGACTTGTGAGTACGATTCGAGCCTCACTGCGCATTGAGCGCGGGGGGCTATTGCTTACGCTGCGCGATTCTGTGCCTTCCGCCGGGACTGCGCGGGTGTCATGTCCTCATCATCACTGTTGCTAGCCTGTCGCTGCTCGGAATTGAGGGCTTCGGAGCCGCCATCGTGGCTGTCGTTTGTGTTGGCGACGGAGGGTTGGTGTTGCGATTGCGGGGTCGGGGGTTGCCCTGCTCCGTGCACATCGAAGTGATTGTATGCGTCGAAGGTTTGGAACTGCTCGAATGCCTCCTTGGGTAACTGTCAGCTTGGTCCTGTCCGTTGCATGGATAATACTAACCGGTGGTGAGCCGTTGCAAAAGTCGTCGCCATTGATGTTTGAGCGCGAGGGCGTGGGCGGGAGACCAAGAAATTGGTACAGTTGCTGGTTCGCATTCGCATTGTAGTTGTAGTCCATGTTTGGTGGGAAGTGTATGTGGCCGTTCAACACCTTTGGTTTGTTGTCGTCGTAGCCAGCCATGTTTCCCATGTCCATGGCGTGTTATGCTCTTGATGAAGGGCTTAGTTGTCCGTATGGGGTGGCGAGATTTCTGTCGGTGTGGGTGGTGGTCCTGATCGATCGTGGCTTAAACCAGGGCGGCCACACGGCCACAAAAACCCTCTCTTGGTTATTGGGCGAACCAGAACTTAAGGACGGCAGTCCAAAATACAGCATATGCCACCTCTTATTCAGCCTATTCGCAGGTCTATAATACAACAATGCTGACATAATGCGAGTGGCCCAGCTCATTTCATACACCTAAAATCACAAACTTTGTAACTAAATATCTTAGCAACAGTTAAATAATAAATTATAAAACAATGTACGTACTTTGCCTTTTATAGGCGTTTAAACGGCACTAATTGAATTTTAAGGCAATTAGCCTTATGGTTATTAAGATACTAAGTTTTAGCCCCTACTTTTAACCTACTTCTTAGTATCTCAATAACTATAACACAACACTAATTGCCTTAAAAATCAAGTATAGTACTTTAAATGCTAAGAATTCAGATGTTTTATTTTTGTAGAATCGCTATGCTACCAACTAAGACTATATACATAATAGTATGGTTAATTATAACATTAATTAACAACACGTGGGGTAATTTTGATATAGTAGATTACTTAGTGTCATACTGACATTCGTTGCACTCAGTTTGCTATCAAACTCAAGAGCAAACTTAGAAATCTCCTCCTCAAACCTACAAGTCACCATACATATCTTGGCTTATCACACCAACAACAGAAGCAATATGTAATGGTGGGTGCACCAGATATGAGAATCTAGCCACCCAAGGAAGGGATGAATTTACTAAGACAACACACTGTCTTAGGAAACAGAGCCAAAGGGTTGTAGCTTAGACTATTCCACAACGCAGCAATCAGGTGTATGATGTGGTGAAGTGGTTTAGACAAGTTGCAACAAATGTTGAGTCTGAGAACTCAGGGGTAAGTCAGAGGTTAGCACCTCACTGACTTTTCAAAAACAGAGAATAACAAGATCAATGCTTGGAAGCTTGGAAAAGACGTGGAAGTATGTGCTAGTCGATTTACTGTATTGTCTGCTTGCCCTTTCTTAAGGAAAGGGCAATCCTATTTATGCCAAAGGAGTGTAGTTCTCTTATTTTCCATGACTTTCCATGACTAACCAGGCTTGGTAAATGTATTAGAAATCAAGTGCGACCCACAACTAGCTTGCTAATCATGTAGTGAACGTAAGAGAATCCCATAGAACCATCTCTTGGGTTCCTAGCCTATAGGAAGTGAAAAGGAGGTCCAAGGTCAGAGTACCTATAGACAAATTATGTCATAACTTAACCAATCTTGTGGGTAACTAAGGAGCGATGACGTGTAATGAATCATAGAGGGTTGTAGAAGCTTCTAGAGCTATCGTTCATGTTCCTAGGCCTCTAGTTGGTAGAGATATGCCATGTGGTAGTATTGGCCCACCCCCTTAAGGAGGAGATTTTCTTAATAACTTGTTCAATGAGTGTCCAAATGATATGCCGTGATGTATGTAGCATAAACAGATGTAGTAGAAGAGTTTGCAGCAATCGTTGAGTAGTATTGCTTCTGTTGTTGGTGTGATAAGCCAAGATATGTATGGTGACTTGTAGGTTTGAGGAGGAGATTTCTAAGTTTGCTCTTGAGTTTGATAGCAAACTGAGTGCAACGAATGTCAGTATGACATGATCCCCCTTTTAAGGACGTTTGTTGGCTGTCTGCTTGCCCTTTAGCCAGTTGGCTTTCTTAGAAAGAAATTCTAGAATGAGCTTAGATGCATTTTTTAGATTTCTCTTAGGCTCCCAAGTGTTGTCACTTGTAGGATAGCCTTTCCACTTAACGAGGAAGTAGTCCTGACCTCTAAGTGTCTTTTTGTCAAGGATAGACTCTACTTCATATTCTGGTTGATCCAAGATCAGAACAGGAGGTGGAGGAGACTGAAGTGGTCTTAAGGAACTTTCTTGTGCCTTAGACAAGAGAGATGCATGGAAGACATTATGGATAGTCCAAGTAGGTGGTAATGCAAGCTCGAAAGCATTCTTGCCAATAGTCCTTGTGATCTTAAAAGGTCCAAGTCTTTTAGTATCAAGTTTGTCTGAAGGTCTAGTAGTTGTGATATGTCTTCTAGACAAAAAGACTTGATCACCAACTTTGAATTGTGGTGCAACCACCCCCCTGTTAAAGGCCTGAGCCTGCTCGTCTTGTGCACGCTGTATTTGAACCTTGAGATAGTCCTGGAGGCCCTTAAGGTAGATGATTCTTTCAGTAGCAGAAGGGTTTTTGAAATTTTCAGGACAATTCAGTTCTGCCACTTCAAACCTAGGGTGATAACCATAGTTTGCATAGAAAGGTGTCTCTTTTGTGGTGTTAGAGACTGTGTTGTTGTAAGCAAATTCTGCAAGATGGAGAAGATCTGCCCAGTTGTCTTGAGCATAGTTTGTATAAATTCTTAGATATTGTTCAAGTACAGAGTTGACTCTCTCTGTCTGGCCATCTGTTTGAGGGTGATAAGCTGTAGAGAAGCGTTGTTCCATGTTTAAGAGTTTAGAGAACTCCTTAAAAAAGTTTGAAGTGAAAACTGCTCCCCTATCTGAGATCCAGTGTCCAGGAATTCCATGATATTTAAAGACCACCTTGAGGAATAGCCACGCAAGTTCAGAAGCTGTGATAGTCTCATTGCAAGGCTCAAAGTGTGCCATTTTTGTGAGCCTTTCTACCACCACAAGGATAGAGTCATAAGGGGTAGCACCCCCTTTTGGGATAGAAGGAGGCAACTTGACTATAAAGTCAATGGATATGGAGTCCCATGGGCGTTCTGGTATAGGTAGAGGCTGCAAGAGGCCATAGGGCTTTTGCCGTGTAGGCTTGTTCAAGTTGCAAGTAGTGCAAGAAGATATATAGTCTTGAAGAGTAGTCCTTAGACTAGGCCAGTAGAACTTTCTTGTTAGAAGTTCATAAGTTTTTGCAAAGCCAAAGTGCCCTGCAGCTGGAGCATCATGGAACTGCTGTAGGAGGTGTAGCTGTAATCGTTTATCCCTTGGGACATAGATATAGTTCTTGAATAAGAGAAGTCCATGCTGATTTTTTGAGAAATTCTGTAGTCCAACTTTCTCAAGAGAGGAACCTTTCTTCTGGAGGTATTCCAAAGTTCTTTTCGCAAAGGGATCATGGTTGTAAGCATCTTTGAATGCTTTAAGAAGTGTTGCTGAGGGTGTATAGTCTTTAAAGGTCTCTGGTTCCTGAGAAGAGGTAATGGGGGCAACTTGGTCTTGAGGGGATAAGTTTACCCCTAAGTCCTCTGTAGTACTAAGGTTGCTTAAAGATGCTGCTATAAGCTTTGCTGAGTCTAGCAGAGCCTTTGTATTGCTAGTTTTAGCAGAATCTTGGTAGTCATGTCTTCTTGAGAGGAGATCTGCTCTTTGATTCTTGGCCCCTGAGACATGTTTTATAACAAAGTCAAAACCTCCTAGTTGTTCAGACCACCTTGCTTGTCGTCGATTGAGCTGTTTAGTGGTTGTAAAGGTCAAGAGATTTGAATGGTCACTGTAAATAGTGATAGGATAGTTTGCCCCTTCAAGGTAGCATCTCCAATGCTTTAGAGAACATACTATGGCAAGCAGTTCCTTGTCTGTAATGGGATAGTTTTGTTCAGCTGCTGATAGCTTTCTTGAGTAAAATGCCACAGGCTGTAGCTCTTCTTGTTTGTCTTTTGGAGCTTGGTATAAGATTCCAGAAATGGCAAAATCTGAGGCATCTGTCTCAAGAGTGGCAGGTTTCAAGGGGTTAAAGTGTAGTAACATTTTCCCTTCTTTAAATTCTCCTTTAAGAGCATCGAAAGCATCTTGCTGTGTCTTATCCCAGTGATACAAAGTGTCCTTGTGAAGTAATTGAGTAAGGGGTAAAGCCAAGGATGTATATCTTGGTATAAACCTCCTGTAATAGTTGGCAAACCCAAGGAAAGACTGAACCTCTTTAATGCTGGAAGGAATAGGCCACGTTTGTACTGCTTTTGTCTTTTCAGGGTCCATCTGAATGCCTTCTGTTGAAATTCTATGTCCTAAGAAATCAACTTGAGACATATGGAAAAGACATTTCTCAAGTTTGCAAAAGAGTTGTGCTTGAGATAGCTTCTCTAAGACTTGTCTAACATGTAGAACATGCTCTTGAGTGTCTAAAGAGTATATAAGAATGTCGTCTAAGTAGACAACAACAAAGATATCCAAGTAAGGTCTTAGAATATCATTCATGAGAGCTTGGAAAGAAGCAGGTGCATTGGCAAGCCCAAAAGGCATTACCTGGTATTCAAAATGACCATAGCGTGTTCTGAATGCTGTCTTCCACTCATCACCTTCCTTGATGCGTATCAGGTTATAAGCTCCCCTGAGATCTAACTTGGTAAAGATCCTTGCTGAAGAGAGCCTATCTATGAGCTCAGGGATAAGGGGTAAAGCATATCTGTTTTTAACAGTGACTGCATTAAGGCCCCTATAATCAACACAGAGACGCAAGAAGCCATCTTTCTTCTTGACAAAGAGAATGGGAGCTCCTGCTGGTGAGGAAGAAGGTCTGATAAAGCCAGAACTAAGGTTCTCATCTAGGTATTCTCTGAGAGTTTTCAGCTCTAATTCAGATAGAGAGTAGATAGGGCCGTAGGGAGGCATTGAGCCTTCTGCGAGTGGTATCTCATGGTCATAAGGCTGGTGCTTTGGCAGAATTGATGCCTTTGCCTTGTCAAAAAGATGTTGGTAGTCTTGGTATGCTAAAGGCAAAATGACCTCCTGAGATGATTTCTCCAAATCTGAAGTAGCTGCTATCTCCAGGACAGGTTGGAAAGGTTTAACCCATATCAGAGATGATATATCGTCCATAGTTTGGTCAAAATCCTTGATCTGGGACAAGTTTGAGTCTTGGACCTGAATAGGGGTAACTGAGGCTTGAAGGGTTTTTTCAGTATTGAGCTCAGGATTTGAGCTAAACCCAAGCGATAAATGCTTCCAATTGATAGTTGGATCATGCCTTTGAAGCCATGGAAGACCTAGGATGACTGGGTACTTCATTGGTATAACATCTAAAGAGATGGTGTCTGAAAATGTTGATTTTCCTAGGGGAATCTCAAGTTTGAGTACTGGGGTGTTGCAGGTAATGGAACCTGAACTGATAGGAGTTTCATCAATGACTCGGAGCAACTCTGGAGTGCGTTTGGGAATTGTAGGTAACTGGTGTGTCAAGATGAGGTCTTGAGATATAAAGTTGCCTGTTGCCCCTGAGTCTATCATAGCCCTTGTAGACAACACCTGTTGTTTGAAATGGAGTTGAATAGGGATTAACAGGTGTGTGAGACTCTGAGAAAGCACCATCGACACATCTTTGTTGTCTAGGGGAGAAGTTATAGTCTCAGTTGAAGTTGTGCCTGCTAGGGATTTCTCAAGTTTTTCAGGAATAGCAGTTGTGACTGTGTCTGAGGCTGCTATATGTTTTGAATCAGCACTCCCCCGTGCTGAATAGCACTCCTGAATTCTGTGTCCCCCTTTGCCACAGTATAAACAAAGGTTGTTGTCCATTCTGTGTTTTCTTTCTTGAGGGGTAAGTTTACCCCTTTTCAGTTTTTGAGGGTATCCTGTAGGCTGAGGTGCTGGATTTGCTGTAGATCTCTTTATAGAGGCGTCTAAGTCCATAGGTTCAGGTGCTGAGTCCTTAGCAGTTGGTGTAGAGGTGTAATTGTTGAAATTTCTTGTTGGATGCCAGTCTTGGTTCTTTTCCTTTCTTCTTTCAAAAAGCCTATCATCAAGTCTGACAGCTTTCTCTATAAGCGTTTGAAGTGTTGTAGGGCGTTCTTCTTTGCTGAGTTCATCCTTAATAGAGCTCTTGAGCCCTTGGTAGTAAGTGAAGACTAAGGCTTCTTCATTCCAAGTCAAGTGAGAAGTGATTCTCCTAAATTCTGTTGTATACTGAGCAGCAGAGGTCTTTTGACATAGCTTCTGTAGCTCTCTTTCTGCTGTAGCAGTTTCGTTGATGTCTCCAAAGGTCCTGGTAAGTTCCTCTTGAAACTGGTCATAAGAGGTAATCAAAGGTGTAGTGGTATTTTGGTTGTTGCCACTAAGTCTTCTAAGATATGGCTCAAAGAAGTTGAATGCAGATCCACGGAGGTAGCTGGCAGCGAAATAGATCTTCTGAATGTCTGAGGTGAACTGATGAGGCCTGAGGGTGAAGTAGATGTCCAGTTGCATAAGGAATCCCTTCAACTTCCTCCTGTCTCCATGGTATAAATCTGGTGTTTGCACTTTAGGAAGTGCACCTGGGGTACTCGAAATAGCCAGAGGAGCTGTGGGAAGCTCTGTATGATGTGTCTGAGTTGAAGATTGTGTTGCTGAAGTGTTGGCTTGAAAGGTGTTTTCCAAATTCTCAAGTTTGTTTGCTATAGTTTGTATAAAGGCAAACAGTTGTTGCATCTGCTGTTCAGCAGTAGTTGTAGGAGCTTGGTCGTCCTCCATTGTAGTATCGAAGTGCTGCTATAGAAATAGTTGAAGCTTGAAGCAGGCAATACAGTAAATCGACTAGCACATACTTCTACGTCTTTTCCAAGCTTCCAAGCATTGATCTTGTTATTCTCTGTTTTTGAAAAGTCAGTGAGGTGCTAACCTCTGACTTACCCCTGAGTTCTCAGACTCAACATTTGTTGCAACTTGTCTAAACCACTTCACCACATCATAAACCTGATTGCTGCGTTGTGGAATAGTCTAAGCTACAACCCTTTGGCTCTGTTTCCTAAGACAGTGTGTTGTCTTAGTAAATTCATCCCTTCCTTGGGTGGCTAGATTCTCACATCTGGTGCACCCACCATTACACTGGAGGGCAGAGCGCCTCTGGAAAAAGAGGGTAAAAGCTCTTCTTCGAGCTGGCAACCCAATTCCTCTAGAGGATCGGGACCCAATTCGGGACCTAGAAGCTGCTGATAGTGAGTGTGAGAGCGAGAGCGGGAGTGAGCTTAGGAGTGAGAGTGGGAGCGAGTGTGGGAGCGAGTGTGGGAGTGAGCGTGGGAATGATGAAGTGATGATTTCTTACAATAATTGATTTATGTACCTTTACATACAAATTACAGCCTACATATTGCAAAACTGCGCATATCACTTCCGCTCATTAGAGGGTACCAAATTGTCATATTGTGAATAGCCTTAAATACCACGCTAGAAATGCCAATTCGTAGGCAGCAGTTACTAATAGCTATAGTAGCTACTAGTATGCTCCTTTTGCGGCTACGTCGTCGCCGCCAGCAGCTTCATATTAGGGTATTATAGCGTCCATACCAGCCGCCGCTTAAGTATGAGCATAAAACGTAGAGTCTTGATGCGTAGGGTCAGGATTTTCCTGTTAAGGTGAAGCATTATCTACGGTAAGGAAGCCCCTTGTATTATGTACTATACTAATCTATATAGCTTCTTAATTGAAGAGATCCGGCGGCTCTTACCCCTCCTTCAACTTGAGGATATTATATATCGTCACCGGGTTACAGCACACCCAGAAACTGCTCTTTGCGTTGTGCTTACCCGTTTGGCATATCACTTACTCGGCCAGTTTGGCACAAGTCTTGCTTGGGCGCCGCATCTATTGTACGATAAGATGCAAGCATTTTCCGTAGCTGTAGAGGCTATCGGTCAATGCCCTCGCATATGGGGCTTCGTAGATGGCACATTTCAAGGATTCTCACGTCCTTCTGGCCCTAACGAAGCCTAGCGTGCAGTATACAATGGCCATAAGCGTTAGCACGGCCAGCAATAGCAAGCTGTTGTAACGCTAGATGGCCTTGCGTCATCTATTTGCAGTCCGTTTCTTAGAACCACAAACGATTGGATGATGTGGCAAGAGTCTGGCTGTGAAGCTAGACTTGAGCAGATTAGGACGGTAAGGAAGAGTCTGAATGGCTCTTCCTATATGGTGATCTAGCATATCAGTGTACAACTGGTATTATGAGCCCCTTTACTCATACAAGGGGTCGTCGCTACTTATCACCCGAAGAGCAAGCGTTTAATCGCTCGCTCTCCTTGTGAGGTAACATTCTTAAAGAACGTTGCTGCCTCTGCCGTTCGATATGTGTCTGCTATCCAGAGGCAGATTTTTAACAGTATAATATACTCGTTAGGGCTTAAAGCCCGAGTCTTTCCTTTCCCTTGTAGTATATCCTCCTCTTCTTGACTCCTTTTCCGCTTCTGCGGTCTTCCTTGTATATTCGACAGTGTAATTGGTGTTTGTAGAGGTGGCGGCTCGGTATTATCGTTGTCGTTGGTATCGTTGTCGTTGGTATCGTTGTCATTGGTATTGTTGTCGTTGGTATCGTCGTCGTTGGTATCGTCGTCATTGGTATCATCTTCGCCAGAGGAAAAGCCACTGGCTATAGTAGATGTCTGAATAGGGGCTTCTTCTCCCCTATTTAGAGTTGAATCTGGTCGCCAGATAGACTGGAACCTGGCTGGAATACCAGTAATCGTTAGTTTCGGAGGCATCGATCGTATGAGTATATCGTTGTAAATAATCACTTCGGTCACTGGCGCCAGCATGGTACACTCGATTGACGTTGAATTTCTGTTCAGCTGTGGCCAGCTCTGAATTACTGGCCACAGCTGAACAGAAATCTGTCCAGCCGTAACCAGCTTTTGGCACTCAATTGCCAAAAGCGGACGATTCTTCGTCGTTCAGAACAGGGGGTGGTAGGGGGGCGGCAGGGCTAAATCACCGGCGGCTTGGCACCTTCCTTTTCAGGCATTGGTCAAGCCGACGGTCAGGTTGCTAAAACCCTCTATTTTGTAACCGTGCGGATCGCTTCCTCCAACTTTGAGCGAAGGGAAAATTTGGTCACGACGATTATTTCGTGGGGAAGCTGCACCAAGATACCAGATGCATAAATGAATGTTCGTCATGTTTGAGGCGCAGCAACACAACTAGAGCATCATTCAACACTTTCAAAAGTCTGGGTATTAATATTCCCTCCTACTAGTCCACGGTCCGCCGTTCCTCGTCGCATAGTCGTAAAAGTGCATAAACCCATAGTTCCGCGCCGGCAAGCAGAAATCCCAGCTCATGCCTCAGTGGCCGAACACTCATCCAATCTGTAGTCTTACATGCTTCATCAACACAACACAACCGCATTGCCAATCATAACCAGCCCTCCATACAATTTGTGCATACTGGCCCATCCACGCTCCATCCCTCTCTACGACTGCTTCTTCAGCTCGTCACCCTCATTATAGGGGTGCTTGATGGTAAGGCACCAGATATCAAGGTAATCGCAAATAGTGACAATCACATCAACCTGTGCATTGATTAGTACGCCATCCCCCGCCAAGAAAACCGATCAGAGTGAACCTACCACAAAGCTTCCATAAACCCCAATCCCGCATCCAAGCATACAGAACAGATACGCAACCTGGTACACCCCACCGCCCAGCGCACTCGGCCACCCAACACCAATATGCTCCTGGAGCACCGGGCCTAGCGAGTCAAAGACCCCATACGCCAGCGGCACGGTCAGCACGTTGTAGTACGGGAAGTCCAACTGCACCAGGTGCGCCGTGATCATCTGGCCGACAGAGTACGCGTTGACCAGCCCGGCGAAGAAGACGAACGGCACGAGGTGCTCGTTCAGGATCACCGGCTGCAGATACAAGTATGCCGGGATAAGCGTCCAAGTCACGAAGAAGGGGATCAGACCCAGCAGCGCGACGCGCGATCGCTGTCCGCGCTCGCGACGGATGCGGACGACGTTCTGGGCGCTCGAGATGGTGTTGAAGGTCAGCACCAGCCCGCCTTGAACCATGTACCACTCGTCCCAGTGCATGTTGTAGATGATGTCTGGGATCAAGGCGTACTTGGGGACGTGTAGCGCGGCGAAGGTGGATTGTTGCCAGAAGCTGCCGCCGCCGACGTAGCCGGTGAAGGCGTAGACGAGGCAGAGCATGACGAGGCCTTCGACGGGGCCGGAGACGAGGCCGAGTGTGAGGGTCTTGGTGTGGTACTCGTCCCAGGTTTGGACGTAGAAGGTTAGGAGAGCTGGATGGAGGTTAGAAATTGTAGGCAAGGGGTTGGAGGGAGAACGTACATCCAAAGAGAACCATAACAGTCTTCCATCCCATCCCGAGATTCTGGCTTGCGGCGAAAACGAGCACTTCGAGACTCGTATTCACCGCATCGACACCATGATCAAACAGCTCCCCCAACGGCCCGCTCTGCTTCGTGCGCCGCGCCTGCGTCCCATCAACCGCATCAAACGTCTGGTACAAGAACAGCCCGACAGCCCACGAATAGTACACCCAGCTCGGGCAGTCCTGGTCCAGACTCGGGGTGTACCACAGCAAGGTCAAAACATTAATGACCACGAACGAGAAGCCCGTCAGCGTGATCAGGTTCGGCGCCATCCATAGCGGGAAGCACTTGATGACGAAGTTGGTGTAGAAGGGCTTGAGCACGTAGCGCGAGAGGAGCGAGTGGTCCACGCCGTTGTACTTGTATTTCTTGAGGCCCGGAAGCTTTTCCTGGCGCACGTACACCATCTTGCAGGTATTGGACGGGTTTTGCACCGTGGTACGATAGGGAGGGGATGTGTAGATTAAGAGGAGGTTGGTTAGGGGGGCAGAAAGCGCGTTGACGACCCTCGGTTTTTGTTTTTTGTTTTAATTTCTTGGAGACAGGTAGTTACGTCACTGCACAGGGTTCCTGGCGGCCCGCTCCAAGACGCGATATCATGTTCTTGGAAACTTGACCTTTTGCCAACAAGTAAATAGAAACAATACTCTTAAGTTAAGCTCCTCACTTTCTATATTAGAATTCACATATATGACCATTATACATATAAAGCCATAAGCACTCAGCACACCTGTAGTTTCACAACCTCAAACACCCTACCCATTACTACATGCGGAAATTCTTCAACATGCACGTTTAATTTCTTTGGTCAACATCTAACAAAGCCAATATAACCTTTGTGACCCCCTAAACCAGCCGCATGCGCCACCCGTCACCCATCAATCCAGCCCGCATCCCCTCCGCCCTCAGACCCCCATCTATTTTCACATCGCACGCCTCATCTAAGACATAAAAACATCACATTCGCTATCTACTCCATCCATCCATCCGATTCAATCCCACATCACCCCTCCAGGCGGCCAACCCCCATTACGAGAGCAAAATATAGACCCCTAATTCACCCCCCGCCTTCTTCTTCTTCTTTCCCAACCCAGCCTTAAGCCACACTCCCAATAACCAACGCCGCGACGCCCTCCTCCTCAGCGCGCACTGTCAGCTTCGACGTCACGCCCGACTTAGTCGAGTACGCCATCCGGATATTCGCCACGACGCGCCCGCCCGTGACGGTCTTTCCGAACAGCTTGAGGGTGTGCGTGGTGGTGTTGACGGGGACGTCTGTGCCGTCGAGGGGTTGGAGGGAGAGGGTGCGTGTGAGTTGCTCGGTTGCGTCTGTGGTTGTTAGTATCAATGTCTGTAGTAGATATAAGGGTATAGTAGATGTAGGGTGGCAACATACCAGCAATGCTCTTAACGCCACTAAGCTGCAGCGTCTCCTCCTCCTCCTCACCCGCCGCGCCAACCTGCTCCCAGATATGACTAAAGTTCCCTGCAAAGGCCGGGGTAACGTAATCCGTCCCCGTAAGCTCCAGATCCTCGACCTGGTACTCGTCATCGTAACCCGTCTCCTCCGGCTCGCCGTTGGTGGGATCAATCTCCTTAGACGTGAACTTGAGGATATTGGTGAACGAGCTAGCGACGAACGCACTATCCCTCGCTACCTTCTTGAAGGACACGTAGACCGTGCCGGGCTCGTCGGTGGCCAGCTTCGGCGCGGGGATGATGAAGTCCTCTTCCAGCTCATCCTCATCCGAGGGCGTAGCCAGAACAGATACCTCTTCCAAAACCGTGTCGGGGAGCGTGTTCTTGATCTCGTATTGTAAGACGATGTGGTCCTTAAAGATGTGCTTGATAACGCCAACAACGTATTCCGTCTCCGACTCCGTCAGTTCAACAACAGGCGACGACTTGAGCAGCGCGCCGTAACCCTTCATCTCCGGAATAGCAAGCAGCTGCTCCGAGTACTTCTGCGCCGCCTCCGTAGCCGACGCCAGAGCTTCCGCACTAGACGGCGCAGTCTTCGTCGGCCCCGCCTTGGGCGCCTTGAGCGTCGGCGTCGCGGTGGTGAGTTTCTTAGTGCGGTCCTCCGCATCCGCCTGCTCCTTGGTGACGACGGGGATGGTGGAGACGTCGAATGGGTTGTCGAATACCGACTTGTCCTCCGCTGTGACGTACATCACCAGCTGGTGCTCAAAGTACGGTAACGAGAACATGTTCTCGTTCTTGATGAAGCGGTCTGCCATCTCGTCCGGCTCGGTCATCAGACGGAGGTTGAGAGCAGCGCGGTCGCGGACCTCGTCGTCGACGTCGTCGAGGCAGCGGGTAAGTAGCACTGTGACACTGCGCTTGACCTCTGGGTCCTTCTGTCCCACACCGAACTTGGCCAGGGCCGTAACGGCAGCAGCTCGAACCACGGCGTTCTCCAGGACGACGCGGTTGTAGATGTAGCGGATGTACTTTGTCGGCTGGGAAGTCTTGGGGCCCTCCAGTCCGAGCAAGTGCAGGATACGGACAGCCAGCTTCGTGAACTCGCAGTCCTCGATGAACTCGCAGAGGTGTGCAAGAGCATCTTCCTTCGACTCAGGAACGAACTTGATGAGGTCGAACATACTCTCCACCACCGCACGCTTGAACTCGTAGCCGCCCTCATCGCGGAGGATGCCGCTGAGGAAAGCGAGCATGCCAGCCTGCTTATTCGGGAACTTCAGGCAGAGCGTGCGGATCGCCTCGACGATAGTGATCTTGAACTCATCCGTAATCTCCGACATGAATCCCGAGATCTGCTTCATCAGACGGTCAACACTAGCCTCGTTCCCAGTCTTGAGCAGCGTTGTAATGGCAAACGTAGCGATCGACCTGTTGCTGTTGGAGATGAGGAGCTCGATATCGGGGTTGCACGGGTGAACAGCCTGCGGCTTGAACGTAGCAAAGTTGTGTAGAATACGAATAGTCGCAAACTTAGTAACCGCTCTCGGCGAATTAAGGAACAGCTGTAACACATGAATAGCCTGGACGCACTCCGCATCCGTGACATCACGCATATCGCAGATAGCCTTCGCAGCCTCGAAATTGACCATCTCGCTCTTATGCCTCAGCCACCCATCAAGCAACACCATCATCGGCTTCCTCAGCGCCGGGTCTTCCTCCGCCAACTGCGCAGCAAGACGCACCAGCATCACGGTAGCAGCCTGATTTTTGACCGCGCCCGCAACGCCAAACTGCTGCACCATCTTAACCAGCGCCATGCGGTCGTGCACGCGCATCTGGTACAGCAGCCCAATAGCATGGTACTGCGTCATTGTAGAGTTATTGACCGGCATCGCGGAAGCGGAGGATGAGAAGCCCAGCGAGAAGCCGCCGGAGGACTTTGTGGTCGCGGCAGCTTCCTGGGTCTCGGACTGCCAGCGGCGGACGACATCTCGGGCAATGGGGAGGAGGTGGTATGAGGAGACGAGGGCGGCGGCGGAGACGGAGGGGTTCTTGTCGACGATTGCGGTCTTCATGACTCGCTCGATGCTCTGGACGGTCGTGGAGTCGATGATGCGGCAGAGGGCTCTGATGGCATTGGGGCGATAGATTGCGTCTGTGCCGCCGCCGGTGTCCTTCATGACGGTGCTGGTGGCCATGATGATGTCCTCTGCGGAGTTAGCGAGCTCCTTGATGACGAGGAGCACCATCTGGCGGAGACTGGCATCTTTGTTCTGGAAGAGCTTCGAGATGCCGAAGAAGAGGGTCGTGGCTTCGTTGGTGGGGAACTTCTCGCCCGTGTAGAGGAGGAGGGCGATCTTGGTGAGCAGGATTCGACATCTTCGCGGTTGGATGGGCGATGAATTGAATAATCGGGCTGCGTGCGGCCAGTTTGTTAGCTAAAGGGGAGCTCTCTGGGGGTTCGAGGGGCTCAGCTGCTCCTCACCTTCCTGGAAGACAGAGGTGCGGTCCACCTTCATGAGGGCCTGATCCCCGTCTTCATCTTTCTTGCTGTAACTCATGATGGTGAGGTATGCTCCCCAGCGTCACGAATTGCAAGTTTAGAGGTGTGAGGGGCCGTCAACTTGCGGAATGGTCTTGCGGTATGGGCCGCCCTGGAATGTCGCGACGTCGCCAGTATCCAGTGGGCCATCATAATTAGGCGAGTGAACTCTTGGCATCTGAAGGCCTATTTTTGAATGATGAATGCGTACTGCTATTAGGCTCGTCTCTTTAAGATTATCCCTCCGGTATAGTGTAGGGGTTAACATAACCCGCTTTCAAATTCGGAGCCGGGTAGCCCCGGGTTCGATTCCCGGTACCGGAATTTTTTTTTAGCCATTTTAGATGGATTATATTTTGTTCATTCATCTCAAACTCATCATGGTCTGGTTTTCCCTCATGTCTGGCTACTACGCTAGTTTATATCTTGTTTTGGTATATAAATGCTTATTTGTGGAGGTACTTAAATTCGCTTTTTTTGATACGACAATTCTAACAGTCTATAAAAACCGTTGATCTACGGAGTAGAAAATACCCCTTTTACAAATTATATATTATACTCGGAATTATTTAAAACCAAATAATTTACCCAATAATCCTGCGAATAACCGCCCCTCCTCCTTCCTCATATCACCCCACCTCACCCCAAAGTGACGACAACCTCGAAGTAGACACCAGAGGCAGGGGGAACATGTCACAAATGGTATGTGTCACACATCACATCACGCCACATACATATCACATGCATCAAACCACACACAAGGCAGGAATAAAAACAACAAAAGTTAAAAGCAAAATTTCAATCCAGCCAGCCTAGACCGGCGAGCAGTAGACAACACACAGAGCGCACCCTCCCAAAAAGAAGGCACCATGCGCGTGCGACCAGCTCTCCAGACCCAGGCCAATAACCCCTCACTTCATCCTCCGGAAAGCATAATAGAAGTAGTAGCGTGTGTAAAAAAATCCCTGACAGAGTATTGATAGTTGCAAAAAGTCGCGAGGGAAAGAAAGCCAGTCGAGACAAGAAGCGCCATATCCACCGACTCTACACGCCCCCGCCTCTATTCCACTCCCCCCCTGGCGCCCCCGCGCCCCCCCCTGCACCGCCTCTCCTCCCTGATCGAAACAAAAATGAATGGCTAGCTAAGAAACGTTGTGCATGACCAAATGAAAAGCAAAAAAAAAAAAGAGACAAGCCGGCTGCCATTCCAGTAAATATCCGCGCATCCCCTGTTGATATTGACGAGCTCCATATATCCATATGTTCAAGTGAGTGGTGGGGCTTGTTGGAATGAGACAAGACGAGGGTGGCGTGAATGAGAGTGTTGCTCCTTGTTGAATGCACCCCTATCCTGGACAAAGTTCTGCTTTCGCATCCGTCGTATTAAAGTAAGGGTCGCGGGGGCGCCACGCTGGAAAAAGACAATCGCGCAAAAACGAAAAAACATGAAAGAATAAAACGAAAACTGTTTCTGGTGGGAAAGCTGGTCGGTACTGGCTGCGCATCCGTGGCCGGGGATTGACAACAGTATGGTCGTGTGCGTGTGCCTGGTCTAGATCCGAGCCTCCCCTCTTGTTTACGCATCGTTATATCGATGGCCATTCAGTAATTATGAAGTCGATGTTGCCCCAAAGCAGGAGTCAACAGTAACAATGATGTGTCATTGCGGGCTGATCTTCAAAAGTTGCAGACGCCATCGAAGTGCCGTTCGAAAGCATGAAACTCATGGGGCCCAGTTCGTCGTTGTGATTGCCCTGCCAAGTGCAGGTAACGAGCGAGCCAATAGCCATGAAGTCCAAAACTGACGAGACATGTAATAATCGATAAGTCGAGCCTGAGCCGATTGCGAAACAAGACAATTCATAAGATATGAGTAGCGTGTGCGTGTAATCGAGCTGTCACACAGGCCACATCGTGCCAAGCGGATGCTGGTCACGAGAGTAACTCTGGGCCAAGACAAAATATCTCGAATTTGAGTCGTAGAGTGGGTCGTCCAACGAAAACTTTCAGTACCATTGCTGTGTAGACGGTTCATCTCTCTTTACTCGGTAAGTGCCAGCAGTGCCTAGACCAGTGCTAGTCACAACACCCTTAGAGGCGGAGCGAAGCCTATTTGCGGAGACTGTAGCGTCAGCCATCCAGTCAGCATAGTATTCCTCTCGCGGCTAGCGACAATAAAGCACCAAACGCGAAGGAAAGGAAAAAGATTCCTTACAAGGAACCGGATTCGGCAAAGTCACTCACATCCTATCACTCCCACCAACGGCTCGGTTCGTCTCGGGGGTATCGGCTCCGCTGGCGCCACGCTCCATGACCTTACGGCGGGTGGTAGAGATAGCCCCGGGCTTGGAAGCACTAGATGCCTGCTGAGGCGTCGGCTGGCCCGCAGTAGCGGCATTAGTGCGAGTACGGTGCTGCTTCTCATCTTCCTCCGCACCTGGGGTGTTACCAGCCGCCTGGGCAATGGCCTGAGCGTTCTTCTGGTACTTGTACACCGTCCAGTCGAAGACGTAATCGTACTGGAAACCCTCACGGACGAAGAGGTCACGGAAGATCTTTCGGAGGTAGGAGTAATCGGGCTTGTCGTCGAAACGAAGGGACCTGGTGTAGTTGAGGTAGATGGCAAACTCGTTGGGGAATCCACGGCAGAGAACCTCAGTCGGGGTGGTCATCTTCTTCTCCATAATACGGTCGTACTTCTGCTTCTTGGTGGCAGCCTTGAGTCCCTGCCATGGGAGGGATCCACGGCAGAAGTAAAGCATAACATATCCGAGGGACTCCATGTCGTCACGGCGAGACTGCTCTCGGAGGGGGTTAGAAGTGTACAATAATAGGGGCTTGACTATATACATACCGACACCAAGATGGGTGTTGATCGAAGCATAACGGGCAGTACCCGTCAAGTTCTTGTTCTCTCTGTATGGGATGTGGAAATGGGTCTTGGGGTCACGGTACTTCTTGGCCAGACCGAAGTCAATAACGTTGACCTGGTTACCACGCTTTCCGATGCCCATGAGGAAGTTGTCCGGCTTGATATCACGGTGGATGAATGATTTGGCGTGGATGTACTCGATACGCGAGATGAGCTGATCGGCCAGGAGCAGGACAGTCTTCAGCGAGAACTTGCGGTTGCAGAAGTTGAACAGGTCCTCCAAACTGGGTCCGAGGAGGTCCAGAACCATGGCATTGTAGTCACACTCGGTTCCGAACCAGCGCACGAACGGGATACCGACACCGCCGGCCAGGGACTTGTAGACGCGAGCCTCATATTCGAGTTGGGGGTGCTTGGCCTTGACGCTCTCGAGCTTGATGGCGATCTCCTCGCCGGAGATGATGTTGGTGCCGAGATAGATGTCACCGAAGCTACCGCTTCCGATCTTACGGCCGATGCGGTACTTATTACCTACGCGGAGATCCTATGGCACACACACCATACGTTAGCATCAGTCCACCGGATGAGGAGATATAACACGTGTTGCAGCGAGCACAAGAGAAGCACGACTGGTCAGAGTCACGGTGAGGGTTGCCGTGTGCCTTCCTGAGAGGCAGAGAGCAAAGACCAGCGGCTGTGCAGCTCCGAGCCAGGCCCCACGTATCGGGGAGGATATGCTCGTTGGAGGTGAGGAAAGGGAGTATACACCAGAGGGTTGGATTTCGACTTGGAAGCGGGTGGATTCACCATAGTAGCCATTTTGAATAACTATGGACTCTGTGTACCGGATCTCTAGATCCAATACGAGTCTCGATATGCTGTTGAGGTAGGTGATGTCGTGGTTGACTGAACGCGCATGAGCTGGCGGCGGGGGTTCTGGGTTGATGGAGGATGGTTGATGGAGGATGATGGTTGATGTTGATGGTTGATGGTTGATGGTTGATGGTTGATGTTGATGGTTGATGGTTGATGGTTGATGGAAGATGAAGGATGGAAGATGGAAGATGGAAGATGGAAGATGGAAGGAAGTATCGTATCAGAGGGAGAAGTTTTGAGTTAGGCGAAGGGCGTTGTTGTTGTGGGAGTAAGAGGACCAGAGCCTCGTTTGGGGAGAGAGGAAGCGGTGAGGTTGAGGATGTAATCTTCTGGGGATGTATGTCAAGTAGAGTAGTGGGATCGAAGTAGAGGAGGAGAGTTGGAACTAGAGTAAGTTAGTGTGGTGGCGGTGGTGGGTCAGGTGGGAAGAGGCTGTTTAGAGGCTCAGGCGGCAGGAGAATAGTGGGGAGTGGAGTAGAAGCGAGGAGAGGAGAGGAGAAGAGAAGAGAAGGAGAAGAGAGGAGAGGAGAGGAGAGAAGAGGAGAGGAGAGGCCACAGTACACAGTGGAGAGAGCACTGTCTATAGAACAATAGGCGGCTGATGTGAGATGTGAGATGTGAGATGTGAGATGCGAGATGTGGGATGTGAGATGCGAGATGTGAGGGTATAGATGTAGAGGATATAGATATAGTAGAGGGTATAGAGAGGCTATTTCGGGATTATACTACAGTAGCCTTTGCGATTACATATTCACCAGAGATTGGAGGAGTTGAAGCCTTGAAGCCTTGAAGCCTTGACGCCTTGACGCCTTAAAGCTGGTGGTTGGCAGGGCGTGGGTCTGAGCCCAGCTGGGTCCTTCCCAACCTCCGCAAGCACCGCAGCCCAACAGAGAGAGACACCACCAACCACTGAACCCAATCCCCTCCCCCACTACCACTCCCCACTACCAACCACCACCAACCACTACCACCACTGAACCCAATCCCCTCCCCCATTACCACTGAACCCAATCCCCTCCCACCACCACCAACCACCACCAACAACCACCAACAACCACCAACCACCACCAACCACCACTACCCCGTACCACATACCACATACCACAACACCCACATCCAGACCGCAGCCGCGCGCGCTGAGCCCAAGCCACACGACACGGCTCTTAGTTTTGTCTGCGGCGTGCGGTTTGGCAGGTGCCTGGGAGCGACGCATCACGACCGGACCGGGGTATGTGAATGTACCATCTATATAGTAGTGTACTGGGGTAGGACAGCTCGGGCGCTTAAGTCGATCACGGAAAGGAAGACAAGGCCCGTCTCGGCGGGGTTGGGCGCTCATGATGCGAGCTTGCGGGGAGGGAAGGAAGGGGCCACCTTGGCTTGCTGGGCTATGGGTTCAAATGCCGTTATTTACTGTTCTACACGTCTTCATAAACCACATACCTTCCAGGTCTTGAGAACCAGGCCAGCGGAGCTCCGCGAGGGGGGAACGTGCGAGCACAGAATCCTCGCAATCCATCCACGGCAACCGAGACACATCTCCGAAGACCAGATCTGCTATTAAACCACCCATTCTACCCATCCCCCCCCCAAATAAGAATCTCTACCTCGCCGCAGTGCTAGTAGTAGGTCATACGCATCTGTCCAAGTTTATTCATTGCGTCTGTCTGCGCGTTGCATCCCTTGTGTGTGCTGTTGTGGTTGTATGGTACATTTCATCCTCTCCCCCCCTTCCCTCCTCCTTCTCCTTTCACCACACTCCTTTCTTCAAAGTCCCAGTCCGAGTTTCAATCAGCCATAGCTATAGCAAAGGACATCCGACATCCGCCTCCCCGATCTCCACGAAACAGAAAATATAGAAACCCAATCAAATAATCTCAAAACAAGCTCCGTTACGCGGGGTGTTCGCGGCGTCAAGAACCCCTTGACGGGGGTGCGACGGGGGTGCGACGGGGGTAATGCGCAGTGTTGGTGTTAGATCAAGCATATCAAACAGAAAAAACGAGATACGACAAACAACTGCAAAAAGACAAATGGCAAACAAAAACAGGGAAATCGATCAAGCATCATGACGCCGGATATAGTCGGGAAAACTCTCTCAAAAAAATCCAACAGTCGTCTCCCCCATTCTATCCACCCCCCATCATTCCCCTCAAACACAGGGACCGCGGGGAGCAGGCTTCAAATTCTTCAATATACAAACAAGGCAGTTGCGCGCAGCAGCTAGGTTTTCATGGCAAGAGGTGTGTGCGCGTGGTAAACGTAAAACATCATATCGGTCATCCCCCCCACCTCAAAAGACATTCCCCTTCGGCCCCGCCGTCGGGGACAACTCATCCGCGCTCCCCTTCCTAACCCTCGTCTCCGCCTCCGCAGAATCAAGACGCTTACGCCAATCAGCCAGGCTGTTGCTCAGACCATGCTGTTCCTGGCTCTGGCTGTCGTCGACATCGGGCTTGTCGACATCGAAGTTCGTGGACTGGCGGTAGTTTTTATTCGTCGTCTGCCAGTGCGTGCGCAGAGTCTCGAGCTCGGATGCTAAGCTGTCGAGGGCCATGGAGTTGCGGTCGTTAGCGCGCTCGGTGGTATCGCTGTACAGCGACTCGCCGGAGACGATGTCGATGTCGCTGAGGTTGCGGGTGTGCCCGCCGGTTTTGGCGTTGCCGGCGACCGCGTCGTTGACAAGGTGGGATTGCCGACGGTAGTTATCGACGGAGGACTCGACCTGGTCGAGGAGTAAGGAGACCTTCTGTTCGGCGTCCAGGGCGCGCTTCTCGAGGTTCGCGTTCTCCTGCTGCAGCTGGTCAAGGTCGAGACGCGATTCGTCGTGGGCCTCGGTGACGCGCTCGCGGTCGGCTTTGGTGGACTCGAGTTCTTTGCGGACGTCGGAGAGCTGGTTCTCCATTTCGGAGCGCGAGGTCTGGATCTCAGCTTGCAGGTTCGAGATTTGGTGGCGGAGTGCCTCCTTTTCTTGCTCCCACTCAGTTGGCTCAGCGGGGCTGGCGGCCTTGGATCTCACTCCGTCAACTTCGGCCTTTAGGCGGCCATTCTCTCCCTTCAGCTTCGAGAGCTCGTCCTTCATACGCTTGAGCATCTTCTCCGTGCCCTTCACGTAGTGGACGGCAGACTGGTAGTCGTTCTCTAGCTGAGCGAGCTTCTCACGGTATGTGCTCTCAACCTCCTGTGACTGACAAGCATGGAGCTGCTTCGTCTCCTCATGAGATTGCTGCGACGTCAACAATTGCTGCTCAAGTTCACGCAGGCGGTTTTGCTCCGGTGAGTCTGAACGCATCTGCGGGCTGTTCAAGCTACGTGCTCGCGCCGCAGTTATCGGGCTGATGCCACGCTCCTGGAGCAGGTCCTTCAGGGTATTGTGTTGGACATGCACGGCGTTGGTCTCGAGCTGCTGGTTCGCAATCTGGTGCCTCATCTCCGAGTTGGCAGCCTGCAGAGTCTGCACTTCCTTCATGGTAGACTGGAGCTGCTTGCGGATACTCATGCCCTCACGGCTGACTTGCTCTTGGTAGGCCTCAAGACCAGCAATGCGCTCCTCTGCACTTCGGAGTTTGTCCGACGCATTGTCCGCAGCGCCTTGGTACTTACGCACCAAGACATTGGCCGCTTCAGCCTGAGCCTGGAGGGTGGCGATCTTCTCGCCTCCGGAAGTGGGGCTCATCGGCATATCCCTCGTCGATGCCTTGTCCAGTCCAGACATAACGGCTTGTCGAAGGCTTTGTGCTTCTGTTGCATGCTTATCGGCAATTTCCTCGGCATCGCGCAGACGCTGGCTCGCAGTTTCGAGCTCGGAAGTGCGCTCCTCGTGCTCGGAGCGAAGATTGCGCAGCTTGTCCTCAAGAGCCTCGCGCTGGCTGCGCTCTTCCTCTACCTTGCGCTCGAGGTGCTCCTTCATACCGTGCGCTGCGGCGATAGCTGCTCTCAGAGACCCGAAAGTCTCGCTGTGGTCCTTCGATGTCCCGAGTAGCTCGTTATGCTGTCCCTCCAAGGTCTCTCTATCAACCTGGAGGAGGTTCGCCTTGGCGACGGCCTCAGCACACAGGATAGACTGTTCTCTGGCCTCCATATGGACGTGGTGCAGTTCAGCCTTCAAGCTCTCAACCTCCGAGGAATTCTTCTGCTTGTAGCTCTCCAGCTCTGCGATGCGAGCCTGGGCAATATTCGCAGTCTCCTCTGCAAGTTTGCGGCCATTAGCCTCTGCTTCCACTTCCGCACTCAGACTGTCGATATTCTTCTGTAAGTTCGATTGCGCGCTTAACGCTTGAGCAAGCTTTCGTGCGACATCGGTTGAGCGATCACCGGATATCGAGTTTGTGTCTCTCGAATCATTATCCAGTTGTGGTGTGCTGGTTTGGCTACCTCCATGGGCGGCAAGCTTTGCCTTTGCATACACCGCCTCACTAACAGCAGCATCGCGTTGCTTCTCCACTTCTGCAATCTTCTTAGCAGCAATAATTGCTTGCTGGTCGATAGATCCTTGCACGGACGATAGTTCCGAACGCATGGCGATCAGAGCTTCGATCAATGGCCTTTCGGCATCAGAAAACGACGTCGAGATCCGGTTGTCAAGAATAGAGCTTGGGGTACCACCTGGTGTGTATCCTGACTTTCTAGCGAGCTCAAGCTCCGAAGCCATCCAGGCATTGCGGTTCCTGAGGTTATCAAGCTCGTTGAGTAATGACACCGTTTGGGAGTTCCTTGCTGATTTGTTCTTTGCCGAGTTGCTTCCTTGCCTCGAAGGAGGTGGCGGAGAACCTGAACGGTTGGTGACACTCTTCAGAGTCCCCTCATTGATACTCCCCAACGAGCCCTGCGGGCGACGAGACTTTGATCCCGATCGAGGTAGCTCCACAGACGCCTGCTGCATATTTGTAGGTGGGGCATCGGTGACGTCCTGCCTAACAACCTCCTGCTTGGCAACAACAATCGGTGCGGTTATTGGTAGTCCGCGCTGTCCGTTGCTGGTAGGACTACCACGAGGAGATAGAGACAATCCCCTGCTCCCCGGTGCGTTTCTCTCTTGCGATTGGCTGCGCATCGAAGTATCGATACTAGGGCCAAAGCCTCTGCTTGGCGGCGGCGGCTTTCCACGGAACGGGTTACCTTGCTGCGGTGCGCCGTTGGGCCTACTAGGAGCCATTCCTTGAGGGGGTGGTCCAGCCGGTGCCTGCATCAGCGATGCACGAGGTAGCTTTGAGCCTATACCTAGGCCTTGCAGAGGCGCCGAACCAGGGCCCGGGCTGTCTCTACCCATATCCATTCCGTCGACTCCTAGAGGCCCATTCGGCCGGCCACCATACATGTTCTGTTGTCCCATAACGCTTGTACGTGCCGGTGCGCCATTAAGTCTCTTCATATCAGGTGGTCCATCCCCGGGGCCGCGCGAACCCATGAGTCTTCTATCTGCGTCGCTCTGCCTGCGGCCAGCCACCTGCTCCCCAGCTGGGGTCTGTTGGATCATTTGGTCGTTAGGGTAGCGGATCTTGGATGTATCGAGCAGGAAAACCACAGACAGGTCAGTCGCATCTCGCGAAGCCGTGCTAGGCTCTCCTCCGAGGACAACAATCTGCTTTCCATACGCTGTCATGCTGTGGCCGGACCGAGCGGACGGCGATGGGCCCATATTCTGGAATGTATACCAACGACGACTTGAGATCCTGAAGGCCGCCAGATCTCCGAGATCTGCACCCTCTTCGGTGCGCCCACCAAAAATGTACATGACATCGTCTACTATCGTCGCAGCATGGCCTTCTCTAGGTGCTGGGATGTATCCTATACAGTCTAACTGGGTCCAGGCGTTTGGTACTGGATCGTAGCACCAGACATCATTGAACCACTGGAACCCGTTGGTGCCACCGAATCTGACATCTATTAGTCTCGTAATTTATATGTAGAGGTCTGATAACTTACAGATAAAGACATTCGTTCCATGTGACAATGGAGTGATTGGTACGTGGAGGCGGGATGCTCCCATCAGTCGCCATCTCATCATTTTGGATCAGCATCTCCCAGCGGTTGGTTGGTACTTGAAGTAGGTTAAGATCGAATGCAACCAGGTCATTCATAAAGTAACCCTCCACTTGACCACCAAATACGTAGATTTTTGACCCGACGATGTTCAGGGAATGTCCGTATCTTCCCGCAGGCCTTGGGCCGGCAGGTACAGCCCTTGACCATTGGCGTGTAGCTGTATATATCATAAGTAAAAAGGTTGAGACTGAGGAGTGGTTGAACCTACATGTGTTCAAGAGGTATAAGGTCTCATCCAGCACATCGCTGTCGTCCATCTTGGTATCACCACCGTAGACAATGAATGCATTTCCCACGAGCAAACTCGCATGGCCAACTCTTGGTCCCGGACCTTCTGCGGTTGTAGCCAGCGGGTAGCAAGCCATATTTCCTCCTCCACCTTCTACCAACCATAGATCACCCTTAACAGTCGAGCTGTTAATCAAGCCACCCATTATATATATGTCACCGTCCTTCGAGGACACCGAGTTAACGGCCGCGCCATATCGGGGAAACGGACTCGGATGCGACGATGTGAAGGTTAATTTTCGATATGTCCAAGGGTATAGCGCTGTATTCGGAGCTGAATTTACAGGCTGGACAGCCGGCGCGGTTGCATTTCGTAGCTAAGTTCCGCGTCAGCGATTATCAGGGAACGTTGCATCCACAATGCGACATTGTAGCCAGGAACAACTCACTGGCAAATCCGACTTCTCCAAGCCGCCCGTTCCTCGCCTCACGGGTCCCTTGGGGTCCGGACTAGGCGCATTGCCGTGGAAAGACTTGATCGAATTATTGATGCTACCAGTCGGCGTCGGGGTTTGGCTCAGCGTCGACCCATCCTTCTCATCCTTCGATCCTCGCCCATTGGCGCCATGCAGCGACGCCTGTGATCCCGCGGCCGAGCCTTTCTCGTCAGCCTTTGTCGCCGCAGCGGCCTTCTCCTGGTTCTTCTTGCTCTTGAAGAGGAAAGCCATTATTCGTAGTCGTCGTCGTCGTCGTCGTCGTCGTCGTCGTCGTCGTCGTCGCTCGGCGAGCGGTGGTCGCTTATCGTATTACTTGTTGCCGCGCCCGGGCGGACGGATGCGTGATCTATGCCAATGCGCCGAAAAGGGATATGCAGTATTCGAGGTCGGGATGCAGTGTCGATGACGGTGTCGGTGGTTTGCTTGCGATGGGGTGGTGGTGGTGGACAGGAATCGCGAAAAAATGTCGAGGGTTGGGTGTGGAAGATGGCTGGGAATTGGCACGGGGTTCGAATTAGAGTGCGGGCGGGCACGCGTGGAGGCGTAGTTAACGATGTCGATAGGTGATCTGCAAGTGGATTAGTTGACTTTTGGGTGAGTGATGTCTCCAATGTCCCCCACAGACTGGCAGTTTGGATGTCTCTAACAAAACGGGGCCGTCGTCGGGAGGCTGGGAGGCTGGGAGGCTGGGAGGCTAATTACCTTTGCAACAAGTCGATCAGGAGAAAGCACTCTACAACGCCAACAACGAACGGGATTCAAGGGTGAATTGAGTCGACAATGAACAAATAAGTCAACAGTACTCTCATGATTGTAGAATAACTTTCGATCGATAGGGACTCTACGCATATACTGGACAATTTTGTAACCCCTGAGCTGGCTGGTGTCGTTAACATTTTGGGCGTTTCCGCCAGCTTTCTGAAAGAGGAAAAGGGAAGGGAAGGGGGTAACACGACCGTTTGCGTCTAGTGTAGCCATCGTCGCCTACGATCCTCGCATACAATCCCCGCACCGTCGCATACAATCCTCGCATACAATCCTCGCATACAACCCTTACAATCCTCGCATCCTCGCATACAATCCTTACATTATACAATCCTCACATACAATTCTCAACTATCCCTCTACAGTACATGGCCGACCTAGAGTCATTACTGCTCATATGCATGGGAAATCTAGAGGATTGCAGTGCGTGAACCGCTCGCTGTATGGTAATCTCAACCGGCGTAGATCACCATTCACCCACAGACTTCCATGAGGCTTTGTATACCTATACGGGAGTACGTATTTGCCCCTTCCTTCCCAATTTCGTGTGCTATGTATATCCCTTCGCCATTTCGCCCTTCCCTCTCCACACCTCATGCACGACGAGCTTTCCCCATCACAACCAGCGCCGCCCGACCAATGACATGTCGTGTCGCATCGTCGCAACTCCCGAAACGTGCCTGCGTCGGCTTGGTGGAAGCCAACGCCAACCCATAGGCCAGACCGGAGGCAACGCCATGCTCCAAAAAGAGACGTTGCTCCGCATCTCTGTCTTGGGTGACGCCAGGCGTGCAGTTCTGACAGCTCCGAACAGCCGGGTGTGGTATCCGAGGGTATAAGTCGTGGTTCCTACCAATAAATAACTTGTGCAACTCATCTTGGCTGCTTATACAAGCCTAATCGTGAATACTGTAGGAGTGAGAGAAACTCCTCGCATCCCGCATTCGCGCCCTCATTGGCTGGTATTAAACGATCATACCCTCAGCATGGCCCTGATTCTTGGATCACCCCATGGCTCAGATGTCGGAATGATAACTCGTTTCGACAGATGTGCATATATATGATGAAATCGCTGTGATGACGATAATTGCTGGTGTCAGTAACAATGACTGAAACAGAAACAGAAACAGAACCGCTCAATCACTTGGGGCTGTAGTAAATATCCAGATACTCGGAAACAGGCTTAAAGATATCCTGAACTACTGGTATCAATCCTTGACCACATTCGGCCCCTCATCAGGCGTTTTGCCCGGAACACATTGCCAGCTGCACCCCCTCCTCATAAACGGCAGTTGGCTCTCTATAACATCCCTCGGTCGCACCGTCTCCTCGGACGTAACCTTCCCCGCCGGCGACTGTTCAATCTCCCACCATTCAATCCATTCCGTCCTCGGGATCACAAACCTCCTGTCACATATAGTACATTTCCTCCCCGGCACCTCCGTCTCGCGCAGGTTCCTCGCATTGTCCAGCAGATGTTGGAGCTTCTCCGGGTAGTCTCCGCTCAGATACTCATCCAGATTCGGCATGTTCGGCGTGTCAGCCCAGGTCTTGACGCATAGTTCCAGCAGTGATGGCGTGTTAGAGGTGGGCCGGGCCGTTGATGCCTCGGGTCCTTTCACTGGAGAGCCGTGAAGGTCGAAGAATTTGACCTGGGAGCGACACTTGAATCTTCGTCTCCATTCGGAGTGTCTGGCGTGGTCATGTTCGGGGTTGTCGCAAGTTTTGGAGCCCCATGTCCTCTCATCACTGGCACCTTCTACGGGCAGCCCAGTCTCTGTGATGTCGTCGGATGCGGATGGTTCATAGAACGGGTTTGGGTGAAGATGAAGTATCTTTATCTTGCTCGGGCAGGACAGCAACTCTAGCAGCTCAAACGGAAGCGAGCGAAGGGCATTGTTGGAAGCGTTCAGCTCCGTGAGGCGCCGTAGTCTGTTGATTGACGTTGGCAGCTCCGTCAGCTCGTTGCTGCGCACACTCAACACGCTCAAGTTCTCCAGGTTGAATATCTCCCCAGGCAAACGCTTCAGTTCATTTCTAGCCAAAAATATTCTCAGTTTTGGGAGGAGGGTTTGGTATGATCCTTGAGTCAAAACTGGAATGGACGAGAAGGAGGCGAGAGGTCTAATGGCTGAGTTTGAGAGACTTGTCAGGCCCTTTCCACTAGAATATCTTCGTTGGTCTGCAGTCTATAGAGCATCTTGAATGAGGGGATAACATACGAGAGATCCACATCCTCGTTGCCTTCCTCTAGGCACTGTTGGATGTGCTGGCGAGCCTGATCTTCCTGGGATGGGTATTGCGCAGAAGGTATGATGACACGGCTACGAAGCGGAGACGGTCGCATCGCCATCGGCAACCCATTTGCCAAAAACGAAGTAACCGGCGCCCCCTTCAAAAAATCATAATCCGCGTCATCATCCGTACTATCGCTCCCCAGCCAAACTCCACTATCAAACTGTCTCTCCAACGTCCTCTTCACCTTCCGTTCCCCTTGATTAGATAAAGAATTATCAGGCTCCTGCTTATACCACGGCCCCTTATATCTCATCTTCTGTCGCCGCTTTGGATCCGAGTAATTCTCAGCGCTGGGGTCATCGTCGCTCGAAAATAGCGGGGGATCGCTCGATGCCGGCGCTGAGCTCAGGCGCGCGCGCTTTCCGGGGCGACCTGTGTTGCTGTAGAAGCTTGGGGCTAGGCCCTTGGGCAATGAAGGCAGTAAAGGCTCGTCGGCCATTGCATAGGCCCAGTTTCAGAGCATTCTAGGTGCGCAGGGTATTGTGGCGTGAGTATGGTGAGAAGTGAGAAGTGAGAAGTGAGAAGTGTTATCCCTCAATCACGTCGCGTGAGACACGCGTCTGTGCTTCGGACCCTTCTTTTGCCCCGCCTCTCAGCCTTGTCTCTCAGCCTTGGCCCTCCTTCAGACAGCTCCATATGTTAGGCAAGAGCGGGAGATAAACTATTTATCTCCTCTTCGCTCAGGTAAACCTCTCACTGGCAATGAAATAATCGCATCTGTTCCTTCGAAGGTACTTTTAACAAGGTCTATATGGCTATCAAGCTTCGAGCACGGGTCGGAGCTGTCGATCTGAAAGATATATCTATAATCTACCAGTCCTCGATTCCCAAGTAAACTGCAGAGTGTATACTCCGCATTGTAGCGCGGCTCTTATAGACTTGGTAAAACCGACCAGGTTTCCCATCTCCCGCTGGTATCATGAGTATCATTCCCAGTCCTCATCGTCCTCCTGGTTCACTGGACGAGTGCTGCCACGTAGTCCCGAGCGTTTCGGAGCTTCATCTTGATCCTCCGCCTCTCTCCTCCGTTTCGATATCCTTATATCGTTACTCTTGACAGCACCGACTTCGAGGAGCAGGCTATCGATGTCGCTCATGTTTGTCCTTACTCCACTCAGCAAGACCAATGTCACAATCTGCTTAACCATATCTCCATCTTTGTAAATCAGGATCGTCGGGCAATTCCTGTCCGGATATCCTTCAATACACTGGTCCCCTCTCATCTCGCAGAATTTGATCTCCCCAAACTCCCTGGCAGCGTCACTCCATAGTTCCGTCAAAACCCTACTCTCAACGTTTGTCCCCAGGCCAGATGTGAGGTTCACAAGCACCACCTCGCTCTTCGATGCCTCCGTCACTTCTCTGGAATAGTCGGGCTTGGATAGCGGGTAGACAGTGCCGTGTTTAGACTTCTGTGCTAGTGCGTTCATTTCCATCACCCGTTGCATCCGGTATTTCTCCAAGAATGCATCATCCTCATCATCCTCAAGCTCGTCCAGCTCATCCAGATCCTTGCCCTCAAGGCGATTCTCATGTGCAAGTCGTCGGCCTTCGAGGATAGCCTCTTCGATCATAGGCGTTGGGGACGGGGGTTTTTCTGGTATGACGCCATGTTTCCGCAGGATATCGTTCCTGCATAGGTGTTAGGAGAGCTTTGGAAGGGCGAAAGAGAGCTTACCATTCTGTGTCTGCGTTGGGGTCGTCTATGGGCACATTGATTCTCTCGTCCATGGGGGCCGCCATTCTGGGGGTTTGTATGTGGTGGTTTCTGTTGCCTGTTGCACACAGTTGTGACGGAGATTCGGTGGTGGGCGGGCCGTTAGGAGCCTGGCGGGGTAGCAACTCGAATGAACTTCCCAAATATAGATATTGATATATAATTTACGAGTTATTTCTGCATGGCTACAAAGTGATATTGCTATAGTTTCGATTTTATTTTGATCAGAGTTTCTTGACTATCTATTCATGTTTTGGTCCAGATCACTGTCCCGTTCGTCTAGCCCTGATAAAAGATGGAATATCACGGCTTTTACCTGCGCGTTTGTACCCCTTACAAGAGCTCCCAAGTTCACTCTATACTGTCACAAAATCGCCACGCGTCGTTTCACAAGCGTTGTTAATACTGTAGAACGCCAGGAGGCAAAGGACACCGAGGCTGTAGAGTCACAGAAGTTGGTGGCGCCGGAAAGAAGGTTTTCGAGTCAGAGGGGCCGCATAGTCACAGAAGAATCCAAAAACGATCGTTCCAAGACGGTAACTTCATCGGCATATCGTCTTTTCCCTTTTTATTTCGTTTTGCCATCGTCGAAACTGGTATTTCTGTGCGCTTATCTCATCTGTCGCCACCAAACTTTCTCCGCAATCGCCAACCGGCCAGTCTCCAGCGGCCTTCGCTTAACCCACTAGCTCCAAAATATCCCACAAGCATTTTCCAAACTTTCCACTATACCACATCACCCGGCAACATCAACGAGCCATCAATCACCGCCAACACGCCAAAATCACCAACACTGATCAGGCAAAATGGTCCTCGCTGTTGATCTCCTCAACCCTTCGGCGTCTGCCGAAGCACGTAAGCACAAGCTGAAGGTATGAACGACTCTAGAACACCAGGGGCAAAACTGGCAACTGGAACAACCCAAACTAACATTGCGATGCAGAACCTCGTCCCAGCGCCGAGATCCTTCTTCATGGACGTCAAGTGCCCCGGCTGCTTCACGATCACCACCGTCTTCTCCCACGCACAAACCGTTGTCATCTGCGCCGGCTGCTCGACCGTTCTCTGCCAGCCCACTGGAGGAAAGGCCAGGCTCACCGAGGGCTGCTCTTTCCGCCGCAAGTAGACTTGGCGCCTCGCTACTTCTTCGACTCGCACCAGCACACTACCGGTGAAAAACTCCCCAAAGATGGGCAACAGCAACAGTGGGCGATGTAAGGGTGGAACTTGGGATTGGGAAGGAAAGCACGACGCTATCTGCTGTATTCTTGGGGCCTAGGCTGGTAGCTTACGGTTCTGAGTAGCTGGTAGCTTACGGTTATGAATGAATAACTGTGCTGGTAGCTTACGGTTCTGAGTAACTGTGCTGGAGTAATGAATACTGCTTTGCCTCAGTCGTGCATTGAATGCCAGTAACCCTAGCAACTGTTTGTGAATACCGGCTTGCTTTCGGAGTCGTGCATTGAATGCCAGTGAGCCTGGTGAATCCTGTTTTTCCTCAGTCATGCATTCAATACCAGTAAATCTATCAAATCTTTGTGATTACAGTCCATATATTGCATTGAATGTTTGCTTGTACTATAGTAAATGATGCAGCTAACACTGTAGCCTGCCGCAGGCAAATTCGTCCATGCTCCTCACGTGCTCCCAATCCACGCCTTTATCAACCGCATCGTAGCCAAATTTAATCATAACCCCCGAAGCAGCCACCTTTCACCCCATCCGGTTTCACCTGAACTCCAGCGCCAACCCCGCACCCTCATCCTCAACCTCTCCACTCCAAAACACTCGAGCTCATGAAGTAACCTTCATCCCAATCTGAAAATACACTCATCCTCACACCACCAGTCGTTTCCCTCACAAGCTACAATGCCAGCCCCAACCCATCAAGCCAAGCGGCCCTACGCCGGCACCCACAGCCAACACCACCAATCTTCGATAACATCCTACTTCCCCTCCCCCTCCGGCGCCGCCCCCTCCCCGACCACCGTCCGTAACGCCTCTTCGCCCCCAGTCCTCCCTGCGACCGTCCAATCCAGCCTCCTCAACGTCGGCATGCGTATTCGCAAATCCGTACCCGAGGGCTACAAGACCGGCTCCTACAGCTCCTTTGCGCTGTTCTCCGACCAGGCGCCCCCATCGAAGCCTCAGCAGCAACCACAACAGCAGCGCCGCGTGAAGCAAGTACCAGGCGGCGCGGCGAGGGAACTGGCACCGTTCTGCGGGATAATGAAGGTTGGCGGGTTGGCAGTTCAGGCCCCACAGGGCGGGGATGACGAATACCTGGATGACGACGATGGGGTGTTGGACGAAGATGACGTCCCGGGTATGAGCTCGCAGGGCTCGACTCTGAGTGCTTACTCCACCGCCGCGACACACAAACGCCGTCTCTCGGCTTCTTCGGTGGGCTCAGATGACGATGAGGGAGCGGCACAGTATAGCTGGGCCGATGTGGAGATCAGTCCTAAGACGCAGGCTCCGCAGCAGGGTCAGGCTTGGGGTGGGGCGGGGAACCGCGCGATGGCGCTGCCGAGGAGGATGAAGAGGGCTGGTGCTGGGGGAGCGATGGGTGGGCAGGAGAATGGGGTTGACTTTGAGGAGGCTGGGTTCTTGGATTATGCGGCGTTGGAGGAGGTGAATATGGGGGGGTTGTGATGTGTACAGTATTGTGTGAGTGGGATGGGATGGGTGAGATTGGGTTGGGGGGGCTTATTGCTTGGTGGGGGATAGTGTATGTTATTGGGTGGTGGTTTCGGTGTTATGAGCATATGGCGTTTACAGAGCGGGGTTTTAGCAAAGCTGCTTAGATTAATTTATGGAAACACTTCCTCAAAGAATGCATTGTATTGTGTCTTGTTCATCGCTTTGCATGGAGGCTCTTCAACTTTTGTGTTTCGAGATTGAAAAGAAGTTGCCGGAGATATTAAGGGTTCGCAAGGACCTGGACGAAGCATTAGGTCAGTTTCCATGTATGTGTTGGGCTAAGAGGGTACAAAAGGTAAAACACAAGAACTCGGGGAGACCAGGGCTCGTACTCTATTCGGAATCCCTCTCCACGTGCTAGATCCCGCGACGGCGACTGAACCAACAGAGGCAAGCCCACAACAAGAACAGTCGCGCCAGGCGGACGATATCACATCTGACGACGGCACAGCGGCAGCAGGAAGTATCAACGACAGAAAGAGGCAACGACAGAAAGACCTAACGGTGGCAGGAAGGACCAAACGACAACAGGAGTAGAATCTGCAGTAGGAAAGGCCAGAGGAAACAGTTGCGGTTGGTCCAGTGATCCGTGATGGGCAACGGCGTTCCTATCATCGCGTGCTCCTTGCATCGTTGCAGTGAAGTGCGTTGAATCCTCATCGTTTCGACGTCTCGGAACCTTGTATGCACAGAACGACGGTTGCTGCAATATGAGAAAAAAATCTACTAAATAAACCACACCATATTTGCGACACGAAATCGAGCCTGGGACGCCGCGAAGGGTCGTCTCCGGTGGGATCCCCGCCATACTCGTATCGTCTTGGAGGACGATGCTGGAGGCGTTAATCATGAGGAGTACAGCCACCGGAACAGGCGCCGAGACGAGCAGTTGGGGGCGAGGTTTGCTAGGGCAGCGTAGGGAACAAACAGTCGAAGCCATGCTCAGCAAATACTCAAGGTCAAGTGGACCGAGTTCGAAGCAGCCGCCTGTTGTATCTCGTGATGAAAGGGAATCCCGTAGCTGCGATGGAGCGGAGGATGGGTGACACCGCGTCACGGATAGCGATAAAAAGCAGAGAGTTGTCCAGCGTATTTGGAACAATCCTCATTCAGACCCCGAAAAGCGAGTGAAGCGGGTGGCATTGGCAGAGCTGGAAGTAGAATCGGAACGGGCGTTGATGGACAGTCACTAGAAACGTACTGCTGCTTTCTGTTTTCTGCTCTCTTGCTACCGCCCTTATGCTCACCTCCTTCTCTTTCTCACCGTGCAAGTCCTGCCATATGTTATACGGCTGAGCATCCCCAATGGCTCGGATCGGTCGTGCTGCCATCAACGCTTCAATCCCAGTGCCCTCCTTCGCTCTGGGTTTGCACTGGACAATGACCACAGGAGGTGCCTCTTGCTGTTGTCGCCCAGCTCCACGAGCCACCTGTGCATCTTAAGCAGTCACGCTGCTCTTGTATCCACTATTCGTCAATGTAATCATCCTGATACATAGGGGAATACCCATCTTCATATTTGACGGCACAGCAGACGCACGCGTGAAATGGGCAATTGTAGTATTTTAGGTAGTGCTCACTACATTTCCACATACAATACAAATTTCTACCCATACTCATCCCAAATCTCCCCGTACATATGGTGATAGTTCGCCTCCACCCCCTTCCCCCCAACATATCTCATTTTCTATATAACCCACCCACCAGCACCGAGCGTCGAGCTGCCAACATGAAACATCACATAGTCGAGATCGACACAGAGATGCTCAACCTGACACTAAAATTGGCTAGGCAGACGTCGTCGATGCTGAGTCCAGGTCAGGTTATGTCGAGGTTGTGGATGTGGACGCCGATGGCCCCTTTCTCACTGCCATCGCTTTCTCACTGCTGACCCCTTTCCCGCTGTCATCTTGCTATTCTCACCGTCGCGCTCCGCATCAGGGTTTAGATATCCTCCATCTTCATCTTTGACAGAGGTCACTCAGTCATATATCGCGGCCTTCCAACACGCCAGTTGCTCAAAAATGGAGTGCAAGGAGATATATTATATTAGCCCGGATTGCTGTATCAATCCCCAGTTATGCACAAGTCCCCATCAGACCCCATCCAACCATCTATAAAAACACCCATCCCAGTGCCCCAACGCCATCCCACTCATCGTACACACTCACCCCTCTCCCTCACGATCCAATCTACCTACACCTCCACAACCACCTCCTTCTCCCCCTTCTTGACCCCCTCAACCCCCTTCTTCCTCTGCTTCAACACATTCTCAATAAACGCCTCCCCCGCCTTATAACTACTCCTCACCAACGGCCCCGCCGCACAATACAAAAACCCCATCTCCAACGCCCTCTTCCTCCACGCCTCAAACACCTGCGGCGAGATATACTCCTCAACCTGCATATGGCGCTTCGTAGGACGCATGTACTGTCCGAATGTAACCACATCGACATTCACCTCCCTCAACCTTCTCAGGGCGTCCATAAGCTGCGGCTCCGTCTCCCCAAGTCCAAGCATAATGCTAGTCTTAGTGATCAAACTCGGCACTGCCTCCTTCGCGCGTCCCAGGACCTTCAAGCTCTGCGCGAACGTCGCGCGACGGTCACGGACCTGGGGGGTGAGTTCGTCTACCGTCTCGACGTTGTGGGCGTATACGTCTAGTCCCGAGAGGGCGACTTTATCGACCATCTCCAGCTTCCCTGCGAAATCCCCCGTCAGCGCTTCGACGAGGATTTCTCTCCCGCCCCCCTCGCGACTCTTGGACTTAATCTTCGCAATCGTCTCGGCGAAATGCGCTGCCCCGCCATCGAGAAGGTCGTCGCGGTCAACGCTCGTCAGAACCACGTATCCAAGCCCCCACCTCCTCAGCGCCTCGGCCGTGTTCTCGGGCTCATGCGGATCCAACGGCGCCAGGTCCCACGCCCCCTTCGCCTTCCTCGCCGTCTTCACAGAACAGAACCTACACCCCCTTGTGCACGTATCCCCCATCAACATAATGGTCGCCGTCGCAGAGGCCTTATCCGACCCCCCCCAACACTCCCCGATATTCGGACACCTTGCCTCTTCACACACTGTATGCAGTCCCAAGCCCCTCAGATCGGCCTTGATGGCTTTGAACCCCGCAGAGGTGTTGGGGGAGGGGATGGACGTCTTGAGCCAGCTGGGGAGGCGGGTGATTTCTTTCTTGCCCACCTTTGCGGTTCGGGGGCGCAGGGCGAGCATTTCGGCGGGGGTGAGGGGTTGGTCGATGTCCAGGTATTCGTCGAGGGTGGGGACGGGGGTGTCTTTGAAGTAGGTAGGGCGACCTTTGGGCTTGGCTGCGCTGGTGGTGGTGTCTGTGGCGGGCGTCTCGCCGGCGGGCGTCGCGAGGCCCCGGACTGAGGAGTTTATATAAACTGCCTTCGCGGCGTTGCGCAGCGGCGGTGCGTTAAGGCATCTGAAGCGGCTGCAGGACGCCGTGGCGTACATTGTGAGAGGGGTGTTCGTGCAGTGTTCGTGCAATTGGGAGGTCTACCGGTGAGGTGGTGTTTGTTGATGGGCATATGATTTGTGACCCCAGAGATATGGGGTGTGAATCAGCACCAGGCTGAGAAATTCGACGACGGGTACTGGCGGGAGCGGATGTCCGTGCCAGTTTGTGTTGAGGCACGTGACTTGGGTCAGGACGACGTTGATGTGTGGGTGTGAATAGTAGGAATAATTTATTCATATGTGGTATCTAATAATGCAGTTTCTACATGAGGCACTTTATTCTGTATTCTTGGTGGGAAGTATCGAGGCACTTCAAGTAATATCCGTAGTATATTCATTGAAACATCCAAATTTATTCCATCTATATTTCCAAACAAAGTTCAGCGACCCGTTCCTACCTTCCGAAACGCGTACGTATACGAACCTATTAAAATATCTACGCATCTAAAAGACACATACCTACAATTGCCTATTATAGAAAAAGTGATAATTGTAGTGAAATATCTCGATGTAGTGTAGACACCATTGTAGATGCAGCATCCCAGCAACTCGGAAAATCCAGAAAACCGCAGATCATGCTACAAAGGAACAAACTTCAAGAGTTTAAACCGCTGTCTCGATCAATTCCCAGAAAGGTAAAAGGTCACATAACAGCATATCAACTAGAAGCGGAAGAAAAAGTGGCGCGCGCTATCACTTGTTTGAACACAGCATTGAAAGTGTCACATATCGGACATAGCACAACAGTCACAATATATCGAACACAAAATGCATACCCTTTCCATATCCCGCTACATGCCCTTCACTTCCTTACATGAGCTCCGACACCCCCTTCACCAAGCCATCTGTAAAAATCCACTCCCCAAAGGGGGATCGCAAGAAGAAGTAGGATTCCCAGACATCGGCTTCTACCAGCAAACCAACCCCATCCCACCAGCCGGCGAGACGAGCGAAGAATGCTTAGGTGATGGTACGCAGACCGTCACATGCCCTTGCACACCACTCCAACAACAACACACCGGATCTCCCGTCCCCTTCTTCCACAACAATTAATAAACCCCCAAACAGACCCGAGATCCCTTCCCCACGTAAAAAGTAAAAAACAAGTAGTAGTTAAAAAGAGGAGTTGATGAACGAGCTAGACGCCGGACACAGCCCGCGGCGCGCACTTGAAAAGAAACCAGTTGGTATCTAGCCGATTGCAAGAACGACGAAGAGGTACTTCACAAACAAATGTAAAGGTGGGTATTCGAGAAGCGTAAAATGGGAAGAGAGAGAAAACGTAGAGTTTAAAGAGAAGAGACATCTATATGACACAGATCATCCCTAGATGCAGGATACCCATATCTCATTTCTCAACTCCATCTCCCTCTCTCCCCAGAGCCATAAGATGACAGAGAAGCCCCAAAGCGGGGAACAAAAGTAACGAGTAACGCATTAGCCTCGAGGCGAGGGCGGAGTCGCTTTCAAAGATGTCGGAGGCTCGTACAGGGCATGAATGCGTTGAAAAAAGGAATGATGATCGCATCGAACGATTTCGAAGATTGCAGCGCCCAAGGCGCTCACAACAAAGCCGCAACAGCAACGGCAATGAAGCCAAGCAGACCAGCGTTGGACGCGGACATGACTGGCGCAGCGCCAACAGAGCTGCTGGGCTTGGTGCCGGACCCAGTTGTAGTTGGGGCGATGACGCCGCCGGTGCCAGTGCCGATCGAGGTAGTGGCGTTCTGGGCGATAGCGGTGGCGGGCTGGATGTAGGTGGAGTTTGGGGCGATGGAGGAGGAGGAGGTGAGGGTCAGGGTGCTGACCTGCGAGACGTGGATGGTGCGCGTGATGGTGGCGGTGGAGGTGGTGGTTGCGACGGTGGTGTCCTGCGCGAGGGCGAGGAGGGGGAGGAGGGCCACGAGGGAGAGGTTGATGAGTTGCATCTTGAACTGATTGGGGTGGTAGATTGGGTTATGTGGTGGTGGTGGTGTTGTTGAAGTCGAGATTCAACCTCTGGCTTGTTGTTCGGAGAACTGATTTGCGTTGCGCGTGAGGGAGAGAGAGTGAGCGTGTTGATATTGGGACGACTTGCGACCGGAATTGGAATTGGAATTTGATTTTGAGAGAGTGTGGGTTTTCTGTTTCTGATTAGAAGTTTTTGTTAAAACGGGAATGACTTTGCCAACGAAGTCTGTATATGTGAGAGTGGATGGGTTGAAGAAGAAAGAAGAGAGGAGTGTGTGAAGGAGCGACGAGAAGTTGTTTTGAAGGCTGTCTGGGGGGTGGGGGAAGAACGGGAGAGTGGGTGGAGTGGGTGGAGTGGGTGGAGTGGGCGTTGTTGGGCGAACTGGGGGGGTTGTGGGTGGTGTGGGGGGGTGTGGATTGGTGGATTAAGAGTGAATTAGAATTAGCAGGCGAAGTGAAATTGAGTACTTTGCAGCCATGTGTATGTGTATGTGTATGTGTATGTGTATGTGTATGTATGTGTATGTGTATGTGTATGTGTATGTGTATGTGTATGTGTATGTGTATGTGTATGTGTATGTGTATGTGTATGTGTATGTGTATGTGTATGTATGTGTATGTGTATGTGTATGTATGTGTATGTGTATGTACCATCATGTGTACCATATGACGAGGGTACATTTACGGTACGATGGATGGTACATGTCTTGGATATCAAAGCACAGGGATTTCTGGTCATTCTGGTTGAAGGGTTGAAGGGCGCAATTCAGTGGTTGACGAGGGGCTGGCGGCATGTTGAGTAGGCGAGTGATTGGTGGGCGGGATAGCGGGTAGTCGGGAGCTGTCAGGAGAAAATGACAATTACTGGGCTGGCTTGGCACTCAGCAACATCCCATTGCCATTGCCAGCACATCACATGCAGCGGACCTGTCGCATCAAATCTTATTGCCAGTACGCTAGCAGGGGATGCATAACCCTAGTGTCAAGTGGCAAGCGGGCGAGACGAGGCGCGTTTTAATTGGCCGGGGGAGAGGAGAGGAGGGAAGGGAGAGGGGAGGAGGGAAGGGAGAGGGGAGGAGGGAAGGGAGAGGGGAGGATGGAAGGGAGGGGAGGATGGAAGGGAGAGGGGAGGATGGAAGGGAGAGGATGGAGGATGGAAGGGAGAATGGAGGAGGGAAGGGAGAATGGAGGAGGGAAGGGAGAATGGAGGAGGGAAGGGAGAATGGAGGAGGGAAGGGAGAATGGAGGAGGGAAGGGAGAATGGAGGAGGGAAGGGAGAATGGAGGAGGGAAGGGAGATGGGAGAAGAGGAGAAGAGAAGAAGGGGAAGAGGAGCGTTGTGGGCGTGTTCCTGGCGCTAGGCTGCGAAGAGGGTTAGTGGGGGGGTTGGGGGTGGTGGGCGTGTCTGGTGTGGTGTGGTGGTTGGTGTGTGGTGGGTGTGTGGTGGGTGGTGGTGGGTGTGGTGGTGGGTGTTGGTGGGTGTTGGTGGGTGTTGGTGGGTGTTGGTGGGTGTTGGTGGGTGTTGGTGGGTGTTGGTGGGTGTTGGTGGGTGTTGGTGGGTGTTGGTGGGTGTTGGTGGGTGTGGTGGTAGGCGTGTCTGGTGTGGTGGGTGTTGGTGGTGTTGGTGGGTGTGGTGGTGGGTGTGGTGGGTTAGTTATGTGGTATGGTGGTGGGTTAGTTACTTACAGTATGTGGTGTGGTGTGGTGTAAAGGCCCCTTGGCGGGAGATGGCGGGAGAGGTGCTTTAGTGGTAGGCGGGTGGTAGGCGGGTGGTAGGCGGGTGGTAGGCGGGTGGTAGGCGGGTGGTAGGCGGATGCTTTAGCTGCGGATGAGACCGCTATGGAGGTTACCTCGCCATCACCATCCCCAACACTCCACACCCGGCAGCCGCCACATCATTCGCACGCGCGGTAAGCAAGCACCGAGATTATAGCCACTAAACCAGATTACAAGCAATCTCACCATCCACCATCCGACATGACCCTTACCACACTTTCACTCACCAGTCCTCTACTCTACTCTACTCTACTCTACTCTACTACCTCTACTTTACCTCTTCTCTACTACCTCTACTCTACTATCTCTACTTCTACCATCTCTACTCTACCATCTCTATTCTACTATCTCTACTATCTCTACTACCTCCACTACTACCTCCACTACTACCTCCTATCTCTACTACCTCTACTACTTCTACTACCTCCTATCTCTACTACCTCTACTACTTCTACTACCTCTACTCTACTCTACTACTTCTGCTACCTCTACTCTACTACCTCTACTCTACTACTTCTACTACCACTTAAGTTACCACAGTAACCCAAGTTAGTACTATGACCGCCACACTACCAAGCCTTTTCCTACCCTCCTCCACAGATCGACTCGACGGGAAATGAGATGGGCCCCGAAATCCCTCATATCTATCAGCCGAACACGTGATCAGATATGGAACTGGAAAAGAAACATCTCACGTGACCCCTTGCCGATTGCGTGCTCAACGGCTGGTACGTGCCCGCCATTTTCATCTGACAGCCTTGCATATCGAAGCCCTGTCATTGGCCCGATAAAGCTTTGATGCGCCTGCCAAAGTTTATCTGCCTATCGCGCATTGAAAGCGGCATGTCAAAATGTAGGACCAGCATTTCCGAGGGATCAGACTCGTCCATTTTTTGCCCCCGGACCTCTAATTCTTATTTCATTGTATTGGTAAAACCACTGGCCTCTTATATTTTGTATTTAGAGGTCCATTTCCCTTCTTGGAGAGAGGTACGCCAGCTATATCAAAAGCGCCCGTCATACCTGTCGCCATCATCACAATCCGCATTTTCACACCCTCCGATATCCGGTCCCGCGCCTCTGGATGCTACAATGCGGACATCCCTCCTCACCTCGATCGATGCCACATCGCACATCCACCTCATAGTCGGCACCAATGCGCTCGCCGCCGCCCGGTGCGCGAAATCCCTCGAAGTCGGCGCCACGCCCATCGTCATCTTCCACCCGGATGAGTGGGAGCATGAGGTTCACCCCGCGCTCCAGCAGCATATCGACGACAAGGAGGTGAAGTGGCTATCCAAGCCCTACCACGACGACGATATCTCTACCCTCGGAAGGCCCGAATTAGACGGCTACGTCGACGCCGTCTTCGTCACCCTCAGCCCACGAGATCCTCTGAGTGCGTCCCCTCCCCCCCCACCACACCCCCCTCCCAAAATCCCAATACTAACCCCCCCCCCCAAAAGGCCTCCACATCTCCACCCACTGCAAACGCCACCGCGTCCCCATCAACATCGTCGACGCCCCCTCCCTCTGCACCTTCTCCATCCTCTCCACGCACACCGACGGCCCCCTCCAAATCGGGATAACCACCAACGGCAAAGGCTGCAAGCTCTCCTCCCGCATCCGTCGCGAAATTGCCTCCTCCCTCCCCCCCAACCTCGGCGCCGCCTGCGAGCGTCTGGGGCGCATAAGGCAGCGCATCCAAGCCGAAGACCACGCTGCGCACGCTGCGAAGTTCGCGGTGGATGAGGAGGATAGCGGGGAGCAGAGCGCGAGTTTTAATAAGCTGGTGAAGGAGGCGGATCGTGAGGCGGCCAAGGGGAGGAGGATGAGGTGGTTGAGTCAGATTTGCGAGTACTGGCCCCTAAGCCGACTGGCGGACGTCACGGATGCGGATATCGAAGCTGTGATGACGGCGTATACATCCGCGCCCTCCGCCTCGCCTTCCCTCGCTAGCACAGGAACTATCACTACCGCCACCTCCCCGCCGTCTCTCCCCGCTCCTCCTCCAGCAACTAAAAAGGGCCTCATCATACTCGCTGGCTCGGGGCCGGGACATCCGGATCTACTTACCCGGGCTACGCATCGCGCTATTCATTCCGCGACGTTGATCTTAGCAGATAAACTCGTTCCCGCCCCCATCCTCGCCCTGATCCCGCGCCGCACACCCTTACACATCGCGCGCAAATTCCCCGGTAACGCGGAGCGCGCGCAGGAGGAGTTGATGGCACTCGCTTTAGCCGGGTTGCGGCGGGGCGAAACGGTGTTGCGCTTGAAACAGGGGGATCCCTACCTCTACGGCCGGGGCGGGGAGGAGGTTGAATTCTTTAGGAAGGAGGGGTGGGGGGATAAGATTGTCGTACTCCCCGGAATCACGAGTGCCTTCTCCGCGCCCCTCTTTGCGGGTGTGCCAGCGACGCAGAGGGGGGTAGCGGACCAAGTGCTCGTCTGCACCGGGACAGGGAGGAAAGGGGTCCCGACCAAGCCACCGACGTATGTTGAGAGCCAGACGGTTGTTTTCTTGATGGCGTTGCATCGCATCGGCGGGTTAGTAGAGGATTTAACCACCTTTGCGCCGGAAGAAGCTGCTGTTGCTTCCACCTCCTCTTCCACTGACGCTGCTACCGCCGCTGCCGGCGCCGTCGCCGCCGCTGTTGCTGCTGGTGCCGCGAAGGTAGACGGTACACTCACACCCACCCGCGCCCTCTGGCCCCTATCAACACCCTGCGCCGTCATCGAACGCGCATCCTGCCCTGACCAGCGCGTTATCCGGACCACCCTCTCTTCCGTCGTTGCGGCAATCGAATCAGAAGGTTCGCGTCCACCTGGTCTGTTAGTGTTAGGGAAAGCTTGTGAAGCGCTCTGGACGCCTGTGGATGGGAAGAAGTGGGTTGTTGAGGAGGGGTTTAGGGGGTTGGAGTTCGCTGGTGGGGAGGGGGGGTTGGGGAGGTGCTTGAGGGGTGGGGAGGGGAGAGGGGGGGGAAGGTGGGGGTGGGGAAGGGGTTTGGGAGGGAGTTGGAGGTGGGGTTGGAGTTGGGGATATAGGTGGAGGGTGGTGGGGTGTAGATTTTGGGAATGAGAGAGGAGCGGATGGGATTGGATAGATGTGCATAGACATGGTGTTTGATGATTATGGAATAGATGGATCTCCATTGGGTATATAGACCAGACCAGGCCAGGGCAGCCGAATAAAACGCCCTAACAAACACCCCTCCCTTCTTTCACCGTCCCTAATCAACCCCCACCCTTTACTGAAAATCCTGCCCCGCATAACTAACACTCATCCTCAACTGCCTCTGCCGCTGCCGACTCTGCAACTGCAGCCTCTCCACCGCATACCCGAGCCGTTCCTTCTTCAGCCTCAACATCCGTAATTTCGCCTCCCCCCCCCCTCCCCTCCCGCCCCCACCCCCGGCGTCGTCCTACCATTCGCAGCACCAGCACCAGCACCGCTCGCGGCCCCACGCAGACCTAGCCGCCCTGCTTGTAGTTCCGCTTTTGCGCGTAGGGCCTGTTCGCGGCGCTCGAGACGGTCGAGATGCGATTCTGCGCGTGTGAGGAGCGTTGTTATGGCGGGGGCGAGCTCGGTGGCTAGGCTGTGTTGGGCGAGTGCTAGGGAGGGGGAGGGGGTGAGTTCGAAGTGCTGTGTTGTGTTAGCCTCTGCCGCCTGCTAGCTGCTAGCTAGGTGGATGGGGAGATGGGGAGGGGGGAGGAGGAGGGGAAAGGGGGAATATTTGTAGGGGGAGGAAGGAGGGGAAGGGGGGAACAATACACGAGTAGAGCCCAGCACAGTCGATAGGCGCGGGAAATCGCTAATCCCCTGGTCGAGGATTGAGATTGACGAATCGAGGAGTTGGAGGGAGGATTTGAGGGATTGGACGGAGGCGGAGAGGGAGGATGCTGAGCTGGTTGTTGACATTGTCGCGGTTCGGTCCCTCTGTCACCGAGAGTCTTTAGCTATGGGTGTATTGGTTTCCGTGGAGAGACAAGAGAGCCTTTGCGGCTCTGGGTGCGAGTTGCTGTGTAAATACAAGGTCACGTGCACCGCAGGGTCCTGGTCGGGAGAGACGACCATGACGATTCACCTTCAACCTTTGCCACAAAACGCCAATCTTGTCGATTTCCAAAGCATTATCTACCGGGAGAAGAAGAATTCGACCACCACCATGACGTCTAACCCGCTCACTTACGAGGCGTCGGCTGGGGAGACACACATGCAGGTCTCCTCCGCACTACCCGATGAGGTTATCCAATGTCTCCGGAACGCACGATTCGTAAGATCTCCCCTCCTCCCTCCCCTCTCTCTTTCCCCTATTTTCCTTATTCAGCGTACTCTTCATAGTAGACCCCGTCTAACACCACCCCCCCCCAGCTCCACCTCGCAACCTGCACCACGGACCTGCACCCCCACGTCTCCCTCATGAACTACACCTACCTCGCCTCGACCCCCTTCTCCCCCTCCCCAATCATAATAATGACCACCAACCCCTCCAGCCGCAAAATGCACAACCTCCTCTCCAACCCCCACGTCTCCCTCCTCGTGCACGACTGGGTCTCCCACCGTCCCCTCCCCACCGCCTCAACCACCATATCGCCCGAGCCCGAACAACCCGCCGCTCACCGATCATCCCTCGCCACACTTCTCCAGAACTTGAACTCCTCCGCGCTGTCTTCGATAAGCGCTTCGATTAATGGGGATGCGAGAGTTGTCGAGGGTGGGACGGAGGAGGAGAAGTGGTTGAGGGAGGCGCATTTGAGGGAGGCGCATTTGAGGAATAATACGTTTGGGGAGGGGGGGGGGGAGGAGAGGAGAGAGCAGGATGGCGGGAGGGGGTGCTTTATTGAGGGGGAGGAGGTTAGGGTGGTGGTGGTGAGGATTACGGATGGGAGGGTGGCGGATTGGAAGGGGGCGGTTAGGGATTGGAGTTTGGTGCCCAGGGAGAGGTTGGCTAATGGGGTTTAGGGGGTGGGAAATGGGGAGGGGGATACGGAATGGGTTGGGAACAAAAGGGATTGTAATGGGATATGCAATCGTGGATCTCAGTGTGCGGGGATCTCGCGCGGTTGCAAAGGGCATATATTTATTGCTCCCTCGTAATATGTATGTCTGCTTGCTTGGAAATGGGTACATACAAACTGAACTGGCAGCTTGTTATCTACCACTATTGTGACAAAGGTGCCAATCTGCTACTCCCAGCTCGTACAATCCGTCCCCACCTCAGACGCTAGAGACCACCACCGGCCTGCGTAGCTGGCACTCAACCGTCATCTCACAATCTCTCCACCGTATACCAGCTATCTAAGCAACCGGGCTCCACGGCATTGGGATCAAGATCCTCGACTGCATCGTCTGGATCAGCGGAACAGTCTTGTGCACCGTGTTCCCCCACCCCTCAACACCCCAGCTCTTCTCGCGCCTCAGCTTGCGCTCCTCCAGATCCGCAAACTGCCAAAGGTGGTGCACCGTGTTCAGGTCGCCGATCTGCACGAACCACGCACCGACGCCCTCCATCACCTCGCGGCGTGCCTTGAGGCCCTTGCGCCAGTGTGTCTCCCAGTCCAGCAGGTTGCCGGGGTGTAGTGTGTAGGAGCGCAGTTCGAAGAGGCCGCCGAGCTGGCGCGGGGGGCTTGTGGGCCAGAAGCTGAACTCTTGCATCAGAGAGACGCGCTTGGAGGTGATGAGGGTCTTGAGCTTCTTGTCGAAGGCGGGGAAGTCGGGGTGGTTGGCGATCGAGTGGAGGGAGGAGTGGTAGCCGTCGTATTTCTGGTACTCCCAGATGTGGACTGCAGGTTGTTAGAAATGCAAGATATGGTGATCGAAGAACTTACCAAAGGTATCGCTATCTCCAACTTCGGTGCGCCAGCTTCCTACCAAGTGGACCTTGTTCTCGGGCATGCTGGCCATCTTCGGGTACCAGTTCCCAACTAGCTCTACATACTCGTCGATCTTATCCGGCTTGACCTCATGGAACACAATCGAGTGAACATATTTGCCTCTTGCTAGAACCTGGGAGAAGGATTGCTCAATCTGCTGGTCCATCTCTCTCCCCTCCTTGGTGCCATAGATCAGCGAGGACAGCTTGCCAGTCGGTTTCTCGCCCTCGGGGCCGACGGGCTCGGCAGCTATGCTTAGTTTACCTAGTCCTAACATGTTAGAAACAGGGCCCGCAGTGCTCGCATGTGGAGCAGTGGGAGCTTCCGAAAGGAAACTAGGAGCTTGAGAAGAAGAGGGCGGGGTTGATGAGTTTACGGCGTCGAAACGGCCGGCTCCAGACTGACTTGGTTCGAACTTGGGCTTCTGCTTTGCAGCGAGATCGGCGCGGAATTCCTTCTGCTTCGCGTTGAATGAGTCGACACCGTTGTTGGTCACGTCTGCCAGTGACGGTGTCTTGGGCCGGATGGCTGTGGTTGTAAAGGCGCGAGTGGCTGATAGGACCGCTGTCGCTGAGCGCGAGCTTCGGCTTAGTTGAGAAGCAAGCATGGTTGCGATGATAATCGTCAGGCTATGTTAGCTGACGATACAAGACTTGGAGTCAGACTGTGCGTTGCAACAGCCGCTCTGAAGCTTAGATGAGGAAGCGCGGTGCTTTCTGTTGAGAGTGATAGTGATAGACGACGATCGACGTATGTAAACAAACGAAGTATAAGAGTACAAGTCGCAGGTTGAAAGAGTTTACTACAGAGTTGGAGATGGCTTCACAGATGCCAGATAGTTGGAGTTGTAAACGGGTGGAGCTTGATTAATGCCTGGTTTCCTTAACCCCGCGAGCTGTTGGGGTAACTTAAGTTATGTATTAGACGAGTCATTATCTCCATGCCTCCATGCCAAGAACATACCTTGAAGGCAGCCGATGACCGTGCGGGCTAGCGCTCAACATCACGTGAAATCACAACCTTTGATCAGTATCCGAGATCAGCCATTCCGAACCTCCCATCATCAAAAGCTCCCGATCAAGCACCTCACTACCCCCGCTACTCTACATACCCACCGTCAAGATGGCATTTTTCGGATTGAAGAAGTTCCCGGCCCCAATTGGTAAGTCAATTGAGCCCCAGCGCGCCCCTGCGCGCGTTTGTCCGGAATGGAAAAGACTGACTTCTGTTTAATAGCTGCGCCCCTTTGGCCATTCTACACCGCCGGTAAGAGATAGATCCCGACAGTCTCTCGCCCAGCGAAGCGAAGAGAGATACGGCATTATATAGTGATATTGACGATATACTCAGGCGCCGTTGTCCTTTACGGAATCAGCCAGGCTGCCAGCGCCATGTCCCAGTGTACGTGCACACCCATACCAAATTTTGCGACTGCTCCCTAACATCTCCTTCTAGCCGACGAGTTCAAGAACGACCCAAGGAACCGCTTCGTCAGCAAGGTCAAGGCTGCTGAGAAGCACTAGAGGACAATTGGAGGATGATGTGGGGTGGACTTGGGAAATAGACGTGCGGGCATAGAACTTTTGAGTTGGCACGAAACCTGTACATTGATATTATATGGAAAACCTTACCCAATGCCTGGGTTGTTGACTGGATTGTGTGTCGATTTATGTGATATGCTGATGATTTGTTGTATGAGGTGTAATGCTCAAATATGTTGAATCATTGAGGCCGTAAAGTAACGTAACGAAACAACATGCGGCTGTTATGTTCAATTAATATGTCACAGTATGGTATATCAATATTTTGACTGTGCAGACCATTATCTCGAATAATCTGGATATATACATCCAACCATAAACCCCAGTGATATCAAACCAGTCCCTCAAAACTCCGAATTCTCCTGCCAGGCCCTGAAATCATCTACAGCTCTTTAACAAGCTTCTTAACTAACTTCTTTTGTTCATCCATGCTTAACCCCTTGTCATCCGTATCCTGGATAGCCTTTCCTACTGCCAGTGTCGTCTTTGGGTTCTTGCTGTTAACCCAGACCTTTCCATTTCTGCCAACCGCAATTTCAAATGCGACTCCAGCGTCTCCCAGTTCCTCCAGCACGACAAGCTTTCCTTGTTCCGTAGGCTTGGGCATCATCAATCGCCTGGCCATGACGAGGGATACGGTGAAGAGCATGCCACCTGTTAGCAGCCCGAGGCCATCTGATTTTCCAGTTGACGAGGACACGCATTCCAGCTCCGGGTCCATGTGCTTGTTGGCCAGCGAGACACGCGCATAGATCAGGGAGCCCTGAACGAGCACCGGCCTGTTCTTCTTGGTTGCGCCCTCGAAAGAGAGCTGTGGTAGGGACGCATATGAGGTGTAGTCTGTGATGCTGGCATAATAAACGTCGACGGATGAATGGTGGACTGTGGCGATCACAAGGTCTCCAACGGTTGGAATATACTGCAATCGTTAGTTATGTGCCATTACCAGACAAGGGAGAACTTACTCGGCCGCCGTTAAACTCTACCCATATGGAATTCTTTCTGGTGTCTGTGCATAACTGCCCCGCGACAACTGGAGTGATGGTATTCGGTGGGATGTGCCTTAGACCTGGGCCAAGCTTGATAGGTAGAGTAGGATGTGAAGGAAGTAATTCCGAATCAATATGATCGCCGGGCAATACGAAAGTCATGGCTGCCATATGGAGGCCAAAAAGTTGGTGAATTTATTTATATGGCCGACTCGACTTCTGTACAAGGCCGTTTTCAACCTTCAGCCTTGTCGTTTGGGCTGCGGTAAAACCCGCGCTAAGGAAATAATTTCACGAGGATCAGACCAAGAAGACGACCACCCCCACTCCCATCCAAGGCCCAGAATTCTTACTCTCCTACAGAAAAGTGATCCCTTCTCATCTCCCACAAGAAGTCACATATTTCTACAAGATGGCCGCTCAAGAAAACACCCAGGGCGCACAGTCCGAGAGACACGCCATTGGTATCTCCTTTGGAAACTCAAACAGCTCGATCGCCTACACCACAATCGAGGATAAGGCCGAGGTTATTGCCAACGAGGATGGAGGTATGTAGTGTTTACGCCGTAGATATTTATGGTGCTAACTTGCTGTACTAGATCGTCAAATCCCCTCCATCATCTCTTACATCGACGGAGAGGAGTATGTCGGTAACCAGGCCAAGTCGCAACTCATCCGCAACAAGGACAACACTGTCGCATATTTCAGAGATTTCGTCGGCCAAGAGTAAGTGATATGACCTAGGGATCGGAAAAGTGCATACTGACCACTTGCCCAGGTTCAAGTCGATAGACCCAACCCACTCGCACGCATCTGCTCACCCAAAAGCCCATGAGAACACCGTCGCTTTCACCATCAAGGACAAGGCAGAGGGCGAGCCCTCCACCGTGACCGTCTCCGAGATCACCAGCCGCCTCATCAAGCGTCTCGTCGACTCGGCCACCGACTTCACCGGAAAGAAGGTTGACTCTGCTGTCATCGCCGTCCCCACCAACTTCACCGAGGCCCAGAAACAGGCTCTTACCGCTGCCGCCAAAGACGCCGGACTCGAGGTTCTCCAGCTGATCAACGAGCCCATCGCCGCCTTATTAGCATATGACGGTCGCCCAGATGCCAAGGTCTCCGACAAGATCGTCGTCGTTGCCGACTTCGGTGGAACCCGCTCAGACGTCACCGTCGTCGCCTCCAGAGGCGGCATGTACACTATCCTGGCCACGTCGCACGACTACGAGTTCGCCGGATGCCACCTCGACCAAGTGCTCATGGACCACTTCGCAAAGGAGTTCATCAAGTGGAATACCACCGACCCCCGCGCCGAGGCCCGCTCCCTCGCCAAGCTCAAGCTCGAGTCCGAGGCGGCCAAGAAGGCCCTCTCCATCGGCACCAACTCCAGCTTCAGCGTCGAGTCCCTCGCCGAGGGCATCGATTTCTCCTCCACCATCAACCGCCTGCGCTACGAGACCATCGGCCGCAAGGTCTTTGAGGGCTTCAACCGCCTCATCACCTCCACCATCGAGAAGGCCGACCTCGACGTCCTCGACATCGACCAGGTCATCATGTGCGGTGGCACCTCCCACACCCCCCGCATCGCCGCCAACTTCCGCAACATCTTCCCCGCCACCACCGAGATCCTCGCCCCCTCCACCACCCCCACGGCCATCAACCCATCGGAGCTCGCCGCTCGCGGTGCTGCCCTCCAGGCCTCCCTCATCCAGGAGTACGACGCTACTGATATCGAGCAGTCCACCCACGCGGCTGTCACAACCGTCAAGCACCTCGCCCACGCCCTGGGTGTTCTCGCCATCTCCGATGATCCCGCCCGCGGCGTCTTTGTCCCTATCGTCCCTGCGGAGACTGCTGCGCCGGCTCGCCGCACCATCCACATCGCTGCGCCAAAGGCTGGTGGTGATGTCCTAATCAAGGTTGTTGAGGGTGGCTCGCACATCAAGGTCACTCAGCCAGAGCCAAAGGCAAAGTCGAACGGCGCCAAGGTGGCCGATGCGCACGAGGATGGATCTGAGGATGATGAGTCGTCTGAGGAGGAGGAGGAGGAGACCCGCGAGAAGGTGTGGAAGGTTGGTGGTGTGCTTGCCGAGATCGCCGTTAAGGGTGTTAAGGCTGGTGGAAGCGTTGAGGTCACGATTAATGTTGCGGGTGATCTTGCGACCACGATCACGGCGAGGGAGGTTGGTGGTAAGGGAGGTGTTAGGGGGAACTTGGAGGCACCGCAGTAGGGAGCCAAACGGAGAGGTGTGATATTTGTATAGAGGTGTAGATGATAGACGAATTGGAGCTTAGACGTGATGAATTTACTGTCAGGGTCGATAGTTTTGCACAGTCTGGACTGCACAGTTAGAGAATAAAATTGGAGATTTTTACTGTTAGAACATGTATTGATTGAGACGGGGTTCACATTTGAGGAGGAGGTAGATGACCACAACAAACGCTATAAAGTTGTGTGGCACCACGGTGACATTCGAATTCCTGGTCTAGTCCGTGACTACGGATGTTCCACAACCCTAGAAAGATGTCCTGTAGTCCGTTGAAGGGGCTAAATCCGCCCCAGAGTATGTAAAAGCCCTCGCCAAAAAGTGTGTCAACGCCCAGCCCCCCTTTTTCTCACTGCCGCTCCCTTTCTCACCGTCGCCCCTTTCTCATCGTTGCCTGTCTTGCTCCACTCCCTATTATCACCGCCCCATAGCACTTGTTTACGGATTCTTTAATTCGGCTACTTGCAACCGCGTTTTCAACAGCCCGTTGGACGCATTCATCTAGAGTTGCCGATACGCACTCGTTCATTTTTTATTTTTTATTTTTATTTTTTCATAAAAAGTGCTTGCGCAGCCGACGCAGATTCAGTATCGCTGAGACACTATATAACATATTTATTCACTAGCATGAGTACCAGTGCGAAGTTGATGGTTGTGGCTGATCTGACAAGTCGAATATGATCATCACACATGCCTAATAACAGAAACGCGGCGATGGAGGGGGGGCATGAAATGGAATCTGGCTGGGGTTGGCAATGGCAACACGAGACATGGCAAATAGCAATAACCTGTAAATTTGAAATAAATTCGCCTTAGAAATCACCTATTAAAATGTGTGATGATTTTTTATAGCTAAAATAAACTCAGTCTGAGAAATCATCTATGGAAATGTGATGACTTTACATCACTAATTGGTAAATACAAAATAAATTCACATTCGGAAAATATTTATTAAAATGTGTTCTAGAATAAATTCAGTCTCGGAAATCACGTATTAGGTAGAATGACTTTTATAACTAAGTTAATAAATTCAAATAACTATCTATTACTAGATATATTACCGGCACCCAAATTCTCACATTTTTGACAGAGTCCAGCATCGTTGACAAAAATAAGAGAATCCAACTGTTGAACGATATCTACATCTCCAAGGCGTGTGGCAGGCACTGGAGCACTACTTCCATTGCTCACCCACACAAACCCCCTCCAAAACTCAAAAGTTAACGCACATAAAAGTGAGAAACTCAAAAAATAAACTCCCTCGGGTGGGCTCGAACCACCAACCTCTCGATTAACAGTCGAACGCGCTAGCCAATTGCGCCACGAGGGATGTTCTTGCTTGTTTGACAGTATTCTAAATCAGGTTTATGTACTGGAACTCTGTGTGGGCCGGTAGTAGCGCACGCAGAATTTTCATGTCTCATTTTCGGAAATATGCCCGCTTACTAGTGCGGTTGCGGGGCTGGATGCGCTAGTGGTTGGGTTAAAATAGATTAGCCGCAGAGCACGTGATAGCCCTAGTGTTTGGGTTAAAATAGATTAGCCACTGTACCACGTGACATACATTTCTGGATCATAGTGTTGGAAATTTGGGGGGAGGACCGTGGGATTCTTGGTTTTTAGCCTGGCTTACGGCGGCAAACTGGGCTGATACCCGACTGTAACACAGTTGCCAGAATTCCCATATATAGTACGTAGGCCCATTAGATAGTGTAATTCAATTGAATTTAATTCATTCTATATACTGTAGTCTACTGTCGAGTTTTCCTGCCCGTTGCGCAAAAGCCCGAAGGTTGTTGGAGGTGTACGGTGGTTCCGATTTTCGTGGGTCGGTGATTCACGTACAAATTAGTACTGTATCAACGGTCCGCTAGAATCATCACTTTAAACAGGCAAAAACGGAGTGAGGGGTGTACAGAATCTGGTCTTCAAGTCGATTGATTAAGCTATACTATCTACGGGGTCTACGTACGTTAAATAAACCTACCTCTGAGCCCCTGAATCCGTGGGCTAGGCCCAATCTGGCTTCAATTTCCCTGGGCCCACGTGAGGCCTTCAACAGCCCCCTTACGTAGTCCTGTAGTTGTATATATAGGGGTCTCTTCGAAGAAGAGGCTCCAAATCTCCTTTGCCGGTCTTGAAGGGGTTTGGGACTCTCTTCTATTTGGCTGGTGGCACTAGGAAATCCCTGGTGCACCGATTGAAGGCAGGCAGTGGCAATGGCTTTGTGAGCACATCGGCCAGCATGTCTGCTGTGGGCACATACGCCACTCTTACCTTTCTAAAAGCGATGAGCTGTCGTGTGTAATGGTACCGCACGTCGATGTGCTTGGTACGCTTGTGCGCCATCGGGTCTTCAGCAATGGCCAAGCATGCTTGGTTATCACCGAAAAGCTGGACGGCACGGTCCTTCCCAACGAGTTCTTCTCGTCGGAGCTCCAAGAGGAGCATGCGGAGCCATTGGCTCTGCTTTGCCGCATCGCATAGGTGTAATGGTGGGTGCACCAGATATGAGAATCTAGCCACCCAAGGAAGGGATGAATTTACTAAGACAACACACTGTCTTAGGAAACAGAGCCAAAGGGTTGTAGCTTAGACTATTCCACAACGCAGCAATCAGGTGTATGATGTGGTGAAGTGGTTTAGACAAGTTGCAACAAATGTTGAGTCTGGGAACTCAGGGGTAAGTCAGAGGTTAGCACCTCACTGACTTTTCAAAAACAGAGAATAACAAGATCAATGCTTGGAAGCTTGGAAAAGACGTAGAAGTATGTGCTAGTCGATTTACTGTATTGTCTGCTTGCCCTTTCTTAAGGAAAGGGCAATCCTATTTATGCCAAAGGAGTGTAGTTCTCTCATTTTCCATGACTTTCCATGACTAACCAGGCTTGGTAAATGTATTAGAAATCAAGTGCGACCCACAACTAGCTTGCTAATCATGTAGTGAACGTAAGAGAATCCCATAGAACCATCTCTTGGGTTCCTAGCCTATAGGAAGTGAAAAGGAGGTCCAAGGTCAGAGTACCTATAGACAAATTATGTCATAACTTAACCAATCTTGTGGGTAACTAAGGAGCGATGACGTGTAATGAATCATAGAGGGTTGTAGAAGCTTCTAGAGCTATCGTTCATGTTCCTAGGCCTCTAGTTGGTAGAGATATGCCATGTGGTAGTATTGACCCACCCCCTTAAGGAGGAGATTTTCTTAATAACTTGTTCAATGAGTGTCCAAATGATATGCCGTGATGTATGTAGCATAAACAGATGTAGTAGAAGAGTTTGCAGCAATCGTTGAGTAGTATTGCTTCTGTTGTTGGTGTGATAAGCCAAGATATGTATGGTGACTTGTAGGTTTGAGGAGGAGATTTCTAAGTTTGCTCTTGAGTTTGATAGCATACTGAGTGCAACGAATGTCAGTATGACAATAGGGCGATATATTCAGCCTCGGTGGTGGATGTGGCCACGCACCGTTGCTTCGCCGAGCTCCAGCTCACGAGCCCCTTGTTCAGTATGAACAGGTGCCCTGAGACTGAGTGGCGGTCTGTGTGATCACCAGCGTAGTCGGCATCACAGTATCCATGTAATTGGGGCGATAAATCGCCCCCTGTTCCCCCAAATACTAGCCGCAGATCCCTCGTACCCTTCACGTATCGAATGGCGTGAAGGACGCCGTTCCAGTTCCGGATTGTAGGTGCCGAGCAGCTCTGACTGAGCTGCCCCCAGACGTATGCAATATCCGGGCGTGTGCATACTGCCAGCCAGGCTAAGGACCCAACCCCCTGCTGGTACAGGTGTTGGTCTGCTTGCTGTTCGGTGCCGTCGCTTCTCAGGAGAGCGGTCCTGTCCGCAGCTGGCGTCAGGAAAGGCTTCGCCTTCTCGAGGCCGAAGCGCTTTACCAGCTGGTCGATGTAGGCCCCCTGATCGAGGAACAGGAGGCGTCTCTTCCTGTCCCGGGTCACCTGGATTCCGAGGATCTGGCCTACATCTCCGAGATCCTTGATCTGCCATCGTTCCTGAATGAAAGCAACAGCCTGATCGACGACTGCTGGGTCCTTCGCGAGGATGAGCATGTCGTCGACGTATAAGCCGACGAGAAGCTTGCGGTCTGTCGTGGCGAAAACGCTAGGGTCTGCGAATAGAGGCTCCAGTCCGAGCCCCTTTAGGCCTTTGCATGCCTCGATGTACCACTCACGGCCAGATTGCTTTAGGCCGTAGAGCGACTTCCGGATTCGCAAGGCACTGCCTTTTGGGCAGTCTAGTCCTTCTGGCGGTCTCATATAGACTTCCGCGTGCAAATCTGAGCGTGGATAGGCAACTCACGACGTCTACTTGACGGATCTCTAGATCCTCGTAGGCGCCGATCGCTAGCAGAAGCCTTAGTGACTCGGCCCTGATTGTGGGCGAGAATGTCTCTAGGAAGTCGTCTCCTGGAACCTGGCTAAAGCCCTGCGCGACGAGGCGGGCCTTGAAGCGGTCCACGAGGCCGGTGGGTGTATACTTGACATTGAACACCCATCGGCATCCTAGGAGGCGCTTCCCTTTCGGGAGCTCTGAGAGCTCCCATGTCCCGAGCGACTGGAGCTGGGCAAGCTCTTCCTGAGCGGCCTGTGCCCAGTCCGCCCCATAGGACGGGTCACCGAGGGCTTCCTTAAAGTCTCTTGGTATCGGGATCTTCTCGACGGCAGCATAGAGTGCCCCTCGAATCGGTTCGGCGCCCGCCTCTCACGGCCGCTACGCCTTACAGCGGGTTCTTCGATCGCCAGCTCAGCTTCTGCGAGAAGCTGGCGGCCTGGATCACCTTCGTCCTCCTCTTCGAGAGGGGAGACAGCTCTCGGCAGCGCTGCGCGTGCCTGGCTGTGGTGGTTTCTGCCACCGTCTTCTGGTGAACTGGACGTAGGGGGCGGTCGGTATGCCTCCTGGTTCATGTCCCTCCCTAGAGCGTTCACGCTCACAGGGGCATTGGTGTCCTCACCAATGTGCCCCTGTTCTAGAACAGGGAGGGTCTGGTCTGGCGCTAGATCAGCATAGCTGCTACTAGCATCTGCCTCCGGTGTCTGGTCGCTCCTTGCGGCCACTGGTGGCTGTCTAGTCATCTGTCTAGACGACTTTGGCGAGGGGCCTGTCTGTGGCCCTGCCTCCATGGGGTCGAATCCCACGGTTTCTGTGCTCTCGGCTTCGATGCCAGGCAGGTGGAGGCGTTGGCCTTCTACAAATCTTGGGGAGGTCGAGATGATGATTCTCTTCCTCTCGGGGTCGTACAGTCTGTACTGCTTCGAGGCGGGCATGTAGCCTACCAAGGCTGTCCGCAAGCCGTTCGGGGCCAGCTTGTCTTTGTCGTTCTGCTCAGGGGCGACGGTATGGTATACCGCGCAGCCCCAAGCACGGAGGTGCTCAACAGTCGGCTTCTTGCCGGTGTACGCCTCCTCAGGTGTCATTCCCTCTGGTCCGACTGGCGTCCTGTTTCGAATATAGGACGCTGCCATCACGGCCTCCGCCCAGAGCTCTGGGGGCAAGCCGGCGTGAGCCATCATGGCTCTTGCAGCCTGAACCAAAGCCCGGTTTAGGCGCTCTGAGACTGCGTTCTGCCACGGCGTGTATGCCGTGGTAAACTCGAATTGAACACCGTAGAAGGTCCTAAACATATTGTCTAGGCCCTTATACTCACTCCCGTTATCACAACGGACAATTTTCACCCTCAGTCCAGTTTCCAGCTCAACACGAGTCCGAAATTCGATGAACACCGTCCGCAGCTGGTCCTTTGTGCTAACAACGTACACCCAGGTCTTACGGGAGTAGTCGTCCGTAAAGGTGATAAAATACGCCGCTCCATTCAGAGCGGGTATTCTGTAAGGGCCCCAGATATCGCTATGCACGCGATCTAGAGGGGCCTTGGCATGCTCAGGGGCTTTGCGGCTGATCACCCTCGTGCTCTTGTTGAGCAAGCACGCTTCGCAGGGCTCAGCGATGCCCTCAATCGCCCCTGGCATACCGGTGACGGCAGTATGAACTAGGCGCAGGCTCTGGGAACTCAAGTGCCCAAAACGTCGATGCCACAGCATGGCATCCTTCGGCGATTTCGCCACCGCTCGCTGGGCGGTGACGACGCCATCCTATGTGCCGTTCAGTACATAGGAGCGGCCTATACGCTTGGCCTCTCCAATGACTCGCCCGTCGAGCTCAAGGAGCATCATGCCGCTCTTGACGGTCCTTGTCATGATGCCCCTATCCTGGAGATGGGGCACCGAGATGAGGTTTCCGGCGAGGAGCGGGACGTGCAACACGTTTAAGATCTGCACGCTGCGTATCCTGCCTTTGACGGCGGTCTGGAGGCTTACTGTACCTTCGGCGACTGCATCAATGCATGCCCCGTTAGCGATGTTCACCTGGATGGGCTCATCTAGGAGCCTGTAGTCGATGAAGGCCTCGCGGGCATAAGTCATATGCCGCGTACAGCCTGAATCGACGATCCAGGAGAGCTCTTGAGCTTGGCTGGCACCAGCCCAGTTGGCTGTAGCATTCTCATCGCATCTAGTGATGGCGATCCAGCTTGTCTCTGAGGCCATATGTGCCTCTTGCGACTGGGGCGAGAGTCCCTTGCCGCCACCTGGCGCAGCGAGGGGGCCGGTCGATGGCCCTTCTCTTCCACCAGCTCGTTCCTTCTTCCGGTCATTACAGTCACTCCTATAATGGCCGGACTTCTCGCAGTGGTAGCAGACCACGTCTGGGAACTGGTTCTGTGGTCTGCCGCCCCTCTCCCTTCCTTTGCCACGGCCGCGGCCGCGGCTGCGGCCAGCATCACCCTGTCTAGTTGTCGCCTGGAGGGCTGTTTCCTTAAGGGGCTTCGATGCCGCCAGCCTTCGTTCATGCTCGGTCAGGCGGGCGACCACCGAATCAAAGTCAGTGACATCAGCGATCTCGAGCTGCATCGTGACGGCCTCGTACTGGGGCCCGATGGCCCTGGCGGAGTCCGTCAGTATGGTTGTCTTAAGGCGTTCTGAGGGGCGTTCCTCAGGGTCGATGGACCCTATCTGGGCCTGGAGCGTATTAAGCTCCGTAACCCGTTCAGATATCGTCTTGCCAGTTTTCTGCACGGCGTAATTGTTGAAGGACCTGAGCTTCTCGCTCAGCTGCTGCTTGCCTACCGGCCCGTACAGCTCCTTCAACTTCGCCCACTGCTCCTGTGCAGTTTCCATATCGACGATGTACTCGAGGGCTTCCCTCGAGCACAGGCTCATTAGGAGCGTGCTTGCCTCCCAGTCTCTTATCTGGGCGGCCGAAGGTTCCTCACTTGTGGGGTCGCCTTCGCCAGTGTCTTCTGTGGTGGCAGCCACCTTTTCTTTGGGCTCTGCCTTCGTCGATTCGATGGCCGGCCAGAGTTTCTTGCTTTGGAGCAGGCGCTTGACCTGCGCGCTCCATGTCCGGTAGTTAGGGCCCGTCAGCTTCGTTATGAGGGCCCTCCCTGTACCACTGGTATCCATACTGGATGGTTTCCGGTCTGTTCCTGGCTTCGAGTATCGATGCCGTCTGTTCTGTTCCGTTTTCTGTCGGAACCGCTGCGGCTAGGGTGTGGCCTTCTTCACAGCGTTTCTGAGTCTTCTTTCGTAGAACTCAGTTCTCACTTATCGAAGTGAGACGTCGGAATCGAGATCTGATTAACCCCTGGGCGACTCCGGGCTCATAACCTGTTGGAGGTGTACGGTGGTTCCGATTTTCGTGGGTCGGTGATTCACGTACAAATTAGTACTGTATCAACGGTCCGCTAGAATCATCACTTTAAACAGGCAAAAACGGAGTGAGGGGTGTACAGAATCTGGTCTTCAAGTCGATTGATTAAGCTATACTATCTACGGGGTCTACGTACGTTAAATAAACCTACCTCTGAGCCCCTGAATCCGTGGGCTAGGCCCAATCTGGCTTCAATTTCCCTGGGCCCACGTGAGGCCTTCAACAAAGGTCCGGTCACCAAACACACCGCACGATTTGCTCAGGCGAGAGGTTAAACACTCCTGTTTTGAGGCTGAGTATGCAGGCGAATACCGAGGTACGATTGAGTGGATGGACCAAAACATATCTATTAAGTATGGCAGGTAGTCCACGTCAGGCGGATCCTTTATCATATATGCCTTTTCATCGCTCACTTCTCGATCACACAATGCGTCGTCAAAGAAATCTGAGTGAAAGTCGGCAGAAACGTGTTCTGTTCTCGCCTTGGCATTGGTTTCCTCATCCTTGGGTTGGCGCTTCGTCCTGGCTTGGGGCGTCCTAGCTTGGGGCTTATTTACATCGTGTTGATGCTGTGCAGGATCCGACTTCCTAGAATGGAGCCATTTTGCTGTCGAAAGACGGGACTGTAACTTTTCTTCGTCTTATACAAGTCGTCGATAGTGGCCAGCGCGTGGAGAGACTTGATATACGAGCTTCCAAGAGAACTTAACGCTTCTTCGAAAACGCGTAGGAGTCTAGTAGTGTCCATGTCTTTGCCTTTGAATAACGCAGACAGCTGTGTGAAGTCTGCTTGGCTTAGGAAATCAGGATGACTTGCTTCATACGGGCGTACACTGCGCAGAATCGACCGAATCCTTGTCCCCAAACCAATACTCGAAATAGGAAATTTCTCCATACCAAGGTTCATAGTTGCTAAGGCCTGCAGTGTTATCGATAGGCCCTATGACAAGGCGCATGTTGCCAGACTTCTCATAATACCTTGTCTCGTTCTCAAATACCGTTGTAATTGGCTCGTCCGATACTGCTTTCACTGTTTCGCCTAGATTCTCGTAGTATGACTTCCGAGACGTGGGTAACATCGTAACTGAGCCCCAGAACTGATCAGCAGTATCCTTAGGTGCATTGATAAGTGTTTGTTCAGCATCTTCAAACTCAGAATCTATGTCCATGCTGCGAGTGTCATAACTGTACCCGTTGTTGCGCCCATCATCATCGTTTACAGTTCGGACCTCAGCTACTTGTCGAGCCTGAGGAATGAGAATGCAGCCATCGAACGTGTCCAGCACAGCTCCTGGTGTCTTCGCATAACGACCTCTTGTGAGCTAGACGAGACCGTGGGAGGGCGGTTGCATATTCCTCTCGTCTCATATGTACCTAATAATAACGTCTTCGCTAGAAACACGAGACCTAGCAACAAGCTTGCGCAGCTCTCTCACTTTATTGTCCTGCCATCGTTGAAGCCGAAGAAAGCTAGAGCTCTGTAGCAGGCCAAAGAATGGAGTAGGAGGCCGGCCGACGAAGGAAGCATGCTTCATACATAAGATGCAAAAGTTGCTTATAGAAGCGACGGTCCGTTCCTGTGGAATCGAGAAAGCATTGTGCCGAGGTTTTTAATAGCTGGAGCCAAGAACCATTAAAAAATGAGCAATTAGTGCTATCCACTTTCGCAGACTCCCCAATAGCATCGGCAAGGTTGATGATGAATTTGAGAACAGTTTCATCTGTAACACCGCAAATGCCCCAACCGCCAAGTTCGTAGCCTGGTGAAACTCATTTGGAGACAGTCGGGATCCTTCAACAGTGACATGTCGGGTGCATGAGACCGGATCGCATAGTATCGAAGGTGGGCTAGGGGCAAAGACCATTGCAAGCCCCGGACATCGTAGTCATCCCCCCGCTTGAAGCCGATAGTCAAAATGCCATATGCCGGCACGAGCCGATCTTGTTGCCGCACAATAGCTGTAGCAACATCAAGTACATTGAGGTCGGGATAGAGGTGCCATGCAGAGAGCCCAAGCAGAAGCTCGCCCGATTGCATCTTCTGTGGAGAGCCGGACAGGAGGAGCTCGACGCCCTCCAGCGCTTCCACGTATGGATCACGCTGTCGTAAAGCTGCGGCTTCGAATCCGTAGCCAAGCCCTAGCACTAGCATCCCAATTAGCTAGATCTGCTCGGCTGACATCCTGCCTCGAAGCCATGAAGCTCTTCATCTCCAGTGATCCTGTCCTGTTTAATACCGCATCGATCTCACGCTTGCGGCCCTCTATAATCTCAACCCATATTGATATAGCCTCTGGTCCATTCCAGATTCTAGCCAACATGCATGCTAAGAGGTGGACGCGGATTGCTGCTTCTCCGGAGGTGGCAGCCGTCCATATGCTACTCGCGCCCACGCCGGCCTGCCCATGGAAGAACCCATGGTCACTTGTGTGCACCTGCTTGCACTTAGACGCAATCTCTGACGCCCGCAGACCGTAGCACCTCAGCAGTTCTGGAGTTTCGGGTAGAAGGGGCTCAAAGAGCGCGCCTAGCTTTCGGGCGGTGGAATGCAACTTTCCCTCCTCGGCCTCGACTCTGCGAGGCCGAGGAGAGACAGGGATTGCCCAAGTTCGTGGAACTCCGCCGGTGCAGCCAGTTTGACCACGGCGAAGTCGAAATTGATATTTAAGAGACCGGCTGTCACGTCGGAATTTGCGGAGACTAGATTTGCTTGAATACGCCCAACACACGTCATTATACCTGCTGGAAGTGTAAAGTCGGGTTTAGGATCCAAATAAATCCCTAAATCAAATTCCTAAATCAAGTTCGCATATCCTATTTAAACAATATGTAGTCCTTGAGTCCATTGCAGGATGGTAGAGGCGCAGCGACCTCATTGGTACAGTATACATACTGGCCAAAAAGCGGCAGTGCAGAGGCGCGACAAGAAACTGAGTGTTGTATCCTGCCCAAGGCTCTATAGATAGTGAAGGATGCGTGATGCTTGGCATAATGCCATATTAGACACTCCGAGAGGGACAAGGTCATATTTGGGGACATTTTTTAAGCGCCTCCCACACTGGTGTGAAGTCTAACTATCTATGTACGCCAGCTGAAAGACGAGGCATTATGGCGGAGTCTTGACTACATAGCCCCGCTTAACAGTCTTGTTGTTTATAGGCACTGTATCTGTCAATTTAATTCAGTTATAAGTAGCCTCCTACCTAAAATATAGCTATTTGTAAATATGACAGGCCACGAGGCTGCAGCAGCAACTAAACCCGCTGAAAACAGCACTGTAAACGTCACAACCTTGCGCGTTAATTTAGGGTTCTTATATAAGACTTTAAAGAGTAGATTTCTATGGAAGGAACAAAATATTAGGGTTTCGGTGGCGGACATCGTAGAGTACAGCCAAGTCGCGGCAGTCGCTAGGCTGCACTTTTCCCTTTTAGGCCACTGAAGGCTACCATCGTCCAAACCTTTGCAACCCCCATTCATGAGATAACGGCGAATTCAGCATGGCAAAGAGCAAGCGCGATAGCGCGTTTTTGGACTATGATGAGCCTTTCAAGCGCCCTCGACATTCCGGAAATGCCCCGCCAAAAGAAGGGACCCAAGGCCGCATCGACCCGACCTATGGCCAGAGGAGTGCTTTTCCTGGACTCGACGAGGATGGTGGCTTTGGGACTGAGGATAACGACCTCGACTACGGCGATGATGCTGGGGCTATAAGCTATTTGAGAGCTGTCAGGTGTGTTCATTTTCCCTACCCCCGTTGCGACAGTGAATAAAGATCGTGCTAACCCTGCTGGTTGTAGGTCCGAGGCTGCTGGAATACCGACTGTTCTCGTCGCACCTAAACCCATACTCGCAGGAGGCGACGAAGAGGACAGGGCTATCTACGATGACGGAGTGGGCGATAGTCGTGGCTTCTACTCGGACGGCGCGTATACCGCTGCGCCAGATCCACAACCTGACGCTCCCGCCGATATCCCAGCCGCGAAGCACCTGCGGGCCAAGTACTTCGAAAAGATCCTCGAGCGTTTCGAACACCTGCGCGAGCAGCTGGGCAATACCCCTCCAGACGATGTCGTTAAAAAACTCGACCAGAACCACGACTCGTACATGTCCGCCTCGGCTGCGGATTATAGGAAATGGAGGTGGAGGGTCATCAATACAGAGCCGATGAACGCGCAACTGGCGAGGATGGACAGAGCTACATCGCTCAGGCTTCTGAGATTATTGACAAACGACAAACTTGCGATGGGCGGGAGCACAGTTCCTTCCGAGAGGCTGAGCAGGTGGATTTGGGGGGTGCTGGCGAGACTGCCAGATAGTGGAGAGTTGAACAGCGAGGAAATTGGGTTAGTGAGGGATTTGGGCAAGAGAGCTGTATGGTTGGGCGTTGTGATAAATCAACCCCAGTCCGATACGGCAGCGGGGATGCCGGGAGATGAGTATAATGAGAGTGCGGAAGACTATGACGACGAAGAAGAAGATGGAGAGGTGGGAAATGAGTTTCCTATCCCCGAACGCGAAGAGAATGACGCACGGGAGAAGGCAGTTGAATATAGGACAGAGGTGGGCGCCCATAAGCCACGCGCTAATGCCCCAGCGGCCCCGCGGGATAATATATTTCGGTTCGATTCACCGGCCACGGAGTCAGTAACTGTACATGCCACTCTGGCAAAGGCTGTGCTCGAGGATTCTTTACCAAACCCAGAGATCTATAATTTCTTTCGTTTCGGCTACGGGGATCAGCTTACCGAAAAACAATTGGGAGCTAGAGAGTGCCTTCGCAACTTCTACAGACGAAATCGGGGATTTGCGCGCTCCAATTTACTGTTTTACTACCAGAGAAACCGTTTGGTGGAACAATACGACGGACCACTGCCACCAGCAAAGCAGGCTGGTGGCAATTGGGGATACGATTTTGAAGACTTTTTACACCAGAACCCAGGTTATTCACAATTTTTAGACTTTCCTAATGAGGACGCGCCACGAAACACTGCAGGTGTCAAATTTGGCGACGAAGCTTTTGACAGAGCCTGGCAGGCTGCTGGCCTTGATACTCCGCAAACTAGGGTATATGACAACGGCCAAGACGAAGAAGAAATCGCAATGGCAAAACTGGGTCTGTTTGCTGGCAGAGATCCTCGCCCAGCTATCATTGAAGAGCCCAAGCCTGAAGTGGAGGGTCAAGAGGAGACATTAGAAGTCGCGCGTGGTCGTATTCTTGCACAATTAGGAGAAGCAGGAGATGCTAACGCTGCTGAACTGGCTCGGGCAAGGGACGCTTTGAAGGAACAGGAGCTTAAGGAGCGAGCTTGTGAAGAAGAAGAAGACGCAGCGAGACTGCTGAATGCAAAGGCGACAGTGGACATGATCATCACTGTAGCGGGCGAAATATATAGACAGAGGGATCTGTTGGAGTTCAGGGAGACATGGGATTAGCGTTGATGGGGGAATCATACAATATTGTTTTAGTCTAATGTAATAGTAGACAGAGCTAAGAATTTGCACCTTGTTAGCAACTAGCTGTTGCTCAACTTCTCATCACACAACCACTACTTCTCATCGGCAAATTCAGCTTCGTCATAAGAATACCCTTGCTTCTTTAGTGCCCACTTGACCGCCGCCTGCACGTTATCCACAATCATCTTCGGCTCGTACTTTGGTGGCTTCCCCTCCTGCCACACGCCCGTCTTCACCAGAATGCTGTCCCAGCTCGTCCCAGTCGGGCTCTTGAAATTATTCGCGCCCCTGATATCGCTCTCCGGGTTGTCCCCAATCATAAACACCTGTTTGAGATCCCCTACTTCCTCGTGAAGAGCACTTAGTAGCTCAACCCTGTGCTTCTGCAGCACGCGCTCGGAGTACAGATACGTCTCTTGCGTAGGCTTCCCCATGACGAGCTTGGTCAGCTCCGCGCCGTCGGTAACCTCATCCCACACGCCCTGGAACGCGGCGCGGAAGCCACCCTGGCCGAGCCGCGAAAGAGGGTGCGAGGTGGCCCAGAACAGGTCCGGGTTGCTGAAGATGAGCTTTGGTTGGCCGTCCTGCAGCCACCCGTTGTTGGGGAGCGACTTGTCCCCGTTCTTGACGGAGTAGGTATTCAGCTCGCCCTTGGAGGAGAGAAGGAGGTCCAGTATGATTTGCGTGTCAAGTGCCCAGTCGTGGGGATCGGAGAACACAAAGATGGCGTCGACCTTGAGAGGTCCGGGGGGAAGCGGCTTGGCGATAGAGGAGTAGTGCGAGGCGTGAAGAGCAGCAAAAGGCCATATATTTGGGTGGGCGGTAAGGATATCTCCTGGAGTTACGACATTCTTGAAGCCATATCTGTGAGCAATATCCCTGACTCGTTGCTGATCGGTTCCGGTGACGAAAATCGTCTTGTCTTTCAGCGCCTCGTAGTCCTGGCTGCCGTTAACCATCTCCTGAAATGGCGTGTGACTCTGCACAAAGTTCTCTGGGCTTAATGGGATATCGAATCTTGAGCTTAACTCGGCGACACGCTCGGTTTCGTGCTTGCCGCCGCCATTGGTCAGGAGGATGAAGGGAATCGAGTGTTTATTTAAAAATCGCAGGGTTGAGGAGGCACCCGGTAGGCTCTTAGAGGAACGGAGGAGAACGCCATCGATATCGAAGGCAAAGGCGAAGTCTGGAGGCGCTGGCACCGTGGTATTATTGTCTCGCGGTGTTGACTGGTGACGGAATTGCCGTGCATGTCGCCGATGCGTTGTGAAGGCGGGGGATGCTGAGGCAGCAGAGCGGAGAACTGGGCGGGACCATGATGCTTGCAAGATTGGCCGGGTAAGGCTAGAAGAGCGAAGAGCTCTTGGAATAAGTAAAGGCTTCATGATCTATTATAACTTGACAATGCCAACTTATGTGAGTGTCAACGAGAAGGGCAGGAACGCGATGGTCCCTGTCCCTGAAACAAGCTCGAGTGGCTTGGAGCTAAGATAAGATAACGATCTATGGGTATCAACGGCATGACGTAGGAGAGAGGGGTTTAACAACCAAAGAAGGTCATTACACTGCTACACTGTCTAACTAGGTGAAGCTATTCTAAATGCATCCTGGTAGTATATTCGAATAGTAATCTTTTTGCATCTGTTAATGTCTAATGGGTCTTCGGGCAGGCCACTTGAGCTCCCCATATGAAGCAACACGGAAAATTGTTTCCCCGGAATGCATCATAGATTCAACGACGCCTGAACCATCAAAAGCTTCCCAAGTCGGCGCGCAACACTTTCTCATGTCTTATACCAATTACACTTTCAGGTGAAGCCACCGGATCTCAATAATGTTTGGCTGCTCAGGGAACTCGCCGTGAGCGGCAACGTTTGGCTGAACCCCGATTGCATTGTGTAAGTCGAATCCATCTCGAGACAATGGCCCTAGATGCTCAAAGCAACTGGGATGTTGAGATGCCGCAGTTGCGACTGGATGCGACTGGGACGGAGGAAAAACATTCATCAATGAGGCCCCATCAACCGGCCTTGGTCGCAACCTCGGCGTCTGGAAAAGAGATCGAGCTGCCCTTAGAGGTATTGATCCAGATTGTCTCGTACATACCGCGTCGACAACAGTACCAGAAAACTTTATGGGCATGCTGCCTTGTATCTCGCGCCTGGTACTCAGCAGCAATTATGTTCCTCTATGAACGACCACATATCGGAGGTGGCAACTTCCAAGAATTTGTCGCGACCATATGTCCATCCAAAAACGCCCACATTCGGAAGAGCCAGTTGGCGGGTATGGTCAAGATTCTAGATATGGGCTCACTTGTGCATGACGGCAGCAAAAGCTTGACCGCACGGCTTCTTGGGAGGTTAAAAGGCAGCCTCGAGGAGTTCGTTGCTCCCCAGGCGTCCTTCTCGATAAATTCTTTCGCAGCTCTGGCCAAGTGCAAGAATCTCAAATTCTTGAATCTTTCTCTGATGTCAGCTTCCATCTCAATCAGAGTTCTTTTCCAGACTCTCAAATCCTTAGATAAGCTGGAAACACTCTTCTTCCCCCGGACTTCGAACCAGGATGAGGGCTGTGAAAGCCCATATGATTGGCCTCCGAAATTGCAGGCGCTACATATCGCTGGAGGTTTGTCCGCATCGAACCTTTTTACAGCACTGAGAATTATACTGAATGGTGACAGGCGTTGACGATTACTTTCTTCGCGTTCATGCCACGAATATTCCTTCGTCCGTGGAAAGAATTAGCATCCAACATTGTTCGCAGATATATACTGAGTAAAGAAAATCCACTTCTTTGTTATGGCTTAACTAACTACTGCCAGGGCTTTGCAAGAGTTCCTGTTAACAGTTGGTCCACAGTTGCGGCACCTGACTCTGCGACACCCTCTGATTAAACTGCCGCCGGGGGTGCTTAATGGCGTCCTACAATGGTGTCCCAACCTGGTTGCCCTTCGTATCAGTGTTGATTATGTCTCTGATGCGTTGTTAGAGTCCAACGGAGTCAAATGTCACCCTCTTCGTGTTCTGGAGCTCGACTGCTCAAATTCTGCTGATGCCGAAGTTGGCATCTCACCAGATTCCATATGGCTAGCCATAGATAATGGTTATTTGCCAGACTTGCGTAGCATTATAGTTAATGCGCGGTTGGCATGGCAAGCTACAGAACGTCTTCGGACTTCCGTTTCTGATTTGGTGGAGCTGGTACAGGCCCGGGAACGAAAGAACCCGCTGAAGTTAACACCAGGCGTATGGAGTGTTGTGTCGTGAATAGGAGAAATATTCTGATTGCCCCATCGACCCCTTTGGTGAAAGCTCGATGTTTCATCTGGATGCCAGGCAATGAATGTCCAGGTAAATTTCAACAGCTGAATATATGTAGGCTATATCTACGCCACTGGAACAAGGTAGGTCATGAGATGGACATTGATGTTACATACATTTAACTCCTGAATCCAACAAACTTCCCTTTGTTCTGTATGTGATAATCATACTCTCTTCCCATTCAATCCGTGTCATGGATGCCTCTCTTTGACTTGTTGCGGGCGCTCGATGTTGTTAGAGCAGGTTGCGAGTTCTCTCCCTCTTTAATATAAGCTTCTTCTCCCGTTTAGTATTTGCCATCAGTGCCAGGTAACTCGACATACTTCAAACAGATCAAGAGCCTGAATAACAGGATAGGACGCAGAACAAGAAAAAGGCAAAAAGGGGCGCTAAACTGCATCAGGGGGGTTCCATACGTTTCTCTATGCTGCATACCTTCAAGGGCACCAACACTCTTCTACGTCTAAGCCATTAACATTCTCCCCAAGGCGGTATACATTACGTCGATCGATTGGCGATTCCGAATCTGGGCTATAGCCTGTTGCAGGGAAGCTAAGCTTCTATCGATCTAACATTCTGACTAGAACACATCTTGCTACTGTAAAACAAAGCATCGATCGATCCATCACCCCAACTGCAACTATACCTTGCTGCAGCGAAGCCAAGCTCCTCTGTGATTACGGGTGGCAGCTCTGCCCACTTGCTGATCTCAAAATAACCAAGTCTGATCACCGAAAATAACCCTGCCGCCGGTTGCCGGCTGCAATCGACGGCACGGTGTCCAAATAAACGACAACGGCGTTCAACGGAATGATTAGAGATCAGAGATTCAAGGATAATCATAGAACCCTTTCCGCGAAATGGGAGGTCATATCGGGCCTGATGGCTACTATCGAAGTTAGTTACCAGCTCTCCATCGTGACTTCCCTGGTACGAATGAACAGTCTAAAATAACACTTCATTTTAGGCCGCCGCAATCGCCAATCCAATGCTAACCGTCGCCGTAATGGGCCATCGCTGAACAGAACAGAATCGTATAGTCATATTCAAGTTGTCGCTCATCCGGATGCCAACTCGAATATAAGACAGGAGCCACAGAGTCCGTTTGTACAAAACAAATCGCTGCAAGACGAAGACTATAACATAGGTGAGTGCGGATACAATAACAATACACCAACAATAGCTTCTTCCTCTGGCTTTGCCCCATTTTCGTTTGCTCAGGTAGCTGCAAACATGTCTGGACCTGGCCGATCTTCAAATGCGAACAGTCGCGATATAACATATGATGGAGACGGGGAAGCAGCTCCTACAACGGACCAAGCATCATTCCAGGTAGTTGGTCCTCGCAGATGCACACTGAAAGTGAGCAGAAAGAAACCAAAGAAATGGTCTCCATTCGACCTTGGGAGTTCAGAAGGTGAATTTGATATAGATGATACGCGGGCCGCTATTCCTAAAACAGACAACCCAGTCCCCGAGCTTCCAACAAGCGTCCAGGAGGCCTTCTACACCTTCTACACCCCAATCGCAGAAACTCAACAACAAACCAACCAACTTCAGGAATTTTCTCCTACGCCCTCAGTAATATCTAGGGAGCGTCGTGAATCCTTCTTTGGTAACTCCAATACCAAATGCAATTCCGCCACAGATATTGCATTTAACGCAGCATTTCCACAGCTGCGCAATACACCAACGAAATCCCCGCTGGAACGTTCAATTATTCACAAGGAGGACCCTGAAGATACAAAGCTACGACTAGAACATATCATGGCGCGAATTGACGACGTCTTCGACGTGGAAGAATGGGATCCTGACTTGCCAGCTGGAGGTTCCAACAACTCACCTGAGCAACTTACTATAGAGCCTCAGAAGGTCACTTACACCACTGTGGGATCAGTTGCCAAAACTGACGCCGTTCCGACCTTCACGCCTCCTATTCGCATTCAACGTGAGGGTTCTGGTCGTCGTTTAACTGTTCCGGCGCCACGCGGAACTGACAATTACTACAACCGCAACCAGCAGCCTGGAAACAACTCCAGTCCCAATTATGGCCCTCCCACAAACATGAAGAATCCCAGATTTTCACAGCAGCAATATGCACCCCCTCCTCCACTCAATATCGCGGGGCTTGAAAACCTGCACTTGTCCGATCTCGAAAAGGAGGTTTTGTTCAACACAATGAACGCCACTGCTGTTGCTCCCCCCCAAAATGATCACCCGCAGGCTACCTCGGCACCGGACGTGTCGCTCAACAGTGCACCCAGCGGCAATTTCAGCGTCCAGAAAATGCTTCAGGAAGAGGCGTCTGGACCTAGCACTCATTTGACAGGCTCCTCAACCTTCGCTGGCCTCAATAAGATGCAAACTCTCCAAAGACTAGCTCAATTTGAGAACCCAGCACAGGTGTTTGCAAAAGGCCGCCTTGCAGAATTCAAAGCAGAGAAAATGAAGCAACAGATGTCTGAGATGGCCGCTTTGAGTGCTAAAGGCGCTTCCCAAGCTCAATCCTTTGAACATGGCAACAAAACTGGAATGCATCAATTTGGTGATACTGGACCGGATCCCTACAAGAATGCTGTCGTGAGCTATGGCTCACAGTATCCGGGCCAAGAGAACTGCAATCCTCTTCAGCCAGGCTACAACTCATTTGGGTGCGAGTACCCGATGAATGGATACGGTTCAAAGCCCCAACTTCTTGCTCCACAAGGTTATCCTCAACCGCTGACAGCTGGGCCTCCTCGACAAGGACAAAATTCAGTTGCTTTCAATAGGCTTGCTTGGACCTCTGGACACAGCCAGCTTGCAGATGCCCCACCACAATTCCAATCCCCACCGGTCGAAAAGCAGTTCTCTCCATGGAATACTCAATCTCCACCGGCCGAAAATCAATATTCTCCATGGAATAACCGACCTCAACCGGCTGAAAAGCAATACTCTCCATGGAATAACCGACCTCAACCGGCTGAAAAGCAATACTCTCCATGGAATAATGCCAACGGGAGCTTCAACCAGCAATCTCACCCCTTCAGCTCCACCGGGCAAAATCACATTAGAGATACGTTGTCACTTGAGGAGATGTCCAAGTACTACCCCAACGGCTTTGGTCCCAACTTCCAGTATGGCGGTGATCGCGAAGAGCTTGATGAAGACACAAAGCTATCCCTTCTGGGACTTGCAGATGATTCCTTGGAGGCTAAACAGCGTCGTAAGGCAGAGAAGCTTGATGAGTGGTTCTACAGCGGTCTCAGCCGTTTAAATATGACAACCACTGATCATATGCAGGAGCTCAAGAACAGAGACAAAGGGATTATACCATCAGCTCCACGTGCAAACATGGCCAATCGCGAAGTTCTCTCGGTGAAAGATATCAGGGACAAAACAAACTCGGAATGTGCTGCTCCTCTCATTGACAACCTCTTTGGGATCCTTGTGGCATACTCTGATAATGTTGCGCAGCCAACAAACAGGCGCATCATGAGCAAATTTGTCCAATCTCCAGCTTGGGCTCTTGACACTTCGGAGGAGGGCAAGAAGAGCATCTTTGGCGACGATTGGGTGGCACCGCCAAAGCGCTTGGGAAGGGACCCTCGCTATACCCGTTCCAAACTGAGCGAAATGTGGGACTAATGCTAACCACCTCTACCGATTTGTTGATAGCAATGCGTCAGCATTCCCAGGGCGTTGGATTACGAAGGCGCTAATATTGCCGAGGCTTTGGTGTTACTGGGTAGCTATGACAGGGACGGTGTTATGGATCTTATGGGGTGACTGCTATGACACTTTTGATGATTATGAAGAGACACCAACCTGTTTTTTGCTTTAGTTTTGCTTTTCGCCGATTTGTCAAGCTCAGCTTTTTGCTACTCTGGGAATGAACAAGCTACGGATAAAGATAGGCAACATTGCACCCAAATAAATAATGTGTCCCGAACAGAAGTTATCCTGCGTGTGATCACTAGATTTCATTCCGTCGGCAAGCTAACTGATATGTCTGTCCTAACATAACTGTAAATCGGCACCAATAATCCGGACCTCTTCGGTTCAACCCACAGTCGATGTCAGTTATTCTGACCTTCCACACCCTGGTATCTTAGAATTGCGATTTCCTCCCATATTCCTACACATCGTGCCGGTCATTCCTCCATAAACACACCTCATGCCCCAAACGCCAGTCATGCCTAGTATACAATGCTCATTTCTCATCCTCCGGGTCCTTCGAGTCCTTCGAGTTCTTCTTCCTCTCGAAGATACCCGCTAACCACTCCTCCAGCTCCCTCTCTGCCTTCGAATCCCCTCCCCCAGCAACCCTCTCCGTCCCCAACCGCCCCCTCATCTTCGCCCTCAACTCGTCTATACTCGCGATATCAAACGCCCACAGCATTCCACCGGTACACATCATGGCCAAACTGAACACATTCGCCGTCGCAATAGTCAGCGCATCCATAGCCTCGACTTGCAGATTGAGAGGCGGCGCCGCCTGGTTCGAGGGTTGGTAGAACGACGGAACGATGGCTTTGTAGCGCCGTACGAGCGAGCGGCGTGTGATCAGGCTTGCGATGCCAAAGAAGGCCGCGCCGCCGAAGAAGAGACCGAGTTGGCGGCGGTTGCGGAGGCTGGGGGAGATGGCGGGTTTGGCGGTTGGCGCTGGGGCGGCCTCATTTGGGCGGGTTGAAGACATGGCTGGGGCTTCGGCGTGGGCCATTGGAGGGTGAATTTGCGCTGAGGTTGTCGGGGGGGTGCAATCCACTTGTATATAGTTTCGGGTAGCTTGAGGATGAGATACGCCGGTCTAATCGATTGGAAGTTGTGCGCGAGACGTGAGAGCGACAGAGAGCGAGGTCCAGAATTTAGATCTTGAATACTATATCGGGAATAGCGCCAAAATGTATAATATGTTATGGTCACATGATGGGGTTTCTGCTCCATACAGATTTATTATACCTACCCGTTGCTCACATATACTATGGTGGTTAGGAGTCGTTTGTAAATAACTAAGTGGGGTCCTGACATTAATGGCTCTGCTCTTGTTTGAAAACACGTTTTTGAATACAAGGTGGAAATTTGGTAGAAGAGAATGTATTGTGAGAATTTATAAACAAGTCGTTCCCAAATTAGTATATTTCTATAATCTCCGAAACATCTGTATAATTTACTAACTGCTCAGAATATAATCTAATATGTCCACTATTTTTCAAGCCCATAATCGTCGTGACCAAACTTTTCGCTTCGCTCAAGCTGTACATAGACACCCGTCGCACTCAGTGCCTATTTCAATACGAGTTAGCCTCTGCAACTTCCGAAGACATTGCCGTGCACCTACCAAGCGCATCGCCACGAGCGTTGTTCAAGGCTATATCTCAAGTGGAAGCGGCCTGTACGCTAGCAGGGAAAGCGGTAATTCCTTGAGCGAATCTGATTCCCAATGGACCATCCTGCAAGCAGAGCTGTGGGTAGTCAATAGAAGAGATTTCTTCGAGGTTCCGACACAAGGGCCTTTCTCCCATCCCTCGCCCCGTAACCATTTTCACCTTATCCGCCAGAGACAGTTTGGCCAACGATGTAGCAGCCTTTGCATGGGAAGCATCCCAGCCGCCATCGCCAGCTCGGGCGGTCGGCACTGCACTACTCAATGGAAGAAGCGCTGCAAGTGCCAGAGTGGCACTTCCGAGGAAAGTCATGGCAACAAAGGACTGAGTGTCGCAAAAAACAAGACAATAGAAGGACAAACGAAATGTTCCACCTACGCGGGGGTATGCCTTCATTTATGGAAAGCCATCCATGAGATGATGGGCGCGCAACTACTCTACCTACCTTTGCAGATGCCAGACCTAAAGAGCAGATATCGGTACCGCCAGGACAGAGGTATAGCGCCTCTATGCCTTCAAGCTTGAAAGGCGATTGCTCAATTAGGGACATGGCCGCCCTGGGCCGGCATTTGGAGTTGATCACAGGGAACATTCTCCCCGCACATGTGGCGGGGAGTAAGTTAGCGGGCATGGCTGGGCTAAAGTATGAACGGCATCCGGGAGTGGAGGTGGGAAGCGGCGATCGTCAGGATTGTCGGCATCATGGCATATAAACGGAAATGCGGACAAGAGCCTGGCCAATATACTGCGATATAATTTAGTGGAGAAGAAAAAGAGAGTGATGAAATGCCAGATCACGCTCGTTGTTCCAGATATATGATGCGGCCCGTGCTGCCGTATTGTTGGTGTTAATTGATTGTTGAATTTGGCTCTGAAGATAAAAATTATTCACGTGATAAGACATCTCTTAATTTTGAAGTTATGTGGCGTGTGTCAAAGAGATTGAGAGTCCGAGATCATGCCCACATAGTCTGGTGTAGATCCAGTTTAAGACGATTAGAGTGGATTCGTTGCGCCGTTATTTATGACTTTCTGATGTACAATATCTGTCTCTTCCTGCCTTCAGCTGAGGCTTCTGCCAAACTTAGCTTTTAATCATATCTTTCAGTCGTCTATTTTAGGTCTGATATACTTCTCATACACATATCATACACCCTTGATTGTAACCTCCAGCCTGCCGTTTAGGCTCGATCAATCTTCCCGCTATAGTCACCGATATGATCCAGAATAATCCTCGCCGCATCCATAGGGCTATGTTGGCGTCCAATAGCCTCCACAAAATCGCCCTCTGGATCCATCAAGTAGAAGTAAATACTGTGGTCCACCAGGTAATCCTGGCCCGGCTTCACTCCCTGCGGTGTGCTGAAGTATACCCGATACTTCTTGCACACGTCCTTGACCTGGTCCCAGGTTCCCGTCAACCCCACCAGCCCTGGATGGAATTCCGCCAGATACTCCTTCACCACCGCCGGCGTGTCGCGCGCTGGGTCGCAGGTGATGAAGACCGGCACCATGGCGCCAGGCTGCTTCGCCTCCACGAGATCGATCATCGATGCCATCTTATCGAGCTCCTCCGGGCAGATATCAGGGCAGTGCGTAAACCCAAAGTATACGAGGCTGTACTTCCCCTTCAGATTCTCCTCCGTGTAGGCCTTTCCGTCGTGGTCGACGAGTGTGAATGGTCCCCCCACCTTTGGGCGCCCGACGCCTTTAGCTGCTTCGGCGATTCGTGCACGCTCCATACGTGCCTTCTCGTAGCGGAAATAGAAGATCAGACTGGCGCCCGAAGCGAGGAAGATGACACCTGCTTTCCAGGAGAACGGCTACGGGAACTGTTAGCGAATGTAGAGGATTTGGATGACGGGCCTCGGAACGGAGGGGATTGAATTGCATGCGCAATTGAATGACAAAGGGAACACAGCACGTACCCCCGACTTATATCTACTCTTTGCCTCCTCCACGGACCTAGCTGGGCGCATAGCTGTCTTGCTAAATGCCCTCCGTGCACCATGGATGCCGCCCAAATTCGATACGGCAGACCGGGTTCGGAGCGTAGCTAGGCATTGTGTCCGTGGGATCTGTGATAGCATCGTGGGAGAGAGCGCAGAGAGCAGCGAGCTGCTCGGTATTAAGGACCTCGACATTGTGGAAGGGTTGTGGTTGGAAATGTGGCCGAGGAATTTCCCTCGAGGGTCTGTACTGGATTGACAATCCTCAGATGCGACTCCAAGCTATCGCCTTGTTATGGTCTAGCGTCTTTTTAGCGCACGACCCACTCTATTCGCACAAACACGTCACGTGAAATTTGAGAATTGAGCATCATTCCATCAACACAACTACTCGAACTTCATTATCACAATTAATATGCATATGCACCGATCTGGATTTATCACAACGATTTTTTGAGTCTATTGGGAGAGCAGATATAATTACAGGTATTACGCCCCCAAGTCTGCAAAGGAAAACGCCAATATCTCGCTCACTCCGCTCTCTCTGATATAATTCGCCCAAATCAGCTTCCTAATCAAATACCACCTGCTTGCCCCCACGAAAATGCTCGAACGATTAAACAAAAGAAAAATTATGATCCATTTGGGTCTGCATCCTCCTCCGAGATGGCATCTGGTGACCAAAGTGTAGGTAAGGGGGTTGGCCGACAGAGCAGTGCTCCCAATGCCACCTCCTAATCCCACCAAAGCGCCAGTAATTATTCTGACGTTGCAAGGGCCGGAGCTATTAGCAGCACGATAAACGCCGAAGGTGTGTAGAGGATGCGCAAGTCGTTACATTGTCAAACTAGTCGCTGTGTCGCATGCCTCACCCAGAAAATGTGTGGGACGCCGAAGATCATTTAAGACGCAGCTGGGTCGGACAAAGACCCGGTAAAGTGGCGCAAGCTCAGGATCAATTCCAAATTGAAGCTAATTCCTCAACGAGCCGCCCAAATATCGCGGCCAATTGCTCCATACTTTCGCCGAATACTCGCCGATTAATCCCTGCTGCGGCTGACTTGGCTCGCGCTCGTCCTGCTTCGCTCGTCCTCCTCCAAAACGTCGCTCAGACGGGTAGGGTGCTGGTGTCTATCCCACCCGCTTCCGCTGCCATACGCCTGGCCAGAGTAATCGACGGGCTCCATGGGTGCAGCTGCGCTCGTGCGGGGAGGGTAATCTCCGCTGGTTATTGGAATCACTCCGTACTGCTGCAAATGGGCGTGCCCTCTAGCTCTGGCCTCAGTCACACGCTCGTCGTCCGATTCGGCCTCCGAAATCGGTCGCTGGTAGGGGATCTTGTTTCCGCGCGCATCGCGTCTGAACTGGCCTTGGGGGTCGATTTCATACTCTTCCTCACTGAGAGTTCCCAAGTCTGAGCCAACGTCCCCTGGGTGGAGCGTTGCGCCTTGCTGTTGCTGGTAGAAACCTCCCGGTGTTTGCTGTGTGGCTGGAGCATGGGCATCTGGCGGGGTTGAGGTCGAGCTGGGGGGGTGTGGGCGGGATGTCGTTCCAGAAGCGGAGCTTGAGGTTTGCTGGCGGGATGATGCAGCTCCGCCACTTGTGGCGGGTGCGGCAGACCTAGACTCGACGAATGGGTCGGTCTGGCGGGCGCGTCCGCTCTGGTTGTAGAGCTCCTCAGAATCTTGCTGGCCTCCCATGCTTGCTGCGGTTGGTCCACCAGGGTATGGACCTTCACGAGTCGCCGGTCTATCTCTCTGAGCAGTGCTGGTGTGCCTGCTAGGAGCTCCCTGCATCATGGGGACGACTTGCACACCACCCACAAGTGTGGGCTGCCCATCGCGTAAAGAGGCGGTTCTCTCGCGCTCCTCTTGCTCACGACGTCCAAGTTCTTCCCAAGCACGTCGAGCCTCTTCCTTCGAGATTTGCAATTCTCTTTTCAATTCGTTGATTAGTTTTTCCGAGTTGTTTTTCTCAGATTCTTTTTGCACCGCAGCTTGGATTGCAGCAGCCTTTCCCTGTCTCTCAGATTGGAGGAGGGTATCGAGCATTCCCTGTCTCTCAGCCATCTTCTCCTGTTCGGCTCTGGTGTCGAAGAACCATCTCTGAAATTTGCGTTCCGAGGAAGCCCGAAGACGTTGAAGTTCTACAACAGCGTGGAAAAGGTTGGCGCCTGCTGCAGATAGGTCGGTGACTTGACGCGAAAGCTGAGATGAGATCGGATCACGCTGGATCTCACTAGTATTTTCTTCGAGGCGGCGAATCCAGTAAGATGTCAGTCCCTCCCAGTGTGCAGACAGGGTCTCCCAACGCTCGAACGCGTGAGGAAATGTCGAACCGGTGTTCCTTTTCCCCTGAGCAACAGCGTCCAGAGGATCCACAGCCGGCTCGGCCAGAGGCGCCCTTTGCTCAGGCTGTGCAGTGGGATCTGGGCCAGCTTGGGGAGCGGCTCCACCTTGAGCTGCTGCGCGTGCTGCCCTCCTAGCTGCAGCTGGATCGCCGCCGCCCAATGCGGTACCACCAGTGCCGCGACCTTGCAACGATGCATCCCCAGCCTTGTTAACTTGGTCACCACTTACAACTATACCTCCAGACGTACGATTCGATCTCTGGGAGTTGTCTGATATTCTTTGACCACCTCCACCTCCACCTCCACTCCCCCTTGCTCCTCCACCACCACCAGCAGCAGTTGCTCTCCTCTCGTCGCTTATTCTCCTTTCCTCAAGGACCCTTTGCTCTTCTTCTTGTCGTTGCCTCTGGAGCTCGGCCTCAGCGGCGGCTCGTTTCTTCTCTTCTCTGGCCTGACGCTCTATCATGATCTGCTTTGGGCCTCTCAAACCTGCAGGCGAGCCCGTTGGCTGTGGCACACTTGGTCTCATTGATCCATTATTGGTGCGTCCGTTGCCAGCGTAGGCTGGTGCGCCCCCCACCGGTAGATCTGACATCGAAGCGTTCTCCTCCTCCCAAACAGGCGTGAAGTCTGTCGGATGTCGCAGCGCTTCCTCTAGCGTGTAGAGGATAGCTGCAGCGGTATGCTTGTTGACTCGTACTGCTCTGTGTGGTCGTAGCTTCTCGTCAGGACCCTGGAAGTCCTTAGATCGGACTGCGTATGGCTCTTGCTCTTCAGGTAGTCCCGCAGCCTCTTGAGGTGCAGCTTGGTATGGTTGAGGCTCAACAAACCTCACATGCGGTGGGCTCGGTTCTGAGGTTAAGCTGGGGCTTGGGCTCGGAGTGATGCCAACTGATACAGCTTCAATGTGTGTACGTCGCTGAAGTGAGTTCGCTTGCGAGAGAGATTCGAGGTTGGGAGTGCGTCGTAGAGTCCTGGCGCTAACAGAGGAGATTGACGGACTATATCTGGCTTGAGAGAATGATGAGAGCTGGCGTGACTTATCAATGGACGTTGACGTTTCGTTGGGCGCGTAAAGGTCGTTAGATCGGGGGAAAGTTGGTTTCGACAATGCTGTTGGTGGTGGTGGTGGAGTGGAAAGCTTGGAAGGCAAGATGGTTGCGGCCTATGCTTTGTTTACCTTCTCACAGTCAACCTTTCCGTTGTAGTTCTGAATATGGAAGGTTGGGATTCGATCTACGCCTGGCAAGTAAACCTTGTGGGTAAACCTGAGGAACGGTATCGAAGAAAGTTATTGAGTTAAACTTTGTGAGAGAGTGTACCCAGAGATGTGGTTGTCTGGGGTGGAAGGTGACTTGGTCCTGGTCTCGATATGGGGAGGTTGGGGTCGTGTAAAAAGCAGGAGGCGCAGGCGAGACAACGACGACGCGACAACAGTTGACAACGCGACAACAGTTGACAACGCAGCAATATCGAATTATTGAAGATGAAAAAGAACTTTTGTTTCGCAAATCCAATACTCCAAATGGCCAATAAACCACCAAGCGTAAAGAAAGAGGTGAATGAAAGAAGTCGGTAACTAAGAGCGCGACACAGTTGAAGAGCTTCCAGAAGAGTTATGCGCCCAACTCGCACAATTAAGCTAACAGGCTCGCACTTGCGCAAACTGTCGCAACTTAAGAGCAGGCGAAGTGATACGAAAGGGCCAGGAGAATGCGGTGGACCTGGTGTGAAGTTCATGCCCTTTCGTTGCGAGGTTCAATTGCGATTTGCGATGGGCCGAGCCGCCCGCTGTAAGTGTTGGACTTGGTCAACTCGGGTATTCGTTCATGCGCGTTGGATATGAGTTTTCAGCGGAAGGGCTTCAAATTGGCATCGGGTCGGGACAGCGCGTCTCCGTATAAAGCCTGATCGCTCTCTCTCACCAGCGCTTATCACGAACTGTCGTGTTCGCTATAATCCTACGTCAAGACTGCAGCCACTGTCTCCCAGCATGATTGTCTCAGTCACCGCGCGACGCCTTCGTTTGTAAAACACGAAAGGGCAGGGGGAGACGGAGATTTGGATGTGGGACTATGGAGATTAAAATGACCGTCGCACTTTGTGGATACACAGGGCAGAACCAACGCGTGCTTGCTGCAAGTCTCGTGGGATCTCGGCCATTTTTACAATTTATGTCACTGTTTCACGGTGAGAAATGCAGGTTGGATGCCTTATTATCCCTGGCTGAGCGGTTTAGGTACATTTTGATGCGTTGTTCTTTCTGGTGCTAGGATGGTTGGGCGAATAATACGCACCAAGCAAGCGGCTCTTTAGGGATGGTTTAGCCATCATCATAAGCAGTCAGGTTTTCAGTGTAATTCCGATGTTGGTTATTCCGTGAAAAAGGGTCCAATATTCAGTGCGAGTGGGTTTGATGCAAACAGATCAATACTTATGGATTTCTGGATCAATGATTGAGACTTGTAAACAAAAATTATACCCAGAGCAACTTTCCGTGCCAGAGCATTTACTGTCGAATCCACATAAGAGACCTGTCAGATGGCAAAACTAGTGATTTCGGAACGGGAGGTTATCCGATTTGTAAGTTCACACGGAAGCCCCAGAACAGTTCACATCGACATATGCACATAACTCAATTGTAGACTCTGTTGTTTACAAAACACACATTGCTTGATGATACTAAACGCTCTGCGCTCGTTTCCCCTGTATTTGGTGCCCTTTTCTCATCATCATTCAGATGCAAACGGGATTCTCCCAGCCTCCCCATTTAATGGCCAATCAGGCGCTTCAAATCTGCAGGATAATTTCCAACACATGCAGCATCATTGGTCCACGTGTCTCAATACGCAACAGAATAGGAGCCGTATGATAATAGCAATTTGAGGGGTATTTGAACCAAGGGGAGTTATTTCTGTTGAAGCTAATAAGAATAAGCACGTTGCCCATATCACGTGTCGTAGACTGAAACCCAAAATCACGTGATATTGATATTCAGGTACGCCAGGGACCGTCCCTGAGACAGCGCGCTAAACAAGTGTTTTACCTGGTTGGGAGTGAAGAAAGTGAGCGCACAGAATAGCAAAAATAACAGCTGCGACACAGCCGCGACAGTTTATGCGGCGGCTATTCCTAGAGAAAACTGCCCTGGTTGTCTGCACTCCAAGACTGGCCGCGAAGAGCGCGGTGACAGCCCACTGAACCAATTCTACTTATTCAACACCCAGATGTCATATCAAGGCATCATATCGACGTACATATCAACCGGTCAATTTTCGTCTCAGGATTATTTAATAGTCACATGATGCATCCTACCTGCCTAAAACGTGGTGATTCACAACGATCAATGATCTGCACTAGCGTGAGGAACCCGCGATTTCAGCCCTTTTTGACGCTTGGCGCACGAGGGCAGCAGTGCTATTGGCCATTCACCCGCGCGACATTCGGAACCCTCTGAACAAAACCAATCAACTGTATCAGCCTAGGATTCCAGAATATGGAACCCTGCGGCTGAAAGGGCGCAGCGGCGGTGTGCCGCCAGATGTTGGTCCTCTTCAACGTGAGGGTCATTCTCTTTCCTCATCTTCGTGCCCTCTCTTTCCATTTAGTTTGTTTTTGTCTAGCGCTTTGTTGATGCATTGCGTTTCGCGATAAATAACAGAGCCCAGAAGATCCGTCATCCTCGGCGACGCATTGAGCCGACCAACCTCCGCCCTCTCGGGTCTCGACGACGAGACCGCAACGATGCCTTTTTCAGCGGCAATTAACCTGCTCCTCCCGCTCCTACTCGCGTCTTCCTCTCTCGCAGGCGTCGTGCCCATACCGATATGGAAGCAGCCAGCCTCAGCTAGAGACCACACCCGGCGAGACATCCATTCTCGCGCAACGGTATTAGAACAGCTTGACAACAGCCATCTGCGCGGGTCCTACTATGCCAACATCACAGTCGGGACGCCTCCGCAGCCCATCTCGGTAATCCTGGATACTGGAAGCAGCGATTTATGGATTCTTGCCAAAACGGCCAATGTCTGCCTTAATCCTAAACCCATCAAGCAATTGCCCGGAGATGTAGGGTGTATTGGAGGAACCTGTGAGATCAATCACAGCGTCGGGCGGTGGACTCGTACTGACTACCAACAGATGATCACCTCAAATCCTCTACATATAACAAGCTAATAAGCAACGGCTTCCAAATCCAATATGTCGACCAAACAGGGAGCACCGGCGATTACATATCGGAGACTGTTTCCTTCAATGGGCAAAACAAGAGCAATAATGCGATAAAAAAGCTACAAATCGGCCTTGCGAGCACCAGTACACTCCCCGTTGGAGTCATGGGCGTAGGCTACAACTCGTCAGTAGCCGCGGCTACAGTCTACCCAAACATCATTGATCAAATGGTCAACCAGGGGTTGATTAACACACGCGCCTACTCACTTTGGCTCGACGACCTCTCAGCCGCCACCGGACAGGTCCTCTTCGGCGGCATCGACACGGCCAAATACGACGGCTCTCTCTCCATCCTACCCCTTCTAGGCGATGACAAGGGCGGGAGGCCCACCTCGTTCGCCGTCGCCCTGAACGGTATCTCCGTCGGCCACAAAGGCAAAATGACCTCCATAACCTCCTCCGACTTCGCCATCCCCGTCATCCTTGACTCCGGCACCACACACACCCTCCTCCCCAAAGCCGTCGTGAAGTCCGTCATCAGGGGTCTCGGCGCATACGACTTCACCTCCCAAATCGGCGCCATCCTCGTCGACTGCGGACTCCGCAGCCAGAACCCGGATTTCATCCTCGGTTTCCAATTCGGCAACTCTACCACCGCGCCAACTATCAATGTCAATCTCAGCGAGCTGATCCTCGATTTCCCCAGCCTCGACCAGGCACAGGTCAAAGACTCATTCCAGTCATGGGACAGCGTATGCTACCTCGCCATGGCAGATAGCAGCACCGTGACCGACCACCCCATCTACCTCCTCGGCGACGCCTTCCTGCGCTCCGCGTACGTGGTGTACGATATTGATAACGACGAGATCGGGATCGCGCAGTCGAACTTTAATAGTGAGACGAACAAGATTGTTGAGATCATGGCTGGCCAGAAGATCCTGTCTATTAAGGGACAGCCGGATAATCCGAGCAAAGTAGTGCCGACGGCGACCCGCGAGGCGGGGTTTACGGGGCTCGTTAAGTCGACGAAGGGCGCGGAGACGAGTAGTGCTGCTGTTGCTCGCGCGGTGCCGAGTGGAGGAGGCGCGGCGCTGGTTGTGATGGCGGTGTGGCTTTGTTTTGCGGGTTTGGGGGGGTTGATGATTGTTGTTTGAGAGAGCGAGAATTGGAATGGCGTAGACGGGAGTGGGGATTTGAACTGTGGCTGCTAGGACAAACGTAGGATTACAATTTGGATACTCCCAGTTGCTGGGTGCAGCGAGCATCAGAATGGCATAGAGCCGGGGAGTTTGGAACAGTGGCGGTGGTGAAGACACGCGCCCGATTAGACATTTGATATTTATTGATTGGCTGAAGTTTGGCGGGAGCATACTACATTTTTTTAAGATATTTGAAGAGGCTTGGTGCTTTCATCAAACCTGTGGATATGGATATCGGGGCAGAGGTATAAATTCTGGAAAGTAGAAATAGAGAGATAGGAGAGCTCTTAGAATTGGAAATAAAGATATAATAAATCGGAGATGGGGAAATCTACACATTGAGATAGGCAATATAAAACCATCATGCAACATCGACATACATCGGACGAACTCCCATCACATGACCCCCATCTCTTCCCCAGCACCTGCCGTTTTCACATTTTCCAAACGCCAGCCATCTCGATCACCTCCTCCTAACCGCCGGGCAACTCTGCCCCCCCCTTCTCCCCTCAAGATCGTACTCCGCTCCATACACTCCAGTAAACCTTGGCACGTTCCATCCCCTGAGCTAGCCAGGTGGGATTACAGTGGTGGTGGTTGCAGATCAATCCATCGTACAGAAACGGGGGCGGGGGAGTTATTCCCGCGCAGTGCGGCGGCGCAGAGTAGGGGGAGGGAAGATCCAATCTCCCCAGCAAGCAGCGGCATTAGGCGTGGAGACGTGAGAGATGGGGGGAGGTGAGAGGGGCTGGGGGATGTTTGGGGGGGGGGGTTCGCACTGAGTCTGGAAGATGAAGAAGGTCCCAAAGAAGCATTTCCGATCTTTCCAGACGCAGATGGGATTATTAATATAACGGTGTGGTGGTTTAGCTCGAGGTTGGAGAGGCTGGAAGAGCCGCTATGTATGTCTCACATTGGGAATGGGACGGACGGACGGGGTGGGATCCGACAGGCTCGCTGGGAGGGAGGGCGGCGCGTGGGGGTGCTATGTACGCTGCTTACAAGTACTGTGGCCACTGTGTATCCTCTCACCCCAGCAGAGCGATAGAACACTCGCTCAACTTTCAATTTCTGCGACTTCGGAATGCACATGCACATGCATGCACATGCACATGCACATGCACATTTCCCTCCCCCGTCCGTACCCCTGAATCCCTGCGCAATATCAACCGTTTTAACACTCTGATCAGAAATGGTAATCAAGGACGATTAGCGGGTCATACGCTGTGGAGCCAAGTAGAGTAAGTGGTGTGGTGTGTGGTGTGTACAGTGTGTACAGTACTAAATCCAGTACGACGGTCGTTAAATCCTTCCCTCCTCGCCCATCTCGTCGCTGCGTGTGGCGACCGTGTGGGCCCCTTGCAAGTTGCAAAAAAAGAGGCGCGTGGAGTGGAGACGTCGAATGGGGAAAAGTCCAAGGCTCAAAACGCCATCTCATCTTGTCTAAAACGCCGACAATACCCACGCCCACGCAACTTCACACGCCAGCACCATTGGATCTAGTTACGGGATCAGCGATCAGCATCAGGAAAAGAAGCATGGGCTTTCTTTCTTGCTCTCTTTCCCCTCCCGAGAACGTGGTGGGAAAGCGATCAGTTCCCCCGAGAGAGCAGCCCTGGCTTGTCTCAGGGGAATAGTGTTTAGAGAGACCGAGTGTGCCCTTGTCAGAATCAACTTACAAGAGCATGACTGGTGTTTGGGTGGCTGGTGATGTACAGTACCATGTGGGATTGTAGTGTATTGTGTTGTATTGAATCACACGGAGGAGGTGGTAGGTGGGGTTGGCCATCCATCCATGCTAATGCACAACCTAGGCGCGTCGACGACCAACATAACATATTGAAACGCCCTCGCACTCCTCTCGCCCTCGTGGGAAGGATCTGAAGGGGGCAAGGATCTAAACGGCCGTTGTTACTACTAAACTACTACTGTAGTAGTTAGTACATGCACCACAGAAAAGCAATCCGATTACCGCCCTAAACGTAACTTAACTCGGTATACTCTGTCCGGAGCTAGGGCCCGACGGTTGGTAGAGCCCGACACCTTTGTGCGCTCTCGACGTCCCTTGAAAACCCGCGGGAAGGAATAGCTTTCAAGCCAGGTCGTACTCGTAACCGCAGCAGCTCTCCAAGGCAGACATTCCATGCATGGGACGTCAACGGGTGACAGGATCTAGCTTACATCCGGAGGTAATGTTCAAAAAGTTTTGTGAGTGGATCGAGCATGGGACCCCGGAATGTGTGCACAACAGCATAAACTCATGTATCGATTACATATAAAACATGAGGCGAGATGCACCATCGATTTGCGCGCAGCCCTGTACGTGGCTTTTATAGTCACCCCGACAAAGCCTATGCTATGCCCGCCATGCCCGCCATGCCCACCCATATCCATAACCCATACCCATACCATTGCCATGCTCCCATGCCATGATCCTCCCATCCCATCCAGTCTGCATCCCTCCCTCCCTTGAACCCTCCCCTGCACCCCCCTCCAACCCACGAGCTGGAAGATCCTCTAACGTTCTTCGTCTCTCCAAGGTCCAACGGAAAAGTCGTAAGCCCCAGTAAAAAAAGCCTCATGCAACCTCTTTCCTTGACTCTCCAGCATTAGAGCACATCCCCAATGCATCAATCATGCAATGCATGGGAGGAAACAGCACACTTCCTTGGTCGAGCAGGCGACGGCGGCGGGAAAAGGCTGTGACCACTCTGAAATCCGACGCAGGAGTGGAAACGCACATACCGCAATACCGGAATACCGCACACATATCTGGAATTGACAGTTCCTGCGCGCCCGCCCGCGCAATTGTTCCTCTCAATGCCGTGTCGTTCATCTTTGCTCGATTCATACTGTGCACAACCCCCCTCCAACGAAGGTTCCCATTGCCATCCTTGCCTGCCAACTAACTGTCCGTTCAAACTGCCGCCCAGGACTCGCCTTGGCGGTTCCGTGTGGGATTGTAGATTGTAGCGGTATAGAGTGTACTGGGTATACCCAGTATACCCAGTATACCCAGTACACTCTATACCCAGTACACTGTATACCCATTACACTCTATACCCAGTACACTCTATACCCAGTACACTGTATACCCAGTATACCCAGTATACCCAGTACACTGTATACCCAGTACACTGTATACCCAGTAGTTACACTGTATACCCATTACACTGTATACCCATTACACTGTATACCCAGTACACTCTATACCCAGTACACTCTATACCCAGTACACTCTATACCCAGTACACTCTATACCCAGTACACTGTATACCCAGTACACTCTATACCCAGTACACTGTATACCCAGTACACTGTATACCCAGTACACTCTATACCCAGTACACTCTATACCCAGTACACTCTATACCCAGTACACTCTATACCCAGTACACTCTATACCCAACACTCTATACCCAGTACACTCTATACTCAGTACACTGTATACCCAGTACACTGTATACCCAGTACACTGTATACCCAGTACACTGTATACCCAGTACACTCTATACCCAGTACACTCTATACCCAGTACACTCAATGTACATACATACCATACTTTACTCCTACTATTACTCCCAGGCCGCCTACGCCTGCTCATGACTAGCCGTAGTCCACTTATATTATATCATCCCACTTGGTTCTCTCTTTCGTCTGTAATCTTCCCCAACTTCCACGTCTTTTCCAACAATACCAATACCTTATTGAACCACTATATATCCCCCCGAGCCCCGAGTTTCTCTAAACAGTTATTTTGTGTTACCATTTAATACGCCCGTTCGATTTCCAACGTCTCTCCTCGTCTTCTCTACCCTCACTCTTGAAAGGTGCAATCTCGCCTGTTAATAACCTCAACCCACCACTGCATTCTGGATTTGCTACCATCCGATCTGATTACCCGTTCAACTTGTTCGCTTTCTGGTCGAGTATCGCAGCCGTGCAGTTTAATAAAGATTCGAGGGGGTTATTCTTCGAAGGAGCCACTGATCTGAACGAGCGGATCGTTCAGCGGCAACAGTTCGGCTCTCATTCTCATCAAGCGCTACTGCTGGCTTTTGAGAACAGCGCAGCCGAAACCAGAACCGTTTGCGAGGCCATACAGCGACTCCTGGTTCAGACATCACTGCTTCAGTATCTTGTCGCCCTCTAATTAATTCTACAAGTCCGCTACCTGGACCCTACAGCGACTCGTGCACAGTCCACCATCAACGTTCGCGGACCTGATAGACGCCGTCGTTATCAGTTTCTGCCAGCAGCTTTCAGATAGTACTTGTCACCCGGTTGCTCTTTGGTCTTCAGTCACAGATCGCAATCTACCGTTTCTAAAGGCAGGCCTGCTCGGACAGAGATAGCCTTCGTCCGCGCGTTGTTTGGCGCAACAGTTGCTACACCACCTTGACCAACCCTTCCCGGCAATGAATCTCTCGAACCTGGTGCACGAGAGGAAGGTGAGACAACCGGTGGCTGTGAATTATCTCTCAGAGGAGCAGTTTGGGCAGCAAAGGTTCCAAGCACAGAAGTATTCAGAGTACTACGACGGCAGCTTCGCAGGATCATACGCACAACCAACACAGTCATACTCGCACGTTCAAGTCCCGCAACCGCCGCCGTCTCCTCCGATGGAGGAAATCGCAAAATGCTCTCTCCCTTCAATATCAAGCCTTCTCGGAATCGCAGACAACAATCCCTCTCAGCAACATGAACAGTCTCGTCCAAGTAAGCCCTCCATTCCCCTCCCTTGACCCCCATCTAACGCACCACAAGTGTCCCAACATACATCCGATAGCCGTAAGAACTCCGCACACTACACACCCTCCAGCGCAGCGACGACGCCGCGACAGTCGCTCCCACTCACTCCACCCACGCACCCTGACTCGGCGCCCGAAAGCCGCCATTCCCCGTCCTCATCCATCTCCTCCACCTCGCAATACAGCTGTGCGTCGACACCCGCAGCTTACAGCTTTCAACCCGGACCCACTGGCAACTTAGGATTTAACCCAGAGAGAGAGGGATTTTCAGGCGCAGAACCGCGGAGAGCTTCCGTTGCTCTATCGCAACCGCAATATGGCCTTCAATCTTCGTACCCTGTGGCACCAGCTCAGCAAATGAACGGCTACTACCCTCCTCCTATGCCTGAAAACCCTCCACTCCCAGACGGAGTATACTACCAACAACGGCCACTTCTCAAGGTACGTCAAGCCCATTCCCATTTTTCTACTCAACTAATAAAACCACAGTACACAACACCCCCCTCCACAAACCCCTGGCAACACCACCACTACATCGCCCCCTCCTCCTCGTGCTTCCCCCTCCCGCAAGACCGCTACATCTGCCCAACCTGCAACAAAGCCTTCTCGCGCCCCTCCAGCCTCAAAATTCACAGCCACAGCCACACGGGCGAGAAGCCCTTCCGCTGTCCCGTCCGCGGATGCGGCAAGAAGTTTAGCGTGCGGAGTAACATGAAGCGCCACGAGCGGGGGTGCATGGGGATGGCATTTGCTGAGACTTGAGACATGGGACGGGGTCGGGAGGGGGGGGATGCGAGCGATCAATCGATTTTCTATCTATCTGACATATTATTATTTAGGACGGCGAAACGGGGGCTTGGGGGGGGGGGCGTTTGAGAAGTGGGTCTGCGTTGGACTTTAGGGGGGAGCGTTTTTTGTTGAAAAACGGGGGGGGAGAAGATATAACTGCAAAGAAATTGGGAGTTACTTGAGGCGAAAGAATGGCTATTACGGGGTGGGGGGTTATTTAGTTATTACGAGACTTTGGTTTTCTCACGAGAAAGCGTTCATACGATAACGAACGCCCAGGGCGACCACTTTCGATTCAGCGATGTGAAGAGAAGATAAACACACAAAATTTAATCACAATACGAAATGCAAACATATCCATTTCCACATACATAAGTCTCTATTTTTATGCCACTCCGCTGGTGAGACTGACTCTCTTCTCCATATTCCTTTGGACTATCCATCCCAAGTCTTAAGATCCGCCAGTATAATACATGTAATACGGAGCCCGGCTGGGAGTTTCTGTACCCCCCCCCAACCTCCCTGCCCTAGAGGGAGTTCGGAATCCGAGACTACCATCGCTGTAACGATCATAGCTCGTAATCTGATATCATAACACCCTAACTTACATACTCTCTCCCAAGCTAGATGGATTGAAGCCCTTCGCAAACGCTTGCTTGACGGGCAGTACGTCACTCTGTGTCGGCGATGTACCGAGCCAGAAGTAGGATCTAAACCCATAAGCCCTAAAGTCTTCAAAAGCCTATAGTTGAGACACAACGCCTCGCGGATTTCCCTCGGCTAGTACTGCTTGCTGTTTGTGGAAATGTCATGACCGCGACAGGCAGGAAACCGCTGGTAGCGAACTGACCTGTAAGGGAGCGCGCTGAAACGGGGAGGCGCATCTTGCCTGTCACCCTCGTCCGTCTCTGTCCCTTATTCCCAGGCTAGCCGCTGATAGAACCTCCCCGCCCCATCAACCTTGTCTTAAGTCTGTGACACAGTGAGAGACCGCGTCTGTTAGCGGCTCTACGGGACGGACCTCAGGACGGGCCTTTCATCTCAAGAACGGGTAGAGGGTACAACCAGAGACAGCACAGAATACGGTCTACGTAGCAAGTATAGTATGGTATAGTATGGATGGAAAGAAGCAAATTGAGGTATCTGATACTTTACGGTGAGACAGCTATGTGAGACTTGCAGGAAATCACAAAATAACGTGTACTTCCCGTCTCTACATACGGTGATAACTTGCACGGCAGTAAATCAGGAACAATACATACAGGGACAGTACAATATGTATGAGTATTGTAAGTCCACAGAATCTCCTCTTCTTCTTTACCCAATTCCTGATTCCTGTACGCTGAGCAAAGCCACTCTACGGACTACAACCAACAGTGTCGTAGGATAACGGGTCAAAGTACCAGTACACCTGCTTGACACGCCGCCTCCTCCGAAATGAGCAGTACCTCCCCCGCCGCGCCACACACGGTCACACACGGTCACACACGGGGGCGAGAGGGAGGGCAATGTGCATCTCACGTGCTTAACGGGGACGATCTTATCTGGCACGCTCCCGCGCCGACTTGTCAGTGGTCTAGATGCTGATCTGCGCTGCAGGTAGATGATCCGCGAACGACCAGGAAGGACGGGGGGAGGTACTGGTACTTGCCAGGGCGACGACATCACACACGTTTTTTTGGCTTTGGGGAGGCGGGGGAGGCGGGGGATAGGGGGTAGGGGGGTAGGGTAACGGGGGTAGGGGGCTAGGGTAACGGGGGTAGGGGGGGGATGGGGTGTAGAACACTCTATTCATCGCCATCCAGATCCATGGGATTATGCTGGGACCAGCAAATTCGTGGGGGTTCAGCGGAGCAGGCGGCAGGGCGTCGCAGGGCAGAGCGTCGCAGGGCAGCAATGCTAGGAGCGCAAGACGGGAGGAGAAAAAATAATAAGTGGCGTTGTGGGCAAAAGGGGAAGGAGAAGCTACCCTGCCGCTGTGCATTTTTTGTGCGATGGGAGTTTCTGATACGTCACAAGCATACCACTACATACAGAGCGGATTACAGGCAGGCAAGACAGGCATGATGAGGATCCTACGCGACGGACGGGTAGGATGCTGCCGTCCGGCACGCAGCGATGGACGAGACATTTTGCGGAGTGCCTTGCTGATCTGGCGGCGCTGTCTAGGTTGGGAGGGAATATGCTTGGTGCTAATGCCTTTGATGAGCGGTGCATAAAGTGCAAGTTGGTGGGCCAGGTGCGGTGTTTTTCCTTTCGATATCTTGGATTTTGTCTCCTGTTGCCACCGATGTGCGCTCTCGTCAACATAGCACAATTGATGGTGTGCTGTTATGCCATGGACTAGGGTTAGCATCCTCCAAAGTTGGTTGGGAGAGAGGGACTTCCTATCCCATGTTCCATCCCTTCAAAACATTCCCCAATTGATTTAGGCATGCAAGTCTCGAACCATCTTCGACTGTGCCAAGCAAGCACGCAAGCAACATACTGGTAAACATACTGGGATTGTTAAACTATGAGGGAAATAGCCCGACCCAACAACCTCCACCCCTCCCGACTTCTATTCTGGGAGAGACAGCCCCATCATCCCGCACCACAATGTGTTCCGCGGGGGGCGAACCACCAACGCCGCCCCATCAAGGCCAGAAATGGAGTCAAAGCTACTACTACCTGCCACCGTGGAGGCGAAGGGTCGCAACGCAGCTAGCCACCCTGCGGCACACCGATACTGTTCCCAAGTCCGCAGATCAGACAGACAGCGGCGTTATGTATGTATGTACGTACCACCCGACGCTCTGTTACGGGAGGAGGATTGTGTGTGCTTGTGCACGCACACATGCAAATATTGCACCAGCAACCAACTCGTGGAGCTGGCGACAAAAGCAGTCAAGCAGCGAGCGGTATTTGTGATATCGAACCCCGAGTGACCAATGAGTCATAGACGCAGTTGGATATCACCAACAAGACACCGAAGAACAAGTCGCGGGAAGGGCAGCGCCGCCTGCAAGGTGCATCCTGTCTGTGTTGTCTCGCGTTACACTGACTTCCCATGCCCTGCCCTGCCCTGCCCTGCCCTGCCCTGCCCTGCCCTGCCCTGCCCTGCCCTGCCCTGCCCTGCCCTGCCCTGCCCTGCCCTGCCCTGCCCTGCCCTGCCCTGCCCTGCCCTGTTGCAATCAGGCAGTGGGCCTACCGATCGACAACACCTACAGTACGGCGCCATAAGTATGCATACACGTCTGTGCTTCTCCCATACAAAAAGACACTCGTTTACTGCAATTTAAGCACAGACCTGTATTCATACTTATGGCGGCGTACGGAGTACTGTATCATCATCACCATCACCCCCCCCTCGCCGACACATACACACATACACCACAAGCACTACCAAAACCGACAGTCCCATCGCTAGGATTGGCAGTGCCCGACGACGCCGAAGCAGTGGCTAGAATCAGCGATGTGGGCTCTCAACCGCCATTAGTGGAGCGCCGCTGCTGCTGTTTGCTACGAGGTGGTGTGTGGGGTCCTGTCGATTAACGGAGGGCTGCCTGTCTGCTTGTCGGAGAGAGGACGCTCAATGCTACCCTACGCCCACTGGGGACGCTCTGAGTGGCCTCTCCTGCGCTGTGGGGGACGGAGCGACTGGCTCCTGTTCCCAGTATGCTGAGTAGTTAGTTGCTGCATCGCTCCAACAGAATATCCCCTGTAGCCTACCATCGTAGTCATAATCGTTGTCGCTTGAGGCCTCACTGGGGCTCCTTAGGGCCTCCTAGGGGCCTCACCCCTCCCTTCAGAAAATAACGGAGTGTCCAGGCTGTGTTGGGATAGTTATTCACAGCAAAACAGCTCTGTTTCCCTGGTTCCCTGCACCGACATATGTCCACAACGCTGCTCCGACGCTATAATTGCCTCAAAGAGACAATGGATTACATAGCTAAATTGCTCCCTGTCTCTACATCCTGTACCCTACAGACAGAGCTCCACAGCTAGTGTTGTGGAGAGCTTACACGCATGCTATCCCTAGCTCTAGCTCTCTCTGAACAGCTTCAGTCTCACTTAGCTCCTATTCCAGTCGACCGGGTGTATGCCGTCACGTCCGCTGTGCTCCATACGCCCTCCCAGCTCCCAGGGCCTCTTCAGTCACATTGAGATTCCTGGCCCCCGCCAAGAACAACAACAGGGTTCCCTCCTGGGAACGGAGAGTCACCCTTGTTTTGAGGCTACAAAGGCAACGTGGGCGATCCTCATCGAGAGAATGCGTTTCATGACAGTCCCGACAGGGCGTTTGCCTGCAGTAGAGAGGTAAGAGGGAGGTACTCTAATTTACTCTCTTTATTACCTCAGCGGACAATATTAATGTATACATTAGGAAATTGTTTTGTAGGATTGATTGATCTTTCTAGGCCCTATCCTTAGCTATATCATAATATGATGTGTTATGGCCGCAATCCCTACTCCGGTAACGTTTCCTTTAGCCAAATTGACCTCAGATAGCGGAATTGATTGCAATTAACGACAAGGACAACTATGAACAATTTCAAGTCTTCAAGACATATGCATGGTGCTTCCGGTCCAGCTTGAGCAGAATGCAGTAATGCTCTACGCTGCGTCCAAAAGGGGGAAGCAGATACATTCTTAATACAAGCCGTGGTGGCCGCCCAGGCCCTCAGATGATCAGCAGCCATGCACCATCCCTTGCCCATAGCTTTACCGAAGCTCAGACTCCCTTCTGTCGTACCATTCTGTCGGCAACACAGCTGCGTCCAGCTTACCGCACAGTAGCTCCTGTCCAGGGTGCAATGATGGGGTTTGTACTGGGGCACAGGCCGCCTTCGCTTTCGTTGTGGGACGATGTTTCCGCGGCGAAAGCTGGGGCTGGAGGCACACCATCACGCCTCTACTACCAATTGGATTAGGGCCGCGTTTCACGAATGTGCTGAACGATGGGATGGAATGTGATAGTTTGTTGGTATATATGTCACATGTCATTTATATTGCTATTCTACTGACACTTGAATCGTATGTAGGGAGGGAGACATGGGGACAGCCTGCGTATGCATGTTATCCCGTTGTGCGACTCGCCGGGGTTGTCAAACTTGAAACCCGCCAGGCGCTGCATGGCAGTCACAGGAATACCGACGGTTGCAGGTTATCACCATTTCTGCACAATGCTGGATTGTGTTCGGGGGGGAACAGCGGTAGCTTGCTTTCTCGACATGCAGCCCAGGCCGATACAAGCCAGCTCTCCCCAGTTTAGAGTCGGCGCCTCATGAGTGGCAAGCGTCAAACGCGGCCGGACGGCGCTGCAGGATGTTCCGCACAGTAGGCCTCCCGCTTCTTGTGCCATTCAAGTTTCAATCACAAAACACATGTCTCAAATGCTAGTGTGACGAGGCCGAGGCAGTAGAATTGTCCAGACGATGGACGTGCCCGGCTATCTCTCCTCGCGCTCTGACTTAACAAGCTCTGATATAGAGGAACTCGGTCAGGATCTTCTCTGTAGCGCGAGCTAGAAACTGTTATTAGAGGTACCTCCTCGCCACGCTTTCTACTGGCGCTGAGCACGTTGTGAGGGGGCTCGTGGCGCTAGGGCGAGGGGTTAGTGAGTTAGTGATGAGATAAATATTGACAATATTGCTATGCACAGGAGTCATTTATGTCAGGGCTATAACGCAGTTATTATTATCCCACCTCTTGTCCGGCTATCGAAACCTAGCCTTCAAACAAGGCCCCCTCGAGGCGCCTCTCCCAGCGGCGCCAACTGCAACGGGCAGTATCGCCGCCCTCGCACATCATCTGTTGTGCAAACGCACTGCTGGACCGGGTGGCAAGAAACCAGTACCACGGCACTAGGTATTGGGGCTGTCGACTGGAACGACGACGGAGGAGACTAGAACGTCTAAGTTAAGGCATATTTCCCAGTGTTCTCGTACGATACCATCGTACCCCTGTTGAAGGAAATATGTCGAGATAGGAGAACCTTCAGCGTTGCCACAAAGCATTATTGCGATATACGCTCAATGTACGCTCAATCCTCCCTATATCGTTTGCCAGCTGGGTTAATTGAAGTACTTGACTTTTTGGCAGTAGTGGCAAAGCAAGGATGAAGCAAGGCCGTTTGTTAGACTCCAAGTTTAGCATCTGGGCAATGAGATGTTCAGGCGTAGTTGATTTGCGAGACGCTAGTATCCCGACTCCTTTCTGAAAATCTGCTTGGACGGGGATATGAGAGGAAACCTGCCACTCTGGAACAAACATTCTGAGACCGATAATTCCGCAAGACCAGATATCGAGACCTACACCATGGACCTAATGTAGCATGTCCGGCGCTTGGTATCCAGGAGTGCTGCCTTTCCACTGATTGGCCTCTGTGAGTGAATCTGGACGGTTTGCCCATAGTCAAGAATCACCACCGCTATTCTGCGTTCATCGTACGACACAACGCCAATGTTAGAAAGCTTGAGATCTCGATGGAGAAGTGGGAAAGGGCTTGCATTGTGCAGAGCATGCACCCCTTGCAGTAATTGGTAAAACGCTATGATCCTCAGGTCTGGGGACAACTTCAACAACATCTCGGTGAGTGTAAGCCTAGCAAAAGGCTGGATGATAAAGACGACTCTCTCTGGGCGGGCCGGCAGACCATGACGTTCGTCGTCTTCGTTTTCTGGGCTGGTAAACCAGGTATCTCCACGCTCATAGTAGACACCACGCTTAACCAATAGTTGTGGATGGCTAGGTAGATGATCCAGAATAGAAAGCTCTCCCGCAATATCCCTCATCGTTTTCGAAGTCCTCACTATAGTCTTTGCTGCCGCTGGCTCCCCAGTGACTCTGTGCTTTGCTGCACTAACTGTTCCAAACCCTCCTGAGCCCGCTGTTCCCTTGCATACCCAATCATCGAGCGTGAAGTCCCACGGGGATGGCGTAGCAGATATGTCAGGCGGAGGGGCAGGTCTTGAGAGATACCATCTGAAGTATGCGTTTAAATTCGATTGATAGGTTACTTCGTCGGCATTAACATATTCCAGGCAGTATGTGAGGTTGCCAAAGGAGACGATCTGTGATCTTGAAGTGATGGCATGTGATCCTGCGGAGAATTCCTCGGTGCCAACAAAAATGGATGCCCCTGGTGGAGGAGACTTGACACACAAGCAGCACGAGCTGTCAAAGTAGAAGATGGCATGCTTGCCGCGTACACTTCTCTTGCCATGGAAACTTATTATAGATCAGGATAGATGTACAAAGGCTATAGCAATCGTTGGCATACAAGACAAAAAATGGCGCAAGACAAGAAGCTCAACGGCGCCAGATATACTGGATTTCCTGAGCCCTTCAGTAAAGGACAGTGCCATTGTCTTCTTACTCATCTATATGGCCTAACGCTCTAGATCGCAATACCACCTTGCGTCATCCAGACGCGGACATCTCCCCTCAAGCATTCCTGGAAGCTTCCGATATTATCGCCAAGCGCTCCATCTCGCGTACTCGCAATCATAGCAGCAGGAAGAAGGGATTCCTCAACTCTCGCGACATAGAGAAAGACATGAAGAATGCAGATGATCTGCATGCTGAACATAAGGCATGAGCAGAGTCAAAGATTATGGCGAGAGCAGCAAATGTGGTGATTGAGTCTATAAGCATACACACATCTATCCCTTTCTGAGAATATTGAGCATGAGATAAAAAAACGTCCCATATAACATGTCTACCCTAATATCCAAGCTGAAATTTATTGTATCCTACAAAGTAGAAATAAACGCAGCAGTAGCTAGTTAAGCCAGATGCGAATGCATCGAAATGTGCCCAAATCGACGCATCCAACTGTTTCCCGTTAGCTTCAGAGTATTCTATTTTCTCGATATTCCCTACCTGGTGAAGTCCTTGGCCAGTAGCTGTGCAGAAAATTCCCACACCAGTTTGTTCTTATTTCGGGCAGGCTGAAGTTGTGATTTCGAAAAGTAAGTTCTTCTCTGCTAAAATCAAGCTGTTCTCTTCCACGAAGGGACCGACTGATTCTGAAACTAGAGTAAGGTACAGTGGGGTAATAATTTGCTACCTGTGGTAAGGAAATTTAAAGAGATAATTGAGCAGATGAGATTTATTATGTAGATAGAGTGGAAATAAATGGACTGTTGATATCAAACAAAATACTCAGTGACAACAGATATCCTTTCCAGCTTCTTGATACCGGCTACTTATACTGTTCTGTCGATAACGGACGGGTGGTCCATCCAGTGATCCGCCCTCAAATTCTGTAACACCCCTCCCCTGGTCTAACCACCTGGAAAGTAGAACTAAACTCGGAAGTGGCTAGTTAAGCCAAAGTCGAATGCATTGATATGGACCAAAGTCAACGCATCCTACAAATATCATTCAAGAATATCCTTCCAAGACATGTGGTTCATTGCTGTCTCTTCCCATTTCGACTACCGCCTTTTAAACACCAGTCATATAAAACCGCCACCCCCTCTGGATCCAGCCGTTAGTGCACCACACAGCTCCTTCCTCATCAATAATGACACGTAAGCAATGGATATGTTGCCTCTGCATCCCGCTACAACAACAAGACAGGATAGTCTCAGATAAGGAAATTCCTTGGCTAGACTCCCATTAAAGCGCCTGACACCTTGGAAATGATAATGGCGCAATACCTCCACCATCTCGAGCATCAACGTTCCCATTTCAGCGTCCGGCTGTGCAACTCTTCTTTCAGCTCCTTTCAGGTCTATAAGCTCATTCGCAATCAGTCTGCCTTGCCTCGCGGAAATGCAGCGCACGGTGAGTCCGGAACTCAGCTGAAGCTCGCCATTACAAACCAACATGACCAAGATCAAGGGGGTTATGCAGCCCTCAGCCTATCTAGCGGAGGATGCAGCTGTTCTCCACTCACAAGCGCAAGAAACGGCCAGATCAGGGGTTTCTGCAGCTCACCAATCTGATTTTACCCCTGAAATACCATTAGCTCGAGCTCTGCAGTAATGCACTGCCTCAAAGAGAGGCAAGACCATGTGATGATTGATCAGCAACTTAGCTCGTCGTATCTGACCGAGGTCTATAAGAAGGGCCTCCCTCCCACTTCTTAAGAGCCAACTTTCCACGTCCTTTACTCTCAAGCCTCATCGCAGATACGCAGCGATACAAAATCAGCATGACCGCTTCAACTCAAACAATCGGTATGGCTCCGATAGCTCAGACATGGACAGACATGACAGACGATGAGTTCATTGAGTGTTGTATGGAAGTCCCTTGCGGGGGGGCCGAATTCGAATGCATGGCGAGAAGTGGTGGCTGGATTGGGAGGGGGGCAGGGGTTGCGTTGTCCTTCTTCCTTGTTGTTGGGGAGTTGGGGGGCGGGTTTACGTAGTACAGTTGCAAGTGTGGGAAAAGATTTGTCACGAAGTGTAGCGAAGTGTAGCAAACATTTTGATGTTGAGTAAGGGGCTTTGGAGGAGGTTTTGCGGTGAGTAGTTGTAAGTCCAGAGTTCGTCCTGGGTTTGGTTCTCCTGGCCGACATTCCCGTAGCGTTGGCTCACTCCTCTGTGGGCGAGGTAAGGGTTAATTGAGCTTGGGATATGGATGGAAAAACAACGCATATTTGCTGTATTTTTTCGGCTTGGGCTGGTAGCTGACGGCTCTGAGTACTGGATTGAATACTATCCTGATTCAATCGTGCTCTGAAATCTAGTATCCCTTTAAACTCCGTGTGCTTTGATGTCAATAATCTGGCAACTCTTTGTGATTCTGGCTCTGTATTTCCCTGATTTATGTCTGTATATACTGTTCTCTTCGTCGAACTGTGTCTGCGATGCCCCTGCCATGCCCAGATCCCATCGCTTTCCCACTCTCTACTCAAGGCACATCGTTGAGTGACTGTTCACACCCAGGAGCGCCCAAGTTCATCAACTAAACATATCGCAAGACATTAAATAGCCCAGAGGGTGATGGTAATGGCCAGGTCTGGAGTTCTTGTTTGTTCTCAGATAAGTTATATTGGAGGTTGAAGCAGTTAAATAGTATAGATTCATTAATTATTACTGAACAACGATAGATATAAACGTCGCTCCGAAAGCCTCCTCTCGAATACCTCTTTCACATCACTTCCATCAAACCTATACCATCTATACCTCCAACTTCTCAACGCCCACGAGCACCGCCTCCGCATTCAAAGCATCGATCTCAGCCTGCACGAACGGAATCCCACCAGCCAACCTCCCCTCCATCGTCTCCTGCTCGATCTCCCCTGGAAAAAAAATCCTATCCACACCCGCCATCTTCTCACTCCCCACGACCTTCTGATACAGCGTATCCATCCTCTCCTTAAACGCATCCAAATCCATAAACAAATCAGGCTTAATCGCCACAAGAAAATGTCCCACATCCGCCGGCTTCGACGGATCATACGGCCCCGTCACTCCTCCCGCAAACGCACTCCCCGACAAAACCCCAGAGAACACATCCATCATCACAGCCAACCCGCTCCCCTTCGGGCCCCCCATCGGTAGCATAACGCCCTTCAACGCCTCTGCGGGGTCCTCCGTCGGCCTCCCCTCCCCATCCAGTGCCCAGTCACCCGGGATCTTCTCACCCCGCCTCAGCGCCTTATGAATCTTCCCCCGCGCGGCAACACTGGGTGCCATATCCAGAATAAACGACTTCGTCTTACCCGCCGGCGCTCCCGCTGCAATGGGACTCACACCCATCAACTTCTCGCGCCCGCCCCAGGCTGGGAGCGCCGGCGACGAATTCGTGAAGACCAACGACATCAGACCGGCATCAAGAGCTTGCTGGACTAGCCATGCGGACATACCGAAGTGGTTGGAGTGGCTAATTGACACCATGCCGATGCCATACACCTTCGCGGCCTCGATAGCAGCTTCCATTCCCTGGTGGGCTGAGACAAAGCCGAATGCGTTCTTCCCGTCGATGTGTGCGGCGACGGGGGTGGTTTGGATTAAGACGGGCTCGGCGGTGGGGGAGAGGACACCGCTGCGGATGCGGGCGAGGTAGGAGGGTAGGCGCTGGGTGCCGTGCGTGTCGATGCCGCGGAGGTCGGCGAGGACGAGGGCTTTGGCGATGATGGTGGCGTGGGCGGGGGTGACGGAGTTGGCTTCTAGGAGTCTTTGGGCGAAGGATTGGAGGGAGGTGGGTTGGATGTTGGTCATGCTCTGTTGGGGGTCTGATGCTGAGGCCATGATGGCGATGTTGTGGTGGTGGTTGAGGTGAGTGGGGGTTTCTTTTAGCACAACATTGATTGAGAGGGTTGGTGCGGCGGGAAAGGATCCAATGGATGCACAATTGTAATTTCTGAGAGGGAATCGGGCCTAAGAAGCTTATTGTTGGGGATTGGAAGCTTTATGACGGTTGATGTGCGGGGCAGACCGAGTTAAATCTTACTCCACATATGGTTAGTAGTAGTCTCCCTTCTCCTCCGATATGTCCTTCCGGAAGCAGGCTCACGGCGCAGAGTAGCTCATACTAAAATATTAGAGAAATGACATTTATCTCATGAGCTCCTGCATAGGCCTTTCACGGCAGTTTCAAAGTTCTACGTGAGATATAATTTGCGGGATGGCCAGAAGTGTGTTGCCCAAAAACGGACATGGGGAAACTTTGGAGAATGCGGGGAATTGGGGTCTTCACCCCCGCAAGACCAATGTCCCAGCAGATCAGCGTTATTCTAGATGTGTCCCGTCTGGCTCCTTCACAACATATTCTACGTCACCAGAAGTCCGCCGAGCTATATTATATCCTTGGACATGGATTCGAGGTTTGGGTGCAAAGGGGCCAACATATATATCTAGCTGGGGAGACACACGACTGTGCCAAACCCAGCCCAGACTCAAGCTTGCGGAAACTATCAATGTGCGTATACGAGCTATATATGACTATATCACTGGGTCTGTTTTCGAGGCTGGCCGTTTGCCGGCTGTGGTGCGAACGGCGGATGTGGTTGGAAACCCAATTTCCTAGCGCAGACGGCGTATTGATGCTGAGTATACACATTTCAATACCGGCAGAAACAGAGGCACAAGCTGCAGGTTGATATAGTAGATCAATTGGTAATATATTGCTTCTATTTGACGAGATGTATAGGGACTGTATCGAACACTTCGAACTACTCTGTCAGGTGAAATTCAAGAGCAGTAGATACGGAACGCATGTTTTGTCTCCCGTCCGACAACGAAGAGTCCCAATGAAAGGACCTTCACATCTCGCATCGCCATAGAAGACGCGGTGCTACACAATGGTCAAACGGTATAATTTCGAAAAAGAAGAAGAGGAAATTCCCAGCCCAAGCGAACTTTGAAGATATTGCTGCATAGTGGGGCGTCTTGCTTATGTAACGCGCTAAAACCGGCGATTCCTATCCGAAAAACTTCGTAGCCTACAACTCCTCCCACAAACTTTTGCTTCTTCCTTTTTCTTTTCTTAAATATCCAAAAACCATGGAATCCCTCGCTGGTACAAGCTGGGATGTCGTGATTGAGGGGACGGGGCTGCAGCAGTCTCTACTGGCACTGTGAGTGCCTCTGGCCTAACCTTGCTTTGCTTTGCTTTGCTTGCGTCATGTCTGACTGACGCAGCCTTTGAAGGGCTCTGTCGCGATCGGACAAGAAGGTGCTTCACGTCGATGGGAATAACTACTATGGTGGCTCCGAAGCTGCCTTCAGCTTACAGGAAGTGGAAGCTTGGGTGGAGAGCTTAACAGGTACGATTCGACGTTGAAGATTGCCTGAAGCTCGGTCCACTAATGCTGGTTTAGCTACCCCTGCCGCGCCATTCTCAAATGTGTCATTGCGGAAAGCAGAAACGAGCGCGTCGAGTGCGAAGAAGCTGTCCCCTTCACGGGCGTACACTCTTACACTCTCGCCGCAGATCATATATGCCAAATCCAAGCTCGTCTCACAGCTGGTATCTTCACAAGTCTACCGACAACTGGAGTTCCAGGCTGTGGGGAACTGGTGGTTATATAAAAATACCTCTGGTGCCTCCCCGGCTGCGCATGAAGCTGGAAAGCTGAGGCGCATGCCGAATGGCCGAGAAGATATCTTCTCGGACAGGAGCATTGATGTCAGAGCCAAGCGCGGGCTGATGAAGTTCATCAAGTTCGTTGTTGACTTTGAGAACCAGACAGGTGTATGGGAGACCCATGCTGATACTCCCTTCGTGGAGTTTCTGGCGTCACAGTTCCAGCTGCCCCCATCTATGCAGACATATCTTGTTGCTTTGACCCTGTCATTGGAGCCCCCGGCGGTTACTTCTGTTCGATATGCCCTGCCTAGGATTGCAAGACATCTTACATCAATTGGTGTATTTGGACCTGGCTTTGGGGCAGTCGTCCCAAAGTGGGGTGGGGGTGCAGAGATTGCACAGGTGGGATGTAGAGCAGGCGCCGTTGGAGGTGCTGTCTATGTTTTGGGCACTGGCATTTCTGGCATCGACACTGGCTCGACTGACGTTAGCCTCAAGTTCACCAATGACGAGGCTGTTCAGTCTCGGTACTACGTCTCTTCGCAAGATAAGGCCATCAAAGAAATCGACCCGGACGCCTCGACGGTTTCGAAGCTCGTCGCCATCGTTTCCTCCGACCTGTCGTCTCTCTTCGTCTCAACCGTGGAAGGTGCCCCGATTGCAGCGGTTGCAGTTGTCGCCTTCCCGGCCGACGCGGTCGATGTGGATGGTCAAACCTCAACGCAGCCGATATTTATCATGGTGCATTCGAGCGACTCGGGGGAGTGCCCTCAAGGACAATGTAAGCTCAACTCTTTTTTTTTCATATCGTTACCATGCAAGCATTCTATGATGATTCAACCTCGAATACTTATCTACATTGTCTGATACCCCTTGAAGATACAACCTCTGACAGTCTGATGAATGCTTCTCATTTACATTTAACTATGTTCCTCGTTACAGAAGACATGCTAACATGAATTGATTTTAAGATGTACTATACGCCAGTACCACCAATATTCGAAACCCGAAAGGGCGCTTGGAATCAGCTGTGTCAAAACTTTTGAAATTCATGGATGCTTCACGTGCAGATACGGAGGGTTCGGAGCAGGATGCTGTTCTCTTCGAGATGTATTATGAACAGTGCCGTTCTTCAACTTCGAACCTGGCGTCTAACACTTCATGTGCCTTGCCATCTTCGTCATTGGACCTGTCGTTCGACGATACTACATTGGATGGCGTCGAGGACGCATGGCGTCGTATTATGGGGAGTCCTGAAACGGAATCTCCATATATGGTGTTCGAGACTCGAGAGCAATTGGGTGATGATGATAATGGCATGGATGGACTATAATGACATCTTTAGAGGCGGCGCGTTAGGAGTTTGCAACATACCCATGAATGAATTATATGCTATTTTCCGAACCTCTTGCCGATCTACCGTAGTACCTGACAGCCAACACGAGGCAATCATGTGCCGCAAAGCGCTTTCGCCTGGCTCAATTCCGTCCGATCAATCACGGCCCGTGCTACCCTTCGGTTGAGCGGGCCCGACTATGCCGCCTTGGATCGAGACCAAATCGTGAAGCTTCTGCCAAGCTGCCACTATCGATCCAAGGCGGCATAGTCGGGCCCGCTCAACCGAAGGGTAGCACGGGCCGTGATTGATCGGACGGAATTGAGCTAGGCGAATCAGCGACGCCCTGTAAGCGCCTTATGCATGAAGGAAAGACGGCCACCACCGAATAGCTCCATGCAATTGGTGGCGATGGACGTGATCGTCACCACCGTCACAGTTGTTTGTGGGTGGTGACTGAAGGGAAGAATCCATGTTGCCAGATCATACCCTGATCTGTGCTGGTCAGTCAATGGACGACTCTAACGCCCCCCCAGCTGGCCCCAGTGGCCCTCCGGCTTGTCTTGCGGTATTTTGCTGCACCTCCTTCCACTTCGTCTTCAGCTCCTCGGAAAAGGTATCTGGTCTTGCGCTGCCCTGCCTTTCACCTAGCACTGCTAGACGGTAAAGGTTTCCCAGGTGCGCCGGCACTGAGTTGGCTTGCATATATCTACGCACCAGTCCTCCCCCAGCCAGAGTTTGGGCACTCACGGAGACTTCGGCATCCGACTCTGGAGGAGAGCCCAAGCACTCCATCAAGCTCAGTTGCATAAGAGCGGGACAATTTTTCAATGTTCAGCCACTCACAACTGCCGATCTCCACCGTTGTCCCAAGTCAACTAGCCTGTCTATCGATCACATTGGCTCGATCAGTAAAGCACCATAACATTACTCGGGTTTTTATTGGACTACTCTACTACAGGGATAGCGACGATCATCACCCTACATACATTTATTAAGTAGTGTAGGAACCTCCCGTGCTTCCGAGCGACTAAGTTCGGAATCTGGTGATGCATTCATTGGGAACGACGAAAGAAGAATACTTTATCCCAGTCGCATCTCGCCTTCCTCTCTGTTGCTCTCCCATTTTTACGTGTCTAGCGATTTAGATGGCTGTGTCGACACTCGCTATATAATACTCACTTGAGGAATCTGGCATTTCTCTCAGACGTCTCGCCGCTTACTCCCAATACGAGTCGATATACCCTGTTTGCGATTGAGCGTGGGCCACTTCCAGCCCAACCTGCCATGAACCGCAGCGACCAGTTTTGCAGCCACATCGATGAGCTGTGTCGGAGGATCGAATAACGAGCCACAGACTCTGTGCGCCTCACGGACCTGAACACCAACGAAGCCGCCTCCGAAGCGCACCGTTACCTGCAGGATGTCGACGTTGATAGGAAAAGGGGTGGAGGGCGCATCAAATACGGTTGTGGAATTAGCAAGGAGGGTATACATACCGACGACGGAGTCGAGTCTACCGGGCCAAATCCAAGCAAACACAGTCGATCCGTGGAAGGATGCTGGAAAATATGCGCTGGGCTGGACATACTTTTGCGCGGTGATGGTGTTTCTGGTCTCGGCGACGCGTGTATACCACTGGTGGACAGACAAGATGAGACAGGCGCTGTACAAAACAGAGGTGCAAAAACACATGCTGGCCTATTCGCCAGAGTCAGAATATGCCATGAGCAATATAGGGACAAGCAACACGGTTGACCAGCTCTTCCCGCGCGAGATTGAGAAGCCAATTCGACCGGACTATCAATCGTCTGCTTCTTCGATAAACTTCATCAATGATACGCTGGCGTTATTTCGATGGATATTCTATCGCCCAATTCCCGAAATCAACTATTATAAAAAGAAGCGCCTCAGTTTTCCCTCCCTGGCAATTGTGGGCATCATTTTCATCGCATTGGCGTTCGTTGCTCTCTACTGCTTCCTACCACAGCCTCTGTACTGGCAAAGCATGGCTTTCGGCTCTCCTCCCGTTGCTATCCGAGCCGGGATGCTGGCTGTGGCCATGACTCCATGGATTGTGGCTTCGTCCATGAAGGCAAATTTGATAACGATGTTAACTGGGATTAGCCATGAGAGACTGAATGTCTTACATAGATGGGGCGGATACCTATGCTTGTTCCTCGCACTCGTGCACACAGTGCCATTTTACATGCAGGCAGCCAGCGATATCAAGGGATATGAACAGTTCCAACTCCTGTTTCCGAATACCAGCGGATACATCTTCGGAACGGGAATCGCCTGTCTCATACCACTAGGATGGCTCTGTTTTGGATCTCTGCCATTTCTGCGCAGCATGGCGTACGAGTTGTTCCTCATACTTCATGTCCCGGTCTCAGTGGCATACGTTGGCTTACTATTCTGGCATTGTCGCAACTTTCTGACGTCTTGGAGTTACCTCTACGCCACCGTTACGATCTGGGCACTCTCTTATTTCATCAGAGCGTTCAATTTGAACTGGATGAACCCAAGGAGGCTATCATTCCTGGTTGGCGACGAAGCGGCTATCCAGCTGATGGCCGAGAATGCGATCAAGGTCACCATACCAACGCAGATGAAGTGGCGCCCTGGCCAGTTCGTATACCTGAGAATGCCAGGAATCTCCATCTTCGACAACCATCCTTTCACGATTTCGTCGCTGTGCAGTGAAGATTTCCCATCTGATTACGGCGAGTTGTACCGCGATTGCACTGTAGTTTTCCGTCCATTCGGTGGGTTTACTCGCAGAGTGCTTGAGACAGCAACCGAGAAGGGCCCATTCCAGACGTATCGAGCCTACCTTGATGGGCCGTACGGTGGGATGCAAAGAGAGCTTGCAGCCTTTGAAACAGTCGTTTTGATTGGAGGAGGAAGTGGTATTACAGCAATTGTTTCACAGCTCTTGAATCTCATCAAGAGGATGAGAGATGGGAAGGCGGTGACCCTTAAGATCGAAGTTATCTGGGCGTTGAAGAGGCTTGAGGCGATGGATTGGTTCCGAGAGGAGCTCCGCATCTGCCGCGAGTTTGCGCCACCAGACACAGTGACTTGCCAGTTTTTCGTGACTGCCGCTGTAAGACAGAGCAGGATACAAGGATTTAGCGAGCGCGCACCAAGGCCTCTAAGTAACATGTTCCATGACAAGCTGGACGGCTTTGTGGCGGGCATTGCGTCGAAAAGGAATTCGGCGCTGATCCGAGATGAGGCACAGGGTGATCCAGAGAGAGAACGCGAATTGAGAGAGGAAGATCAGGATGCTATTACAGCCTTACCGCGCCAGAAACACCTACAGCCAACCGTCTTCCCACCACCTCCAAAGCAAATCTTCAATGGCGCCCCAGCTGATCCGGGCTCTGCACAAAGGGCATCACTTAGAGCCCTAGAAGGCCGCAGAGAAAGCTCAGACGATGAGCACTCCGCCACGCGAAACTACCTCTCGCCGAACTCATCAAGGCTCAGCAATCGCGAATTCCACTTCCCTCCTCCATCTCCCGGCCGCAACGCACCATACTTCCACTATGCCCCGCCATCTCCAAACCGGGCTTCTTTCCCTCCCCCCCCACCATCTGACGGGCCCCAATCACACCAATCAACACCATCCCAAGGCTCCGGCGCCTTTCCTCCCCCACCACCACCAGCACATGTCCGCACCGGCAAGTCCCTCGACCTCTTTATCACCATCCCCTCAACCGGCGCACCCGCCCCCTCGGCAGCCGCAGACTTCGATTTCGGTTTCCCTAGCACACCAACCGAGTTCCAGAAGAACCTGATGCGCTTCGCCTTCGTGAATCCGCTCAAGAAGAAAGAGGGCTGGTCGACTGAGTACGGCCGCCCGGACTTGGCGTACATGCTCAAGGAGATGGCGACGGGTGGTGCGGATGGATGTGGCATCCTTGGGAGGAGGACGTGCGTGTTTGTGTGTGGACCGCCGGCGATGAGAATTGATGTCGCAAATGCGGTGGCGGGGCTGCAGGCAGATATTTGGGGTGATGGTAGTAAGGATGAGATTTTCCTGCATACGGAGAATTATGCGATATAGGCTTTTTGGGAATGGGATTGTATCTTGGCGGGGCGCATGGGGGTTAGCACGCATGATCGGATGCGATGGGGTTTTGATATATCTATTTTATACCATGGTGACTTATACAGTCGTCTCATTTCAAACTAATTGAATACTCCAAGATCCAATATTATACAACCGTGCACTTAACGAATGGTATCCGCAGCAAAACTCCACATCCCAACATCCCGTTCAATATCTCCTCTCCCTCAATTCAACCTCTCCCCTTACTCAGGCTTCGCCTGTTCTTGCCCTGGCCTACCCACCTCCTCAGCATGTTCAAACACACCACCCAATTCATTCCCCTCCCTCTTCACCCTCCCCGACCTATCCCACCCCTGCATTCCCCATCCCTGCTCTTTGAGATCCCTCTGGCGCTCCACCTCAAACTTATCATGACGCTTATTCTTAGAGCTCCAGAGGAAGGAGAAGAGCGCCGTGACGATAATGAACAGCGCGATGAAGCCGATCATGATTCCGATCTCCTGCCTGTTGTTCGCGTGCAGCATCGGCAGCTTGGGGGTTACGGCGACCATTTTCGCGGATGCGTGTGTGTTGTTGTGCGACGTTGAAATCCGGGATTGATGCGGGATATTGGGGTATTTATGGGTAACTGGTGATGGTTTTGTATCTGTTTTTGAGGTTCAAAACATCGGGGTTCGCGGTGTTCGAGGCGATGAAGTCCCTTTATGGAGTGGTGTGAGAGTGGTGTGAGAAGCTGGATTTTCTGGCCCCGGTTGTCATTGCGTCATAGATCGTTCCCGTTTACCCCTCGAGTGGCTGTTTTCCTTAGTGTAATGTGGGGGATTGTGGCGAAGGGAATAATGACGTAGTGTCCATTGGGGGGATTTTGCACTAGTGTGGTCGACCGTTGCGGACACTACTCGCGCCGTCGGCCTAGTGGTATAATGCGACCAGTTACAGAGATTATACCGGCATATAGACTCTTATGATCGCGTTTCTGCATGTCACGGACCTTTCCTCGCATGCCCTCTCTCAGTCAGATACAGCTATACTGTGCATCATTACTGCCTCGGCTATGTAAGTGTTGGAACTACGTTCCTAGATGTACGCTGCACAGTGTAGCTTGTATACTGGCTATATGTATATATAGGGCTTCGCACCCATAGTTTACCCAATCAAGTCGTCAAACTCCAATTATGTGTTCAACAGTAAGTGTTGTAGAATTAGTCGCCTGCTAAATGGCAAATATATTTATCAGGCAGACTAATTCGACGTGCTGCAGAGTTACCGAGTACAAACTGCGGTACTCGGTAACTCTGCAGCAGTAATGTGTGGTATACACATCGCTCGATTTAATATGTATTGCTCGGATTCTGGTTCCAGATCTTCGGCCATCACTGCGTAGAGAATGTCCGATGCGAGAGTAAACCAGGTTAGTTCCGTGTCAGGAGCTACCCCCAGGCTCTGAATGAGGAAGCAAATAAGATCGTGCATGGTGTATGAGAGTCCAATGGTATGATCTGCTTCTACTGCCTGCTCTAGCATGGATGCTTTTTTAAGCTGGTACAGCTCTTCTTGTCTTCTTGTCTTATCACCCAGCAAATTCCTCAAGTTGCGACAAAATGGCTGCTTTTGGACAGCAGGGGCGGCTATTCTCTGTCGCCTGAAACAACTCCAAGTGGATTTCTTTCGTGTTGACACTGGCGGGGTTTTTTTCGTATTTGAATGATGAGAACAGCCGAATTGGGATATTCTCGGGACACAAAAATGATAGGAGCCGCAGAAGATCCGCTCTACCATGATATTTCCTCAAGCTCTGAGAATGCAACATTGAACAGCCTTGCGAAAGGACGTATAGACGAGTCTATAGCGCTATAGCGGTGGCCCAAAACCTACATTACCGTGATGAAGAATATATCTCACGGGTCTGTATATTACCTTCATCTTGCCATCTTTGTTGCTCAATACCTCCAGGAGGCCTTCTAGGTGTCGACCATCTCTTTTCTGGTAAGAAGCCGCCTGGGCAATGGCAATAGGTAGATTCCCAAGAAACTGAAGGATTTGTCTTGCTAGCACTTTTGTCTCGTGTTGTCTCGATTGCAGGCGATAACGCGCAACTTTTGAGAAACAAATATAGAGATTCTGATTCCTGCATTTTTTCTAGCGGAATGCACCTTTGCCTTCCTCTTCTTTCCGTTATTTTCAGATTCGCAAGGTCTTCTTCATTACTGGATCCTTTCTCCAACTCGTGTATAATGGACAAGTTAACCATTAGCCAAGTCCATAAACTTCACAGCCGTCAAGATCTTATTTGCTGCTGTCACAGCCGTGGTCCCGGTGTGCATCAATGTTTTTATCAATGTATCTCTCAGGCCCGTACAAATTGAACTAAATTGAACTAGATCTTCAAGGGAAATTCTTAACGTCTCCGTCAATCACTTGCTACGGAACAAGATGGCAGGCTGTGTATTGCGCCTTGGGGTTGAAGGAAGGGACCCCAGGGAAACTCCAGCCGCGCTACTCTACGAATAGATATGTACTGAAGCTGAACTGGGGTGCGCATATGCATAGATAACACCGAATTATATCTGTATCCACCCTCGCCGTCTCCCACAGCTCTCCTCCTTTCCTCCCATCGACTATGTCCAACACCCATCAACGCCCCCTCTTTCGCGCCTACAACCCCCGCCCAACCTCTCCATCCGAAGAAGAACTGAAATCGACAGCAATCATGGGAAACAGCAGCAGTTCCCAGTACGACATACACAGCCTTATGCCCACCCGCGGTCCCTTGCCATCATGTAACAATTGCTAACGCATTTCTGCGTCCCACAGGACCGCGAACCGCAAGAGTTCCACAGTCTGCCCAAGTCCAGCTCGTGCCCCCAGCCAAGCGGCAGAGACCAGCGTAGCCCCAACACCCAGCAGCAAAACATGGGGTACAGGCAGCAGAATCAGAATGGAGGGCGCCAGCAACGTGGGTACAACCAGCAGCAGTATAGCGGAAACCGGGCTCTGGATGACAGGGACGACGATCCGTGCTGTTATGATGGGGAGTTTTGCTCTGTTGGCACAGATGGCCTTGTGCGGATTCGTTCCATGAGAGTTAGTTTTTTAGATCACTGTCAGCGCGATAGATAGATGAAATGATACCAAATATTTTTTTCAATCATGTGTTCAGCCCTTCTGCGTTAAGCATTGAGTGAGTGTGCAGGTTTGGATAATATATTCTAGAGCTGAGAGCAAACCCCTTCTATTCGACCAAAATATAACATTCATGGAAAGCCGATGGACAAACCGAGCTATCACATCCCAAAATCGCATCCCATTTCCTAGCCATTTAAGCAATGCACGGCGAGAAGGACTCACACAGCAAAATCCACGCTCCCTTCAAACATAGCCACAAAATCTACGTCAAACTCTTCCAGCCACTCCGGTCTGAGCACCTCCTTATTCTGTGGAATTTCTTCTCCCGTCTCGTCAAGGACTTCAGCCTCAGCATCAATCTCACAGGGCTCACAGTCGACTTGCTCATCCCCGCCGTTATCGTCTACCCGCGCTCTTTTCTCGGGCAACTGCAATAGATCCGCAGACCTTCCTCGCTTCAAAACCATCCCCTCACTCATACTCACTCGGCTACTGCTCGCCGTATACTTGTCATAGTCGACAACAGCATCCACAAAGCTAGAGGTCGCTTCATGCATTGGCTCTGCTTCAGGCATTTGCTCTCCCCCAGGCAGTTGCTCGGCTTCATAAAACAAACTGTCCGGGATATCGTCCCCAAAATCACCAAATGGAGTTCCAGCATCTGCCAGATCGGCCATATATCCAGGGTATGCATCATCAGCAGATGCATCGCCCTGCCCCAGAAGCCATGGCGGAGATGGGAGATCATTCCCACTCAAACCATCCCCATCAGTATCTTCGTTTGGGCCACTCTTCTCCAGGAATGCGTCGTACGGCTTTGTCCCATTTCCATACTGTGCCAGCGGTTTGTTGTTTCTCAGCGTCTGAACTGGTTCCGAATTAGACACGTTCGAGTGCAGAGCATGCAGCTTTCTATAGTCCCTTGGAGCAAACTTCTCATAGCGAGCGGGTGACCTATTTTCTGAAAGGTCGATAATCTCCATGTCGTTAAATTGATATTCATTCTTATCAAATTCTTTGAGTGCCAGTTGTTGGCCCATTGACTTGCTAGCAGATTTTGACACTTCCGCATCAGCGGTTTCTTCTGGCGTTTTCTTCGTCGCATCTTGTTTTGTCTTCTTCTGCACCTTGCGTGGCTTGTCCACCCCTTCATGGCAACACTTGTGCTTGCAAGTTTTACCGTTCTTTAGTGCATTTCCCCCTCCACAAATATGATTGCACATCCATTTACCATTGCCCATCTGGACTGGCTCTGGTCGTTCTGCGTCATCGTTTTCCTCGGGGACTGCTCTCTGCTGATTCGCAATATCATCAATATCAATGAACTGGTCAGGTACGACATTGTCATCAGCTGTGTGGCCAGCTGACTCCTCAGCACTCCTGACAGCAGCAAGCAAATCCTGGTCTGCAATATTGTCATCCCATTCGAAATCAGCGTCGCTGTCTCCGCCACCATCATCCGTGCTGAGAATAACCTTGGGAACAACCTTCTGCGTAGGCTGCACCACAGGAAAGAGCGAGTAAGGAATATTCGGTGCCAGAATCACAGACTGAACTGTCCCAATGATCTCATCACAGGCAAGGAAACAACTTATAGCATCACTAGAATTCGACAACTCGGTAGAAAAGTGCACTTCGAACCCCTTCTCAAGATTCTTAATATTCCCTCGCCAAAAGTGCGCCAGGTTACCGTTGGAGACGCCAGCCACGAAAGTCAATGAGATTTGCCGATGCCTCCAGAATGGGGCCTTTTGATTTTTCAAGCCAAGCCGTGCCCTGATCTTGACCTTGGGTAGTTGTCCTGATTTGACAATTCTGCCCATGATCTCTGCACTTAAAGCTAGGCGTGGGAATGATTTTAGCGAATCTAGTAGCTTATGGCCAAATGGCGGATTCCTGGTCAAAATCCGCTCAATCGTCGCGGAATCAGTCGCAATGAGCTTTGCAACGCTATTTATTCCACCTGTAACCATCTTCTTGACAGCTGCCGGCCCAATGCTGGGAATTTGCCTTAGCTGCAACGGGAGATGCTCCCAAAACTCCGCGGATATACTTCTTGACAGCTCTAAGGCATTCTGCGTTGCCAGTGCGTCGCAATCAACTGCTTTGCAGTCGACAACACATCGAACCAGTCGATGGATTCGTTCAAATACTATGGCTTTGTCGGTCTGGTACTGCCTCCTATTAAACTCCTTGTCGTTGGGAGTATCCACACCACCAAGTTGAACTTGTATGATGAGCGAAATCTTGTGGGCAGTCGTTGAGACATTCTGCTTGATCGGGTATTTGATAAATGGCGACTTATTGAACTCTCGGAACGCTGCCCGCTCTGTCGGTTTCATTCTCAGGTCTTTGAATTCTGAGGCTTGAGATATGATATGCAACTATCAAAGTTAGCTTCCAAAACTTAAGCTTGTGAGATTCACTAACCATTTGACCCATTCCCGCGTGTTCAGGGATGCTCAGTAGCAACTGCATGGTCTCAAATTTTACCATGTACCTTGACATTGCCTGGCCGTATTCCGTGCACGTGAATTTTTGGTCAGAAGTGACGAGCTTAGTATCTTGAAGCATCTTAATATCCCGCTCACAGACCTGTTCTAGTCTCTCGTCGGGGTCTCTACTTCCTGTATCACAACTGAATTTGTAATAAGTAGGGTTTTGCTTCATGCGGACACTCATGAACGTTCCGGCAAGCCATTGCTTTGCGGAGTATAGATCACGGACGGTACCAAGGCCAATCTCCGAGTTCAGATGTTCAATGAGATTCAAGTGCAGCGTGCTTTCAAGTGCATCCTGACCTGATATCATCCTTTTGTAGCGGTCAATGCTGGATTGTCGCGTCATGATTATTGCAACGGCAGAGTCATCGAATTGTGGTCTCCCAGCTCGTCCAAGCATCTGCATCACTTCAAGGTCTGGATACTCTGTAAGGCCGCCATCCTGATATCCGACTGTGCCTTTGAGAACCACCAAGTGACAAGGGAGATTGATACCGACGGCCAACGTTGACGTGCAGCATATGACTCTGATTTGACCATTCAGATACGATTTCTCAATCACTATTCGATCACCTGGATCCAATCCGGCATGGTGATAAGCAACGCCTCTGGCAATTAGATCTTGGAGATCTTTACTGCTCACTGGTACCCTCGTTGTGGGAGCAGGCCAAGCACGATCGACAACACGAGAGCTTGCCCACCATTCTGCAAGTTTAGCAGCAGTGTTCTCACAAGATTTTCTCGTGAAGCAGAACACTATTATTGGTTTCTTGTGTGTATATTTGGCGATAAGTGCTGGTAGTTTCCCGTCTAAATACGAGTCGAATGCATAGTCATTGATGTTGCTATCGAACCCGTGAACATGCTTCTGGAGCTTCACCGGGCGGAACTCTTCTCCAAATGTCTCACGATGAGCAGGAAGGTGGGTATTCGTGTGATCTTTTCCTAGCCACACCGCGATATCGTGTGAATTTGGTGCTGTAGCACTCAACGCCACAAACCGAACATTGGCACCAATGGACTTCATCCGCGAAACAACAGCTTCCAGAGTTGCTCCTCGGTTTTCTTTCAGGATGTGAACTTCATCAATAAGAAATAGCTTCACCAGCTGAAGCAACTTGATATAATCTTTCCACTTCCTAGTGATGCTGTCCCATTTCTCGGGTGTCGTAACAATTATCGTTGCACTTCCAACCTTTCGCATTTCTGCTGCGTCGGTGTCGCCAGTCAATTCAGCCGTGGCGATGTTCAGGTTTCCAAACTTAACTCCCCAATCCCGGGCTCTTTCAGAGCATAGTGATTTTGTAGGAGCTTGGTAGACAATTTTAAACTGTCCAGATGAATGTGACTCAATGAGCCTCACGATAGCCAGTTCAAGGATGGCAGTTTTGCCACCACCAGTAGGGGCAGAGACGACAAGATTATCATCGCTCTTATAAGCCACTGGGAAAACCTTGGATTGTACGGCATTGAAAAGTGGGAATGGAAAGACGGACCGAAACCTGTCAGGGAGCTCACGCGTTGATGCCAACTGGATGCCATTTACCATGGGAGGGGCACGAGGAATATCAAAAGCGCCTCTGGGATCTAGAGTTTCGTGCGGTGGACTCTCTTCGTATACGGGTTGGGGCTCCGGGGATCTTGTCCGTTGACTTGCACGAGCTTCTCGGCGCCTAACAATCCGTCTGGTTGGGCTGGATCCTGGGAGGTTCGGAGAAGGACTTCGGTATCCAGGTGGAGTAAAGCCCTGTCCAGCTGTAGGAGTTAGTCTACTGCATCTGGGTTACCGGCCGAAGAATCACTCACATAGAATGAAAGGCGGAGATGGCTGTTGCCTCCGCGGTTGAAGTTGGCTGAATCGATTATCGGCATAATGGAAGGCAGATGTATCGTCGGGTGAGCTTGGTGGTTGGGCTACCCTCATACTTGGAGGCTGTGTGCAAAGGTTTGCCAGTGTTGAAGCCCGATTTGCAATTCGGTGAGCTCCGTTTGGATTGCCATAAGTATGAAAGGCATCATCGCCCCCAATGGTAGATCCATGAGCAGTCAGCAAACTTCTGGGAGTGAGTGAGATTCGTGAGGTTCCAATGCCATGTTGCTGTATGGCATCAGATTGTAGGCCTTGTCTATCTGTACACCCACACGATTAGATCCGGGGCATACCATAGAGAATTGGAAGTAGCTTACCAAAGGTCTCCACAGCATATTGAGGTGGTCGTAGAATTTGTTGCTGTGAAGGTCTAAAAGAAAAAACATCCTGGAGGCTCCTGCTATCGCTGAAGTGACGGCTGAATGTTGGCTGAGCTGGAGGTAGAGTATTCGCACGAGAAAATGGAATCATGGGATACACATCATCCTGAATATTTACACTGGCATTGTCGATGATCCTCTGCATCCGTGGATCCATTTGGAACCCCATAATGAGGCAGGAGAGAAGGAAAACTTAGAGGAGCAGCATTGGAACAAGAGGCATTTCAGAGATGAACATATATGAGAGAAGATTAAGAGAGTGATAATCACTGGAGGCTAACTTATCAATTGGAGATTATTTCAATGGCAGAAATTGAAAACTGAGGATACAGAGACTCAGCTGTAAGATGTGGACAATTGTGAGGTTGAATATTGGAATCGAAATCGGTGAGGTTGGACGGGTTGGGACAAGGGGCTTTCGCCAGATGCTCCAGCTGTACTGGGAGGTGCCAGTACCTGACATAAAACAACAACATTCCAAATCACACATAGCAATATGCTGGGCTCTTTCGGCGCATTTTTCTCAGACAAACGAATCTGGACACCTACATATAGTTGCTGATGAGCTGGATAGAAATGAACCCTGCATCCAGGTTCAAACAGAAGGATATAGTGTGAAAGTCGCAGGGAGAGAAAGGGTAGTAAAATACCTATCCATAATACTCAAACAAATATATTTCTATAAACTCCATCCAAATGGAACGGAAATATATCTCACATCCGGCCCACCTCAGCTGATTTCCAAAGCCTCGTCTAACTGGCCTCGCAATCTTCGCTGCCCAAGATCCCTTTCATGCAAAATGCTTCCCTCCAGTCTAACCGCCTACCCTACCCTCCTGACTCCTGGTATCACACCTTGCCGTCGTTCGGCATTTCCATTTCGAATCCTGCCTAGTTTAGTTTTTACCGTTCCTTGCCCAGTTGATTTACATGCCCATATATGCAGCGAGAGAATTGACCATTCAGTCTTCTCGCTTGCCTTTCCAGGCGGCGCCCGTCCTCGGTTGGCCGATTGGCGAACTTGGCCGGCTCGTGCTCAGGCCCGCTTTGTTCGTATTCATTATTCCTAATGGGGTAAGAAGGTTCTTCTTGTCTTCAGCGGGAGTGTAGCCGTTGTCAATCGTCGTCTTCTCGTAGGTTGCAATGTTGATGGGCGGTGGGCGGGAGCGGCCCTTGTCATTAAGGCTGTAGAGGTATGTTGCAAAAATGACCACCGCAGTGCCAATGAGAAACTATAATAGGTCAGAACCGCTTCTCTCCAGAACTTGTTCGGGGATGGCTGAGACTCACATTAAGCGTAACCTTGAAGTCGAAGAACCAAACGCTGAACAAAAAGCTCAAAATAATGCTGATACTTGTTGCGAAGTTCTTCGCAATGTTATCCGCGTAGTTAATACACATTGCCACCAAAACACCACCAAGCGCCTGGAACGCAATTGCCGTCCAGACGACAGAATTGTAGCCCGCGAAAAATCCGTTCTTTGCAATTTCGCCGCCGTCTTTGTACACAACTCCGATGAGGAGGGCAGGGAAAAGGGAGTAGAATGAGAGCTGAACATTGCGTGTCCAGACTGTGATGGACGCCGAGCTATCCTTCAAGACCTTCTCGAAATATACACCTGTCAAACCCGAAATAACGGAGGCAGTCAGGACGGCGATGCAACCGAGGGAGTAATTCATGGCTGCCTTTTCATGGCCAAGATCCTTGTCGATGCCCTCATAAGTAGCAGAGCGCTTTGTTAACGCCGAAAGACTTCTCTTCGTTACTTCATCTGCGACATGATGGGCCGCCTGTCCAACCTCGTGGAATGACCGCGGAAACGCGAATTTCGACGCATCCTCGAAAATGGTGGCGTAAGAGACCTTATCGGAAGATGGAAGCTGCACGATGACAACACCAATAGTGAGTAATACAAGAGCGGTCCATTTCCGTCCAGAAAGTGAGCGTCGAAGCATGGTTACGCTGAAAAGGGCAGTGGTAAGAATCTAGAACGCACGGATTGGTTAGTTTGTTGTATTTGTCTCGAAGAATGGGGGGGAGACCTTTAGTTGATACAAAATTTGAAAGTGAACAGCATCCAAATTGCTCACTGCAATATACTGGAGAGAGTTTTGAAGGGTATATAACGACGCGGGAATCGCTAGCTTCCAGCCATCTCCGGAAAACACAGAGTTGTAAAGTTGTTCAAATAGTGTCGTAGATGGCGTTGATGGCGGCATTGTCCGCGAAATATCGTATAATGCTATGGTTAAGCTGACAGATAGTTTGAGGACTTCGTTCAAGAGGACCGCGGTGGATGTGAAGTAACGGTGCCCACCAATAACGGGCATGATGCGGGAGTAATGCATAATCTAGTTTTTATCAGCCGCCATCCCATGTTCTCACAATCGACCGTATGCAAGTTCGGTAATTTCATAATGGGAGTAGATCGCAAGGAGACATACGAGAATGAGGGCGGAGTTTTGGAAGGTGAGCTGGAGGCACTGTGGTTAGTATGACTTCATCATTGTTCTTGGGGGAAAAGAGCTCACGGTGATTAGGGAAACATGTTTCATTGGCACCCCATAGAATGTCGCACTCTGCGACTTCTCCCCCGGTGCCATGGTGAGTTTCTTTTGAAGTAAATCCCAAGGTTGGGTTGAGCTTCGTCGATGCGCCCAGCAGTCTCTCTGTCTATCGGCTGCCCGTGAACCGACCAGGCGCAACACAGCTGCAAGCCTCTTTTTCTTCCCAGCAAAGCAAAAAATATGCAGCGAGGTCAGAACCAGTGATGAGAGTTTCACCCAAATCCACTTTCTTGTAGCCGTGCAGAGGAAGAGTTGAGGAAGCGTTGTGCAGCGTCCGTGAAACCGCAGAGACAATGAAGGGCACAATGAAGGGCAAAGGGCCGCACAGGGCGCAGTTCTAGAACTGTGGATAAATCGTGACAGCGCGACAAAACGCACTCACCCACCAAAACAGGGTTAGTCCCCAGCGTGTGAGGGAGCTCACTTGGCGCCACAGCATTACTCGTACTTTGGATTAATAAATGTACTCGCTACCTGTAGTAGAGTAGTCCAACAAAAACCCGAGTATGTAATGTTATGCTGCTTTGCCACTCGTGCGTACGCGACGCGTTATTGAGCCGCCATTAACTCCAAAGCGACAGCCAGAGCTTACTCGAGATGAACGTCTTCGGATTTATACTCTATATAATGATGCAAAATGGTCAACATACGAAGCTGTTATTGATGCTAATGGATGGCATACAAAATATTAATGTAGATTATTATTTCTCGCAACTTTTTAAAACAGCGGAGAGGTGGAACTACTCGTACGTACATGGGTCCCTTGTTAACAATTACGAGTACATGGGGTTTAGCGCCGTTTCCCCGGCTATTACGAAGATCTGGGTGGGCGAGATCGGGAGGTACGTACCGCACAGTCGAGGAGCCTACATGTGACATTTTGGCTACCGCTGTCGTCCATTATGGCAGCTTTGTTTGAGTGCAACATGTAACAACAAACTAATGAATAAATTCAACCACACAGTGCTATATATGCCAGATCAAGGATTTAAATCAGCCAGTCACTTATGAGTCAATATAGGAGAGCTTTATTGTTATTTTACGAGCTATAAATGGTCCCTCTTCCGACATTACGGTGGCACAAGTACTACACAACCCAATTACCCGCAGTCATGTAAGGATACAGCACTCGGCGAGCTCATCGATAGCTCGAAGAGCTCGGGCTTTGCAAACGGGAGATATAGTGGATAGGGCATCATATCTAGTTTGGTAATCCGATGGCAATAGTGTGTTTGATTGATCGCACGATCGCATTTCTTTACTGTCGATATTCTTCAAGTGAGGGGTGGCAAATTCAAATGTTACAAGTCACAGTACAATATTGGCACACAAACAAGATAGCTGCCATCGGTATGAGGGTTATATTTCTACCATCTGCACTTGGGTAGCAGTACTACCATCAAGCTATCCTATTCCGCGACCAGTACAAGTTCCCAGTCCCATATCATTATTACCAAGACTCCTTTTCATATGCCTCCCAAGTATGTGTATACCCATCATGCGCCATCGCGATGCAAAAAAGATAACAAAAAAGAAAAACGTATCATGAAAATCATCATCCAAGGGTAGTGCCCCTGAACTTCCCAACTATCTAGTTGCGGTACCCTAGAAAGCGGGAGATAATGTTCTGGCTGCGGCCCATTCCCATGCTCATAGCCATGCGGGCACGGCGGGAGGACTGCTGGGTAGCTTGCTCAATATCGTACATGGTGGTGATGTCCGGTTGGACTTTGCCGTGGGTGGGAGCGGCGATGTAGACTTGCTCAGGGCTCATCGTAGGAGCGACTGGCAGGTAGTAGTCATCAGACTGGCTGGGGAACATATCGACTTTGAGATCTTCCCGGAAGGAGTTCATAGACGGAATTCGTGATATCGGTGTGTTTGATCGGCTGCGGCTGGACTCTCGAGATGAGTGGCCGGAGTAGCATCCCATGCTATACGAGCCGGTGGTGTCGGCGGTGCCGCTGCGGGAGAGATCCGGAATATCTGATGCGGATGGTGTGCGACGCTTGAGGAACTCGGCCTTGTATGCCTTTGCTGAGTTGTACATGGCTCTTGGCTGTGCCACTGTTGGCTCACTTGTCTCCGTGCGAACATTGAAGTCGTCCAAGGCAGGGCGTGCGATTCTCAAAGTGTTGCGTTCCGCCTCACGTTGCGCCAGGTACTCGCGATGGCGGTTCTTGATCTGTCTATCTTCCTCGATAGCATTGCGGATGGGATCCAAGAAGTGCTCAAAGTGACCCTCAAGCTCTGCGAGACCAAAGTTGAGATCCCAATCCAAAAGGTAGAGGAGTTGTCTCTCCATAAGGTTGACCTCGTTCCCGGAAAAGCCGAATTGGGAAAAATCTTGGTACAACGTCGAAGGTACCGAGGTATACCCAGCCCAATGTTTGTTCTTTGGGGAGGAGTCGTTGAGGAACTTGGCAGAGAGGATAAGGCACGCGAGGAAGATGCGGTGAGTCGTGCATCTTAAACCCTTGGCAACGGGTGGGAGCTTCTTCTTAAGACGGTGAAGGTACAAAAGAGTGGTCATCAATGTCGGGACTTGAACGTTTGAGTGGATAACGAGGGAAGTGATGAACTGCTCGAGAGATGGGATCTTGAGGTCGGCAGCCGACAGGGCTGGTGGCGGCGTTGTTGGCGGTGTGGGGGTTTGAAGCTGAACCTGTTCTGTGGTGGGGAAAGTCTCACACTGAATGACTGCCTGGGCCATCTCGGCGAGGTATGAAATCATATCCTCTGTAACCGGAGTGCAGACGAAGTGGTCGAAGGCGGCATCCTGATGTTGGGGACGGCGGCGTGTGGAATCCATTGCGAGATGTTGGTAGATGATTCGTGAAAATGCTGGTGCTTTGAATGTTGAAAGTGAGAAAAATGAAGTCCAAAGCTAACCAGAAAATGTCGGTGTGCGAAAAAGAGGAAAGTATCTACTGAAGAAATAATCCGCAGAAGATATAAGATGAGGCTTAGTATTGATGGGTACTTCAATACACAGCCAGGTGATTGTTGAGCGTGCGAATGGATTTAACAATAGGGAGTTCCTATTGACTATTGGCGACAATTGCTATTGTCGTTTTGGCGGTGGGTTGGTGCGCAAGGCTGATGCTACAAGAAGGCTGACTGGTGGATTTCGAGAGGACCAAGACGCTGGGGTTGACGAATAACAAAAACGAACTTTTTTGGCTGCGCAAATGCGTAATCTGACCAGCAGAATAAAAATTAAGGATTATAGATATATCGAAGGAGTTCGAATAACAAGGCTTATGAGAGTATCGTTCAAAAAAGGAAAGGCAAAAAGGAATCCAACACCGGGCTAGAGATGACGAGGCAGGATATCCCAAAAGGCGGAAATGAGCGACCTTAAAAGCCTGGAGGCTTCTCAATGCAGCTGGAGTTTGGCCTAGTTGGCACTGGAGAACGCCTGCGTCAAACGGCAATGTGCAGGGGTTGATAGGGCGAGGCAGTGCTAAATGGGGAACCGAGGGCGCGAAGCAGACTCCTCTTTGACGCTCAGCGGCAACACAAACACGACCCTGTTTGAAAGGCCACCGGTACGGAGACCCAAAACTGGAGCGCGGCAATGAAATGAGCTCGCAAGGATATCGTGACTGGCGATGGAGAGCGGGTATCGCGTTGGTGGCGCAGGCTAGATGTTGTGGGAGGAGCTGGGTGAGGTTGACGCCGTTGTGAGGCTTTGTTGGGTCTGATCTGCTTGGCTGTGGCGAAGGATGGATGATACAATGCAGTGACAGGCTTCGAGCACAGTTTCGATCAACGAGGGCGCTTGGGTATGATTCTGTGGGTTTTTGTGTGTTTGAGATTCGACTGTGACTGTTGGTCTGGTATCGTCTGTGAATGTCGATACACCGGTCGTGGTCAATCCTTTCAATGATGGTGGTGAGAAACGAGCAAGGTCTTACTTTCGTCGTGACAAGACTTCAAGCATACAGCAATGAGAAAGCGATCGAGGACGACGAGGTGGGCTACGTGGTTCTACTTATTCGGAAAGACCATAAGAAGGGCATTGTATTCTGTCACCTGTTTCAATTTTACAACACCCATTATTCCATTATTTTTCAGACATCCTGCAGCCCTGGCAACGCCAACAAGGTGCCAACCCGAAATATGAAGTCTAACGACTGCCTTGTGCAGAGTCGTAAGGGCCTACGCCAGCTCCGTTCCTATGGTTGGCCCAGGACTCTTCGCGGCTTCTCTCGCGTGGTCCGGCACGGAACAGGCCTGTGGGATCTCAAGAATCGGGAATAGCATGTACTCGCCTCACCAACATTAACTGACAAGTACTCAGAACCACTGAATTCGGCTTGGCTCCCAGCTTCTCTCTCCTTGCCATCCTGGTCCTAAGACACTATACGGCCATCTGACTGGCACACTCGGGGGCATTCAAACTACACGGCCGTGTACACGGCCGCAAATTACGGCTCTTCATTGACTTCACTCACATGCTTTACCTGTATCGTGACTGGATCACAGCGTACCAGCAACGCGGTGGACTGTGCCGTTTCAGAATCTAGGGGGCGCCATAAGCTGACCAGCAGGCCACCAGCTGAACAGGCATCGGACGACGACGAAAGAGTCTCGTCCAAACAATAGCCCGTATGCTAAGCAGAGACCTTGTCCCGCTTCGAGGCAACAATGCTGTCAAAATGTCTTACATGGCTACCTAAAGGAGCCACGCCACGAGAGACAGTGGAGTAGCTGGCAATAGAGTATTCCAGAGTCGCTCAGAAAGTGACGCCTCAGGCCGTGGCGTAAAGTATACAAATACGCGTCGTCGATCTTTAGTCATTTCATGCATTGTTGGCATGAGAAGGGACAGATATTCAGCTTCGGAGGCCCCAAAGACAATGCGCCATCTCATCTCCAACTCTTCCAGCTCTTCATGCGAGGGGAGGCCACAAAATTGCGCACTTTGTTAGGCGAATTACGAATGTTTCAAGCAAGGCTATTTACCATATCGGCCATATACCTGCGATCGCCTTCGACATGATTGATGTACATGAGATCTACCAGGTTGCGATCTCACCACAACACGACCGCAAGGGCTGTTGATTCGACTACCTTTAGGAATTCTGAAACAAGCTGGTAAACACAATGTTTTGACATGGGAAATTGGTATGCACACCAGTTTGGACAACCGTTCGGATAACATGGCACAAAGATTCGCTGATAGCATAAGCTTAAGGGGATGCCAGCACACAGAAGTTATGCGCAGGGTGTTCTGCAGAGCCCTGAATTGTGAACATCTCAGCCAACCCCTTTTTTGTACAGGCGCTACGATGCATCATCTCTCCCTTTTTGCCTGCAGTGGTCTACAGAAATCAGGAGTAAGGTGCATAAGTCTTGCTGTCCCGTAAAGGAGGCTTCAGGCAAGGAGGTCTCCCCGAGAAGCAACTATCGAAAAACCAAGAAATAGTTTACATACCGCGTAATCGGACAGTGAACCCCAGACCCCCAAACGAGGCTATGTCCACCGCGCATCCGCCGTTCAAGCCACCCGCATCTTGCCCGCCACACCAATATTTGATTCGCTAGTCTCGTCCCGTGTTGAAACAGCCACCCAACCAATCGTCCATCTCGCCTGTCGCTGCGCTCACGACTTCCCAGGCTCGTGACGGCTATAAGCCAGCTGGACGGCCGCATGATATACCCAGCTGTGCTGGCCACGGGTTATGGTGTGGCCGAGGTGTGCTGTGGCGAGGCAACTTTAGGGGGTCAAGACCCTAACCCTAGAACGCTTCATGTGAGGAACGTGCTCGTCCGAGGATGCTCGTGATCGTCAACCCCTAGTCGCACAATGCAATACTCGAGCACAATCAACGCGCAGATTTGTACGGAGTACAATCATCCCTTGATCTCCAGACGCCTTGGAGGGCAGTGTAGCGTCGTTTACAGCACTTATCCCAGGTACAAGCGCACATCGGTCTCTGGTTGGCTACTTCGAGGCGGGCGCTAAGCGCCCGAATCCTACGGCCCCTCGTTTGACGCTACCCCTCCACGCGTACATCAAGCGCCTACCTCCCCTCCTCCATCCCAGCGCTTCGAACGTCCCCTCCGAATTTTCCAGTTTATTCTTGTAGCGACAGGCAAGCGCCTTCTCAAACGGCGCTGCGCTTACGCAGCGTGGGGGCGCTTGACGGTGCCACAGGAACGAGTATTTATAGATCCGGCGCCAAGATTGGACTGCCACAATGCAACCGTGGTTCTGGAATGTAGGCGGGTGTTTGGAAACGGACATAGCTCTCTATGCAGAGGGTTTCAGCGCCGTCTGTTTACATCCAAAGAGTAGTGATGACTAGTTTTCAGGAGCTCTTGAAGGATATTACTCTGGTATATCGTGAGTGACAGCGAAAACCAAAGCATGAGCACGCAGGATGACAATTGATGAAGGTAAGCATTTGTTAAGGGAATTTATACTCTTGGGTTTATTGATATTTAGGTTTTGTGCATTAGATCGTAGTTTGGTAAAAAGTGTATTATTTGTTAGTATGCCTAGGAAATAAATTATATCAGATAAACTATTCAAAATTATATTCTAAAAAACCACGAGCTATTATTCTTTGTTGGTCGTCGATAATATTTGAGCATCAAAATGACGTGGCGAGCACAACATAGTATTGCCGTGTTCGGGGATGATATAGAGAACTTTCGACGTGAAAGAAGGGCCAGAATACCACCATTTTCAATCACCACATGGACGACTGATCTTGTCACTACACTTCTGTCGCTACACCTCTTGTCACCCACCACCGTCACTCGTAGCATAGAAAGGGGCGATTATGAGTATCCTCCGGATCTTTTGTGATATCCCCAGTGCGGCACGAAAGGGTAAGAGCTGATAAGTATTCAGTCTTTGGTGAGCCTTCTGCGTAGGTGAGAGTCTTGGACGCCTTCTTGGATTTGATTCGATTATTAAGAGCATGTCCATAATAGCTTACATACTGCTGAAGCCGGCAGCGATGAAGGGATTTGGATGTTCCCTGAACTCCATATCAGAGCTGTCGAAGCCATCTTCGGCGTCGTTGCTGTTGTCCATATTGAGTAGGTAGACCGTAGAATCAAATGTGAGCTTTTCGGTTTGCATATCCATTCATCTCCATCTCCATCTCCTCTCCTGTTGTCTTTTAAACGATTGTATTCACATTCATACACTATTCTCCCGCGTGTTATAAGCTGGAATGCCAGCTATTTTCACTGTGAACACCCAATAAATATAAAACAACTAGCATAAGACAGGAATGGCGGTATTTACAAACTTTACCATCTGCAGTGGTAATGGAGTTGAAAATTAATATTTTGTTACCTCACGGCGCACGTGTAGTTCCAAGCCCTAACGAAAGTGTGTCAACCGCGGGGTAGAAAAAATATTTATTCACAGTACCTTGCAGGGTTACAGTACGTATATCGCATCGCGTTCTCCATTCTACTGTCGCGTTTATATAAGTTCATGCCGCCGACCCGGAATAACTGAAATATTCTGGCTCGGAGACATCGAACTACGGCGCGGTCGTTGATTGATGTTATCTATCCACCGACCCCACCATCCCTCCTGACTTGTCGCCGCCTCTCGGACATCCATACCGCTCGCTAAGTTAGATAAGTTAGATATCCCGAAACTCGCATTTCTTGATCAACATCGCAGCTTCTTTCTTGACTCCTCTGCGCGTTTCTGTTATTGCATGCGACGATGTCAGCTACTCGAAGACAACAACTTTAAGAGGGAATTCAAGTGCGAACCCAGCCCTTTGTGATCACCGCCATAAGAACGCCCCTCAGAATGGGCGCCATATTAACGAATCGACAAGCTGAAGAGCTGTACGTTTATCTCGTGGTGGTTATAGCTGAAGACTTGATTGATGCTAACGATATACTCCCAGACACAAGTCGATCATAGCATACCTATCAGCGAATAACCTACCAAACACAGCTGCCGCCCTCAGGGAAGAATTGAGTCTTGGAGAAGATGTCTACGATGCAGCTACAGCAAAGAAATATGAATCGCTGCTGGAGAAGAAGTGGACAAGCGTCGTCCGGTTACAAAAGAAGGTACGAATAGAATGCAGTGTCTCCCCACAGTCTACCACTCTTGACCGCCCCTCTTAGTGATCTCTCTCTGACCAGCTTCCCATTACAGATAATGGATCTCGAATCCCGAAATGTGGAACTGCAATCCGAAGTCGACAATGCGACGCCTACCTCCCTATCCAAACGGAACCAAGACCCGACAGCTTGGCTTCCCAAAACCCCTCCGCGACACACATTGGAATCACACCGAGATACCGTCAACTGCGTTGCTTTCCACCCTATATTCTCCTCCATTGCGTCTGGATCTGACGACTATACCATCAAGATTTGGGACTGGGAGCTTGGTGAACTAGAGATGACAATCAAGGGCCACACGAGAGCAATTCTAGACCTTGACTATGGCGGACCGAAAGGTCGTGTACTGCTGGCATCCTGCAGCTCCGATCTGACTATCAAACTATGGGACCCAGCAGATGCCTACAAGAATATCCGGACCTTGCCGGGCCACGATCACAGCGTTAGTGCTGTACGATTCATACCTTCAGGGTCATCATCTGGAAACCTGCTTGTCAGCGCAAGTAGAGATAAAACCCTAAAAATATGGGACGTCACCACCGGCTACTGCGTGAAGACACTAAACGGCCACTCCGGCTGGATTCGCGCCGTCAGCCCTTCCTCTGACGGGCGTTTCCTCCTCTCAACTGGCGACGATATGTCCGCTCGGCTGTGGGACATCTCGGCTTCGAATCCAGAAAGCAAGCAGGCCATGTTCGGCCACGAGCACTACAATGAGTGCTGTGCATTGGCGCCACCTACCTCCTATCAGAACTTTGCCACCCTGGCCGGACTGAAGAAGCCCCCACCCGCAAGTAGCACGGCGGAGTTCATGGCCACCGGATCGAGAGACAAGACGATTAGGCTCTGGGATGCTCGGGGGACTTGCCTCATGACCCTAGTTGGCCACGATAATTGGGTACGAGACCTCGTTTTCCATCCAGGTGGTAAATACCTCTTCTCTGTGTCGGACGACAAGTCGTTGAGGTGCTGGGATTTGAGCCAACAAGGAAAGTGTGTCAGGGTCCTCCGGGATGCACACGAGCACTTTGTTACATGTATACGGTGGGCACCCGGGATTGTCAAAGGGGAGCAAGCGGCAGAGGAGCAAAATGGTGGGGCCGTTGGAACGCCGAAGAAAGCGGTGGCGCCTGAGGTTCAGATACGATGTGTGATTGCAACAGGGGGTGTGGATTGCAAGTTGAAGATATTTGCAAACTAAGGCTACAGTACAACTACGATATGCAGACCGGCAGCATGACATTGACGAGAGATTATACTAGAATGAGAGATGGCCGAGCCGAGACGCGGGAGGGCCTAAACAGAGACAAGGATTGCCACTGCGTCTTTGCAGGGGAAGGCCGAGATTGTGCTGGGAGAACTTTACGGAGTGGAATCGTGAGGATGTATCGGGAAAGATGGACCAACCAACATTGCTCCTGTGATCTTGGCAATCATAGATATTACTGTGCGGTATATGTGCATCCACGGCCGACATACTGGATCCCCATACCCAAAACATATCAGATTACAACACGCACTCGAAAGCTATGTCCAGTGCAGTTCAAGACTACCGACGAAGCGGGGGTGGGGACACAAGCTAGGATATCAGTGGCTTAGCTCAGAATGAAGTAACGAATAGCTCGAAGAAACCTCTTGATTGCTGGCAAAGCTATATGTGCTTGCAGTGGCTATTGTGGAAGCATCTCCTTCTATAGCGCTGGGGAATATGTGTCTTGAGCTTCAAAAGGAGCATTAGACAAATTAGATACAATGTATGCTACTAGAAGTCGACAAGCCTGGTTTTGGACTGTGGGTGGTGAAATAGCTGATCTGATGTTATGTCGTCTTGGCGGGCGTTATTTGGACGTCTAGTTTGCATGTTGCAGTAAACCACAATTCTACTCGCTCGTGTCAATGTTGCCTAAAAGTACTTTTTTGAACATCCTTGCATTCTATTTACTCTCCCCACCAACGCCTAAGCAACGGTGGCGTGATTTCAGCCGTGTCATCAGGAAATACATAGAAGGCGAGGGCGATTATACTGTAGAGTCCAAGGAGCTGATACTATTAGTATATGTTGGATACATATGACTGTCGAGAGAAACTTACCATGGAGCCTTCCATATAATTCGAGGACCCATCAACGATAACTGATGAGACAACGAGAACGCTCAGGAAGAATACAACTGTCTCGAAGGTCTCGAAGTGCAGCGTCATTGGCTGATCAATAATCCACCCCAGAACCACCAAGAACGGTGTCACGAGCAAGGCAATCTGCATAGAGCTTCCAACCGCAACACCCATTGCCAAGTCCATCTTATCCTTCAACGCCACTACAATAGCCGTGACGTGCTCGGCGGCGTTGCCGACGATAGGGAGCAGGATGAGACCCACGAACGTCTTCGAAACGTGAATTTTGGCAACGAGAGCATCGATGCTGTCCACAAGGTAATCGGCGCAGATGGCAACGGCGATGGTGGTAACGATCAGAACGAAGGTAGCAGCCCAAGGGCTCATCTGCGGCTCCTCAAGGTCGTGCTCCTCGTCATCCGTCTCGGTGCCGGCCTCGTGCTCGGCGTTGAAAAGGTTGGCGTGGGTGCGGAGCTGGAAGGTAAGGTATAGGGCGTATAGAACCAGCAGAATGATGGCGGTGCCGCGGGAAAGCAAGAGCATGGTGTCCTCCGTGTTGGCGCTGGAACCGGCGATGACGGTGTAGAGCGTGGCAGGGATGATTAGGGATGCCGAGGCAAGGATTAGCAGTGATGACATTGTGCCTGCAGCTGTCGAGTTGAACCTCTGCTCGATTCCTTGGACGGTGCCGGTGCGCGTGTTGTGGATGCCGCCGGCCACGAAGCAGCAGCCGAGGACGAGGAGGACGTTGGAGAGGATGCTGCCCAGCATGCTGGACTGGACAATGCGGATTTCGCCATTGCGGAGAGCAACGATACACACCTGGGGTTGGGTTAGCATGCATATCTCGGGCATCTCTTCTGATAATTATAACATACAATGAGTTCAACGGCATTGCCAAATGTCGCATTCATCAGTCCTCCCAGCGTCTGTCCCAATTTCATAGATATTTCCTCAGTGGCAAAAGAGAGAACCGCCGCCAATGGCATGATGGCAAAGAAGTTGAGCGCGAAGACCGTCACTGGATCCCATCCCGTCGCACCAGCAACTATTCCAAGTGGCACGAAGACCAGGAGGACGTTCACGTAGTTGCTCAGCAGCGTAATCTTCGTAATCGTGAACACTGTCGCAGGGTACCGGACCAATGGATTTTCGCTCTGGTCTCCAGGCGTGGACGACTTCGCAAAGACTGCGCTCCATGTATTCTCTCCGGAAGTATTGATATTGCCATTGAGCAGGCTGGTGCGCTCGTCTTGGGCCGGCATCTCGTTGTCGGCGACTCGTCTGTGGCTGTTCGATGCTGAGCGGATGAAGCGCTTGAATGCAGGAGATGCTGCAATTAAAAGTCAACGTCAGCCACCAGTCACTTATAACAGTCCGAGAGATTATCTGTAGGGAGTTGGAATAAATATCCCCGACTATCCCGCAAACTACGGTAGTGCTTGGCCATTTTGCGCAGCAGCACTACCACGATAGAGTAGCGGGTAATTAGGCGCTAATCACAACCAGAACTTGAAGCTGGTGGGCGACGTTGACCATTGGACCCACATGATACTGGGAGCAAGTCTCGCAGTTGCATCATAAATCTCCCATAAACTGCTCTAATCACTTGACTAGATAGCCCTTGATGGGATAGAATGAGAGAATTAGGCCTCGTAATTCTCCATGTGGACAAAATAGCTAACGTAAGGACGAAGAAGCTATCGAGGTAGTAGTGGGCGAGAACAGGGCGAACGGACTCTGCACTTGGGAATTGCAGCCCCAATCACAACATATCCGTAGAGTTGGGTTTCAGTAGGGAAACTCACAGGCCATATTGGATTCGCTGCAAGGAAACGATCGGGGTTGCGATTTAGGCTCAGTCGTTGCGCGGGGGAACAGCTGGGAGCTGGTGCGCCTCCTTGACTTGCGACGTCGTCGGAGTTTGGTACTGCAGAGTACTGTGGGCGTATTGGTTCAGGAGAGGGCCTGAATCGCGACAGGGTCCTGTGGGAGAATGATGCTGCGATAGCTGTGTTTCACCGCACGCAGATGAAGCTCCGTCAGGTCTCTAGTATGTACTGAGAGGGGATCAGCGAATGGAGAGATCAGTTTGCTTCAGTGGTAATTGCAGCCAAGAAGTTAAAATTGCTGATTGATGTCCTTCGTAATGTCAAAAGACTTATGACGGGCGAAGAGGTGGTGTTGTAGGAGAAACGGTGAACGCGCTTGGGTGGGGACAACTTTAGCTTGCTATAGGTTCCATAAAGCTTGGACTTTTGTTTGTTGCTGGGCGCTTGGTAGGCGGGTGTTGATGGATCAACATCTGTTCGACTGTATGGAGTATTTCACACTTGCATAGCCACACTTGGCGTTTGTTGGCAAGGAAAATGTGGCGGCATGGGAGCTGGAACGCCGGATATTTCACGTAGGCGTCACAACAACGCTCTACCTACAGGCACGGAAAAATGTATAGGCATGATGGGGACACAGATATCCCCAACATGTATCACGGCAGCTCCCAAGACGAGAGACGTCTGGGGATCCGAATCCATTTATTGGTATTTATACTTTTTGCTGTCTGTCGCACTATGTGCCACCCCCAGACAATCATATTTGAAGAACTTTCCCGAACGCCGTCGCTAATGCCAAAAGCTTTGAGAGTCTCTCGAATCTGTCCCATGCAGAACCGATACTCTATGATCCAATGAGCTAAGTGCACCCCGTAGACCATCCTTTCAGCCTCTCAAGTGGTCAAAATCTCTCAGCAGATGCTCCATATGAACATTAGTAGTCCGGCCATCCTTCCTCGGCGGCCTCTTCTTCTTATCCTTCGCCTTTGGTGGTGCCTTCACCCGCTTGCTTGGGTCCTCACTGGCAGGCTTTTGGCCGGCCTCGATAAGCTTCCTAACGAGGTCATCCGGATCTGCCAGTTCAATGCGGTGCCACATAGCCTCAAACTCGGGTTCAACAGGATGGCGTAGCGTAGGGTCATCGGCCCAAACCATGCGGGCGTGTCCGTCCTTCTTTGTTCGGGTGACAAGTAAACGATGCTGCTTCTCCAACTCAGTGATAGCATCCTCACAATCTGGCCAGCCGTCCTTGAGTTCCTTCACCGAAACACCCTGAGCATCCGCCTTCTTCTGTAAATACGCCAGAAGCTGATCTTTCGTTCGCACATTGATGATAGGTCTGTGCTGGAACTTGCCAGAATCCCATGCCTGTACTTTCTTCTTTGGGTCTGTAATCCATTCCAACCTTCCGTGTTTCCGAAGAATTGCAGCCAGAGTACGCTTTTGTTGATCAGGAAGGCCCATAAACGACATATACTCAAGAATTTCCTTGAAGCTTTTCGGCTCTCCCTTCTTCTTCAAAAATTCAATGATGTATGTGACTTGTGTGTATGAATCGCTGCCATAGCCTGTTTCTGACGGCTGAGAATAGACGACTGGCAGGGTCTCGCGCTTGCGCTTCTGATCTTTTGAACTCGGAGACGGAGTGGACTGGCTCGCTGAAGATGGAGATGGAGCAGATGCAGACGCTGCTGCAAATGTGCGCTTGTTAGAGACCCTCGAGGCAGCTCCCTGTACATTACTTTTGAATGCGTTCTGAGCCTTGTCTAGGTATGAAGACATCTTTGCTGTCGAGTATGGAAGTGAGCGGATGGTGAATAGGCCGCAATGTCGGTATGCTAAGTCGTCGAGGACGCTTTGGGCGGTTGGGGCCAAGGTCTCTCAAATCAGAGTGTTTGATGAGCCTCGAAGAGGTGAGGGGTTGTTTCCGCTCAAGTTGACTTCAGACCCTCAAGTTTGAGAAGCTCGCCTCTGGTGATTCGAGAAAGTTGTGAAATGCGCACACGTAGGCCCATGAAAGAAGATAAAGATACGCTGGTGATCTGTTCGTGGAGAAGCTCGACATGTTCGTAGTTGGTCTGCCGAGTTGGAACAAGGTGAATGACTCCGATAAGAGTCAAAGTCGGCCAAAGTCAAAGAAGCCGCAGCGACCTGCAGCCTCGCCAAATCGCGCTAGTGGAGCTTTCGACGCAACTGTTTACCGAAGGGCATACCAAGATCACAAAGGGAACTTCACTTCGAAAGCGCAAACCCGCCCTCACCATCGACAAACAGCGATCTAAGAGTGCTGGACACTGGCATTTGGGTCGCATGATGCTGGACTAGTGACAAACTTATTTTGTCTAGGAAACATCCATTGGTGACTCACCAGTCACACAATTCAACCACCTCACCTCACTACAGTCCCCAAGCACCACGCGAAAAATATCCTGATATATGCTCCTGGCTTGAGGTTTTTACGTCTCCTCTAGGGGACCTGTACTGAACATGGCAGCCGCCACGGTGGATATAGGGTTCCTCTCTGGATACCTCAACCTACCACAGCCGTCACTAACAGAGGCTCTCGACTCACCAACCACGGAGCTTGTCAATGCTGTCCTTCTTGCTGTAAGCACAAAGGCTCGTGAACACCAGGAGCTTGAAGCAGATAAACATCAGGTCGATACGGAGTTGGAAGCGGCTATACTTGGCTCAGAAACCAGAACCAAAGATTTACAGCAAACCGCGGATAAGGCCTTGAAGGAAGCAAATGTACTCCGAGAGAAGCTTGCCGCTGAAGGTACTAATTGAGCCAACAACTGTTGCAAACAGCTAGCTAACGGAATTGATAGAAACCGCACGCGTTTCACTCGACACGGAGCTTCAGCAACTTAAATCCTCGTCATTCACATCATCATCAGAAGCCGACAGCCTGCGCGCTCGCATTGCCAGTCTCGAAGGCGCGAACCGCGATACCCTCTCAATTGTGGCATCAAAGAGCGCTGCAAACGATTCACTTGCACAGGATCTCCAGAAACAACACCAGAAGGGCCTGGAGCTAAGTCAACAAGTATCGACGCTGCAGCAATCAGTACAAAACGCAAACTCAGCTCTGTCAAGCGCTAAATTCCGAGAGCAAAATGTGCAGCAGGAACTCGAGCAAGCGAAGAGGAATAACGAATGGCTTGACAACGAACTGAAGACGAAAAGCGCAGAGTCCTTAAAGCTCCGCAAAGAGAAGGGCGCACGCATTGCAGAACTACAACGACAAAATGAAGAAGCCACGGCCAATTTGGAAGCTGCCAAGCGCACCGAGACTGCACTGCGCACTCGACTTGAGGAGGTGCAGAAGAAGGCAGAGGAGTCTCTGGCTAAAGTCCAACAGCTCCAAGAAGTTGCGGCAAACACAGAAGAAGGGTTCAGACAGGAGCTGGAGAGTTCAAGGCGTCTCGCGGAGCTTCAAACGCAGCGAACCGAGACCCAAACCAACAGATTGAACGATCTAGAGGCACAGCTGGATAAAGAAAAGGATGACTTGGCGGCAGAGATTGCAAGACACCAACAAGATGCCGAGGCAGACTCCCAGGAACGAGACAGGCTAGAGCACCGTATCGCAGAGCTCGAAGCTGAAGTTGATCGACTCGAGGCTGCTGCGTCTGCAACATATCCAGCATCTGTTCCGGGAACTCCAAGACAGGGCCTCAATGGCTTATTCCGAAGTGGTTCACCGGGTGTTTTCGCAACACCTGGTTCTACGAGGAAGTCTACCATTACTGCAACACAAGCAATTGAAGAGCTGTACAAGGTTAAGGGTCAATTGGCAACGGAGCGACGAAGAACCGAGCGCCTTACTGCTGAAATGGAGGATATGATGCAAGGCCTTGAGGCGAAGCAGCCCGAAATCGAGGAAATGCAGCATGAGCACGAACGCCTCCAACAGGAAATTGTGGAGATGTCTAAATTCGTCGACGTGACCGGCAAGGAAAGAGATAGGGCGAAGAAGGATGCAAGAAAGGCTCTCAGCGAAGCCAAGACATCCCAAGCTGAGTTGGAGATCCTTCGACAGCAGTTGCGCGACCTCAGTGTCCAAGTAAAGATGCTCCTATGCGATTTGGATGCTCAGCAGAGAGGAATGGACTCCTTAACAGGGCCAGAACGCATGCAGCTCGAGCGCCTGGCACGGGGCGAAGTTAGTGAAGACGCCCTTCAAGGTCTCACTGACACAGACAAATTTATCAGCCAACGCCTTACAGTGTTCCGAAGTGTAAGCGACTTACAAGATAAGAACCTCGAGCTACTGACACTCACGAGAGAACTCGGCGCAAAGATGGAAAGCGAGGAGGCTCTAGCTGAGAAGCACAAGGCCTCGCAAGACCATGAGATGGTCCAGCAACTGGAAAGGAAGGTCGAGCAATGCAATGACGAGATCCGTTCTCTGGTTGCCAGGTCCGAAAGCTACATCAAGGAGAGAGATATGTTCCGACGTATGTTGCAGCATCGTGGTCAGCTACCTCCGAACTCTGACCTCGAGTCTGTTTTCGGCCAATCCGTCAATGGCGAGGTCGTAAGCAGTGTCGAGGCACCAAATGCGAAGGACAGTGCCAATTACGCAACTCTGTTGCGCGAGCTCCAGAGCCATTTCGATCAATACCGAGAGGAACAGTCTATTGATCGCCGAACTATGAAAGAACAGGCCGGAAAGCTTGCGTCAGAGAAGTCTGCACTTCAGTCCGAGATTGCCAAGATCAACAGCCAACTTACACTCGCCAAGGAGCGTTACGAAATGCTCCACGCTAACTACGCCATGCTCCAAAACGAAAACAGTGAGCTTCAAAAGCGCTCTCAAGTTCTTTCCGAAAGCGCAGCAAAGCAAGATCTTAGGACCCAGCAAGTTGCTGAGGACTTGATCGAGTCAAAGGGACTTGTCGAGAGTATGAGAAACGACATTGCCAATCTCAAGGCCGAAAAGAAGTTATGGACTGAAATTCAAGGACGTCTTCACGAAGATAACAACAATCTGATGAACGAACGAAGCCAGCTTAACACTCTTCTTGCCAAACAGCAAAATCTGCAAAACGAACGCGAACTGACAGAATCTGAGTCGAGACGTAGACTGCAGACACAACTCGAGACTCTCGAATCGGAGCTTTCTGCGACAAAGCGGAAACTGAGCGATGAAGTCGAGGACAACAAGAAGGCACAATTACGGAAAGAATACGATACACAGCAAAGCCAGAAGCGTATCGACGAGCTTGCGACCTCATTGAGCACGACCCGCGAGGAGTTGGTTGCAGCAAAAACCACGCGTGATCACCTTCAAACGCGCGTTGATGAGCTAACAATCGAGCTGAAGAGCGCGGAGGAGCGTGTTGAAGTCCTTCAACCAAGACCCACCCCACGACCCGGAGCTAACGGCACAACCACTGGCGACGAGCAGACAGAGCAGGATGCCATCAGCAGAGAGCAAGAGTTGGGTATCGAGGTCTCAGAACTCAAGAGAGATCTCGAATTGGCGAAATCGGAGCTTGAGAACGCGAAGTCTCAGACCGAACAGTACAAGGGCATTAGCCAGTCTTCGGAAGAGGACCTGCAGAAGTTCCAAGAATCCCAAGAGGAGTATCAACAGGAGATGGACAAGATCATCGAGGAGAAGGATGCCAAGATTCGAGAATTGCAGCAACGTGTTGATGATCTTTCTACTGAGTTGAGCACCACCGACACTGAGCTCAACAATCTGCGCAACGAGAAAGCCGAGACCGCCCGCCGTACCGCAGAGGATAAGGCTGTATTGAAAGCGGAGATTACACGTTTGAAGGACGAGGACGAGCGACACACCCTCACCTTGCAGTTCCACCAGCAAGACCTACGAGCTCAGGCGGAGATTGCAACAAAGGCACAGCAAGACTACGAAAACGAGCTTGTTAAGCATGCCGATGCTGCCCGACTTCTACAGGAATTGCGCACTAGTTACAATGTGCTGAAGTCAGAGTCAGCAGGCCTCAAATCCGAGGCAGAATCTGCAAAGGTGACTCTGACCCAAAGTCAGGCATCATGGGAAGAGCGACGAAGCCAGTTTGAGAAAGAACTTCAAGAGCTGCGCCGCCGGAAGGATGATATTTCTTCGCAAAACACAATTCTCTTGCAGCAATTTGAAAGCGTTAGTGCGCAAGTCACCGCTCTGCAACAAAGCCGCGCAGCCGCAGCTGAAAATGGCGACACGGAAACTGCAGAGGCGACAGCGACTTCAAATAAGACAGTCGAAGGCCTCCGCGAGCTCATCACATACCTTAGACGCGACAAGGAAATCATCGATGTACAGTACGAGCTTTCCATCCAAGAATCTAAGCGCCTCAAGCAGCAATTCGACTATGCCCAATCCCAACTCGACGAAGCCAGGCTCAAGTTGGATCAGGAGAGGCGTGCTCAAGCCGATGGCTCCCGCAGCAACTTGGCTCATAAAGACCTCATGGAGAAGATTAATGAGCTTAACCTATTCCGCGAGAGTAGCATTACTCTCCGCAACGAGGCCCGACAAGCCCAAGCACAACTGGCAGACAAGACAAAGCAAGTGGAGGAGCTTATGGAGAAGTTCCAGCCCCTAGAGAATAAGGTCCGGGAGCTTGAGAATGCCAAGGAGATGCAAGATGGCGAGGTGAAGCTCCTACAAGAAGACCGTGACCGCTGGCAGAGGAGGAACCAGGAGATCCTCTCGAAGTACGACCGTATCGACCCCGCTGAGATGGAGCAGTTGAAGGCTTCACTAGCGTCTCTTCAGGCCGAGCGTGATGCGCTTACGATTGACCAGCAGCCACTCCAGGAGAAGGTGCAGACGTTGGAGGTCGAGAAGGCTCAGTGGCAGGTGTCGCGTCAGAAGCTTATCGAGCAGGCGAAGGAGCGTTCGCGTGTACTTACTAAGGAGAAGAACGAGCGAGTTGCTGAGCGCACTGCCGAGAGAGACGCTGCGATCCAAGAGAAGGAAGCGCTCGAACAACAGCTGTCAACTGTCCAACAGGAACTGAGCACTTCCATACAGGAAAGACAGGCTCTGGAGGAGCAGCTGACACGCATCAAAGCCGAGAGTGAAGCTAGCAAGGGGGATGCCGCGGCAACATCCACTACTAATGCCCCTGAAAGCGCAAACCAGCTACAGGTTGGTACCGAGCAGAGTGGCGCGGTTGATCAACAACTAGACGCGCTTCGCAAAGAGCTTGAGTTTGCAAAGAAAGAGAAGCAGGACGTCGAAGCACAACTTGCAAACATCCGCCAAGAACTTGAGACCGCTCGAACTGAAAGAGATCAAGCTGCAGCTAGAGCAGCTCAAGCTGAAGCATCAAAGCCTGCACCGCAAGCCGATACTTCAATGGATAGTGCCGAGGAAGGCCAAGTGGATGAAACTGCTCCATCGAAGCCCACCGACGATGAACGCAAAGCCCTTGAAGAACGCACTCTTGCTGCGGAAACTAGGCTTCAGCAACTCGAGGAGTCTGTCGAAGCTACACTCAAGCAGAGATCCGAAAAGATGAAAACAGCACTCAACAAGAAGCTCGCCGAATCAAGAGACACTACCAAGGCTGCTCTCGAAGCGGAGTATGCTCTCAAACTTGAGCAAGAAAGAAAAATCTGGCTCGCCGAACAAGGCGCCACTGAGCCAAAGGTGTCGGCCACTCCGAAGGCTGAAGGTGCTTCAGAGGCTGCGCCGCCGGCTACTCCTTTAACACCATCAGCAAAACCCCCTACACCAATGGGCGAACTCACCAACCTCACCAACCTCACCGATGAACAAGTCCGGACTCTTCTCACCACAAACGCCACACTGAAGAATATTTTCACTGGAAACATCAGGAAAAAGATCGAAGAACAGACCAAGAAATTGAAGGAAGAATTCGAGAAGGAGAAGGAAGAAGTTGTGAAGAAGGCCGATGAAGCAAAGACTAAGGCTGTAATCATGGAAGGCAAAAAGTCAGAGCTAAAAATCAACCTGACCAACAACAAGGTTAAGATGGCTACAGCTAAACTGGAAGTCGTCGAGAAAGCTGCTACCGAAACGCCCGAGAAGCCTGTTGGCGAAGTTTGGGAGATTGCCAAGAACGCGAAGCCGCCTGCCAATGTCGTACCTGCTCCTGCACCGACTCCAGCAGCCGGCTCTGCCATCCCTACTCCGGGTGCTAAACCTGAAGGAGCTCCAGCCGCGTCCGGCATTCGAGCACCGTCTGTTTCTGTTCCAGGAACATCGCAAGGCTCGCGCCCATCGACCCCCTCTACTCAACAACCCCAGGCAATACCAGCGGCTACGGCTCCGCAAGGCCCTGGTCAAGCCAATACTGCTCAGGCACAAGGTTCAAATATACCTGCTGTAAGTATTTCCTCTACTTATTCCCGTTCTGATCCTAAACTGACTTCTGTCCAGCCGTCTGGAATACCGTCAGCACCAGGAGGACCCCGTACTGGCCTTCCTGTACCGAGAGGTGGCGGCGCTGCACGTGGAAGAGGTGCGTACCAAGCGCCTCGCGGACAGAGCGGCATTGGACGCGGGAGAGGTGGAGGTCAGAACCAAAGAGGTGGAATGAACGCAGGTGCTCCAGCATTTGCTCCAAATGCTGGAACCAAGAGACCGCATGATGATGCTGGAGGCGTAGGACAGCAGAAGCGGATGAGAGGTGGTGGTGGTGGTGGTGGTGGTGGACAATAAGGGTGATTTGGGACGGTAATATGGAGAAGGGGAGATGATATTCGGAAGGGAACTGGACTTGATGTGCATTTAATTTGTTGCTATGTATTATATCTGTGTTGCATAGTTTACGTGGGCTGGCTGGCTATATTGAGCATTGGCTTAGGCTCAGGCGTATGAATGGGGAAGCTTTGAGACTGAGAAAATGGAGCCCACGGTGGTGGATGGAAAATGAATACAATTAAGGACTTCAAAGCACAAAGCACTTCTGATCAAATTTGAACAAAATAATCGCCCTTGTTAACCTGGGTATACCGAATCTTGCTCACCCACCATACATGCACCGCCTAATATGCCGTCTACATGAATTTCTCGGGTTTGCTGGCCACCAGCTTCCTCAGCACCTCCACATGTCTCCTTGTACTCTTCAACTTGGCCTCGTCGCTTTCAGTTTTATCAATCCTACGAAGCCCGTCACCAAACAGCACTGTGTAGTCTTCTAGAACTTCTCCCGCTGCGACTTTGCAGAACGCTCCAATACGGCAGAATTTCCCTATCTTGGCCCCAGAACCGACGCGTGCGTTTGCCTCAATGTGTGTGCCGTCCCCAACGTGAGAAGCCTCAACCACCGCACCAATATCGATAGCGACGTTATCGCCGATGGTAACACCCGGGAGCTTGGGGTCTGCGGCTGCTGTTGGGGCGGAGAGTAGGCCGATTGAGGCACGTTCGGATATTATGCACATTGAACCGATAGAAACGGGGCCATGGGTAGAGATAAGGCGGGCGCGGGGATGGATAATCGAGTAGCTGCGTATTAAGATGGGCTGGGTCCCTATGAGGACGGCAATTTCGGAAATGGTTATCGATGAGGAGAAGGAGACGGGCGGCTTTGGGGTGGAAGAGCCTGGTGCCACGGGGCGCTTGGTTGACATTATGGCGGGGAGAACGAGGAATCAAAGCCTTCGAAGGTAGTTCAACTGTAACAGCTGGTGTAATTCGCAGGACCTGGGAGTTCTGAAGTATGAGAGTTGATTTGGTAGCTTGCTATGTGTTTATTGTGGTAATTCCTGAGAAGGTCCTTTGTTCTCTGTGGGTGCTCTCGCGAGCCCCTAGAAACTGATACTGCGGGAAGTGAAGTGAGTGTTGGAGTAAATATTTTTATTGAAGAATTTCTAGCATATAGAATAAATAGGTAGGTTTATTGGTAGGTTATTGTATCAATGAAACAGAGAGATGTGGTTTACCTTTGATATATTGTTCTCAAAATGCTTCACAGAGCGAAAGTCGACGTAGGCGACTGTAATCCTGGTAACTTAATAATGTCGGTTGATGTTGTGAGGGTTGGAGGCGCTACCACAGTAGCCGCACCAGCCAATCACGGAAGCGGATTATCAATGAAGCTCGAATTCCAATCGAACCTCAATTTGTACACCAACACCACGGATCCGCTCCTCTCACCACAACCAACGTGCAGTACGCAGTTGAGCGCAACCCATGATCAGCACGATGTTGTCGCGAAACGCCACGTCACCCGCGCTCACGTCAATTGCGTCGCGAGTACTGCCAGGAGCAGCCTCTGCGGGGGCTCGTCTTGGTGGTCCGGGTGCGTCCGCAGCACAGCAACAAACAAGAGGATTGGCAACTGTCCAGGATGCTCCAGCACCGAAGAGGATATATGGAGGCTTGAGAGATCAGGACCGCATCTTCCAGAACTTGTACAGCCACCACGGCCCAGATCTCGCCAGCGCGAAGAAGTACGGCGATTGGCACAAGACGAAGGAGATCTTGGATAAAGGTCATGACTGGGTACGTCCATCTTGCTCTAAAAGTGCCCTTTGATTATATCCTAATGCTGTACAGATTATTTCCGAGGTCAAGGCTTCCGGTCTTAGAGGACGTGGGGGTGCCGGCTTCCCGTCAGGGTTGAAATGGTCGTTCATGAACTTCAAGGGTTGGGAGAACGACAGCAAGCCACGTTATCTGGTCGTCAATGCAGATGAGGGCGAGCCTGGAACCTGCAAGGACAGAGAAATTATGCGAAAAGACCCACACAAGCTCCTCGAGGGATGTTTAGTTGCTGGCCGCGCCATGAACTGCACCGCCGCCTACATCTACATTCGTGGCGAGTTCATTCACGAAGCTGCTGTTTTGCAGAATGCTATCCAGGAGGCCTACAAGGATGGACTGATTGGCAAGAACGCTTGCAACAGTGGATACGACTTCGATATCTATCTGCACCGCGGAATGGGCGCCTACGTTTGCGGAGAGGAGACTTCTCTCATCGAGTCCCTCGAGGGCAAGCCAGGAAAGCCTCGCCTAAAGCCCCCGTTCCCAGCATCTGTCGGACTTTTCGGATGCCCATCTACTGTCGCCAACGTCGAGACTATTGCCGTCGCACCTACGATCTGCAGAAGAGGAGGTGATTGGTTCGCCGGATTCGGACGAGAGCGCAACGCTGGTACCAAGCTTTTCTGTATCTCTGGTCATGTCAACAACCCTTGCACAGTCGAGGAAGAGATGTCCATCCCTCTGCGCGAGCTGATCGACAAGCACTGTGGTGGTGTTCGCGGCGGCTGGGATAACCTCAAGGCCATTATTCCTGGTGGCTCATCCACACCCATCCTGCCAAAATCTGTCTGCGACGACCAAATAATGGACTTCGATGGCCTGAAGGACAGCCAGTCTGGGCTCGGTACGGCAGCAGTCATTGTTATGGACAAAAGCACCGACGTTGTCCGTGCCATCTCCAGACTCTCGCACTTCTACCGCCACGAGTCCTGTGGCCAGTGCACTCCCTGCCGTGAGGGCAGCAAATGGACCGAGCAAATCATGCAGCGCTTCGAGAAGGGACAAGGAAGAGAGCGTGAAATTGACATGCTTCAGGAGCTTACCAAGCAAGTTGAGGGCCACACCATCTGTGCTCTTGGAGAGGCGTTCGCCTGGCCCATCCAGGGTCTCATCCGTCACTTCCGCCCCGAGCTAGAGGCACGTATGCAAAAGTTTGCGGAGGAGAACGGCGGCGCCGCCTTGGCTGGTGGATGGCAACACGACTCGAATGCTCAGGGCAAGTTGGTGGCACCCGGCCAGTAAGAAGTGGCGCGGGGTAGTTGTATATATGGACTCTCATTGCTATTGTATAGAGTTCAATTTGGCGTTTCTTTGCATTATGGTTGTAGAGTTGAGTCAGTTTAGTGGGGTACAGATAAAACTATTGAAATCATATATCGATTTGCATCATTGCTTGCGCCGTGAAGACAAGATTTATAGTTTTTACATTTGATATACTCGTTGAAGTGTACCTTCAAGCTATGTTGTACAATTGCATTCATGCTCCAGCGCCGTATATGCCATTTCCCACTCATACCCCGATATGTATACACCCATACACCGTGCCATCACCCCGAGATATCCAGTCTAGAGTAAGGTATGCCGCCAGCGATTCATTGTACATGCAACCTCAGCCACTCCTCAATCCAGGTCGATCTCAAATGCTCTTCCAAATCCAACTCGTCGCCTCCTGAACCTCCTGGTATTACCCTATTTTCATCATCCGCCCCCAAAATAGCACAGTTCTAGTCCGCCCTATTTCATTGCTTCTGCCTCATATTCTTCCGGCAACTCAAACCCAACCCTCCTTGCCGTCAACTTGACCCTCTCCTCCTCATCCATATTCATCCCCGGGTTGTAGCGTTCGAGCAGCGTCGCATACATCCTTTGTGCCTTCAGGTACTGCAGGTACTGCTGCGCATGATCCACGGCTACTTTTTGTGGCGATCCGGACGGCGCAGATGAGAATGCTGTACGGATACGGTTCTGCACAGGCGATGCCTTGAGGCGGTGGGACGGGAGCTCGCGCAAGAAGGAGCGGTAGAGGGCGCGGAGGTGCGCGGGGGCGACAGTGGAGGACATTGTGTGTTGGCTTTATAAGAGGGTAATTGAGTTGATCGGATGTGTCGAGAGGGATTGTTCGTGGTTTCTTGAGTCGTGGATGATGGAAATATTGGGTGGCTACGGCAAAACGTCGGGAAACGTGGCGCATCAGTCGAAATTATATTACACGGCTGCAAGGCTGAGGATCTGTATATTTGCGACTGCACCATTTCCAATAGCACCAACGGACAACGGAAACTGCGACTTAATCTGCGAATTTTAATCGCCCATACTTATTAATGGGGGGCTCTCTGCCTATGAGGTGCCTGCGGTCGGGATCAAGAAGCGTATTTGGGCGATATGTGCCGCAGATCGAAGCTACGAGCGATGCGGCAACCTTGGGAATAAGAGGACTCCGAACAAGACGCCGAGTTGGCAGAACCACAACAAATGCAGAGGAAGGGGTTGCGGATAGCCCGAAGACACAATCCGATGTAGGGCCCGAAGTTGTGTCTTGGGACGAGATAGCCGCGAAGATTGAAGCCTTAGCAACCCAACGACTTCCGAATTCACAGTCCAAAAAGACCAAACCTCCCAAGCCAGCAGGCAATAAACAGAAGCCATTAGCGTTATCTCCAGCAGAAAAACCTTCCCCGAAACAGGCAGCAACATCACAACCGCAACAGACAGGCCCTCCACCCAAATCCCGCGACTACCTCAAGTTACCCTCGAATTCTCTCTCCGAACACTGGGACACCCTTCCTCCCTCACAAGAACAGCTTGTGCATGCCGAGAAATTCTTCCGCCAGAGGCCCCCACGGCCATTCGTCTGGTCAGCCCCAAAATTCCACTCCATGGCCTTCGGCTCCTCCCCCGAAGTCTGTTTCCTCGGGCGCTCCAACGTTGGGAAGTCATCGCTCCTGAACGCACTCTTCGGTGGCAACATCGCAAACGTGAGTTCGAAACCGGGCCGCACAAAGATGATGAACGCATTCAATGTGGGCGATAGTACGGATGCGTCCAAGAACCTTGTAGTGCTCGATATGCCAGGGTATGGAAAAGGGGGACACGCCGACTGGGGGAAGGAGGTACTGAAGTATCTAGGCAAGCGGAAGGAGCTCAAGCGCGCATTCGTGCTTGTTGATGCTGAAGTGGGACTGAAGAAAACGGATGAGCAGCTCTTGGCGATTTTTAGAACGGAGGAAATTCCGCACCAGATCGTGCTCAGCAAAGTTGACAAGCTACTATTCCCGAAGAACCGGAAACCCAGTGAGGGAGCACTAGAGAGCAGAATGCAGGTTCTAAAACGGGTGATGGAGATGACCAGACGCACCACCCAGCCAAACCCAGAGGATATGAGTGGTGCGCTGGGTGAAATCATTGGATGCTGTTCAGAGAGGCCGTTTGGCCAAGTTTTGGGCATTAATGAGGTTAGACATGCTATGCTGCAGGCAGCTGGCTTGGAAAAAAAGATGGATAGGAAGCTAATTGCCGAGACCGAAATTGTGTCCCACGACGATATCTTTGGAAAAGATCCTTGAGAGATGCAGCGGGACTGTCTGCAGCGGGCCCTCTCACGCCACCGATTGTTCCACGCCTGCTTATTTCACCTCTCCGAGAGGAATGGGTCATCTAAGGGAAGGTGGTGCAAGTCAGACAGATATGGTGATGGCGGAATAATCAAGCTACGAGAGCAGCAAATCCATAGTCGAAAAGCTGGACTGAGCGAATATTAGTTGCGGAATATACGCCAGATAGCCCTGGTGTGTCTCTCGAAAGGGGAGACACGGTTGATGGATGTATATCTATGGTGAAGAGGTGAGAATAGACCCATATACAGTGCGATTGACACGACGATGTAGAATATTTCAAAATAACAACATGGTTGCAACCAAACTGTACAGTACCATTCGTTATAGTTATATAATTACCTTCAATCATATACATATAATATCTCCAAAAAAAATACAAAAAAAGAAGATTGAGGTCGTACCCGGGATCGAACCGGGATCTCAAGAAGACATGTGATGGCTGAACATCCTCAAAATCTCACGTGCTAACCATTACACTATACAACCTTGGTTTAGGGGCTAATGCTCGCTAATCCGGTAGATAAGGGAGACACATTTTTCGCGCTAGTCCCAATGCTAACACTATTTGGCAATCTCCATATCTATCACTACATAACAGTTGCGCACGAGCTCAATTCACGTCGACTCACAAGATAATGCAGGGAATTTGGTTGTAGCGCTCTGAAATGCTGAATTCTCATACATCATCAGATGCCGATGTGACGATTCCTATCTAGACTATACTACATACAAACAATGTGTGCACCTCGCAGCTGGCCCCAGTCGAGTCAGTGCCTGGAGCAAATGCTACCTGGTCGATAACGCAACGATGCTCTTTATAATCCCCCATTCTCCCTGATTATTTCTTCCCTTCCATTCATTAATCCCTTTACATATGCCCATGCATCTTTATCCTCCTCCCAATATCCCATATCCCAATCTACCCCGTTGTTCGGCCAGTATCAGCGACCCCCTGCGAGGACGCCACGGTAGTACTCCACGCTCAGGTCAGCCGTGTGCTTCAAGTACTTGTCTTCCGTAAGAGGCAGTCTAAGGACTCTGCTCTGTTCATGTCCCTGCATTGCGTTAGTCAGAATCCATAAAACACCAGGTTGCTGGGCAAATCTTACCTTTCCATTCTTCCCAAGCTGAACCACCACCCTCGCAACACACGCCCCGATCTCCTGGACCGCCACCTTCTCCAAGAAACCCACACTCTTCACATCCGATAGCATAGCCGGAAGGCTGCGCAACAACCTCTCCGCAGCTTGCCCGTCATGCTCGCCTTGCTTCTCTCCATCCAACAAGGTCAGGTAGTCCGCATACGTGGCACCGCCAAGATTCCAGTCGCGAATACCCCCTTCCCTCTGTTGAAAGCCGCTAAGTAGTTTGCGCAGCGTCGTATCATCCTGCTCAATGACTGCAGTGGGCGCGACGACCTTGTAGAAAGTGCGGTGCGCTTCGTCGAAGTCACCGGCACGGATGAGACATTCTACCTCGCGCTTGGGATCCTTGAGGACGGCGCGCATGTAGAGTGCCTTTGCGTCCCAGATCCACGAAGGTGGTATCTTGAACTCGTCGATAAGGGTAGTGAAAGCTGGTCCGTCTTCTGCCCCGATGCGGCCGGCGTGGTGAGCGAGGTGATCTTGGATGCTCTTCGTACGAGCAGCCGGTGACGACAAGTGGAGGAGCACAAATACACCGTCGAGCCAATGACCATCATTGGTAAGCTGAGCTGCGAATGACAAAGTAAGCTCATCAGCCTTTTCGTCGGCCTGTTCACCGTATGAGCACTTGCCAGACGCTGTAAGTGCCTGGCTAAGCTGCCAAGAAAATCGCATGTTTAATGGCGACAACTGAGAGTTTTCAGGGCGGAGAACAGCTTGGAGGTCTGTCTTTCTGTCCGAGTACAGCTTAAGCAATCCCCAGAGAAGGTCCTCGCGATCTTCTAGGTGTTGATCGTCCCAAAGCGGCGAGATGTTTTGCTCCACATACCACGCGAAAGGCTTGGATGACTCCTTGTCTTGCTGAAGATCTTCATTGAACTTCAACACGGCATGCTCAAGCTCCTCCGTGCTCGAGATGGCATACCAAAGTCTGAGGCCAAATGCTTGTCTCCAGTCTAACCCAAATCGCTTAGACATGATGAAAGAGTCAATGCGGTCTTCGATAGGCGCTCCTTTGATGCCATCACAAACACAAACGTTGCCAGCCAGGATTTCGTAAATAGCTCTGAGAGGTTGGTTGATCTCCGAGAGCACTCTAGCTTTGTTCCACTCGTTCAGCTGCTCCCGGATGTTCTTGCGCACAGACTCATTGCCATCAAGTAAAGCTACCAGGGTAGCGAGATGGTAGTCTTTGCCAGTTAAGAGCTGGGTGCAAGCGTCGGGAATTCGATGCCCGCTGAGAGCAGCAATGGCCTTTTCTTCAGACGATTTTGCCATTGTGATCTGTCTTGTGGAGGCCTGTTCAACAACCTTTTCCCAGAATGCAGAAAGGTTGTCCTTGCGCAAGAACTTGAATGCTGCTGGGAATCCCTTCAAATCGTCAGGGATCTCGATCTCGTCAAATAGAATGCTTGCAAGCTCCCAGACGAGGTTCTCGTGAATAGCTGCTGGGTGGCGCGAGTCTCGGTCGCGAACGAAATCACTGAATTTAAATGGCAGAGAGAGTCTGGCTTGTGGGATGCCTCCGGCTTGATCCACTTGAGCCAATTTCTTTTGGATTGAGAGAGAGTTCGGTGTCGACTCGTCTGAAAACTTGGCGAATCGAATATCCTTATCTTCACTGGTAAGAACAGTTGTTTGGGAAAGAAGGCCATGCATCTCAATGGCCTTGGTGGCTTGGTCATCGGCTGCGGATGCTGCATAAACAAGGGTTCCTGTGGGACCCCAGCTCGGCTTGACTGAATTGTGAAATTGTTGGTCGATCTCATCCATATCCTCCTCATTCAGATTGCTGGACTTGGACTTCTTCTTGTATGGCCACTCAAACCCAGTTCCTCGCGCTGATATCTGTGCTACCTTCGCTGTCTTTGCTGGCTTTGCCGGACTTTTTGGTTCACCAAACAGTGAATGCATGAGGTCGATGCTAGTTGCGAAGCCACGGCCATCAGATACCACACGGCTCTTGACCTTGGAAACAAGTGTTTTTTGAGGGGAGCCAAAGAGAAGAGCATCCGTTTCCATGTCTCGAATCTGCTTCAAATGTTCCCGGTCCTGCTTCTGAGGGCTAATGGTCTGCTCTAGCATGTCCATCCAGTTGTCGTCGTTCAACTCCAATTTGCGCTCGAGTGGTGACCCAGCAGCACGCGACTCACGTAGTCGTGCTCGCATAAGGCCTCCTGGAGCTTCACCTACTTCCTTCTCAAAACTCTCCTGTGCGTAGTCACTCTCATGCTCCGCGGTAGCGTCAGGATGAGGGTAAGAGCCCGCCATCTCATTACTCGCAATCCTGACCAATTCATTGTCTTGGTAACTCTCGTCGTGGCCCATAGGCTCCCCGACGTCGTCGCTTGACAATGAACCCAGGGAGCGCTCATCTAAAAAAGACTGGTTGTCCTGAATATAGTGATCGTCCTCCATCTCATCATCTTCAACAGCTTCCGATGCATCGAATGCGCCTGGGAAAACTTTGCGCTTCTTGAAGTCGAAGGTATCCTCGGGGTCAGACTCCGTAATTACGCTCTCATCGAATGTCGATTCAAAAGACTGATCGTGCTGAATGGCCCTTGGCGTTCTGGTTTGTGGGGTTGGTGTGTTTGGTGCAGCGCTGAGTGTGCTCTGGCCAAAGTCGTCTTGAGTCTCATCGCCAACCTCAGAATCGTCATCATAATCCAGACCATATGTCGTAAAGTGAGGAACTTTGAATGTCCATACACCAATAGATTTATCGTAACTCAAGAACTCAGTATCCGGAACTCTCGTGAGGCGCTTCAAATGTCTGTCCATTTGGGCCTTAATATGCTCAGGCGACAGTTTGCGCTTGTCAAGCCTTGGCCAAGAATTCTCCATCTGGATGATCGAGGGAACATTCATGCCCTGACCCATCGGCGGCTTGTTGGGGTACCCTGGAGGGTAAACAGTAGCGGCGCGAATTTGGAGGTCAACGATCGTGCCAAAAATCTTGTCGAGATCAACGTTTGACAAGTCAACAGGAGCATCGAAGTTCACAGTGGCGACTCCGCGTCGACCAACTTTGAAGTTGCTGATCCTTTGGCGCTGAGTTCGATTCATGGCCTCGATTTCTGGTCTCGATGGCTTCATCCAATACTCTCCTGGTACCTGATCAGGCTGGATTGCCAGGGGAAAGGGCTTCTCGCCGGCAGATGGACTACCCTCCTCGGGGACGATAGCCAACTCCTGTCCTTTAACCTGCTCCATTTCTGGCTCGTTGGAGGTTCCATTTGTCCTGGGGCCAGCGCCGTTCGTGCTGCGAGTGGAGCGTAGGAATCCCATCTCCTCAGCAGACGGGGTTGGTCCGACATTGGTATGAACCTGCTTCAGCGGGCTTGATGTGCTGGATGCGGGGCGACTGTTGTTTCCGTTGCCATTGGACGACTCAAAGCTTACTCGCTTCTTGAGGATTCCATTCTGCTGCTCCTTGGGCTCTTTGCTTGGGGGGCTGAAAAAGTCCGCACGAATGCTTCTATCGATAACCAGTCTCTTCATGCTGCCAGTGCTGTTGAATCTAGCACTCGGACTAGCGGAGAAAGCTCCTGGGGTTAGAATGCTGTCTTGGTTGAACGACGTGTTGTAGGAGTTCCTGAGGCTGCTTGTCGACATACTCTTCGAGAGCTTGTTCTGGCTAAGGCTGGCCCCAAGCAATGAGTTCCCGAAGCCTCCAGGTGTACTAGTTACGCTAGAAGCGCTGTTGGGAGTTCCATACGTGCTATATGTGAAGCCGAAGCCACCACGCCTTTGGGGCGTGCTAAGACGTGATCCCGAAGAAGGGCTGAGCTTGTATAGAGGGATAATGCCAGCCTTCTTCTGCTTCGACAGACTCGAGAGAGGCGTTGCGAGCGGGCCTGGGTTGGTGAGGTCTGGCGTGGCGAGATTTGAGAACATTGAACCTGCGCCAAACGCTGCAGGGTCATTGATACTGGTAGTAAGCTGTCCCTGTTGTTGCTGCTGCTGCTGCTGGCCCTGCTGCGAGCCGCCGAATAACGAGCTACCTCCGAAAAGAGAACCGCCTTGCTGAGCTTGCTGTGGCTGCTGCTGTGGCTGCTGGCCAACATTGCCGAACAATGAGCTCCCAGTACTTTGCTGGGTGTTGCCGAAAAGACCACCTCCGGTTTGAGCAGGCTGGGTGGCGCCGAATAATGGCTTCGCTTGCTGGCCACCTCCGAAAAGGCTGCTCCCCGTATTCTGAGCTTGCTGGGGTTGCTGTTGACCGAATCCACTGAAGAGGCCACCACCACCAGTGCCGGCTGCGGGTGCCGCAGCAGGTTGGCCAAACAGACTGCCGGTGGCGGGTGCGGCTGGCTTTGCGCCGAAGAGGCCACCGGTACTTGCAGCGGCTGGTGCTGCGCCGAATCCTGTACCGGCTTGCTGAGCTGGTTGTCCAAACAAAGAACTGCCCGTGGCCGCTGGCTGGGCCCCGAAGAGGCCTGTGCCTGTGACTGCGGGTTTGGGTGCACCACCAAAGAGAGAGGTAGGAGCTGCCGCTTGTTGCTGAGTGCCTCCGAAGCCACCAAACAGGTTCGATGCCGCGGCTGGCTGGGCAGGAGTCGCACCAAATGGATTCGCTGGTGCAGGGGTTTGTGTCTGGCCAAAGGGGTTGGATGCGGGAGTCGCTCCAAACCCAGTCGTTGATGCACCACCAAATGGCGTCGTAGATGCGGCAGGAGCCCCAAACAATGGCTTGTTGGGTGTGCTGCCAAAGAGCGAAGGCGCAGACGTCGTTGCCGGTTGCGCCCCAAATCCTGTATTCGTAGCTGTATTCGTAGCTCCGAATCCTGTAGAGGGCGTGGAGCCAAACCCAGACTGGGTAGCCCCAAAAAGCCCACCGGTGGCAGGTTTCTGCTGTTGCCCGAATAGGCCTCCTCCTGCAGTGGTACTAGCACCAAATCCTGTGCTTGGCGTGGTTGTTTGACCAAATGGGTTCGATGCCGTGTTAGTTTGCCCGAATAGACCACCTCCGGTGTTGGTGGTGCCGCCAGCACCAAAGCCCGAAGCTGGCTGCTGAGTACCACCGAAGCCGCCAAAACCAGTGGACGTGCCAAAAGCACCAGCCTGCCCACCGGAGTTGGCGTGTTTGCGGCCTTGCGCGTAATCAGCCAGCCTCAACTCTTCTTGGGAGAACTTGACGTATGGTTGCTGGAAGCATATATTTTCAAACCTTCCTTGTTGGTTTCCGGAGACGTTGGGCTCCTTCTCAACAGTGGGTTGAAAGGGGACAGAAGCTGTTCCCTGGCACTCTTGGCTCGCACCGCCCAGAGTGCTGGTAGCGGCTCCAAATCCTCCACCGGTATTTCCTCCACCAAATGCACCGCCAGTGCCGGTATTGGCGCCAAAGGGGCTGGCTGCTGGTGTCGCCCCAAACCCGGTCGTTGGGGGCTTTGGGGCACCAAAAAGACCACCGCCACCGAATCCAGTATTTGTGTTGCTAGTAGTGCTGGCACCAAATCCACCAAACCCCGTGTTTGCTGCCGGAGTCGTCGTGGATGCGCCGAAAAGACTGTTCCCTGTGGTTCCTGTCGATCCAAAGGGTTTGTTGGCGGTAGAACCAAAGCCGGTGTTCTGTGTAGCGCCGAATCCTATTTGAGTTGTTAGTCGTCTGCGCGGTATAGGTCCCATAGGTTTATGCGAAGTCGGCAATTGAGAGAGCGTCGATATTAGGTCCTGCGCATCTGCCATATCGCCGGCGTGGGCCGATAGTTATAGAGCGGCCGAAGTTTGTCGCAGCGAGGGCGCGGCTCCATATCGACGGGGCAGGCACCTCCCTCGATGCCCAAAACAAATGGTGCATTCTCGACGTACCTCCAGAACCGCCAAATCCACCCGTGTTGCCACCAAAGGCGCTCGTCCCGGTATTGTTCTGCGCGCTTCCAAAGCCAGTTCCGGTCGAGGAAGCACCGAATCCTGTAGGTACGAGAAGGTTCGAGTGAGCCCCAGCTTCGCCAGTGTGCCCCGTTGCAGGCAGTCGAGCTCCGTCGCGTCCGGGATGTAAAGAAAATGAGGATTGCATACCTGTATTTGTATTTGTAGATTGGCCAAAGCCGCCGAAGCCCGTGTTCTGTTGCTGCTGGGCATTGTTTTGCTGGCCGAAGCCACCGAATCCACCGAAGCCCGACATTGTCACTGCTGTCAATGGGTTGATGAGCTTTCAGACAGAGCTGGAAGGTTGCAGGAGTCGTTGAAGTTGCCTCCTAGAATTGCGACACGCCGTCCGCCTCAAAGTTTTGGTTGTCGTGCTCAAAAATGTGATCGCGGCAAGCATAACAGGCTGGTATTAAAGTAGCTGAAGACGACCTGTCTCAGCTGTCTCGACGATGGATGAATCAGCGAATTCGTCAAGCGTGAACAGCAATCGAGATGATATAACGTGCCTCGTCTTTTTTGTCGGTCGTGGTCAAGGTTACCTCTCGCTTATACAACACATCAAGCGCTCATGGTAGGAGGCAACAACACGTGACTTATACAAGCACTAGTGTCTCCCAAATGTCGAAATAAGCATTGGACATGATAACTGGTGTTTACAGCAGAGTGATTAAAATCAAAATCAAGGCAATCAATCGCTCAGAACTGTAATCAACAAGGCAGTTACTTATAAATAGACTTAAATGCTTTAAATTCTATTTGCTTAAATTGTGGTATGAGTCTTCAGGTAAGGCAGTCGTGTAGCCCCTTTTTCCAGGCTGCACGTGGTAACTTACAGTACTGTACAGTAATTCACGCCTTTGTCAGCAATACAACTGATAAGTTAAGGCATACTGGCCGTATAGCGTGTTTTTATCTGTTTCGTAGTAATCGAATGGGATAACTATACAGATGAGGATGGCGACTCCAATCGGAGTCATAATGACCAACTCCAATGCCACTTATCACCACAATTTGCCAGTCATAGAAATCTAACCCCTATGGACCGCTTCTGGTCAACGTGAATTATATTGGCGCCTGAGGCCTAAACTTAAACTCTTTGTGGGCTGAATGGCGCGGCGCGTCGGAGCCAAAGCTCCAAGCGCGTTCCTTGCCATATCCCCGTAATTCCTCAGTCGAGTACCATTAAAGACATATAAAAATTCAGCCACTGCACATTCCAGCACAACGTCAGACCCTCCCCGTGCCGTCTGCGACCACATACACACCCTCTCAACGCGCCGACGCCATGGCATCCTCCCAGCACCCCTCCTTCCCCATCCGCCCATATCCCTCCTCCATCTCCGGTCCCTCCCAACAACCCCCCCAGTCCTCCACCCGCGGAAAGCCCCTCAGCTTCAGTCAATCACACGCCCCCGCCGCCCGCGAGGCAGCGCGCATCGAGCGCGACCGCCTCGATCGCGAGCGCCAGCAAGTTGCGCAAAAATCGTCCCATGCGCAATCGCAAGCGCCGAGCGCACTGTCGCAGTTAGCGGACGAGCAGCGCGACGAGGTGAATGAGGCTGTGAGTATGCGCTTTCATTTTGGCAGGTACATGGCTGATTATGGGATAGTTCGCGCTGTTTGACTTGGATAAGGATGGCCTCATCGACTACCACGAGTTCAAGGTTGCGCTCAAGGCGCTCGGTTTCGACCTGCCCAAACCGGAATTACTGGACCTGCTCACCTCCCATGGAATAGCTCCGCCATCATACCAGGTGCCTCCAGGATCGTCGGGGCAGCATGTGGTTCCGGCGTCTAGGTTGCATCTTACGCTCAATTCGTTTCAGCAAATCGCCTCTGAGCTGATCCTGGCTCGGGACCCGCGCGACGAGATCCTACGGGCGTTTGACCTCTTTGATACGGAAGGGAAGGGCATGATATCTTTGGACGATTTACGGAGGGTAGCGCGGGAATTAGGGGAGGGCTTGGAAGAGGAGGAATTGTCGGCGATGATTGAGGAGTTTGATCTTGAGGGGAAGGGAGGGGTGGGGAGAGATGAGTTTATTGGAATTTGCATGAACTGATATGGTATTGGAATGGGATAAAAGGCACGGGGTCCACGGATTGTGGACTTGCGGATGGTGTTTGGATGGTGTTTGTCACATGGCTGTGGTTGGGCTGTGCCGTTTTTGATATGGGATATGACAGCGCGGAGTATAATGGCGCAGGATTATATGTATGTATGCCTTGTATCAATGATTACAGAAGTGGTTCTGATGAACTCAGATCTTCGGAGTGGCCTCAAGAGCTTGTTTTCTGGATCTGAATCTTAGGTATGTATGATAGCCACCAGCGTATATATCACCAAAAATATATGCAAAAAGATGGGTGCACCGGATTCGAACCGATGACCTCCTGAATTTTCCTGGTTTACTTTGAGAACTATTGTCTAAAGCCATACAAGGTTAAACAAGACGCTATGCGAGTAGAACGTGCGTGGTCAGAGATTTTTATTCTTGACTAACCCCCAGTTGAACCACCTCTCGAATTGAATGAATCCAATCAAGTAGGAGCAGAAATCAAGAGCACTACCACTGCGCCAGCACCCTGTTTTTGTTGGATGTGTTTGGTTTAACTGCCTTTTAAGTGTATTGCGTTTGTCAGATAGCAAACAGTGAGAACCAGTAAGAACAATGAGACAGTGAGCAGAGTGAGAACGGAAACAGCAGGATGCTTAGCAACAGATAAAGGCGGTGTTATTCGTTTAATCTAGTAATATTAGAAAGCATATTGTCAGTTATCTACCTATGAAACTATTCATTGATGATATATATTATTCATATAAACCAAAAGTCTTAAGGATAGTCCGAAATAAGACATTCGGGGCTCAGACATTCATGATCCCCGCAAGAGCTTATATCAACTACAAATAATAAAACATACCCTAATTTTACATAGAAATCACATTTAGAGATCAATTCATAATCTTCAATCTCAATATAAATTACGTTCCCAGCAAGTGAATGAAAACAGCCATTGAATCACGTGCTAGGAGGCTCAATTGGGACTTGCGCTTGCCACATACTGCACTAGCGCGATTACGTCCTCCTGTGCACGATCAAGTACAGCGTCATCTTGCACCGCCTGACAGATTGAGTGGCCAACCAACATTTTCCTACACCGCAAAACCCCGAACCTTTTCCCTCGTTATAACCAAACTTTCCCTGGAGCTTTCCTTGTGCGGATCCTAAATAGCGTCATATTATTGTTTCCATCAACTGAACCAACCGGATAAAACCGTTCGATTGATACTCGGTCTGGCAAAGACCCTGCACCACGTTACCTCCGTCGGCGGCGCAATTAGATCTGCCAAGGTCCCCCGCTCCAGCCACCCTCACTCACAACGACATTATCGCCGCCGAGTCCTATCACTACCCCCCCGAATAAGCGCCATCGCTGCTACTAGATTGGGCCTGCTAGCCTGCGGACGAGTGCGATAATACCGAGTTCCTCCTCCTATACCATCTCACTGGTTGCACGACCACACCCGCCGCAACCATGTCGAAGGTTATGCGAAGCGTGAAGAATGTCACCAAGGGCTACTCATCAGTGCAGGTGAAGGTTCGCAATGGTGAGATATACTCGTTGCGCACGGTTAAACCGGCCAGCAAGTGGACTGACCGATTGAAATAGCCACGAGCAACGATCCATGGGGCCCGACTGGGACGGAGATGCAGGAAATCTCCCAGATGACATACAACTCGTATGGTCCCCCCGATTCGAGCAAATGCGGCGTCGCAAATAACAGCTGCTGATATGACGCAGGTCAACCGAGTTCTACGAGATAATGTACATGATAGATAAGCGTCTCAACGACAAGGGGAAGAACTGGCGCCACGTCCTCAAGGCCTTGAAGGTCCTGGATTACTGTCTGCACGAGGGCTCCGAGATGGTCGTGACATGGGCACGCAAGAACGTCTTCATCATCAAGACCCTCCGCGAGTTCCAGCACATCGACGACGACGGCCGCGACGTCGGGCAGAATGGTACGTTTGCACTTGCCCGAGCAAACCCCCAAGCTAACCAGTCAACAGTCCGCGTATCCGCAAAAGAACTCACCTCCCTGATCCTCGACGAAGAGCGTCTCCGCGCCGAGCGCAGCGATCGCAAATCCTGGAAGTCCCGCGTAACCGGCATCGAAGAGTACGCCTCCTCCGAGACCTCCCCGCCCCCCCGCCACGAGCGCACCCACCGCGCCCAGCGCGCCGATGAAGAAGACGCCGAGTACAAGCTCGCCATCGAAGCATCCAAGCACCAAGAGGAAGAGGACCGCAAGAAGCGCCAAAGCCGGCAGGGCGAGCCCGACGACGACGACCTCGCCAAAGCCATCAAGCTCAGCAAAGAGGAAGAGGACCTGCGGCTCAAGGAACTCGAGGACGCGAACGCGCAGAGCCTATTCGACGACGACCCCGTGCAGATGCAGGGTAACCAGCCGCAATTCACCGGCTATAACCAAGGCTACCAGCAGCAAGGCGCCGTCGACTGGTCTGGCAACCCCATCGACATGTCCCAGGGCCAACAGCCCAACTACCTCAACGCCTACGCCACCGGCTACCCGCAAGCCCAGCAGCAGCAGACGGGCTACCAAACGGGCTACCCGAACGGCTTCCCCAGCTTCGATCAATACGTGCAGCAGCAGACCGCGCAGACGTCTCCCTTCCCGTCGTCCCAGAACTACAACCCCTACGCCCAGCAACCCCAGCAGCAGCAACCTGAACCCATCGTCCCAGCAAACACCAACAACCCCTGGGCCACAAGCGCCCAAACCGCAGTCCAAGCCCAAGCCCCCGCCCCAACAGGCTCAAACAACCCCTTCGCGACCTCTCGCCCCGCACCAGCGCAGACATCCTCCCAACCCACCCTCTCAACCTTACAAGAGCAAAAAACACTCTCCTCCTTCAACCAACCGCAATTCTCCCAACCCTCCTCCTTTACCCCCTCCCCGGCCCAACAACAGCGCCAACAACAGCAACGACAACAACAACAGAAACCCCAATCCCCCTACGAAGCCCGCCTCGCCTCCCTCCTCGAAAGCGGCGACGGCATGGACACCTTCGGGAACACGGGTAACCTCCGCATCCCCGCTCAGCACACCGCGCCCGGCACGTTTGTCAACTCTGCGGGTGCTGGGTTGCCGGGCTTGAATTCCCAGCAGACGGGGGTGAATCCGTTTGTGCAGGGGCAGTTTACGGGAATGCCGCAGGCGCAGTATGGAGGACAGCAGGGGATGCAGCATGCGCAGACGGGGGGGGGGAATCCGTTTGGAAGGCAGCAGGGGGGGCAGGGGGGGAATTTGATTGATTTTTAAGTTTGATGGGGAGTGGGGGAAGGGGGAAAGGGAGGGAGGGGGGAGGTGGGTTTTTTTTGTCTTGCGAGCGGATGAAAATTCGAGTGGGGAAGTTGCGTTGTGTTTAGACTGGATGGAGATTGCTTCGTACGATGGATGGAGGATAATGTAGTGGGGATGGTGGGTGGGTAGTGGTAGATTATGGAAAGGTGAATTGAAATCGAGATGAGAATTTAAGCAAGTTGTGTCTGTGCTGAGTTTGTCTATCTTGCCCCCTTCCTGTCTCCCTCCGTTGTCTTAGGGGGGTGGTTTTGAGCCTATCCCTCCCCGCTACTTATTCTCACATCACTGCTTATTCCACATCTCCTCCACATCACATCACCACTTAATCCACAATCCTCCACATCACCCCATCATCCCATCCCATCCCTCAAACCCAGCAGCCCAGCAGTCACGCCCCAAAAGATACGAAGTTGCAGGCCTATAAACCCATCATATTACATATATGTTACGGCCCAACCACGAATAGTATAATATAATAGTAAATATTGAATTGCTCTATACTACGTTTCCAATAGTGTCTGCTCTTGCCCGCTTCCTCCGCTTTGGCCTCTTAATTAAAGCTAATTTTGTACGGGTAGCTAGGCCTGATAAGTTACCACAGTCATGACCATCATTATGGCAGTGTACGCTACACTCCTTAATTTCCTTATAACAACGGCACCTCTTTGTACTACACTGTCCTTTACATTGACATGAGATTCCTACCCGTGCGCTTGTAGAAGCCTCTCTAGCAGCAAGCCCTAGCGTTACTTACTTTGTAGAAGTAGGAATTAAGATATCAGACCAGAGAGTTTGCTCTACAACTCCAAGTGATTTTGTAGGTATAAGGCATTGTATAATACCAGAGAGTGTAAGAACCTGATATTAGTGTAGGTAAGGCTCTTCTAGAATGCGTGTAAAGAGCCTCTTATTAGAGGTTCTATCCTCTTAAGGAACCTTAATAGAGACTATAGCTCTAATATCAAAGTATTAACGTGCATGTATAACGAAAGTGCCAAACAAGCGAAAGTGCCAAAATATCGTGACTACCCCATAAGAATTGCGATAAATCCACCACAACAATATAAATTAATTAAAACTACTCAGAGTCCTCTTCCTAAGACCTGTCTATTACAATCTGACAAGTGCGCGCATTGTGTCCAGTCTCACCACACTTGCCACAGCGACGTGCATGGGTTTCTTCCCTTGGCTTCCGACCACTACTTGCCCTTATTTCTTGCTCTAGTCCTGTAGCTCCTGTGCTACCTGTTGACTAAGTGATCCTCCTTGCTGTAGTCGTGTTTTTTTAGCTCTCCGGCGCTTGCTTAGCACTTCATTTGCCTGTTGCAGGTTTTGGTTCTCTGCTTTTAACAATGCTAATTGATGCATTATTTGCGATGCACCCTTTGTAAACTGGTCAACAGCTGCATAGATTGAGGTTGGAGAGCTATTTTGATGATGCGCAATTCGGTTTTTAATGAAAGTAGACTGTGATACAGCTTCAGTTGGGTTATTTGGTGTCTGAGAAACCCATGGTTGAGCGGTGTTTGGGCGAGAGGTTGGAGGTGTTGGCGTCTTAAACCTAAGGTCAAGTGTAGATATTACACTCTCAGGGCTAAATGAAAGAAGCCCAGCACCTCGGAACCCTCCCTGAATATTGCTTTCTGTCATTGCAATGTTAAATGCAGCGTGGAAGGCAGGAAAGAAGTCATCCTTAGTAATGTGAATAATATGAGCCCGCATCATATCTTCAATTTGCCGACCGTAAGCTCTCTTTAATGGGCCAAAACAGCCAACATCAAGTGGTTGGAGTATATGGGAAGAGTGAGCAGGCATACAAAGCGTAATAATGTTGTGTTCTTTGCAGTACTCCTCAAACTTGTCTGAGTGGTGGCTCTCATGACCATCAAGGACTAACAAGCGATAACCACCAACACTCCGGGGCTTTGTGTGCTTCTCAAAATGCTGAATCCAATCCATACCTCTCTCGTTTGTAGTCCAGCCATTTGCAGTAACAGCGATTACCCAATCTGCTGGAAATCCACTATTCTCATACCAAGATGCAAGGTGGTTTTTACCTGCCACAATGACAAATGGCGGCACTGCCCAACCTTGAGAACTAACGCCTTGGATTACTCTAACCCATTCCCGATTGCCAGGCTGCACCTTTTTTGCCTTTGCCCGCCCATCTGAGCTCGTTACTACCGTTGCGCTTGAGATGACGCCCATCATAAACCCAGTCTCATCAAAGTTGTAGATATCTGCATTGTTGATGCCATACTTTAGAATTGTGTTCCATACAAGCTCAAACCAGCCACGAATGACTTCTGGATCTTCGCACTTAGCCCTCTGGTAGTCGTATTTTTGCTGGAAGCGTGTCCGGAGCTCTACATGGCGCTTAACAAAGTTTGAAGCCCAACGTGACCCGACGTGTGGCGCGTCGCGTGTTGCAAGTAGTCGATTTGCCATATCTTCAACAATAGACAACTGAGGAGGGAACCCTTTAGCAGCTAAGTCAAGTATATACTGAACAAGAACTGATTCCTCTAGGTTACTTAATTTTCGTAAGTTGGCTTGGATATCGCGTCGTGAAGGTACACCTTGTAAACGGTGACGTAGCTTGCGGTGGTCTACGGAATAGATCCTAGCTGCAACTCGAAGGCGCAAATTTGGGTCGCTTTGCATAGCTTGGATAGCTAGCACTAATTTGCTTTCATCATTTTTATGGCGCATGTTTTGTTGTGGAGGAATTTAACATTTACTTGGGGGGGTTGGTCACCGCATGATTTTGGCACTTTCGCTTGTTTGGCACTTTCGTTATACATGCACGTTAACCGAACATCGTCTTAGCGGCATTTGACTGTACTTGCTTTGATTTAAAGTGGTAGGTTTAGCGAGGCAAGACATCTTGCTTCCCACAAGACAACTTGCTTATTCCGACTGGGAGCGAAGCGACCAGGCAGATCCGACGATTATATACCACCAAAACTATTAATAAATACTAGATATAATACACTTTCATCATCACCTCTCCTATCAAATATGTCCCCTTCCGTAAAGACCATCTAAACGTCAAAAAAGAAAAACCCGAACAGCAAACAAAAACAGCTAATAAACAAGAAACAGACGATAAATCCAAAAAACAACAACAAACAGATCATCTATCCCACCACCGCGCTCTCGATTTCGATCCCTAACCGCCCACCAAACAAAGGGAATGGTAATATATACTGTAACGTTGGGTATTCATCACCCCCCGCACCCGTTCCCCCCTTTTGAAAAACGCTCTCCCCCTTCCCATCCGCGCAACCAGAAAAACCGAAAAAATCGATACACCTCCCCTGGTTGTGAGTCCGTGGTTGCGAGTTCGTGAGTGGTCGGGTTGGCCCTCGTCTCCCCCGCTACCACCCAAACCCCTCGCCCCCCACACTCCCAACAGCACTCAACCTCACCGCCCGTCCCTTAACAGTACCCATGAAACTCTCTCTTTCTCTCTCCCGTTCCCTCTCCCTCTCCCTCTCCCGTTCTCTCTCCCGTTCCCGTTCCCTCTCCCGGACTCTCCTCTCATCCCCACCCCCCCCAAACCGTTCCCTATCGCTCCGTTCACTCCTCACGCTCCTCGCGCTTCGGACCGACTTCTGCCCCCCCGCGCCGTTCGTGACGGGTCCCCCATTATTGTTGTCGAGGCAGAAGACAACACTCTCACCACTCACAGTGGAGCTGTTACTCATTCCACTCCTCACGCTCCCTCTCAGCATTAATCCACTTCCCCCTCCTAAATTCCTCCCAGCCCCACCACCCCCGCCACCCCCTCCGCCAATAGTCACAACACTAGCAGTCCCCACATCCAACGACCCCTCGGCCAGGATCTTATCCCGCATCCTCGCTCTCTTCCGGCGCAGTGCCGAGAGCAGCGCCTGTTCCTGTGGTGTGACAGCCATTAAATTCGCTGCCGCCGCTGTTGCTGAGGTGGGAACGGCGGGGACGGCGTAGGAGGGGTTAGGGGAGCGTGAGGAGGTGTGTGTTGAAGTGGCGCTGCCTATGGGGAGGTGTGTGTTGTGGCCATTGGTGTATCCATTCCCATTCCCATTCGCGTATCCGTTCCCATTAGAATATCCATTTGTATACCCATTGAACCCGTTAGAATACCCTGTCCCCTCACTCCCCTGCCTCTCATGCCCAGGACTCATCGGACTCACCGGACTCGGCAGCCCCTCCACCAGCGGCCTACTCCTCGGCGCCGTACTCCTCAGCGTACTAGCCGTCCTTGAGCTATTCACACTCCTCATCGTACTCGCCTTACTCGCCGAGCTCGGCTGTCGTCTGACGCCTTGCGGGACACCCGGCAGCGCACCACCCGGCGGCGGGATAGCGGTAGTAGGCGGCGAGGAAGCGGAGGATCGCCATGGTCCAGAGAGGTGCGGCGAGATGGGGGAGGGGATGGTGAGGAAGTTGCTGTGATGCGGGCTTGGTGTGTTCAAGGAAGGGTGGGAAGTCGAGCTAGCGGGGCGGGGGAAGGCGTCGAGGTTGCGGAGGGGTTTTGGTTTCTGTCGTATCTTTGATGAACTAGACTGTTTTTTCGCCGACGACGAGGTGGTGCTACTACTACTCTTATGCGTCGTCCCACCATTCGTCTGCGATCGCGCAGTATTCCTCTCCCCCGCCCTCCTAGCGCCATTCCCCATCCCATCGCTCTCGAAGGTATCCTTATCATCCCCCCTCTCCTCGTCATCAGACGACGACGATTCGGATAGGGAGAGAATGCTATTCTGCTGTAGATTCGAGTTCGAAAACACACTCCGCCTAGACGTCCCAGTCGTCTTACTCGAATCGCTCACCCGGCTCGTGGCATCCCAATTCTGCCCCCCACCGCCCCCGCCAGCACCGAGGTGATCGCGCGCGCGCCACGCTGCGTGCGCCGATGGCGGGGGCGCTGTATCCCTACCATCATGTTTGTTTCTGGGACGGAGATCAGGGTAGGCTACTCCATTCGGCGCCTCGTGTCTCGGTCTCGGTGCCGTGATTACCGGGACCTTCGCCGCCACAGCGGCACGGGGCTCAGGCACAGGCGCCGGACTCCGATCCGCGTAGACGCGCTGCTCGTAGTGATCCCACAGATCGTCTGTGGCGTGGTGATCGCTCTGGAACTGGACCGTCTTCTCGTCCCTCAGGCGATCGACGGGCGGCGAAACGACGGCCGATTTCTGGCGCACGATAGGCGGGTTGTTACCCAGTTTGCGGGCATAGGCTGCGTCGGTAGCGGAGGAGGAGGAGATGCCTGAGGCGACGGAGGGGGGGCGGAGGGATTGTGCGTCTTTTGATTTTTTGTGGAAGAGGCGGGTGAGGTCGAGGCGGGAGGTTTTTTTCTTGGGGGGTTGCATGGGGGAGGAGGGGAAGTAGCTGCCCCTGTCTCTGTTGTGGGTGGTCACGTCGTCGTCGCCGTCGTCTTTGGCGATGGAGTCGATGCCATGCGGACTGAGTGGGCTGTGGAGCATATTGGAGACGACGGGCTGGTAGCCCTTGCGGAGTGCGAGGTCGCGCGCCGACGAGGCGGAGGTCTGCTGTGACACAGCGAGGGGCGTAGATCCGCGGTCATAGTAAGACCGTAATGTGGAATTCGACCTCTCCAACCTGATATCCGGCAAGTCACTCGCCATATCCTCTCCACCTCCATAATCCCCTCTCATCACCGCCCCGCGGCCCAGCAGCGTCGGCGACGCCTTGCAGTCCAACCGTATCGGCGGCACCCCCCCTCCCTCAGAGGCACTGAAAGCGTTGTCCTCTGTCGTCGACTCGGCTATCTCAATGCTCATCCGGCTCGGGCTCGTGGCCGCTCGACTGCGCGTCGTCGAGGACGGTGTGTAGGATCGCCATGTACCGTCGTCTTCGCGGCTGGGGGAGTCGATATTGAGGTTCCCCGTGCCGAGGAGACGCTGTGCTTTCGAGAGGGGTTGTTGCTGTCGCTGCTGCGGCGGGCGGGAATTGCTGCTCGAGGAAGTCGTGGGTATAGATTCTGTTTTCGCGGGAGGGAGGACCGAGGCGCGGCGCCCTGGGACGGGGAAGAAGAATTTCGAGGTCCTGCCCATAGCCGCGGATGGGGGGGGAACGGCGGCGGCGGTGGTGGTTGCGATGGTTATATTGCGGCGGTGAGGGGGGGATTTGTTGGGGATTTCTCGAGAGGGAGAGAGGTGAGAGTGAGGGTGAGACGTGAGGTTTGAAGTTTCCCAGACCCGATCAGCCAAGGAATGTGGAGGGTGAGGGCTAGGCGCGAAGGGATCTAGCGTGAAGACTGTTGATTGATGTGGAGTTGTGAAGTTCTATCCCGACATCGAGACTCGCCATACCACTATACTCGACTACTATACTCGATCTACACGACGACCATGCTGTGTTCCCATACAGTCCTCTGAGATATGCGTATAGTTGCATGGTCGAAGTTAGAGACGCTACAACGGTGCCCCGCAACATCAGGATCCCCCCTCGGCACGCACCAAGGAGCATGTGGACTCCGACTCACTACTGTAACTACAGTATGCCCCGCGAAATGGGTGCCCCGAGACAAGATATTCTATAGTGTCTTCGATTGTCAATCTCCCCACACTGACATCCACAGCTGTCTCTCATCGATGGAGATCCCTCCATGCCTCCTCTTCTCCCCCACAGTTTGAAACGACGACAGTGCTGTGGAATGTCAATATTGAGAGCCCAACTCCAGAATCGTAGCCACCTAACGGAGATTAACACTCCCCCTGCACTACGGTACACTACCAATTCAAACCCGTGCACAGTCCGCCCCCTGCTCCAGCCCTGATGCTACGCTGAGACTGAGTGCCGAACGAGGCCGGAGATGAGTGGGCGTGCGTTCGTTGGTTAGGTGATGGGAGCGCGAGGAGTAGAGTGCGAGTACAGTATGAGTACCTGGGTGAGTTACGTATGGAAGGATGGGGATCCGGGGAGGTTGGGGGATCGGCGGGGTGACGATGGGGATGGGATGGGAGATCAGAGATGGGGATCTGGGAAGAGGGATGATGGGATGGAGAAGGAGATTTGTCACATCTCTCTCCGAAACGGGGTATGAAGTGTTACTTGCGTGAACAAGAAAGAGGTTCTTCTATCCCTCATTCTCACCCCTTTTCCCGGGTTGGGCTCTTACATAGGATGCATACCCTTTTTCTGCCTGCGCTATCTATGCCTTCATCACATATCAAAACCCCGTGCTTCCACCGCTGTTTCCTACCTCCTTCATTTACATTTAAATAAGAGGGGGCAAATGAGATGATGATGATGATGATGATCTTTATTTACGTCTAGCGGAACGCGGGTGTCACCCGCGGCCAAGGAGCTCCCGAAAGGTATGGGGACGTGCTAAGCTATGGGTTTATGTCAGTTCTTGCGTGTTTGCGTGAGCTGTAAGGCCCGTTGACTAAGCGCCTTCCCCGCCAGTTAGGATGGTGTTAGGTTTGCTAGTAGAGGGCGGTGCTCGGAGGTTCTCCCGAAAGGGGGTGTATGCGGGACCGGTTGGTCTGATGTTACAGCCACTGCGAGTGTGGTGTGTAGTAGGCCACTTTAGCATCGTAATTTGAGTGTAACAGCGTAGCAGCTTTAGCCTAGATAGGAAATGATGCAACTATAATCTAAGCCCCCCTGTTGCCACTATTTCCTAATGTAGTCTAAAGTGATACAGTGTAGCAGCTTAGGTCTTGGCAGTCTGTTCCTAAATAGGTTAGTATTATAAGTAAAATCCAATGTTAGAAAATGAAGCTGTAGATATTATCAACTGTATAGTTATATATAATAATGAATAATGCTTTTACCAACCCCTATAGGTTAGCACTAATAATCATAATAATCATGACTAACGTACATGTATAGCGAAAGCGCCAAACAAGCGAAAGCGCCAAAATGATGCGGTGACCAAACCCCCCAACTAAATGTTAAATTCCTCAACAACAAAACATGCCCCATAAAAACGATGAAAGCCAATTAGTGCTAGCTATCCAGGCTATGCAAAGCGACCCAAAGTTACGCCTTCGAGTTGCTGCTAGGATCTATTCTGTGGACCACCGCAAGCTAGGTCGTCGTCTAGAAGGTGTACCTTCACGACGCGATATCCAAGCCAACTCACGGAAATTAACTAACCTAGAGGAGTCCGTCCTTGTTCAGTATATACTCGACCTAGCTGCCAAAGGGTTTCCTCCTCGGCTGTCTGTTGTTGAAGATATGGCAAGTCGACTACTTGCAACACGCGACGCGTCACGCGTTGGGTCGCGTTGGGCTTCAAACTTTGTTAAGCGGCGTGTAGAGCTCCAGACACGCTTTCAGTGCAAATACGACTACCAGAGGGCTAAGTGCGAAGATCCAGAAGTTATTAATGGCTGGTTTGAGCTTGTGCGTAACACAATTGCGAAATATGGTATTGATGAAGCAGATATCTACAACTTTGATGAGACTGGGTTTATGATGGGCGTTATCTCAACTGCTATGGTTGTAACAAGCTCAGACGGGCGGGCAAAAGCAAAGAAGGTACAGCCTGGTAATCGGGAATGGGTTACAGTAATCCAAGGCGTTAGTTCTCAAGGTTGGGCAGTACCACCATTTATCATTGTTGCAGGCAAAAACCACCTTACATCTTGGTATGAGAATAGTGGATTTTCAAGCGATTGGGTAATTTCTGTTACTGAAAATGGCTGGACTACAAACGAGAGAGGCATGGATTGGATTCAGCACTTTGAGAAGCATACAAAGGCCCGGAGTGTTGGTGGTTATCGTTTGTTAGTCCTTGATGGTCATGAGAGCCACCACTCAGATGAGTTTGAGGAGTACTGCAAGGAACACAACATTATTACGCTTTGTATGCCTGCTCACTCTTCTCATCTACTCCAGCCACTTGATGTTGGCTGTTTCGGCCCGTTAAAGCAGGCCTATGGTCGGCAAATTGAAGATATGATGCAGGCTCATATTTCTCATATTACAAAGGATGACTTCTTTCCTGCCTTCCACGCTGCATTTAACACTACAATGACGGAAAGTAACATTCGAGGCGGGTTCCGAGGGGCAGGGCTTCTTCCATTTGACCCTGAGAGAGTGATATCTACACTTGATCTTAAGTTAAGGACACCAACGCCTCCAAGCTCCCGCCCAGGTACTGCTCAACCTTGGGTTTCTCAGACACCAAACAACCCAATTGAAGCTATGTCACAGTCTACATTTATTAAAACTCGGATTTCACGCCATCAAAATAGCTCTCCAACCTCAATCTATGCAGCTGTTGACCAGTTTACAAAGGGTGCATCGCAAATAATGCATCAATTAGCACTGCTAAAGGGAGAGAACCAAAACCTACGACAGGCAAATGAAGTACTAAGCAAGCGCCGGAGAGCTAGGAAAACACGACTACAGCAAGGAGGATCACTTAGTCAACAAGGGGCGCAAGAGCTACAGGATGAGAGGGATGTTGTGCAGCAGGTAGAGCAGGAAATAAGGGCAAGCCGTGGTCGGAAGCCAAGGGAAGAAACCCGTGCCCGTCGCTGTGGCAAGTGTGGTGAGACTGGGCACAATGCGCGCACGTGTCAGATTGTAATAGACACCTCTGAGGAAGAGGACTCCGAGTAGTTTCAATTGATTTCTAATGTTGTGGTAGATTTATCGCAATGTTTGTCGTGAGGGTAGATAATTTTGGCGCTTTCGCTTGTTTGGCGCTTTCGCTATACATGTACGTTATTCTAATAGTCAAATATTATGTAAGCATGACTAGTCATAATCATGAATATTCATGATTATGATTATATGAGTTTTTAATCATGACTAGTCATGATTATCACATGATGTTAGAATCATGTAGCCTAATAATTATCTCGTATAACGTGCATGTATAACGAAAGTGCCAAACAAGCGAAAGTGCCAAAATCATGCGGTGACCAACCCCCCCAAGTAAATGTTAAATTCCTCCACAACAAAACATGCGCCATAAAAATGATGAAAGCAAATTAGTGCTAGCTATCCAAGCTATGCAAAGCGACCCAAATTTGCGCCTTCGAGTTGCAGCTAGGATCTATTCCGTAGACCACCGCAAGCTACGTCACCGTTTACAAGGTGTACCTTCACGACGCGATATCCAAGCCAACTTACGAAAATTAAGTAACCTAGAGGAATCAGTTCTTGTTCAGTATATACTTGACTTAGCTGCTAAAGGGTTCCCTCCTCAGTTGTCTATTGTTGAAGATATGGCAAATCGACTACTTGCAACACGCGACGCGCCACACGTCGGGTCACGTTGGGCTTCAAACTTTGTTAAGCGCCATGTAGAGCTCCGGACACGCTTCCAGCAAAAATACGACTACCAGAGGGCTAAGTGCGAAGATCCAGAAGTCATTCGTGGCTGGTTTGAGCTTGTATGGAACACAATTCTAAAGTATGGCATCAACAATGCAGATATCTACAACTTTGATGAGACTGGGTTTATGATGGGCGTCATCTCAAGCGCAACGGTAGTAACGAGCTCAGATGGGCGGGCAAAGGCAAAAAAGGTGCAGCCTGGCAATCGGGAATGGGTTAGAGTAATCCAAGGCGTTAGTTCTCAAGGTTGGGCAGTGCCGCCATTTGTCATTGTGGCAGGTAAAAACCACCTTGCATCTTGGTATGAGAATAGTGGATTTCCAGCAGATTGGGTAATCGCTGTTACTGCAAATGGCTGGACTACAAACGAGAGAGGTATGGATTGGATTCAGCATTTTGAGAAGCACACAAAGCCCCGGAGTGTTGGTGGTTATCGCTTGTTAGTCCTTGATGGTCATGAGAGCCACCACTCAGACAAGTTTGAGGAGTACTGCAAAGAACACAACATTATTACGCTTTGTATGCCTGCTCACTCTTCCCATATACTCCAACCACTTGATGTTGGCTGTTTTGGCCCATTAAAGAGAGCTTACGGTCGGCAAATTGAAGATATGATGCGGGCTCATATTATTCACATTACTAAGGATGACTTCTTTCCTGCCTTCCACGCTGCATTTAACATTGCAATGACAGAAAGCAATATTCAGGGAGGGTTCCGAGGTGCTGGGCTTCTTTCATTTAGCCCTGAGAGTGTAATATCTACACTTGACCTTAGGTTTAAGACGCCAACACCTCCAACCTCTCGCCCAAACACCGCTCAACCATGGGTTTCTCAGACACCAAATAACCCAACTGAAGCTGTATCACAGTCTACTTTCATTAAAAACCGAATTGCGCATCATCAAAATAGCTCTCCAACCTCAATCTATGCAGCTGTTGACCAGTTTACAAAGGGTGCATCGCAAATAATGCATCAATTAGCATTGTTAAAAGCAGAGAACCAAAACCTGCAACAGGCAAATGAAGTGCTAAGCAAGCGCCGGAGAGCTAAAAAAACACGACTACAGCAAGGAGGATCACTTAGTCAACAGGTAGCACAGGAGCTACAGGACGAGAGGGACATTGTGCAGCAAGTAGAGCAAGAAATAAGGGCAAGTAGTGGTCGGAAGCCAAGGGAAGAAACCCATGCACGTCGCTGTGGCAAGTGTGGTGAGACTGGACACAATGCGCGCACTTGTCAGATTGTAATAGACAGGTCTGAGGAAGAGGACTCCGAGTAGTTTTAATTAATTTATATTGTTGTGGTGGATTTATCGCAATTCTTATGGGGTAGTCGCGATATTTTGGCACTTTCGCTTGTTTGGCACTTTCGTTATACATGCACGTTATCTTAAAAACAAATTTCCTCCCATACTAAATAGCAAACAAATCTCGAAGGACCGCTCTAAACTTCTTTACCTCCCGGGTTGGGCCATTCAAGTCCCTCCTTACTTTCTTCTATCACTAGAGCCTCTATCCCGCCCAAAAATACCCTCTAGGTACCACAAATTAAACATCCCCAACCCGACCCAAACTTCAGCCACCACCTCTCAGGTAGCCTTCGTACTCGACTCCTTCCCCTCCGTCTCCTTCTCTTTTGGCATTTCAAACGTCTCCGCCAATTTCAAATACTTCCAAACAACTAAAAAATCTACTCGTTAGCACTACGATCGAACATGCATCCACTTCTTCGAAAGAACTCACCCGTCAACCCCAAATCTTCGCCAAACGATGCCTTCAGCTGCTCCTCCCCCGCCGCAACATTATCCGCATAGAACGTAGCGGCCTTCTTCCCGACTGCAAGTGCAATCATGGGTTCCACGGAGGGCGCATCAACGAGCTTCGTGTCGGTTCCACCCTCGGCCTGCAACATCATCTGGTGCATGTTGGCGATAGCGATCTGGGCAAAGTACATAGCGGCTCCACAGCGCTTGATGCCTGTCCAAGCCATGATGTCCCCGGCCGCAAAGTGGTATTCGGCGTTGGGAACGGTGGAAGGGAATCGGAGTCTGCAGGTCTATTAGCGCATTTTTGCCTAGTGGGGTAGCGAGGGCGCAAACTGAGGGGTGACGGCGATGAAGCCTTCGTGGTCGAGGGCCGAGGCTGGGGCATAAGTGGAGGTTGGCACGGGGCGAGAGATAGCCCAGATGACTTTCCCGGCGCGCAAGGTCTTGCCGCTCTTGAGGCGAACGGTGAAGCCTGTGTCGGTTAGGCTATCGGGGTTGGAGCTGACGACGCGCTCGCTGAGAATGGTCTCGACGCCTTGCTCGTGTAAGAGGCCTAGGGCAACGTCTTTGAATTTATCGGGTAGCGGTTCCCCGCTTAAGACGTGATCATGGGAGTGGATTAGTTTGACCGATTTGTCTGGGAAGCATAGTTTAAGCTCAGCAGACATCTCAACCCCAACGGCTCCTGTGATAATAGTGAGCCAAGTGAATTTATGTTAGGCGGGAACAGGGCAACAAACCGCCCCCAACGATCACGATGCTCTCTGATACAGAGCGTATGTCGCTGATATGTGACTTGCACTCCTCAAGGTACTTCTCCCTGAAAATGGACTGCGGCACGGAAGGATGCTCTCTCCGGAGACCAGAGCAGCATATGGCATAGTCGTATTCGACAATCGAGGTATGGCCAGTAGAGTAAGTTATCGTTGCCGTCTTCGACGAGCAATTGAGGTTTGTCACGCTGCCCTGGACAACGCGGATTGAAGGGTGTTGAATAGCCTTCACATCAGCGTACTTCCTCCACGCTTTCTCGCCGTATGCATCATCCGCTAACGCGAGCGGCGATCCGATAGTGTGATCTGTTTGTGGTGGTATAAGAATAGGTCGCATGCAAGATGATCAGATAAGATACTAGATGGGAGCGAGACTTACAAAACCCATCCCTCTCATCGACCATCGTAATCTGCACCGACGATCGCAGCGGCTTGCCGGTGACCGGCGGCAACGGGACAGATGTCGGACGGTGCTCTCCTCCATTCGCCAGTTCCAAGAGATGAATGACGGCGCTCAGCCCGGCATATGCACCGCCAATGACTAGGACTCTGTTCTGCGGCTTCTCAACGACATTCTCGGGCACGACCTGGACCATCTCGGCCGGCGCCGGCTCCTCTTTGCTAAATAGGAAACCCATGGTAGACTGGCTTTGGGTGGGATGGTGCGAAGTGGCGTGGAAGAAGAAAAACAGCAAAGAAGCAAGACAAATAATGAGGGTAGGAGAAGTCAGCCGGAGTGGAAGGTGTACAGGTGCCATGAAAGCTGGCCATGAGCTGGCATCTTAAAGCAAGTCACGGCCCCTCTGGCTCATACATACTAAAGTACATCGGCACCACGGAACTGCGTGGAGTACTCCGCACCGTACTCCGCACGGTATAACTGAACCACGTTGGAACATGGTATCCAACCCATGTCTGGCGGGTCTGATGGGCCTGACTGACTTCGCCCATCTGATAAGATCAACCATTGTCGGCCATTTGTGGCCATTGGTAGGTAATTGCTGGGAGTGGATCTAGTGACTGCCGCTCTAAAGGGAAAGGAACGAACAAGAACAGGGCGGCCCATCGCACCTGCCAAGAGCCATCGTTCTCGGAGTGTCGGCATAATAGTAATGCGGATATGGTATTTGAGATAACGGGACGCGCGACTGGTTAGCTAAGATAGGTAAAAGTGGCAGGAACGGCGGGAACAGAGGGAACGGTGTGATATCGCAATAGCGGCGACAGCGACTCATGCACTTTGCACATTGTATGTGCATCTGTACAGGGCAGATTAGTATGAGGGAACATCAAATATCCCCTGTCATGCTTACGCGGTCGGGTTTCGAGATCGTCCCATGTTTCATCACTTTTATCTAATCAGATTGCGGGTCTACGTGGGATGCACACGCCAAGGGCTAATGATGATTATGGCGGAGACTGGAGTTGTTGACAGGGTAACAAGTCCTTGTCTCGGAGATACTAAAACAGTAGTATGTATAGCAGAGTTCTTCCCTGCTCCTTGGCAAATGGCAGGGAGATGGTCGTCGCTTAGAGTTATCAGATCCGTCGATAGCTGATGAGTTGGCTTTTGGTGGTTTTTGACGGTTTCGATGGGTGACACGGGCATGGATGCCGCATTATCAGATGGGAGGGTCCATGTACGCTCTTGGTTAGCCAGCGTCCATGGGTGACTACCCTTGGACAGGTATCCAGCCATATCCATCAATCCTTCGCGGCGCATGGATATCTGGACTGTCTGGTTATATCTCGAATCCATAATGATGGATGCTGGAGATAAATTTGCTAGCTGTTGAATAGCCGTGGCTTTGCCAGTACAGTTGAACCTGGATATAAGGATGCCCTCGGGACCGGGCGTGGCATCCTTATAGCGAGGATATCCTTATGTGGCGGTTCACGGAAATCTCGTGTCTTGCCATATCTGGATTATCAAAAGCCTTCACACCTTGAAGAGTGATAAGCCACTGCAAATCTGAGTCAAACGACTCAAGCTGGCCGCCACGGTCCCCGCTTCGTAACGCCTCAGCCAACTGATCTGGTGACATTAAAATTTCTAGCCGTCCAGTTCTCCGGTAATGGTCTGGCAGATCTTCTCCAGCTTTGAGAATAAGGCCATACCAGCGGTAGCCGTATGCTTCGATCGGGCAGTATGCCACAGGCATGAACTGAAATTCCCCATACGAGGCGGGAAAGGTGTCTCGGTAGATAAAGAATAGAATATATGCAGTGTTCCCCAAATAGTATTCGAATAGTATTCGAATAGTATTCGAATAGTATTCGGGGTTTTCCCGAATACTCACCATCTAGGAGTATTCGGCGAATACTCATTCGAATCCTCGCCGAATAGTATTTGAGTATTTAGAGGTTCAACTGTAGTATATAGTAATGAAATATGATAACTGTCTACTCGCTATTATCCTCCTCCTCATCGCTTATAACCCCCCAATCCCATAGGCAGAGTAGATATCGAAGAGTTGAAGGTAATAACCTGTTCCTTTTCTTTGTAACTATATCACCGCCGACACCAAATATACGCTCTGACGCTGCCGATGAGGCTGGAATTGCCAAATAGTCCCGTGCGATCCGTGATATAACTGGATACTGATACTGCTTTGCGTGCCAATATTTGAGGATATTAGTATTACGGTCGACACCATTCTCTTTGAACCATCGTCGCCACTAACTTCCTCAATAGAAGGCCCACGATGATGATACATCTCGTCGTCGGAATCAAGTTCTCTTAGAGGGCTGCTCAGTTTCGGCAGCAATAGTAGCTTCAATAGCAGCAAACTGTATATCGTTCTCACAGACTTTATACCAGTTATAGCAAGCTGCGAACTGTGCTCTTGCCCTATCTCGTTTTACAGCGTCTACACTATTTGGCATATAAAATTCGTATACTTAAGTTGAATCTTGGGTCGCAGATAGTAGCAATTGACGAGTGGCTTGAGCCTTGATTTGTCACAAGGTTATAATAAGTATCAAGCTTATTATAAGATGCTTTACAAGCTGCGCTGATTGTTGCTGTTGTCGATGGAGCGTTTTCCATTGCCTTAAGCTTATTTAAAAGCTGTAGATAGTGTGGAATACAGACGTTCAATGTTGGATAATTATCTGCTTGAACTTGCTCTGCTGGTTTGACGAATATCTTAAAGAACGCCTTTAGTCCATGTAACACTTGCCATTCTATTGATGTAATGATAATATCACACATACTTAAATCCATCGTTTGCGAAGCACATAAAGCATTGATCGGCTGCTCAAGCTTCAAAGTGTTCTCAAGCATATAATATGTTGAGTTCCATCGTACAGGCATATCGAGGCCTAGGAGCATGAACGATAGCTCTAAAAAGCTCCTACGAATCTCTATGATTCATTACATGTCATCGCTCTTTAGTTACCCACAAGATTGGTTAAGTTATGACATAATTTGTCTATAGGGGTACTCTGACCTTGGACCTCCTTTTACTTCCTATAGGCTACAAACCTAAGAGATGGTTCTATGGGATTCTCTTACGTCGACTACAGTTACCAAGCCTGGTAAGTCATGGAAAGTCTTGGAAAATGAGAGAACTACATTCCTTTAGCATAAATAGGATTGCCCTTTCCTTAAGAAAGGGCAAGCAGACAATACAGTAAATCGACTATCACATACTTGTCTTTTCCAAGCTTCCAAGCATTCATCTTGTTACTCCTTGTTTCTGAAAAGTCAGTGAGGTGTTAACCTCTGACTTACCCCTGAGTTCCCAGACTCAACATTTGTTGCAACTTGTCTGAACCACTTCACTACATCACACACCTGATTGCTGCGTTGTGGAATAGTCTAAGCTACAACCCTTTGGCTCTGTTTCCTAAGACAGTGTGTTGTCTTAGTAAATTTATCCCTTCCTTGGGTGGCTAGATTCTCTCATCTGGTGCACCCACCACTACACTCCTCCTGCTGCACCCCGTCTTGTCATCTCTGTACCCCGCCTCATCGTTTCTGCGCCCCGCCTCGTCGTCTCTGCACCCCGCCTTGTTGTCTCTGCGCCCCACCCTGTTGGTGCTGCCTCACCAGCGTGGGGCCCAGCGAGTTTAGAAGCGAAAGATGGGGGAAATGAGGGAGATGAGGGGAATGAGGGGGATTGGGGGGAGAAGGAGGTATAGATGGTTGGAGCTAGTGGTGAGAGACAGGCAGTTTTGGGTCTCACTTACCGTGAGGCTGAGGATGAGTGGCTTCGGGCTGGGCGTCGCCGCCTCTTTGCTCGGGAGATTGCCCTAATCCTTCGGATTAGGCGTGATATTCTTGGCACTGATGCTGGCTCATTAGATGCCTTGGCTGAGGCCCTTCGGAGTTATGAGAGAGAGTCCCGTGTTGGGGATCCTGACCTCCTCAAACCCATCCTTCCTAATGGGGATGATGATTTATTCATCATTCCTCAGAGGTCAGCTCCTCGTGCTTGTCAGAGTGTAGAGGAGGTAGAGGAGGATCAGAGGTTGTTACGTAGAAGAAGTTTATAGTACTATAGTACTATTAAATGTCACAAACCTATAGTGACTCTTGTGTAGTTGGTGCAGTTGGTGCAGTTCGTGTAGTTAGCATCACTTGACCTGGCAAATTGACTGTGATGCCTGTCTGCGCCATAATACTGTAGACAGTAAGGTATTATGCTGTAGTATACTATATATAATAATTTAGAAACTAATAGCATTAATATAGAATGAAATAGTAATAGTACTACTCATCATCATCAATCCAAGAATTAGTCGAAAGATTTAGCCATGACTTTAAACACTCTAAATACTCAATAGTATCAACCCCTAGTCGGTTCCTTCGATCTGTAATTGTGATCTTTGCCCCTGAGAATAAACGTTCAGGCTCAGCACTCATTGCAGGTATTGATAAGATATCAAGAGCCATCTTTTGGAGGTTTGGATATGCTATCTGCTGAGCGCCTTCCATCCACCAACCCTGAGCATCACATTCAGGGGTAACTGGAGCTTGGCAGTATTTCAAATACTCATCTTGAATAGCTGGTTTGACAGCGTTTTTGTGTAGCCCACTCCTCAAATGCGCTCTTCTTATTTTGAGGTTGAATTGCAGCTATAATTGATGGTTCAATTGTTGGCTTGTAATGCTCATCCCATAGTGATTGAACAGCTATCTTTGCTGGTGTTACCCAGTTAATAGGCCAATTCTCTTCAATACTTCCATTTTTGACTTGGAATGAGTATTCCAGCAGCAATATACGCAGAAGACCTATAAAGTGTTAGTACTATAGACTATTGATAGTACTATTACATACCGCTCAGTTAGTGCATAATACTTGTCTATAACCTTCCAAGCTGAGTTGAAACATGGGCTAAGTATTATATCGTCTTGAAATTGTTGTTTGCCTTTCTCTAATTGCTCAAGAAGGAATTCCATAGATAATAATACCCGTTCTAGTGTAGCTTCTCGGCCTTCTGTAGCTAACTTCGCTTGATGAAAGAACTGGAGGCAGTCATGGATGTGTGATAGTATTATCCAATCACTCTCTGTCAATTCGTCTTGGCTTAGGTCGTAGTACTCCTTGTGACAGTATCCATTGATAGCTTTCTTCATATTGTCATCAAGAGCATTATGAAGCATCAAGTACCATGAGTTCCATCGAGTCTTGTAATCCCGAGAAAGCCTTTTACCATCACTATACTTCTCAAACGTTGCCTGGCGTTGGCGAGAATGTTGAATATACACTACAATATTATGTAGCTTCCCTAGCGGGCCTGCATTCCTCCATGTTTCAACCTGTACTTGTGATGCTTCTTGAGAGTTGTTATCCACAGAAAGAGCATCCCCGTATGGAAATAAGAATGCTTGTGCTGCTAGGTTGATGATATGGCCATTGCAATGAAGTCGGTAGTGTTGAGCATCATATTTAACACCTTGGAGTGATAGTACTATATAGTAGAAGTTAGAATTTTATAGTACTATCATTTTTTGTAATAGGACTAACGATTTGAAAGGCTTATCATCATAGTATCATTATTTGATGCATTGTCCATCATGAAATAACGTGCATGTGTAACGAAAGTGCCAAACAAGCGAAAGTGCCAAAATATCGTGACTACCCCATAAGAATTGCGATAAATCCACCACAACAATATAAATTAATTAAAACTACTCAGAGTCCTCTTCCTCAGACCTGTCTATTACAATCTGACAAGTGCGCGCATTGTGTCCAGTCTCACCACACTTGCCACAGCGACGTGCATGGGTTTCTTCCCTTGGCTTCCGACCACTACTTGCCCTTATTTCTTGCTCTACTTGCTGCACAATGTCCCTCTCGTCCTGTAGCTCCTGTGCTACCTGTTGACTAAGTGATCCTCCTTGCTGTAGTCGTGTTTTTTTAGCTCTCCGGCGCTTGCTTAGCACTTCATTTGCCTGTTGCAGGTTTTGGTTCTCTGCTTTTAACAATGCTAATTGATGCATTATTTGCGATGCACCCTTTGTAAACTGGTCAACAGCTGCATAGATTGAGGTTGGAGAGCTATTTTGATGATGCGCAATTCAGTTTTTAATGAAAGTAGACTGTGATACAGCTTCAGTTGGGTTATTTGGTGTCTGAGAAACCCATGGTTGAGCGGTGTTTGGGCGAGAGGTTGGAGGTGTTGGCGTCTTAAACCTAAGGTCAAGTGTAGATATTACACTCTCAGGGCTAAATGGAAGAAGCCCAGCACCTCGGAACCCTCCCTGAATATTGCTTTCTGTCATTGCAATGTTAAATGCAGCGTGGAAGGCAGGAAAGAAGTCATCCTTAGTAATGTGAATAATATGAGCCCGCATCATACCTTCAATTTGCCGACCGTAAGCTCTCTTTAATGGGCCAAAACAGCCAACATCAAGTGGTTGGAGTATATGGGAAGAGTGAGCAGGCATACAAAGCGTAATAATGTTGTGTTCTTTGCAGTACTCCTCAAACTTGTCTGAGTGGTGGCTCTCATGACCATCAAGGACTAACAAGCGATAACCACCAACACTCCAGGGCTTTGTGTGCTTCTCAAAATGCTGAATCCAATCCATACCTCTCTCGTTTGTAGTCCAGCCATTTGCAGTAACAGCGATTACCCAATCTGCTGGAAATCCACTATTCTCATACCAAGATGCAAGGTGGTTTTTACCTGCCACAATGACAAATGGCGGCACTGCCCAACCTTGAGAACTAATGCCTTGGATTACTGTAACCCATTCTCGATTGCCAGGCTGCACCTTTTTTGCCTTTGCCCGCCCATCTGAGCTCGTTACTACCGTTGCGCTTGAGATGACGCCCATCATAAACCCAGTCTCATCAAAGTTGTAGATATCTGCATTGTTGATGCCATACTTTAGAATTGTGTTCCATACAAGCTCAAACCAGCCACGAATGACTTCTGGATCTTCGCACTTAGCCCTCTGGTAGTCGTATTTTTGCTGGAAGCGTGTCCGGAGCTCTACATGGCGCTTAACAAAGTTTGAAGCCCAATGTGACCCGACGTGTGGCGCGTCGCATGTTGCAAGTAGTCGATTTGCCATATCTTCAACAATAGACAACTGAGGAGGGAACCCTTTAGCAGCTAAGTCAAGTATATACTGAACAAGAACTGATTCCTCTAGGTTACTTAATTTTCGTAAGTTGGCTTGGATATCGCGTCGTGAAGGTACACCTTGTAAATGGTGACGTAGCTTGCGGTGGTCTACGGAATAGATCCTAGCTGCAACTCGAAGGCGCAAATTTGGGTCGCTTTGCATAGCTTGGATAGCTAGCACTAATTTGCTTTCATCATTTTTATGGCGCATGTTTTGTTGTGGAGGAATTTAACATTTACTTGGGGGGGTTGGTCACCGCATGATTTTGGCACTTTCGCTTGTTTGGCACTTTCGTTATACATGCACGTTAAATCTTTTAAATAATTACTTATTTATTCAAAAGGGTAAGTTATTCAATTTTTTTATAATATTATTATACTAACTATTTTTAGAGATGAAGAAGTTCCTAGTCTTTATAGACAAAATATAATAGATTCTTTAAATCTATATTATAATATAGCTAAAGAATCTATTAAAGATGAATTTGACATTTTTGAACATATTCAAAGGTATATGTTCCGACCCAACTACGAATATTGCCCATTCGCGAATCGGTCAACCCATTCGCGAATGGGTTGACCCAACCACGAATATGCCTGTTCGCGAATGGGTTGACCCAGTCGCGAATAGTAGAAGTAAGAGTAGCAAGTAAGAGTAGAAATAGTATATTGATCTAAACTGTGTTTCCGACTGTATCAGCTCTGGCCCGCTTTCTCCTAGGCCTATTAACTAGAGCGATTTCTGTCCGAATAGTTAGACCTGATAGATTTCCACAATCATGATCATCCTTATGGCAGTGTATGCTACATTGCCTATCCTCTTTATAGCACCTACATCGCTTTGTATTACAAACCCCTTTACATTGACATGATACTCCTACCCGTTCACTTGTAGAAGCCTCTCTTGCAGCTAGCGTAAGTGTGACTTCCCTTGTAGAATTAGGAATAATAATATCTGGCCATAGAGCTTGGTCTACAGCCCCTAGCTCTTTAGTAGGAATAAGGCGTTTAATAATACCAGATAAGGTGACAACCTTATACCTATGAGAGTAAGGCTCATCCAATATACGTGCAAAGAGCTGCTTATTATCAGTTGATGTCCTATCTTCTCGTGGAACTTTTAAGGAGACTATTGCCCCAATATCAAAGTGCTAAATATCATGCTTCTTTGTGTACTTTCGCACCATCTTGGCTCTTGCTTTCTGGGTAGATTCTGTAGCCCGTTGAATTACTAGATCTTGTGTCTGATCCTCAACTCTAGGCTCAATTCTAGGCTGAGCCCGGCTCCTGCTCCTACGCTCGAGCTGAGCTTGGAGCTCGAGCTCGCTCTCAGGTTCGCTGTGGGGTTCGCTCTGGGGTTCGCTCTGGGGTTCGCTCTGGGGCTCGTAGGCATCAATGTCAAACCACTCATCAATTGGAGAGCTCCGAATCGGTGGTGTAATTCGTAGGTTGATTTCTGAGCCAGCGTCTGGGCTAATTCGCATTGTAATTTGAGAGTTCCCCTGGCGAATTCCAAGCTAGCTTGGGCTGGTGGACTTGGGCTTAGAGTGTATATTGGAGCTTGAGTAGAGTCTTCTTGAGCAATCCCAATAGTAATATCCTTCTGCTTCTGGCTATTAAGCCAGTCGATATATGATGTACGCTCTCGAAATAGCAACTCTGCAGCTGCACACCCAATTGTAGAGTGCTTTTGAGTGTTTATAGCCAACGTAACTTCTAATAACCCATCGGCCCACTCTGTAGATCCATGATCCATTTTCCATGCTCGTAGCTTTGCTTCAACAACTCCATTTGCCTGCTCAACTAGGCCTTGCGTCTGTGGTGACCGTGGCGCTCCATTTATCACTTGGATTCCATACTTTCGTAGTAGTATAAGTAGAACCCCTTTAAATTCCTTTCCATTATCGCACTGTATAATCTTAGGTGGTAAGAAAGCTGCAATAAAGAGAGCAATGGCGTCTGCAATAGGCTCTGCGTGCTTGCTCTTTAATGGATATAGCTGGGTATATTTTGAGAAGTGATCTTTGACGTGTAATATCCATTTAAATTGACCTGACAGCTCGTGTCTCATATCAATAAGGTCGATCTGTACTCTCTCCCATGCTCTTTCTGTAACAATTGGAGCCAATGGAGCTTTGGTTGTAGCTGGCCTATTTAAAGCACAGTTCTTACATCGTTTGAGTATAAACTCAACCTCTTCTCGCTTTATCCCATAGTATTTCTGTTGAACTATTGCCCAAGTCTTCATATAGCCGGCGTGGAGAAGTTGTAAATGTTCGCTAGCAATAGCATCGAAGGCCTCACTTTCTGGAACAGTATATCGTGGGTTTAAGAACTTAGAATCAGGCTTTCGATATAGCTTGTTGTTTATAAGTTGGAATTCTGTATGCGCACGATGTTTAAGCCTTGAATCTGTCGGGTTGTCGGGCTTAAGATGAGGATTATCAAGGTGTGTATGCATTCGGTGCCATTTCTCATACGGAATACGCTCTCGATTGACGTATTTTGGAGCCTGGACATAAGACTGGAATGCTGCGCGAATATCACTAGGAAATGGATTGATAGAAGCAACTATAGCTGTATTTAGAGACGCCATATTGAGTATTGAAGGTTGTACGTTGAATAGCTACAATATTACAGCTATATTCTACACCGCTACTCTATTCGCGACTGGGTTGAGTGGATCAACCCAGTCGCGAATAGGTCAACCCATTCGCGAACAGGCATATTCGTGGTTCGCGAATGGGTTGACCGATTCGCGAATGGGCAATATTCGTGGTTGGGTCGGAACATATACGTGAGTAAGCAGAAATTGCACAAGCGAGCACGGATCCTACGGATATTGTTCAACAAATACGAAACGGGAAAACGTCTGGGCCCTTCTCAGCCCCCGCAATCCGCTAGCGAGCAATCTAAACCGGACCTCACGTCTGCTTTGCCCAGGCCTTCTTGCTAAATACAGCGTCATTCTGCAACAGTGCGTAAGGCGTCGTCTCGTCACATTGGAAACGATGCGCAGGTTCGTCGCCATCATTGTGGCTTAGGGTTGGCGATGACCGCCGTAGGATCTGTATGATTCATCTCCCCGCACCCGATAGTCTCCTCGGGTCAGTGGTACAGACAGCTGATGGTGCTCGCCGGTTACTATATTATTTATCTTACTGCATCGAAGAGTTTCCTTGGGGTGACACAGACAGCTGGAGCGCCATTCCTCAGCCTCACGATTTTAACTAGGCAGTCTACACCCTCGGTGGGTTTGACAAATCTCAGAACCTACTCCCGCTACAGCAAGTGATACTTCTAGAAGAAGCTATAAAAGGCGAAAGCTGAATAATAAGGCCGTCGAAAAGTATAATCATGTGTGGACTTTAATCGATGACTGTATTGTTTCAAGAAACACAGACGTCTGACGGAGGTTTCTTCCAGACAGACCCGAATACCTTCATCGTGGAAGGGCTTTGAAACACAGTCGCAGCTTCAACCATGGTTCTCGGCAACCTAACTGATCGACATGATCGTCCTAACAGCCAACAAAGGGTGCTAATAACTTTTTTTGAGGCTCCTATTATTGGTTAAGCCTCAACGAGAACGTGAGAAACTGCGAACGGTAGGCCAAGCTACATTTGTCTAGTTGCAATTGAAGCAATCGAACAAGGCGTCATGTGGTGATGATGCCTCCACGATGATATTATCATACTATAAGTCGTGCCGTCTTCTATTTCCTACAGAATGAGTAAACACATGTCTACTTCATTCCTTTTAATTCTACAACATAAACACGAGCGCGGTTACCTCGACGCGAGGTTGAATGCATGTCGTACAAGCATACCCTTACACCCAGTTGCGATCAAAGATATTGGGTGTTCGCATATGGTGCGACCGGGTCTCGCAACTTGCCCTGAATGTGGCTCATGCTCAGCTAATAAGGGATGCACTTCCCCTCTCATTCAATTTCTATCTTTGCAATATCGGTCACAAGCCGGGTTCGTGCTACCTCCTGAGCTAATACCTTGTGCTGTGTTTGCTTTCTTTTTACAACTCACCATGTGCTCTAGGCCGTTCTAGCATCACAAATACCTGCGATATGTGGCTGTAAATGGCGGGGATATTGCTAATCTGCTGAGAATCACCTCATTCTATCTTATCATGCACCGACGGACAGAAGCCAATGGTCAGCGTTTGGTCATACGGCCACTCCTGGCATATGTCTATTATATTGCAAAAAAGTCATAACATCCCGCCCTATGATATGGGCTGCAGGGGAATACGACCCGAAAGTAATGGCGGGAGAATTATGTACGCATACCGCGGGGCGCTATAGGTGCGGGGGAACTCAGAGCCCCCCCTCCATGCGTGGATCCACGCCTTGAACAAGGAGCAGTTTCTTACCGCAAGTTACCGTGATAGGTTGCACTACGGTGATCATTGGTGCTATCGATTAGAGGGTCCTACTCCGTATTGATTACGGCTATTGGGCTCCGTGATATTACTGCGGTGAAGTGGGTAACACTTTAAACCAAAATCTATATAAGGATCTCGAATCCCCCGGGCCCCTAATCATCCGCTCAAACACAAACGCTTCTTCCACTATCCAGATCCATTATCATTGTTCCAATACAGACCACCCTCATCAATCAATATGCTTTCCATCGGATCCCTCTTGGCCTGCGTCGTCGCCGTCGCCGCAGGCCCAAACCCTGCTCTTGGCGTGCTTGTTGCCACTGGCACAAGCAGCTCCGTCCGTCCTAACCCATCCCAGGTTTACATCAACAGTATTTCTTACGGCGGAACTGGATGCCCACAAGGCTCTGTGGGATCCTTCATCTCAGATAATAGGCAGACGTGGGTGTCCAAAGACGTCATTGTAGTTGTTGATGCTTACCCATCTTCAAGGTTCACACTCATTTTCGACTCCTACGTCGCATCCATCGGCCCCACTGTTGCCGCCACCGAGAATCGCAAGAACTGCCAGCTGAACTTAGACCTCCAGTACCCATCTGGCCAGTACAGCATCTTCACAACGCAGTTCCGTGGCTACGCCGTTCTCGACAAAGGCGTACAGGGTACGCAGAAGGCCACATATTACTTCTCTGGCCAGCCCGAGCAGGCCTCCAGTTCTACCGTCTTTAATGGCCCCATCTCAACTGATTATGCCACTGGATGCCAAAAACATAGGGATGTGGCCATCAATGGAGTCATCTGTGAGGAGACCGGTCGCGCCAGTAACACTGCTAGTCAAACAGACCTAGGAGTTGATGTTAAGTGGGAGAGCTTGTCCACAAGGAGACCAGATGGTGGAGGTGAATGGGACACTATCAGAAACAGGCTTGTAAGTACCCTTCCTGTAGCTACAAGCATATGAAGCGGAATCGCTTCGCGCTCCATTTGTTGATATTGCAGATTTGTGTGCATGCACTAACTATGAGCAGGCATAAAGTAGATTTAAGCAATCTTCGAGACCAGGCAAGCACTTTCGTCGATTCTAAAGCTGCTCGTTCTTGGCAATTTGGCCTGCGGACATTGGTGTGGATCAAGTTTGGTGAATTGGTGGGCTATTGGATGGGAAGTATTGGCCGTGAGTGGATGTTGGTAGTTGGTAGCTCGTATACTGTCAGATCAAATGCATTGTCTGAAAATTGCTTTTCAGCTAAATGTGACTGCTTTGACCGCAAAGCTTGTGATCTCCCTATCTTTGCTCTCTGGCTTTGGTTTAAACAATAATAGCATATCAGAGGGTTGCTCAATAAGGACTATCTCATGGGAAAGGGTATGGTTAACCCGTTGCCTAGATTCAACTAGTTGAATGTGCCAGTCCGTGCAACAATATCTTCAAGAGCTAGGTTCGTAAAACCCGGAACTTTGCGCAGTGTGACTCCCCTATCTTTATTCCTAACTGCTGTACCGACCATATAGTTGCGACCTAATGCTTGGAGCTCCATTGTAACATTCTCGAGGTGTTCGCCCTTGAAGTAAATCTCAAAATCCGTCATGGTCTCGCCGAGAAGAAGGTCGGAGTCATCGAAGAGGGCTTCTTTATTTGCTGCGGGGACTTTGAATGTTCGAAACTCCAAGTCTCGTAGCCATGGCGCCAAGAGGGCCTCTCCGGTCATTTTGATATACGCTTCCCTGAGGCACCAGAAAGCGAAGAAACGTCGCAGCTTCGCGTCGATAATGATACCGGCATCTAATTTCTGAAGAGCACCAGAACTGGTGGTCCAGGAAACTGGCTCATCACGCCGCTCGCAATTCGCGATAGCATCCAGTGCCTCCTCTCCCACGTGGATTTGTAAAGGTAGAGAGAGATTCTCGGTGTTGTACTTCATGTAGTGCACTTCGTGGGGAGAGAAGACATCAGAATGCATGTCAATCCATGCAAAAAGGCCATCCTTGTGGATGGTAGCATTATCCGAGCGCTCGTTAACACAGACGACATCGATTCCAACCTCGACTTCAGGGCTAGCGCAGGCGATCAAGGGAACTAGCCCTGCTTGGTGAGAGACGTTGAACTCCAGTGCCATTCCTACACCATTACTGGGATAGAAGCACGGTTTTCCATTTTCATCTCTGGAGACAGTGGATAGGGCCCATGGGACGCTTCCTAGCTCATGGATAACCAGATGCTTCAGCAAATGCGACGCTAGGCTCATCTTGGCATCCCGGACGAACCAGTACTTCAAAACCCTCTGCTTTTCCTGGGGCGGCAAAATCGCCAGAGCATCGGCTGCCTACAACTTGATCAGTACAATATGAGGTGCTGTTTGGGGTATACTTACCACCCGCTCAAATGCTTGCATCTGTTCCTTCGCGCCAAGGGTTCCGGGAACAACCCATAGCTTCCGCGTGTCGACTATCCATCGAAGAAATTTAATTTCTGAGCTTGCCATTTCAAAAACAAGAACTAAACGTCAATAACTCCAGTTGCGGGTTCAGAATAACTAAATACCCAAGATTTGTGACGTTGCCAACGGAGAATGCTTCAGCTTTGCTGGAGTTCGGGATGGTCGGGGGAATATTATTCCGGCCGATATGTATTCGCGCCGTACTAGAGCAATTTAGATTTGCTGATATCAAGCTTCTGCGTAGAGCATACAGCAGTAATCGGTATTCGAAGCTTTATAGCCGTTTCCAGCATATAGTACGGGCAGGGGAAGCAGGTGCAGGAGCTTCTTATAAAAGCAATCCTCTCTGCATCTGGCCTACAAAGATATCCGAAAGAGTTCGCCCGATTTCCCTCTCCAGCAAGATGGGGACGCAGACAGTCCCCAATACATCACAGCAAATCCTGGTTGCTCTCTAAGGCTGGGATGGTGGTGATGCAAGCATCATTGATCCTTCGCTGCATGCCTCTCCGGGAAGATGATGTTGAGGATAACTTCCTTGATGCAGTCCATGAGGAATTTAGATGATTGCCAGGAGCTCAAGCTTAAACCGGAGGATATTATTATCTGCGCATTTGCTGCAATGGCGGTGTCAAATGCTGCCACCTGCTCACCAATAACCCAAGCTGACATAATCCAGGACATAGATGACGCAGTCTACAAAGGAAGGAGGTCCTTTATCCGACTTTGTTCTTGTGCACACTTATGAAGGACCACCGAGGCAAAGGCAGGGGTGTCATACTGACATTCGTTGCACTCAGTTTGCTATCAAACTCAAGAGCAAACTTAGAAATCTCCTCCTCAAACCTACAAGTCACTATACATATTTTAGCTTGTCACACCAACAATGTCATACTGACATTCGTTGCACTCAGTTTGCTATCAAACTCAAGAGCAAACTTAGAAATCTCCTCCTCAAACCTACAAGTCACCATACATATCTTGGCTTATCACACCAACAACAGAAGCAATACTACTCAACGATTGCTGCAAACTCTTCTACTACATCTGTTTATGCTACATACATCACGGCATATCATTTGGACACTCATTGAACAAGTTATTAAGAAAATCTCCTCCTTAAGGGGGTAGGCCAATACTACCACATGGCATATCTCTACCAACTAGAGGCCTAGGAACATGAACGATAGCTCTAGAAGCTTCTACAACCCTCTATGATTCATTACACGTCATCGCTCCTTAGTTACCCACAAGATTGGTTAAGTTATGACATAATTTGTCTATAGGTACTCTGACCTTGGACCTCCTTTTCACTTCCTATAGGCTAGGAACCCAAGAGATGGTTCTATGGGATTCTCTTACGTTCACTACATGATTAGCAAGCTAGTTGTGGGTCGCACTTGATTTCTAATACATTTACCAAGCCTGGTTAGTCATGGAAAGTCATGGAAAATGAGAGAACTACACTCCTTTGGCATAAATAGGATTGCCCTTTCCTTAAGAAAGGGCAAGCAGACAATACAGTAAATCGACTAGCACATACTTCTACGTCTTTTCCAAGCTTCCAAGCTTCCAAGCATTGATCTTGTTATTCTCTGTTTTTGAAAAGTCAGTGAGGTGCTAACCTCTGACTTACCCCTGAGTTCTCAGACTCAACATTTGTTGCAACTTGTCTAAACCACTTCACCACATCATACACCTGATTGCTGCGTTGTGGAATAGTCCAAGCTACAACCCTTTGGCTCTGTTTCCTAAGACAGTGTGTTGTCTTAGTAAATTCATCCCTTCCTTGGGTGGCTAGATTCTCATATCTGGTGCACCCACCATTACAAACAACAAGAGCAATACTACTCAATGACTGCTACAACCCTCTATGATTCATTACACGTCATTGCTCCTTAGTTACTGGGCCGATATGACCACATAGCATATCTCTACAACCCTCTATGATTCATTACATGACATCACTCCTTAGTTACTGGGCTAATACTACACATGACATATCTCTATCAACTAGAGGCCTACGAACATGAACGATAGCTCCAAAAGCCTTCTACAACCCTCTATGATTCATTACACGTCATCGCTCCTTAGTTACCCACAAGGTTGGTTAAGTTATCACATAATTTGTCTATAGGGGTACTCTGACCTTGGACCTCCTTTCACTTCCTATAGGCTAGAAACCTAGGAGATGGTTCTATGGGATTCTCTTACGTCGACTACAGTTACCAAGCCTGGTTAGTCATGGAAAGTCTTGGAAAATGAGAGAACTACATTCCTTTAGCATAAATAGGATTGCCCTTTCCTTAAGAAAGGGCAAGCAGACAATACAGTAAATTGACTATCACATACTTCCACGTCTTTTCAAAGCTTCCAAGCATTGATCTTGTTACTCCTTGTTTCTGAAAAGTCAATGAGGTGCTAACCTCTGACTTATCCCTGAGTTCTCAGACTCAACATTTGTTACAACTTGTCTAAACCACTCCACTATATCATACACCTGATTGCTGTGTTGTGGAATAGTCTAAGCTACGACCCTTTCGCTCTTTTTCTAAGACAGTGTGTTGTCTTAGTAAAATCATCCCTTCCTTGGGTGGCTAGATTCTCACATCTGGTGCACCCACCATTACAGTTTGAGGAGGAGATTTCTAAGTTTGCTCTTGAGTTTGATAGCAAACTGAGTGCAACGAATGTCAGTATGACACAACTGCATAAACTCGCCCAAGATAGATACTATCTCTCCCTGCCTCCATTGACCGATATTTAACGAAGTCAGACCAGACAATTGGAGTCCCATCGAAATAGCGGGCATGTTCTCCAGATGATGTGCGACCTGAGCAAAGCCACGAATCAGAGTGTATCAACGAACCACCCAAGGCCATGCCACATTCCCTCCCAGATGTCCTTGGATGACAGAATTCTTGCTATTAAAGACGAGAGCTCAAACCAGTACTCGGTGTTCCACCCACTCGCTTTGCTCGTAGGTGGCGACAGCAAGTTGTGCGTGCGACAGCAAGATGTGCGACACATAAAAAGAAGAAAAAGACGCCTTATATATCAACTAACGTGGTTGATCAGTACGTCGGACATATCAGTACCTCGGACACTTTTCATTGGCATTCTACTTTGAATATCAATAAATCAACCATAACATATTAAATTAACTATAACTAAGCGGAATCAGATGAACTAGACATATCTATAGCTTCTTGACAAGTTCGCGCATTATGACCAGCTTTTCCACAGATCCCACAGCATCGCCTAGACGGTTGCCCCTCCTTGCGACTACCCCCAACCGCATGTACGTCGCGTCGTACCTGCTCATCCACATCCTTCTGTGCGATAATAGCCTGTGCATCCTCTACTATAAGTGCACCTCCTTCACGGACACGAGCCTTTTTAGCCCTGCGGCGTTTGCTAAGGGCTTCGTTGGCTGCTCGAAGGGTACGTACCTCAGCAGACAGAAGGGTGTTCTCATGTGCTAGTCGCTCCGTACCCTTTGCCAATGCAATAACTGTCCCGAAGAGTGGAGTTGGCGAGCTTCCTTGGTGACGGGCAATTCGATTTCGAACGAGGGTTGTTTGTGAAAGAGCTTCAGTTGGGTTGGAAGGGGTCTGGGAGACCCAAGGGTTGGTGTTGGCAGTAGAGGGTCTAGAGGGAGTTGGAGTCCGTAACCTCACGTCAAGCTTTGAAAGCACTGCTTGCGGGTCGAAAGGCACTAAGCCAGCTCCGCGGAACCCGGACTGGGCATTTTGGGCTGTCATGGATTCCAGATATGCTGCTCTAAAGGCGAGAAAGAACTCGACCTTGGTAATGTGGTTGATATGAGCCTTAATGAAGGTCTCAATCAGCCGACCATATGCCCACTTCAACACACTAAAGCACCCGACATCAAGTGGCTGAGTTAAATGAGACGAGTGGGGAGGTAGTCCAAGAGTTATAATGTTGTGTGCCTTGCAGTACTCTTGGAACTCGGCCGATTCATGACTCTCGTGCCCGTCTAACACCAGCATTCGATATGGACCCCTTGCACGAACAGCAGTATGTTTGTCGAAGTGTTTCAACCATTCTAGACCCGTCTCATTGTTTGTCCATCCATTGCTTGTCGGTTTAACAACCCAGTTGTGTGGAAGGCCGCCGTCTGTATACCAATTTGCAAGATGATTCTTGCCTTTAACTACCAAAAATGGAGGAATACTCCAGCCGTCACTGTTGATACAAGCAATCGCTGTAGCCCATTCCCGATTCCCTGGCTGAACTGCCTTACCTCTGCCAAGTCGATCTGCACGGGTAACAACCATTGCAGGGCAAATCACACCCATCATAAACCCAGTTTCGTCAAAGTTATAGAAGTCGCAGTCCAAAACACCATATTTTGCCCTCATATTTTCCACTAGTCGAAACCACGCGCCAATTAGTTCAGGATCTTCGCACAAGGCCCTTTGGAAGTCGTAAACGCGATTAAAACGCGTCTTTAATTCTGGACGTCGTTGTACAAATCGGTGAGCCCAGAGCTTCCCGACGCGCCTCCCTCCACGCGATTCGAGTATAAAATTTGCCATATCTTCTACACCAGCAAGCCGGGGTGCAAATCCTCTTGAATCCATATCAAGTATATTCTGAATAACCACCTCCTCTTCTAGTATAGTTAATTTCATCATTGCAGGCCGGCGTTCGTAGACAGTAGTTCGGCCGTTCATTCTGTCGCAGAGTGTAGAATGAGGTACTTCATAGAGCTTAGCAGCCTTCCGACGACTTAGATTTTTTGATGTTCGGATAGCCTCGATAGCTAGAATGATTTTTGCTTCTTGGGTAATCACTGACATAATAAAAGGTGAAAAAAACGCGTTGTGAAGTTAGAGGGTAGGAAATTCGGGAAAAGTGTCCGAGGTACTGATATGTCCGACGTACTGATAAACCACGTTATATAACTATATAATTAAAACATAAAATCAATAGAACTACTATCACTATCGCTACTGCCACTATTGCTACTACTATCACTTTGATCCTTACTATACTGTAAAATGATCACTTTTGATTTCAACCCTTCCTTCTTCCGCTCTGCTACCCGCTTCCTCTCAACCTTACGCTCTTCAATTTCGATTTTAAGTGCTTGCGCTTGTAGCTGCTTTACTACTTGGTCCGATTCCCTTGCTGCTCTTGCGTCTTCTTTTGCTTGCAACTTTGCTTCCTTCTCTTCCCGCATTTTCCGTGCCTGATGCATTTAACTGCCTTCTGCTCTACTGCACGTAGAGTCATAACATCTAGCTCGGTCTTATAGAGCTCTGCCCGGTGTAGAACAACTGTAGTTCCACATGCAAATGATTGAAACCCTTCTCTTTGTAATGGTGGGTGCACCAGATGTGAGAATCTAGCCACCCAAGGAAGGAATGAATTTACTAAGACAACACACTGTCTTAGGAAACAGAGCCAAAGGGTTGTAGCTTAGACTATTCCACAACGCAGCAATCAGGTGTGTGATGTAGTGAAGTGGTTCAGACAAGTTGCAACAAATGTTGAGTCTGGGAACTCAGGGGTAAGAGAGGTTAACACCTCACTGACTTTTCAGAAACAAGGAGTAACAAGATCAATGCTTGGAAGCTTGGAAAAGACGTGGAAGTATGTGATAGTCGATTTACTGTATTGTCTTAAGGAAAGGGCAATCCTATTTATGCTAGAGGAGTGTAGTTCTCTCATTTTCCAAGACTTTCCATGACTTACCAGGCTTGGTAACTGTAGTCGACGTAAGAGAATCCCATAGAACCATCTCTTAGGTTCGTAGCCTATAGGAAGTAAAAGGAGGTCCAAGGTCAGAGTACCCCTATAGACAAATTATGTCATAGACAAATTATGTCATAACTTAACCAATCTTGTGGGTAACTAAAGAGCGATGACGTGTAATGAATCATAGAGATTCGTAGGAGCTTTTAGAGCTATCGTTCATGCTCCTAGGCCTCTAGTTGGTAGAGATATGTCATGTGGTAGTATGAGTGATGTCATGTAATGAATCATAGAGGGTTGTAGAGATATGCTATGTGGTAATATCGGCCCAGTAACTAAGGAGCGATGATGTGTAATGAATCATAGATGGTTGTAGCAATCGTTGAGTAGTATTGCTCTTGTTGTTGGTGTGATAAGCCAAAATATGTATAGTGACTTGTAGGTTTGAGGAGGAGATTTCCAAGTTTGCTCTTGAGTTTGATAGCAAACTGAGTGCAACGAATGTCAGTATGACACTCTTGAAGGTGATGAGAAAGCTTCCTCTGCTCTCTTCTGCCAATGTTCAACTGCTTGCACACTTTGCATAGTTGTTTTCGGTGTTGAGATAATATTATATGAAGCAAATGGCTCATAATCAGGTGTTTGATTCTGAGTCTCTTGTATCTTGTCAATTACAAGTGGAGGATTATATGGATATAGTCCTGCATTTCTCCAACCAGATTGAATTGTACGGACAGTTAGAGATTGCCGTCGGATTTGCGGGATGTCTGAAAGGAACGTATGTAGTTTATACTCATAGTCGTAGCTACGTACTGCTTGATCAAGTGCCTTTTGATGAAAGTGTTTGCACTGCTTAAAAACTGCTACATCAAGAGGTTGTAATAGATGTGTTGTATGAGCAGGAAGGCAGCAAATAACAATGTTATGCTCTTCTGCTAATGTAAGAAAGCGCTCTGTTTTATGAGAGTCATGGCCGTCAAGTAATAAGAGGCGAGTATCATCTGGTGCCATATGCTCTGCAGATAGTTGGATAAAATGCATAAGGTATTGGATTGCAATGTCGTCGTTTGAATACCCGCTCTCATTTACAATAATGAGAGCATTTGGCTCAAGGTCATCATTGTACCATGAATCCATATGAAGTTTGCCAGGGATAATGATAGCTTCTGCAAGTGCAGCACCACTTGCATTTACTGCCTCAATTACAGTAACAGAGAGCCGATTCTCAGGATTATCAACAGTCCACTGCTTTACACCGATTGGTACAATAACAGCTGTAGACTTATAACACCCAATCATATAGCCTGTCTCATCAACATTCCATAAATTATATTGCTTAATGTTATGTTTTGTAATAAGGGCGTTATATGTGAGAAAGAATTCCTCAAACACCTCTTTCTTTTGTGCTTGCTTCCGATGTGTATTTAACGTCTTCGTGTGAATTGTATGAAATTCGGGGTGTGCTTTTAGAAAGTGTTGTAGCCACCGTTGTGATGGTATCGTACAGGTCGTAAGTCTGCAACTGCCTGTAGTATCATAGATCGGTTGGCAGGGACCCCGCGCTTAAGTTGGTCGTATATGAATTGACAGACCGCAGTCTCTTGCGATTGAGATAAGACTCGATTGCTACCTCCGTGGGGTAATTGAGGAGACGTAGTACTCGTAATACGACGTCAGAGTGTCTCACGGTTGACATTGAATATATTTGCAACCCAAGCAATTGTATATGTACTTGGTTGTTTTAAGAAGAACTGTTGGGCCTCATTAAGGCGAGCAATCATAGTAGGATCGTTATTTTGAGGCATTGTAGATACTACGTTATGAAGAATACTATTATTTTCTCTATATATCAAAATAGCGGTGTACGCACATCTTGCTGTCGCACGCACAACTTGCTGTCACCAGTGGTAGTTGGGCAACCATTCGTCTCTTGAGTGTCCCAACATCTCGTGGCAAATCTGCCAGCTCCTTGAGGGATTGGATGAGGCCAAGGCCCTCACGCAACATAGCAAAGGACTTTCGGGATATGTTGTAGGTTTCAGCATACGAAGCTAGAAATTGCTCGAAAGTTGTCATCGGTTTTGATGACCGATTGTAACTAACGGGCTCTGACTGGTCCTCACTAGGGAGAACTGTGTTCTCAATAGTAGTTCCAATAGGAGGAGGCATTATGCTGTTGAGGAATTCCTCAGAAGGGAACTCTAGCTCAGTAGAATCAGCGTTATCTTCTTCGTCGTTAGGGTCAGGATATGTGTTGGCATCGTCATCCGTAGGGATATCCTTGGATAAAACTTCTTCAACTGTCTGTGTTGTAAGTTCCTGGAGGTCTTGCGGCCCATCCACACTGTTCCCATCACTGTTACTGTTCTCTTCACCATAGTCAAATGTAGCATCATCGAGTTGATCATCTTCTATTTCATCATCTCTATCTGCTTGTGTATTTGATGTCTGCTGCCTTAATCTATCTACCACTGATACCCTTCGCTGGGGAAACAGAGGTGCGAGTAATTCAGCCCTCTTCCCTACTCGGCTTCTCTGAAAACGGGCTGGCATCTCAAAAAACGGTGCAGCTATGGGCCACCTATGGTTTGGAATGTTCAAGGTACCCAAACTTCTGGTTTTGAGCCGAAGTCCAACAGCCCACGATTGCGAGAGGCTGTATCAACAGCAGAGCACAATGTCGAAGAGGCTGCAGATTTTTTCGACGTGGGGAGAGTGCCAGGATTGGCTGGGAACCCTGGGGGATTGAGATAGATTGACTTGAAATAGCTAAGTATCCTTCCTTTCTGTTGTGGCGCTGTCGCTGGCAGATGCTGGGCCGAGAATAATCAGCTTGAATCAGGGTGGGGATTTCGCTGGAATCGCTAGGGGGTGGGAAAGCAAGCCAAAGCAAGAAGCTGTTGACTTTCCTCACTGCTTTGAGGCCACTAGCGGGAAGATATGTCAAGACTGTCACAACTGGTAGTAGGTAGAAGTGGGTTAAAGCCAGGGGAGATTTCCTATTGCTCGGCGAAGCTGGGGGGGATTTCCTGGATGCTGGGTAAGCTGGGGAGATTTCCTGTTGAGGATTTGCTTTAGCTGGGCAAAGCTGGGGGAGATTTCCTATCGCCTGGGAGGATTTGCTTTGGCTGGGCAAAGCTGGGGAGACTTTGCTGTCGCTCAGCAAAGTTGGAGGGAGATTTTCTGGATGCTGGGCGGTATTGCAGATGATTTCCTGGATGTTGCGCAGAAGGTGGGAGGATTTGCTTTGGCAGGAGGAAGTCGGAGAGAATTTCCATTTTGATAATCTGCTCAGATGATCTGGATGCAAGCTGCATCAACATGTGCAGTTTCCGTTGCTTCAATTTTAGGTATATCGGGAAGCGTAGTAGGATATAGATTGAGGAATTGTTTCGGCAGACTCTCTTCATGGGCAGAAGAGGAGGTTGTGAGGGTCGTAAGGGCGAGTGCAAGGAGGCACGAGGAGAGGAGACTTGACTTCTGACTCTGAGGAGGCAGCTTCAAGGTGTTTTTCTTGGTGTTGTCACCGGTTTGCGTTCATATTTAGGCAGTGTGGTGAAATGAGAACAGTGCTCGGCTCTATGCGATATGTTTATCTGAGGTGATGCAGTCTATAAAACAATTAGTATAATTCATACTCTTTATCTTTCCTTCAACTTACCTTTGATTCTTGTCGCTGCCTGTGGTGAGGTTAGTAGTGAGGTTGGTGATAAAGTGGTGATGTGCACACTGTTGGGAGTAATTCTGCGGTGCTGGGATATAGGGCCAAGAATGTATGTAAATCCCCGATTACCGTAATTAGTCCCGGGCGCACCAGAACAGAACGCTTCACTGTAGTACAGTAAAATAGAATAAATGAATCAATTCAATTGCTCCCTATCCTACGGGCCTACGTATCCTATTTGTAGGCAAAGGGGGAAGCCCGAATACCCTGTACAACTAAGGGGTAATTACCTGAGCCGTGTAGGGTTTCGGTGGCTGCATCAGACTCTGCACAACCGTCTAGCATAGGAGTCGGACGGTCGCCTTGGGAAACACAGCTGTCTCAGGGCCAAACGGCCACCGTATCCCAAGGTCTGTGTCCACCTTCCCCCATCCAACACACACAAGCCGTTAGTCTAGGTCACGTGACCGGAATCTCCGGATAGCTTCAATTCACGCCAACCTTACCACCTCAGCATCTTCACCATATACTAGTTATCGGCAACGTTGCGGGCATAGGTTCCTTTTCACTTTTGTCTTCAGATTTACTGTCTCTAGTAGCAGTAGACGTTTCATACCCCCATTCTTCCCATTAGTTCAAGTTTCATCGTGGTTACTTTTCTCTAGGTCATTTAATGACAATGGGCTATGAGCCAGGCCGCCGCAATGGCAAGAAGTCACAGAATAAAATGAAGGCAAGCTACACTCTATATTTTTTGATTATCTCAGGTAATGACTATCTGCACAGCATCACAAGCAATAGGAGCCATCCCGCCACCAAGACCTTCTCACAGATGATGAACTCCCCCTCAACTCTGATGGCCAAACGACACCAGTGCATGATTAGCAAGGCCACAACTATCGAGAAGACACTCCTCCTACCAGCAGCCGCCTTACTGGAGATGAAGTCAACAACACTCTTTTTGTCACGCCAGTGACAACTAGGCCAATGCTGAGAGAGGCTGCCGAAGCAAATACTGCCCTATCGAAGAAACGCCACCAGAGCCACACTGATGATCCTAGCAAGAACCCTGGCACAACCTACCCTGGCTATCATAACCGCCAAGTTGCTGCTGAGATGGAACAGTATGGGAATAGGAAACCCGCGAAGCAGAGGACAAGTGGACTGAGATATCTGAACAAATTGATCGGGAAGCGCGCTTCCTTCTCCTCCTGCATATGAATATAAAAGAAGATGTCCTGAAAAAGGTGCTCCCAGAGTATCCAATCGAGTCAACAATATATGGGAATGTCCATGTTGTCCTTATGGAAAAGGTCAAACGTTACCGGTATTCACTCATCGAGGATCTTATAGTAAGTAATACATCTCCTATCTCAAATGTAATTTCTAACATCTTTACAGCTTCACGTCAAGACTGCAATGAATGTAGCAGATGGATCTGGTATTCGTTACAGCAAGACCTTAGATGGCCTTGGAGATATGTTTCGTACTCGGTATACGGCTGCGAATTTTTTGGAGGCATTTCGATTCATACACCATTATATCGACCTTGAGAAAAGCAGCGACCTCGCCCAGTACTATGTCAAGGAACTTTACATCAACGCTTGTGCCCGGACGAAATTGATGATGGACTGGAAATCTGACCCTAATCGAAAGGCTGTTAGCTACACTCCTGAGAAAGCTTTACGGATTTCCTCCAACGCTTTCCCTTGATTGCGGATTACGATCAGCTCGACAAAGATGAGTTCCACGAGACCTTTAAACGGCGCTCAAATACAAAGGCACCAAAACCTATCTCGAAGAAACGTGCCCTTATTCAAGGACAAGAATATATCTTGAGTAGGGCTTCTCCGCCGCCGCCAAAGCGCCGCAAAGAAACTCTAGTCCCTGGGCGTAGTGCTCGGGCAATAGAGTGAGATGTTTGCCGCCTCTTCTTGCGGTTAATTTACACTTGCTTTGGGGGGCATTCTCTTGTGCCCTGCTGTTGGGCTTGTGGCTTGGGCTGGGAAGTTGGCATTATGTTGCTGACCTCCTCGATGGAACATTTTTGGACTTTGCTGTTCTGGGCTGGGCGTTCTAGCTGGATATCTTGGGTTGAGGCATGTTTGCTGTCGGAATAAGAGTGGCTACGGATCACAATGGCATTGTTTGAAGCTGGATCTGGCATGAATACTGGCTATATGATAGAAATAATATGCAATGAAGCTTGATTCCCATGCCTGATTTAACACCTGCTTTCCTGTGCCTGCCGCCTCTCTTCTGTGTTCCTCCGCAGCTTGCGTCGCTGCCGTGATCAAAATGATCATACTCTTGGTGCTCTAGCCCACGCCGTCGCCGATCTATCCTGCCGCTGAAGGAAGGCTTCCCGGGCTCCAAGAGCTCTACAGATTCCAATGACAGATAGCTGTGTGTCTATCAAGCTATCTGCCCTTGGAATCTTGGCCTCATTTTTCAATTTCCTCGCTCACTTTCCTCTCCCGGTCTTCTTCACCATTTTCCTTCACCGTTTTCCTTCGCCGTTTCCTTTGCCAGTCTCCTTCGCCGGCCTCCTTCGCTGGTCTCCTCATCCGGTCTCCTCATCTGGTCTCCTTCGCCGGTCTCCTTGCCGTTTTCGACCACCGATTCTACCACCGTTCCCTCTGTCGTTTCCATCACCATTCGCCTCTGTCATTTCCTTCGCTGTTTCGTTTGCCATTCTTCAGTTCCTCTTTGCCTTTCTTGCTTGCTGGCGTGCCTTTCAACTCTTGCGGCTTCCTTGCCGCCACTCCAACTCCTGGTCCCAGGACCGCCCATTGCCTCATCCACGGCCGCGATGGGTTCCATTCGAGGAAACCAGAAACGCCCGCCCTTGGTCTCGCCCTGAGGACGGTGATAGTACTGTCCTCACTCCACGCCGACAGTGTCAGGACTGAGGAGTGAGTGCTTCAAGTCAGTATTGGCGGTCGCCGTCATGGACTCATGACGATAGTGTGGCCGGCGACGGCAATATCACATCAACGGCCCCAGGATCACAAACGGTGAGCAAATTTTACTGTCATACTACTGTCAATTTCCTATCTACTGTTCTAAAGCTTCAACCGTATGGGTTGAAGCTTTGATCCTGGATTTTGGACGGTCTTCGGACCGGTGCACGGGCCAACTGACCGTGGGATGACCGGTCAAAATAGGTGTGATCCCCGGACCGTCCTCGGACCCCTCGCCAAATACGTGGCGCGCCGGTAAGGTAGAGTCCACATGCTTATTCTTCTTAGCGCTGATGAACTGCCGCCCAAGTGTACAAGTACCAAGTACACTACACTCACCCACCACAGGGACCGAACTGGGACTTTGGGACGTACCTTTTAGGGGACACACAAACCGCCCAGCGTACCCGCCCACCAGCCTTGCAGGGGTTGATAGTCGGGATTCATTTCCACCCTCGACAGTCCCTCGATCCCTTACAATCCCCTCAAGTTCTCCTTTTTTGTTTTTTGCCCTTTCATTGCTTTTCCATTTAATACAGCATGTATATATACACGACATATACCATATACAGCATATACGACATATACAGCACATATAGCACATACAACACACGCTTCGCCCTTATGACAGCTGTCTTGGCGTGATGGCAAATTGGGCGGGCGCCATGATTAGCACGATACGCTGGCGCAACGTGGTCCTGGTACTCGTCGTGCTGACAGCGCTTCACTTTATCTTTATCGACGACACGCTACGGAATTCCTATTCGTCGTACAATATCCCGGACAAAGAGCATAGCGCCGTCAGCGAGCCGCCGAAGGTGGCCGAAGACAATGCGCCCGTAGATGTTGGGAAGACGGCCCCCGAATTGGCGAAAGCCTCTGCGCTGGTCGTGGCGGGAGACAGCAAGCCAGCCGACCCCAAACCTACATCTGTTGCGAAGCCTGCGGATGCCAAACCGAGCTGCGGCGAGTTTTATGCGGATGGTGGGGCGGCGGCGGCGGCGGGCGCGGATAAGGATAAGGAGATTGCTGCTGAACCGACAGCGCCAGCAGCGCCCGAAACAACATCTACACCCGCGCCTTTCGACTCGGGCGATAAGGATGAATATCTCGCTATCTGCGTTTCGGTCAAGGACCAGTACCTCGATGTCCTGGAGTGGCTGACGCACCACTACCACCACCATAATGTCCGACGATTCTATCTGATGGATGACGGCTCCACGCCAGTTCTTGCCACGCTGGACTTCAGCAGCGCAGTCGACCCGAAAGCGATCACCCATCGCTACTACCACCCGGCGACTCGACTATTCAAGCACCAGCAACTCGTCGCCTACGACGAGTGCATCGCGCTCTTCGGACACAAGCACAAGTGGATGGCCTTCCTCGACGCCGACGAGTTCCTCGAAGTCCGCGGCAAGGATACGCTGCACGCCATGCTCAAGGAGCTCGACAGCGACGAGAAGATCGGCGCGCTCGCCATCAACTGGCAGATCCACACCTCGTCTGGCCTCTTGAAGCGACCCGCCTCATCACGCAAGTCCTTCGTGACCTGCATCGAGAACTACGACAACCCGGGCCACGACCCGGGATTCGGCAAGGAGAACGAGCACATCAAGACGATTGTCAAGACGAAGTCGTACAACAAGCCGCTCAACCCGCATAAATTCGAGCTCAAGGACGGCGCGCGCACGGTGGGCGAGAAGGGCGATAATGTGGACAGACTCGCGTGGCGCGTGCCGATTACGACGGATCGCATCTCGGTGCACCATTTTGCATCGAAGAGCAGGGAGCAGTTCGAGGCGAAGATTAGTCGCGGGAATGGGATGGGGGATCCGAAGGGGTGGGAGTGGTGGAATCACACGGAGAGCTTGCCGGATTACAAGTGCGAGGAGATGACGAAGTATGACCCGTAAATGTCGCTGGAGGGATGGGGGAGAAGGGGTGGCTTGGATACCGATTGCTAATTTTGCGATATTCTGAGATGTTGGAGGGGCCTCATTTTGGCTAGGAGTTTATTTTTGGTCATACTATTGGGGATGACGAGATATTGGTGTAGACTGTATATATAGTCCGAAGTGTCTGTCAGATCACTGTGTTTATGATATTATACAGATACAAATCACATACTTGTACATTTGGTCTTTCCTTTTGGATTTCTCCTTCGCTCACATGCTCACTTTCATCCCAGCATCCCCAAGCCGTGGCGCTATCACGATGATGCTATCAAGGGTGTCCCTGAACACTTTTTTCGAGGAGGGTTGCCGGCGAATAGTCGGACCGAAACCCTATGGCCATGGTTATTCTAGCCCAACACATGACGTATGGGCCTATACGCACAGGTGATGGCACCGTGTGATCTGCAGCGAGCTCAGCTTTCTTCGCACTATATAAAGTTCATAAATTCTCCGGCCTGTAGCACACAGACGCGTTAGACGATATACCAATCTTCAGGATATTATAAGTTGCAAATATGTCGTCTTTTGTGGAGAAGTCAACGGCCAAGGCCAAGGAGATCGCGTATGTTCAATGCACTAGGCAATTGAAATGTGTTTGATACTTATATTTTACCAGGGCGGATGACATCTCAAGGGCTAAGGAAATTGCTTTCAAGACGGCCAGCTCTGGCTCATTTTGGTACCCCATTAAGGTAAGTGGCTAGTCGCAGTATCAATTGGGTCGATCTGACTATCCACAGGGCATTTTTTACTTCTTGTATCATCGGAACCTATGGTAGGTTGCACGAGCATGTGTTCATTACCAGTACTAATGCATGTTGGTGCAGGAAGCCATTTACCTCCCGTCTTCTCTCCACCTTGACTCTGTCGGTTTCCGTGGTGTTCTTCATGTTCATCTTCACCTATATCCCCCAGGGTATGTGATACTTTCCCATCCCACCCGGTGTATTCTGACGTTACACAGTCACGATTCTATTTTTCACCAGCGGACCACTGGCTCCGCTCTCGGCAGTCCTACTCGTCCTCAGTGAGAGCTCGACTATCATCAACATGCTCGCCCGGTCATTCCTGATCCACGAAGCTCTTGACGACACCTTCGATGCCGTCCTGCTGACTAGGAACGAGGATGTCTTGGTATCCGGTGGGCGTAAACTCAACAAGAGCACCGATCCAATTAGTCGGGTATGTATTGCCAGGCCCCTCTTTTCCGCTGTGCATGCATGCTGACGGACCTGAAGCTTGGTGCCACCATTAAGAACCCGTTTCACAACTTTACGCCGAAGGCAATTATCAGGTGAAATTTTCACTTTTGGAAGAATTGAGGCAGCGGCTAATAGACGCAGATATGTTTTGTATCTACCGCTCAACTTCATTCCAGTGGTGGGAACTATCACGTTCCTAATCCTGCAGGGCAGAGGCCGCGGAACATGCAAGTCCAAACCGTCGCCTGAAATGTGTATAGTACTAACGCACTTGTCCAGATGCGCACTCACGCGTAAGAATAGCCCATTGGATTCGTAGAGTTCACAGGCCCTCTGCTAATATGTGATACAGTATTTCCAACTCAAGAAGATGAGCGCTTCCAGCCAGAATAAGTTTGTGCAAGAGAACGTCGGCCCTTACACTGCGTGAGTAGTTACCCCCATGCCAGATATGGATTTTCAGCTGACTGTTTTGGAGGTTCGGTATCGTTGCTTCGCTGCTTGAGATGGTTCCCATCGCGTCGATTTTCTTCTCGTTCACGAACACAGGTGAGTTCATAATATACTTGTCGAAGGGACGGAGCTAATCACTTACTAGTGGGCGCCGCGTTATGGGCTTCTGATATTGAGAAGAGCGAGAATGGGATGGATGATATTGCCAATCCGGATTCAGTGGAGCTTAACGCTAAGGGAGAGTAGAGAGATAAGGTGATGTCGTTTCGTCGCTGGATGGATGATTGACTGGATAGGGTGAGGTTTTGGATATGGTTGAAGGATTTCATCATATGTGGTCGCGTTGGAGTCGTTCTCTAGACCTTATATATACTGGCTGGAGACATTGGTAGATATAGTATCCGATGGATAAATGGAGCAATATGGAGATGGAGTTTATTATTTCTAGGTAGAAATTAGCGGAGTCTGAGATAATATCAAGACATTCAAAGTCGATGACATATTTCGAGAGCAAACAGCTCAAATCTCGAACATGAAATTTCCCCAACACCTCTGTTACACCTCCCCCGACCCACAGCCCAACTCACTCCCCCTTCCTACCAACAAACCTAAAAACAACCCCCCAAACCACATCTTACAACCCATCCATTCCCCCCCCCTCTCCCCCAATACCTCCAAATCTTCCTCAGCCATTGTCCTCTCCCCCACCTCCCCCACAACCTCAAACCCCCATTTCCTCCCCTCCTCCACCACCTCCTCCACCACCTCCTCCACCACCTCCTCCACCACCTCCTCAATACTATACAAACCCCGCCTGTCCCCTCCGCCCCATCTCTTCATGCATATTAGTCACGAGCAAGTGCCCTCGTTCCTTGGCTAGAAGCTTTTTCACAGACCCGAAAAAGACGGCAGGGGCTAAATGTTCAAGTACTAGCGCTGATAGCACAGCGTCCGCACCGCACGCCTCCTCTGGCGGCGCGGTGTCTGAAGGCGCGTCAAAGACGTGGAATTCTGTGGAGGAAATGGACGTGGTGCTATCGGCAGTGATGGCGGAACAGCGCTGACGCGCGATGTCAAGCATGGAGGGGGAGCGATCGAGGGCGTGGATGGAGGATATTTTTGTGCTGGAGGGGGGGAGCAAGAGTTTAGCGGTGTTGCGGCCGGTGCCGCAGCCTAGTTCGGTGGGTTCTAGTGTTGAGGATGAGGTTGCTTTTGTGTACGTAATGTTTGATAAATTATCCGTTTCACTCCGCATTTTGACTTGAATTCCCGACATCCAAGCATGACAGGATTGCAATTAGATGTGGATATATTTGTAACCGACAAGGATAACATTTCTAGCTTATCTATATAATTCATAATGGGCAAGTCTGCTGCCCTCCTCTTCGTTCTTGGCTTCTGCCATGCATCTGTCCAGCCGAGGCTGCCAGATACCATACCTTTCTCCACGTTCCTCTGTTCACCGCTGGCAATAATCGTTGGTTCTCAAACCACCGCCTGGAGGCGAAAAGGCGAAAGCGAACTGGGACGCGAAAGCGATTGTGGGACACTTCGGGAGCGGACTCGCGACGCGACACGACCGACCATGAACACGACTGACAACGTAACAATGCTGTAAATATATATAAGTTATAGAATTAAATAATTAAAAAATATTTGGATCAATATTGTCAGGCAGTGATTGATCATCACAGCCACCGTCACTTGCATCGTGAATCATGTCGTAGTCCAAGCCTGCAAAGTTCACGTACCCACTCTCCTCGATGGCTAACAGTCGGTCCGCCTCCTCCTCCTCCTCACGTTTCTTCTGTGTAACGTCCGGGTCAATGATTTCTGTACGTAAGCCAATTGGTGGCTCCGTGTCTGGGTTACTTTTTTGAAATTCATGTAGGTCCTTTTTCCGTGTACGTTCTGCCTTCCGTGCATCGATGCCAGCACGGAGCTGCATCTTACGCTCAACGTTCACCATGCGTGTTCTCTCTCTTTTCTCCCGTGCTTCTTCTAAAAGTTGCTTCTTTACCTTCTTCTCATAAATCCTTTGCCGTGCATGTTCAACTGTAATAGCACCACCTTTTTGAATAGATTTCCGACTTCTAACCTTCCGCTGTCGTTGCTCAGTCATAATAGTAGTAATTTGTACAAGCTCTGACTGGAACAGCTCAGCCTCTGTTAACTGAGTTTGGATTTCAGTATAAGAAGACGCCCACTTTTGCCGTGACGGTGAACTAAGGATCTTATCAAATGTTTGACTCCATGTTGAAAGATCATAACTTGCTTGAAATGCGCGTTGTGGTGTTTCTAAAACTTCTGGTTTTGCATATATAGCAACCTTCTCTTGAATCTTTTTATAGTTAGGTGGCCAAATACCTGCATCTCTAAAAGACTTGATACAGTTACCCTTTGTAAATGTCTGCTTACGGATAGTAGACAAGTCTCTAAAGAGAGATATAACATTATAATCTGTATCAAAATTCTGGATTGCTTGTTGAATTGCACGTCGGTGCCAATGTTTATATTGTGCAAACACAGTAACATCTAGCGGTTGTAGAATATGCGTAAGATGAGACGGAAACACATGTAAGTGTATATTGTGTTGATGTGCAAGTATTATAAACTCTGGAACTTCATGTGAGACATGAGAGTCCATTATTAACAATTTCATTCTTATAGACGGTGTATGTTGAATAAAATGCTGTAGATATTCCATTGCAAGCTCAGAGTTTGTATATCCGGAATCGGATACTGCAACTTTCTCATCACCGTGTAGATTGTCATGGTACCAACTTTCCATGTGTAATTTTCCTTGTATAATAAGGAACGGTGGAAGTGCAATGCCAGCAGCTGAAATTGTCTCTATAACTGTAAGACTTTGTCTGTTCTCTGGAGCTTGTATATAAAGCTATAAATATTAGAATAATATAAAGTAAGATAAGTAGAAACAACTTACCTCCTTTACTGCAGATGGTACCAACACATGTTCACCGGTGCTCATTCCTACACGGAATCCAACTTCATCAAAGTTGTAGATATCACCTGCAGTAATATCTAGTTGATTACACACATCTTTAAATTCATAAAACCATTCTTTAATAGCTGATACTTCATGAGATGCAACCCGTGCTGCTTCAATTGGCCGGGTTTTTATTGTATGGAAGTTGTGTTGTTGTGTCTTAATCCATGTCTGGAACCACCGTTGTGATGGTGGTGCACGTGTTGGAGTTTCTGCTGCACGTAGTTGGCAGATGGCACTGAACACCATAGGCTTAGTTGCACCGTACCCATTTTCGTACGAGCGTTGGATGTATCTTTGTATAGCTGTAACTTGTACATCAGACAGTACTCTGTTCTGGCCTCCGCGTGGCACAGCGGTGCGTTGTGGTGATGCGCGTCGTTGTCGTAGTCGTATAGTCCGGAGCGTACTTGGGTTTACTCTGTACATCCGTGCTACTGTAGCACTCTTCTCTGTTGGGTTTTCATTTAAAAATTCAATGGCATTTAAAAGAGCTTCATTTTTATTTACTTCAACTACCGGCATAGTTGTGGTTGTAGTTGTGCTCGTTGTCGGTCATGTTCATGGTCGGTCGTGTCGCGTCGCGAGTCCGCTCCCGAAGTGTCCCACAATCGCTTTCGCGTCCCAGTTCGCTTTCGCCAACCGCCTCCAGGCGGTGGTTTGAGAACCAACGATTACTCGACAGGACAGGCAATGAGAAAAGTCTATGGTATATGAAATAATAGGTTCGTAATCTTATATTGGCCCCTAATTGCTAATGTAGCCATTATTAGCAGCTATCTGACACCTTGCTGGTGCGCCGCGACGGCGCCTCGGACCCCGCCAAGGGAACCCCCACCAAGCAACCTCGCCTCCCGCACAACTTCCTCCTGAAAGTCTCTCATCCGCAAGCTTCACATTAGCTACGACTCGTTCTATCGTAACGAATAGAGCAATCATATAACCACGTCTACGATGTCACTCCCAGGCGCATCTCAACGGCCGCGTATCTCTCGCTCGAACACTGCACAGCGCGCGGAGTACGACTACTTCTCCGACAACCCGCCGCCGAAGCAACTCGAGACTCATTCTAAACTAGCTCAAGAATTCATCGAATACCATGCTGCTGCCAATAACCGCGTCGTGCTGATAACCTCCGGGGGCACTACTGTTCCCCTCGAGCGCCAGACAGTGCGTTTTATCGACAACTTCAGCGCTGGTACTCGCGGTGCCACGTCGGCCGAATACTTTCTCGAGGCGGGGTACGCCGTCATCTTCCTGCATCGCCAATTCTCGCTGCTTCCCTACTCGCGGCACTACTCCCATGCCACCGACTGTTTCCTCGACTTCCTTTCCGAGTCCGCCGACGGGACTGTGGTCGCGAACCAGGAGCACCAGGACAAAATGGTCCACGTGTTGCGCAAATACAACTCCGCCAAGGCCAAAAACCTTCTTCTTACCCTCCCATTCACAACCATCACCGACTACCTCTTCATCCTTCGCTCTGTGAGCCAGCTCATGCGCCCCCTCGGCGCCCACGGCCTCCTCTACCTCGCCGCCGCCGTATCCGACTTCTTCGTTCCCCCGACCCGCATGGTCGAGCACAAAATCCAATCCACCGACGCCGTTAAGAGCCGAGCACCAGAATCCCCCGAAGTCTCCAACCTCGGCATTGTGGACCGTTCCCCAGGCCCCACCGCCTCTCCCCTCGATACCACCAACGACTCCCCCGGCTCCGAAGACGAAGTCTTTGACAACTTCGACTCGTCACCGCGCGTGCCGCGCTCCAAGCGTTTGATAGTCGATCTAGACCCCGTCCCGAAGTTCCTCAAGAACCTCGTCGATGGCTGGGCACCCGAAGGCATGATCGTCTCCTTCAAGCTCGAGACTGATCCCGAGATACTCGTCCACAAGGCTGAGTACAGTCTCGAGCGATACCAGCACCACCTCGTCATTGGCAACCTGCTTAGCACGCGTAAGTGGGAGGTGGTGTTTGTGAGCAAGGGCCGTGCGGTAGAGGGATCGCGCATGCGCGAAGAGTGGATCCGTGTGCCGAGGCAAAGGCGAGGAACGGGAGTCAAGGATTGGACGGGAAAGGCGGCCCTGTTAACAGTAGGTGATAAGGTGGGCGTAGCGGATGCGATTGAGGATGAGAGGGAGCACCCGAGTGATCCAGCCGACCTGATGGGCGAGCCGGAGATCGAGATCGAGGGGTTGATTATCCCCGCAGTGGCAGACATGCATACGGCGCATATTCAAGCGCATTGGAAGGTAGCGCCGGTCGCTTGATCTTCGTGTGGCTTGTTTGTATGATGCCGAGAGTGGGAGTGACGTGGATTTATCTAAAAGCATGTTGTACTAATTAAAGAGAGATTTGCTGTCGTCTAATTGCCATTTATCACGTAAATATGACCTAGTTTCGTCCAATTACATCTATATCTATTCAACCCATATACTATAGAGTATATGACCATGTATATATCGTTTTTTCCAACCAGCCAAATTGTATATGGTCTCACATCCCCTCTGAACCCCCCGTTCCCCTCTCCTTCGGAAATTCAATAACAACCTTAATCACCAAACCCCCATCCTTATCCACTGCCTGCCCGGCAATAGCAAACGCGTCCTTCACGCCCCCAAACCCAGTATTGACTAATATGTGTAACCATATTAGTCAAGTCCGGCAGCCCACTCTTTCCCTCACTCACCAACTCCGCCGCCTCCCGATACAACCCAGCATATCGAAACACACCCAACAAATCCACCTCCCGCAGCGCCGCGGCCGACACCGGCAGCGTCTGCACCGGCGTCCCCATACCCACAAGCATGACCTTCCCGCCCGGTCTAGCCGCCAAAATCGCAGTCTGCAAGCTCGCCTCCGCACCTGTACACTCCATAACCGTATCCACCACCCCACCCAACTCCTTCGCCTTCTCCCTCAGCTCACCCGCCATCATCGCTACCGTCGCGAGGTTCGCAGCTACATCCCCACGGGGCGTGAGCGGGACGACGAAACTCGAGTCGGCGAAGGCGTTCTTTGTTGCGAAATCGATGCGGAGGGGCTGTATATCGGAGAGTATGACGCGATGGCCATTCGCCTTGGCGACGGCTGCGCAGAGGAGACCGACTGCCCCGGCACCGATGATAAGGATTGTGGAGTTGGCGGGGAGCGCGGCGCGGCGGTGCGTGTGCATTGCTACGCTGAGGGGTTCGATGAGGGCGCCGAGGCGGGGATCGAGGGTTGGCGGGAGTCTGGGGGGTTAGTTAGTTGCTGATTGTAGTTACGGCTGGGATTGTGAGGGTGCTTATTTGTCTGCAGGGTGGTTGATCTCGCTCTGAAGGGTACCCTGGAAATGGGGCCAGCTCTTCGCGCTGCTGCGGAAGCGGGGATCGGGACATATGTTATAACGTCCCACGGCGCACAGGTCGCAGGTGCGGCACGGCAGGCCGACTTCGAGGGCGACGAAGTCGCCGTTACTTAGTTGGGGGCCAGGGTGTGGCGGACGGGACTGTTCCCTGCCAAGCGTGAGCTGGGGTTTAGACGAACTATGCGGATATCTTTGGGCCTGTGTAGAACGCACGCTGTTAGGGAAATTGGGGTCGCCATATTGTAGAGGTGGGTTGGAAAGTATGAAGAGATGTTAAGGGGTTCGGAGTATGTATATAACTCGAATATATATCCCTTCGGCGGCCATAGAAGCGTGGGGTGTCTCGAGATAAGCTGGGGTAAAATGCGGGGTGGTAGGGGGGTCACCTATCCTAAAAATAATTTATCCGCGTTTAGAAGGCGGGACATGAAAGTGAAATGGACCTACATTTAATTAATAGTTTACATAGTTTCATATTCTCACTTAGACTAAAATTCGGTTAGACGGGGCATTATTTCAATAGATGCTATCATATTTAAACCTTAATTTTGAATGTATTTCTCAGATGGCCGGCCATGCCTATTTAGTTGTAATATCTACTCTAAATATACCTTCGTCCTTTTCATCGCAACCAGACTTGATTTCCGTTTCTAATGCGCAAAACGGAAATCAAGTCAGCCAGGAGTTGACATTACCTCTTGTTCCCTTCATCTGTCGTTGTCTCAAGATAGGTATCCTTCTCCTCTTGCGTCATCACACTCCATTTCTTCTCGCGCGTGTAGTTCCTCCACACATAATAGTACTTCGTCCCGATGATGAGTGCGAAGTTCCACGCGACGAAACCGAGCAAGATCTTGTTACCACGGCGGTAGTTCGGCTTATCGTCATCTCGGTATATCTATATCGGTGAGCAGGCGCCCGAAACAGACAGAACATGCCAGAAGTGGCCTTACATTTGAACCAACGATGCTGCTAGCTTGAACAAACATGTTATACAGAGCTGTACCAACTGTCCTCGACGTACCGAGCCTGCATTGCGGCTGACCGAGGCGACTGTATAGAGTTAGCGCTATTTTTTTCACTAATAATTATTGAAAGCATACCGATGATCGCATATGTGTACGGAAATCCAACCATGAGGATGCTGAGGGCGTATTTCACCCAGGGACTCGAATTTCCTGGGATAACTTCTAGTGCGATGAGGAGCGGGAGGGCCAAATCTGCGAGACAAGTATGACAAAGAACCTGCTATTGATCTTTTCCGAATACCAGGTCCAGAAGAGGAGCTGGAGGAGCGTGAGCACGGAACCTGGGATAACCAGGAGATTGGTCTCAAACAATGTCAAATAGGCTGCGACTGGTTGAAATGGAGTGCCCCACGTAAACCCGATTAGGTACGCAGGCCACAGGTCATAATCGCAGAGTGCCTTCCAGAAGAGACCCAATGTGATACCCTGTCGGTTGTGCATATCGCCCTGAGCGTTGTTAGCCAACGCTATTCGACAAATCGGAGTTCTCGGCGGGAATTTATAGTACAGGCCGGGGCCACCGGTGCCAGTGGATCAGGGAACGGCTCGCCTGCCATGTCGGTGGCAACGGTAAACAAACACGTCAATGGGCGAAGGATCAACGAATGAAGACAGCCTGCTTTCTAATAGGAAACGTTCGAATGACCTGCTCGACACTGGACAATGAAACATGATCAATTAGAGGACTCAACTACTCGAGAGGCGACAGACAGTATTTATGTTCTTTTCCAAAGAAGCCATGCCCAGCATCCTCAACGTTGGGAGTTGTCAAGACAAGCTCCTTCAGGCCTCATCGCACATGCCCCCACGCTTATAGTAAAGGGCCTATCTCACATCGCGTTATATAAATTGCGCGATGCCATTGAAGACTGTCACCATAGTCCATTCTATAACGCGCAGCTAAACACCGGGAGGGGACTAGGCGGACATCTCCCGGCGACGAAGCTTTCTCCAGGAGCCCACATAGCTAATGTCAAGGACGAGAATATGGTGCAAAGCGACGGATCCCGCATGGCGATACACGCGTGGTGATCACACCCTAGCCAAGGAAGATAACATACAACGCCGACCACCGCGACCGCCGCATGTGAGGACGGCGACAGCGGGATTAAAAACGCCGATTGCTACTGCAGTAGAGACGGTAGAGGGTCCAACATTGCAAAAGGAAGTGATGTGATAGGAGCAGAGCGGGAGAGCGTTGCGGAGTCCCAACTTACTGGCGCCGCGAAGATGCCATTTTGATACTCGAGTGCGCCTTACAGCCAAAGTTTTCGGTCTAGCCAGGTCGACGGTCGGCGTTAAAACTGTTGAGAATATCTTGGGATTGACTCGACTACCCTATCCTACAGAGGGGATAGGCCCCATTTTAGTACTGTATTCCTACTGGTTGTGCTCGGTAATCCCACGGTAGGTTCCGGGCTACGGCACCATTATCATTTATCCCCAACATAAACTTCTCCTGAAATGATCATGTGATTCAGCTGGTCCAACGCAGAACATCTTCCTCCGTCAATGCAGAAGCTCTAGACAAGGATTGCGAATTATTTAAACTCCTACTCCGCATCTCTGCTGCACGGAGTGCACGCGGCATCACTTGGCCAGCTAAAAACGTCCCAATGCCCGTCGACGTATTCATAACGAGACCAGCCGCGATATGTAACTTCTCCGGTTTTTCACAGATATCCCACGCGCCCCCACTCCTCCTTTCGAGGTGAGACTCCGCATAGTTGATTATGATGTACATATTCCTCTCTATGTCTAAAATAATATACCATTCCTTTCTCCCACACGAGCTTCAGTATCCACTAGTTTCCCCTCTGCCCCGTCGGCCCCCCCGTTCTCCACGCCCTCAAAGGTAACGCCTGCAACTGCAACGCCCTCTCCCTAATATAGCCCCAGAATGTGAGTACTCCTATAATAACACAGACAACGTTTGTGATGTAGTATCCATCACGCGTAATATTACACACGCCACCGCCGTCAATACAGCGGTGCTTATCTACTTCCAACGCGCAGCTGAACGCCTCAGTCACGAGCGGCGACTTGAGGGCCGCTGATAAGGCCGTTGAGCCGGGCACAGGTGGCACGCAAGTCGCCTGAGTGAACTGGTCGACGAGCTTGAGAATGAAGAAACGCGGGAAGGTACCACCCAAATTCGAGACCCTGGATGTGTTAGCTCGCTGACACATCCGTGGGAGTAGGGGGGGGGGGAGGGGGCGGAGATATGCAGCGGACTTACGTAGCAAGGAGCGTCATGTACGTCCCTCCGATGACCGGATCCGCGATGCGCGCATGGAAGGCGCTAATCGCCACGAACATGACGGTGTTGGTGAAGGTACTGAAAATGTGCGACGCGATCACGACAAGCAGGTACGACGTGTCAACGCCATTTGCTGGGAATATCATGACAGTCAACTGGGCGATCACGGCAGCACCAAGGCGTGCGACGAAGGCCCAGCTCCACAGCCGCATGGGCGTGTATTTTGTACTCCATTTTCCGGCATAGTAGCCGAGGGCGATCTCGAAGGGGAAGTCAATGAGGACGGTCAAAGCCAGGTCTTCCTGGCTGAAGCCCTTGTCGAGAAGCTTGAGATTCGTTACGGCGTCGTTAGCCTGGAAGCCAACCTTGGCGATCAAGTGGATGATGATGATGGTCTGGATGTTCTTGAGCTTCAAAACTTTCCACATAACCTTATACACATCCCAGATGCCGTCTTCGTTCTTCGTCTTCTCCTCTTTCTTTAGAAATGCGAGGCCCATCGTCACGATCAAGTACGCCCAGCCCCAGAATGCCAGGTAGCCGCCAAGTGTCATAACACCTTCCGTGGATGGCAAGGCGCGGAACCATTTGTTCGCAAACTCTGGCGAGTTGAATGCCAGGAAGACAGTGTACGACATGAACTGTCCCGCTGTCAAGCCGACGGTCTGCGCGGTGGACGCATAGCTCAGGTTTTGTGGCGACAGCAACGTGAGAGCCCAGCCGTCAACAGCAATATCCTGTGTTGCACACATGAACACAAGGAAAAACCACCAGCCGGTGAAGTCCCAAACACCGCCACCGCCCTCCTGTCCTGCTGTGACCATCATTGCTTTAACGTTCGCGCCTAGCCAGATCATCCCGAAACCAGAGAGCATCTGAATGGGCAGAATCCACGACTTCCGTCTCCCAAGCCGCGGCGTCCAACACGCATCAATGATAGGACTCCACAGCAGCTTCAGCGAGTAAGGATACGACGCCAAGCTAAAAATCCCAATCTGGCCATACGACAAATGCGCCTTCAACAAAAACGGCACTGACCCCGTCGCCAATCCCATCGGCACACCTTGCAAAAAGTATAAGATCACCAACAGCACAAAATTCCTCCGGTCCTGCATCGGCAGCTCAAAGAAGCCATTATTGGAAGGCGCTGGCGTGATGGGGACGTGCTGGTCGAGGCTAAACGATTCCCGCGCCATGAGGTTCGCCGTCACAGACGGTGAGTCCAGCGACACATTCTTGCGCCGTAGCTCGACGTTTCCGTTCATGTCGGCGTCTCCGTTCCCGGCTGACGTGGGGGCCGAGAGCGCGGAGGCGGGCTCCTTGTTCGTGCGGCGGCTTCGGGCGCCCATGGGCTCGTCCGAGTCGTAGTCGGTGTTATCGGAGCTTGAATCCTCGTGTAGCAGGTGTTGTGTGTCTTTTCAACCCCTCTCGTGTATTCCCGCGTGTCGTCCGTTGGATCGGGAGGATCTATTGTTCGCTCGTGGGTTGGTTTGGTCGAGGTTGTCGAGTTCGACGTCGTCGTGGCCGTGCAGTGACGCTGGCTGGTTGTTGTGCAAGGGTAGAAGTGAAATATGATTAGAATCCGAAAGCGAGTGTAGAGAAAGATGAGAGAATGTGTCGCCCTGTGGAGTAGGCATCCATGTGGTTATGTCAGAAAGAATTGGCCTCGATTGGGAAATATGGAAGGCAGTCGTCGCTATTCGCCAAAATGTCTTGGTGGTGAAGTGCAAGCGGGCCAGGCGTCAGAAACTGTGGAGCTAATTGCCTGAAATGGTCGTATAAAGTAGCGAGCGACGTGTCCTGATTGATACAGGCGGATCAGAAGGGGTGGAATCTGTCTTTGTCACGATATCATACTTGATCATAAGAACTAGATTTCGAGATATAGTTCTCATGGGTTAGGGTTAACCCTAACCCAATCAAGTCGTCAAACTCCAATTATGTGTTCTACAGGTTATGAGCCCGGGTAAGCGCAACATGCGCTGCGCCAAATACACATAATTGACGGCTTCCCTCATAGCTCTCGCAGGAGAGAGTAGCTATGTTGTACGGTCGAGCGAACCTGTCGCCCTCACGGAAAGCCTCCTCACGACCACCACCACACAGCGGAAGCAGCACCGATTATACGACGAGTGCAGGGCACACCAAGCAAGCGACTACTTCGAACGTAAGAGCTAGGAATACTGTTGGGACTTCAGTTCGGATCAACTGGACCTTATAGGGGCGTAGCCAGGACAGACCAGCCAGATTTGACACCATAAGGGTGCGCAAGCGGGGTCATACTGTGGATAGGATGGGCTGGGAAAGAGGGATAGGCAGAGACTTGGATTTAGGAGGACTTAGCAGGGGCGTTATACTGGCGGCATCAACACTAATCGTCGTGACCAACCTGTTCGCTTTGCTCAAGGTTGGAGTAAGCAATACGCGGCTGCCCAACCCGAGAGGAAGCAATATGCGGCTCGTCGGAACGTGCGTGTACACCGCCACTCCTCAACAAAACCTCCACCATAGTTGTCCATAGTATTTAGATAGTAATTATATGCAATTCATTTAATGGAAGGGACTCCTCTATCAAATGCTCCTAGAGAACCCCTCTGAAACAGCAACTACTGCCAGTCGGATTTTCAAAGTGCCTAAATCAACGATACAGTCAAGCATCAGCCGACTAGCCCAGCAGCTCCCACACCGAGGGGGCCAGAATAAGCTACTCTCTACTGCGCAGACAGAGGCCATAAAGAAATGGTTCCTTGAGCAGTATTACCTAGGACTAGGAATATGATATTTGCTGCTGTCTGTAAGCTGCGGAGCCCACAGCTGCCCCCGTCACAAAGCTGGCTTACAAAATTTATACAGAATGAGCTTAAGGAATATCACTTTATTACTACGAAGCCAATTGCGCAGCAGCGTACGAAGGCTCAAGATGAGCCTACAGTTCTAAAGTGGTTTCAAGAGTACGGCTGGTTTATACTAGAGCGTGGTATACAGAGTCAATCTGGAATATGGATGAAACTGGCTTTCGGGTTGGGATTCGAGGTGGAGAGCATGTGATTGTGCCATGAGCCGCAAAGGAGCTCTACATCCCAAGCCCTGAAAATCGTACGTCTATTACTATACTTGAGGATGTGTCTGCAACTGGAAAAGTCATACCGCCTGTACTTATCATTCCGGGCAAAATACACATGGATTCTTGGTACCACGCCAACCTTCAAGGCACAGAGCTCATCATGCTCTCTGACACTGGATTTTCAAACAGCCAGCTTGCCTTACGGTGGCTAGAGCACTTTTCAGAGCATACTCCCTCTGAGGAAACGAAGGTTCTACTACTTGACTCTCATGTGAGCCATACAAGCGATGATTTCGTCATTATGGCAGTAAACCACAATATTATCATATACACATTCCCATCCCATCTTACTCATATTTTACAGCCACTAGATGTGTGGATCTTCCAGCCGTATAAGCACTGGCACAGAGAGGCTGTGCTTGCTGCCATACGTGATATGGATGTTACATATGACCTACAGTCCTTTATGAGGGATCTTACCAAAATGTGGCTACAGACTTTTAAGGAGTCTACAATTATATCAGCTTTCCAGAAAGCAGGAATTTGACCAGTAAGCCACATTATAGCTCTCGCAAAGCTACTTACGTACTCACAGCCGCCTGCTCCTATGCCTACACCTACGCCTCTACCTATACGGGTTTCTACACCAAAACCATCGACTTTTAGGGGGGTTGAAGAGGGGCTACAGTACTGGAAACAACGGGTTCCAGAGGGTTTTAGTAGCCCCTTGAGGGAGAGCTACAAGAATTGGCTCACAGGAACGGAAGAGGTTGTAGTAGGAGGCCAGTTTCAAGAGCTTGACCTACTGGCTTTTCGACGCCAGGTTGAGGAGTTGAAGAAGCGGTCGAGCTGAAGCCGGGCTCGCCTTCAGTTTGGAGGTGAGCTTACGGCAGCTCACGCTCACGAGCTTCGGGCCCAGTCCTGCTCTGAACAGGTTTGATTTGCCGTATGTAGTTAGTAGATAGATTAGTAATGTAGAAAATATAACATCGTTCTAGTGTAATACACTTCTGATGGTGAAAAGTTACAATTTATGCGGCCATATCGACGATGCCTCTGAAACCGACGATTACCAGCATACCAGCTGGGTTCCAGGGCATGTGGCGATTGGATCCAAGTCTGAATAGGGGCGAAAGCACCCCTATTCAAGCAATTACTATGGCCAGTGGTTTTTACTCTGGTGGTGAAGACGCTGATGACGATGGTGGAGATGACCACGGTGATGACGAAAACCAAAGTGAGAACGGCACCCCCAACCAAGCACCGCCTTTACAATCAAATATGCAAGGAAGACCAAGGAAGAAGTGTAAGGACACAGGGCACCCAGCTCACAGTAATAGCATGTGAGAGTGCGAGTCGGAGGCTAAACGGATGCTATCCTATAGGTCTACTATGAAGGATACAAAAAAGATGAAGGGGGGACCCCGTTGAGTCTGTTTCCTTAAATACCCGAAACGGGTCCGAGTCGGTTAATCCAACCCTAGCCCTGAACCTTCCACTGCAACAGGTCCGCATCGACCCCAAACCCTACACCCTTACCATTCCCCACTATAGTGTAACTCGCTATGTGCTCCTCAACTGGTACGAAACAGCACCGAGTCAGTTTTCATGCCCGTGGTGACCATAACAGCTCTGAGGCAGGTCCTTCGAGTATCTAGGTAAGGAGGCATCCTTACACTACCCCCATCCTGAGAGAGTGCTTTGTCCTCAAAGTCGCTGAATGTTATCTTGTATGCGGAGGGTTTGCTGCGAGGTGAGTTGTGGTGGTGGTCGTGTCCGGAACAGCTCCGCTTAGAATTGGATTCTACATTTTGCTTTGTGATATCGGTTCGTTATTTTTGGGGGTCCGAATGGGTACCATGCTATTTTTTGGGGGTCTGAATGGGTACCGGAAGGCATCCGTTAGGTAATTGTAGTCGAAATTTGTAGCATGAAAGGGGAAGTGGCCACGCTAACCCGATTCGGAGTTCATTGTTGTAAAGCCAGTATGTGAGCTCATCATTGGCCTGTCGAAGGATCTGGCTCTCTGATTTTAATAGGGCTAACTGATGCATAACCTTTGATGCGCCCTTTTCAATCTGGTTAACAGCATCAAAAATTGAGGTTGGCGAACTATTTTGATGCCTAGAGATCCGATTCTTAATGAACGTAGATATTCTTACGACTGCCTGTATCTACCATGGTCTATTCCAGCGGCGTTATCAATCCAAGCCAGAAAGTCTCACCACACTGCTAATTTGTGACCCATCCTTGTTACAAAGACAACGAGATGGATATCATTACCACCGCGCAAAATAGAGCACGCGCTGAGGGAATTTTGAGGTAACAAGGCAGATGCATTCGCGCTGGCGGTGATTGATGATGCCGGTCTGATCACCACTTACCTGTCAAAAGGGCTGCACACACAACACAGCTTCTATTTTCTCCTGCATTCTATGACGAGATTTGACGGTCTCAAAACCGTCACGCCCAGCCCTACAGAGAAGGTCTGCTCTTTTGATATGACCGACGACATGCTTGCCACTATTCTTCTATAAATCACAATAATAGGGCATTATGTCGGGCCAATTTATTAAGTATTTAGGCTTGGTGTGTTCAATCGGGGGGGCAAATATGATATCACTGCCGCTCAGATCCGGGCGGCAAACGTCACGGATTATGAGAGTATCATTGAGCACTTCGTCGATATCAAAGAACAGCTCAAGAAGTCAAAGCCTATCGCTGAATCCGCCCGGCAAGCCTCTACGGACACTAGAAATACGGGGGGTGAAAGGGGTGGACGAGGTGGCGGGGGCAGACCGAAGGCGGCAGGGCCGTCGACTGGAGCCCTCGCTGCCCCTGGCGGTGGAAAGGGGTTATCACCGCCTCCACTGGAGGGGGCGAACGCGGCCTATATCCGGACTGCTCGTGTCACCGAGACGTCCTGGGTCGCCGCGATCGATGATGATGATGATGATGATGATAATATTTATTTACGTCCAGCAGGTGGCGGGCGAAGCCGGCCACCCTGTAAAACCTCCCGAAGGGTATGGGGACGTGCTATGCTAGGGGTGTATGTACAGAGTATGACCTTAGATAGCATTTCGTGAATGTGCGCATGGCCTTATTGCCAGATGTCTGAGTGCCTTCCCCGCCTGTTGGGATGGCGTCAGTTATTTGTTAGAGGGGGTAGTTCCTCTACGGATGGTCCTGGTGGTTCAGGGATGGACGTGCAGCTGGTGGCGTGCTGCTGTGGGAGGTCGAGAGGTGTGTCCTGCCACCGTGCCGTGGGGTCGGGGCCCCATAGTGTGGTTGCAGGTTAGTGGAGTTGGGGGGGGTGGGGTGGTGTTTTAGAGAGGGGTTATTGTGCTGGACCCCTCCAGCCAGGCTGCGTGTGCCTGCTAGTGCGATATCGTCAGGGATTGTGTCGCGTTAGGGCGCTATCGTGGTTCAGGGTATTTCCTGGGTCGGACCCGGGAAATTACTTCAGGAGCCAGGCCTAGGGCTGGGTGCACCCGTTGCGCGCAGCGGGCAGTTGTGCGGGCGTGGGGGGGCCTTCCAGTTCCTTTGTTCTAGTCCTGCGTGGCCTCGTCATTCCGATTTCCCCAGCCGGGCAAAGGTTTTGTGGGCTAGGCCTAGGGAAACATATGCCGGTCTAGAGTAGCCATTAGCGGGGGCATATTGTGGTGTAGAACTCCGTGGCTTGGAGGAGAGTGGCGAAGTCAGCTGGTTTAGCCATGAGGCGTGTGAGGTAATCAATGCCAGCGGCTGGGGTGTTTGGTCGGGCTTCTGGTCGCTGTGGCCAGTGGCGAAATTGGGATGGGGTGGTAGTCTTTCGGCAGTGTATGATGTGGTCAGGGGTCTTAGGTCTACCGCACGAGCAGAGGAGTTGGGCGTCCTCATGTGCGAACTTGGTGTGGTACCAGGAAAAGTCTCCGTGGGAGGAGCGTATCGCTAGGAGCCTGTGTAGCGTCATCCGGGGGAGGTCGAGCTCTGGGAGAGGCTTCACTTGGTAAATGAGGTTCCATTTGTTGTGCCAGGTGGAGAGCTTAGTGCATAGAACCATCTCTTAGGTTCCTAGCCTATAGGAAGTAAAAGGAGGTCCAAGGTCAGAGTAGCCCTATAGACAAATCAGGGTAGTCAATAGTTTATTCAGTTCAGTTTTAGGCTGGAACTGAACTGACGAAATAAATTTAAGCTAGAACTGAACTGAACTGAATAAGATAAGTACAAAACGGAACTAAACTGACTAAACTGAATAAACTATATAGTTTTGCAGTTCCTTATAACCAAGATTTCAAGCATTCTGTAGCCTCGATAGATTCAACTCCCAACTTATTCCTTATATCAGTGGCGGTGAGTTTTGAGCCAGAAAACAACCTTTCTGGCTCAGCAGACATTGCAGGAATAGACAATATATTAATTGCCATTAAAGAAAGATTAGGATAGATGTGCCGCTGTGTTGGTTCCAACCACCAAGACCGTGAATCTTTGATTTCTGTTAACAAAGGAGCTTGAAGATATCGAGTGTATTCATCCATCTCCATCTGTATACCTGCCTTTTTCTTCTGCCAAGCTACAAACTTATTTTCCCGGCCTAATAGCTGCTTGCTTACTGAAATTGATGGAGGAGAAAGAACAATAGCATTAGATTTATACTTCTCTTCCCAAAACCCTTTTATTTTTTCCTTCCCTGTAGCAACCCATTTAGGCTCCCACGTCTGCTCAAAATACTCCCACTTAGAGGATGGACAGAGAACGATTGTAGCAATATACACTGGCGATTGGTCAGTGTATTCATAGTATTTCTGGAGTTTAGACCAACCAGAATTGCAGCATGGAAGCATATATCTATCGTCGACGTATCGAGTCTTCCCCTCCTCAAACTGCTCTAATAGAAAGTCCATTGTAGGAAGCACCTTCTCTAGGGTAGCAGCCCTGCCTTCCGATGAAATTGTAGCATCCTCAAAGTACTGAAGCAAGTCCCTAATCTTCTGTAGATTACCCCAGTCGCCGGTACAGCAAATACGTCAATAGCTTCGCGTCGCCGAGGCTCTAAACAACAGTCTATCATCTTAAACCAAGAGTTCCAACAAGTTGAGTTATCGCGGATAAGGTTTAAGCCCTGAGTCTGGTCTTGAAATCGCTGGATTCGTTGCGTGCTCCGGCGAATATAAACTACTAGGTTGTGTAGCTTTCCGAGAGGTCCTTTCTGGCGCCAATCGTGCATCTCTACTTCCGTTGGCGTAGTATATTGACTGGTGTTATTATGCTCTGCGAGAGCTTCATCTTGAGTGTCAAATAAAAAAGATTGAGCTGAGAGATTAATAATATGACCATTGCAGCGAAGCCGGAAGTGCTTAGGATCATACGAAATCTCGTGCTGAGTCTGCAGATCTAGGGTAATCTTGTTAGCTAGAGTAAATAATATAAGATAAAGAATCATACTAGCTGATAGATGTGTCATCATAGTATTGTTATTCTCTGCGTTGTCCATCATCATATATCCAATCTTAGAGATAGTCCTCTACTACTTCTAATAGCACAGAAGCTAAATTCTCCCCACTGTGCTCCCCACGAAGCTCTTTCATAGCTAGAACCGATTGCTGGAGAGCTCCCTGCTCATTGGTAGTGACTGACGATTCTGAGAAGTGCATGTGCATTTGGTGAAGTCCATAAGTCGAGGGTAAAATGGATAGAAGAGATTGCTGACTGGAGGGCTAATTTGACGTGTTCCTTCTCTTGCTGAAAGGCCCGGAGTATCCAGCCTTGAATGGTTGCATGTGCAGATGGTAGCCAAGTGTTAATATCAGGGTTTATGTACTCCAAAAGCGTATGGAATTTCTCTCTTTCTACCATGCGGAAAGAGACATTACAAGAAGTAATCCAACGAACAACAAGTTGCTCTAGCGTTCCAGGGTCTAATGTAGCTCCGTTGGTATCAGAATTAAGATGCCGGCGTGAGTAGGAAGCTTCTTGACCTCGTTCGAAAGCATGGCAGATTGTAGCTTGCCTAGCTAGAGACTGATATTTTTCTTCATAGATACTGGGCATCTCAAGGTGCTGCGTGATATTCCGTGTGCCTGCAGACTCTTTGTAAGCTTTCGGGCATAGCTTACACCTCCATATTGATTCTCCAGTATTGTTGGTCCAAATTGTATCTCGTCCACCTTCAGAATCAGGTAAATGATCCCATACCCAAGACCTGTGAGAAGTATTGCGTTTGCGTTTGTGAGAAGCTGGTGCTGATGAGGTGGAAGCTGTTGAATTAAGTGTATCTTCATTTAGATTCTCACTCGCAAGATCAGATAACTCATTAGAAGACACTTGAGAAGACATTATAAATAAATTGATCTGTAAAACGAAGTTCAATTCCTAGAAAACACTTTAATATTTAAGGGTAACTGTGTCCTTTACGCAAAGTGAGACATGTCTTAAACTATATAGTTTAAACTATATAGTTTAAACTATAGAACTACAGTTCTCGTAAGCTAAAACGGAACTGAATGGAATAAGGAAATCTATTAACTGAACTGTAAACTGTAGAACTGAACTGAAAAATGCAGTTTAAACTGCAGTTTTGGAAAACTATTGACTACCCTGAGACAAATTATGTCATAACTTAACCAATCTTGTGGTTAACTAAGGAGCGATGACGTGTAATGAATCATAGAGGGTTGTAGAAGCTTTTGGAGCTATCTTCCTACAACTGGACTGAGGCACCTTCACCAACAATTGCTGTCCCTGGTATTCCACCACTTTGGTCCGCTCCAAGAGCCCCTCGGCAGCTGAAAAAAGACTCGGGGCTCATCTACATCGCCCAAAATGCAGCCCGCCATCCGGACAGTCCGCTTGAGCCCTTATTTCGGGCGTTGTGCATCACGAATCCTTCATTTGACATACGCTCGATTGATGTCGTGACGGATAGAAACAATATCCGTAAACTACTCTCATTCATCAACCCCAGCATGACCAGAAACGGGCTTGAAACATTCACCATCAACATAGAGGTCACGAAAAACACTGCAATATTCTGTCGCGATGAGACCACGACTCACGAGTTTATTGGACCAGATGAGTTCAAAGGCTATGGCCGTGAATTCGAAAAGGTATACACAACTAGGCAGATCGGCGCGAGTACTGGACATCACAGGATTATTACATACCGCTTCGGTGGCCTGAACTGCATCGTCCGCCATGAAACGGACGGATATGTCGACACTGATGCAAGGATACCCTCGTCTGATGCCAAAGGTCCAGAGAGTGACAGTCTCTCAAGTATGCTGGGATCTTTGACTCTATCCTCGACCAACGGGCCGCCTATTACCACTTCTGGGTCCAAATTGACAATTAAAAAAGAAGGTCAAATGATATCGCTCAAATCAACCTAAACACGCGTCTTCCATAAGCGTATTGAAATTCACGAGGTCGCACCGCAGCTCTGGATATCTCAAACTCCTAAGCTCGTGCGGGCTTACCACCGCAGGGGTACGTTTCCGGTACCAGAGGTTGAAGATGTAGCTGCCGATATCAAGACTTGGGAAGAAGGCAACCAAAGAGACCTGAGGAAATTGGCTCCACTAATTAGCAAAACTATCGGTGCGGTGAAGGGATGTAACGTGCATGTATAACGAAAGTGCCAAACAAGCGAAAGTGCCAAAATCATGCGGTGACCAACCCCCCCAACTAAATGTTAAATTCCTCCACAACAAAACATGCGCCATAAAAATGATGAAAGCAAATTAGTGCTAGCTATCCAAGCTATGCAAAGCGACCCAAATTTGCGCCTTCGAGTTGCAGCTAGGATCTATTCCGTAGACCACCGCAAGCTACGTCACCGTTTACAAGGTGTACCTTCACGACGCGATATCCAAGCCAAGTTACGGAAATTAAGTAACCTAGAGGAATCAGTTCTTGTTCAGTATATACTTGACTTAGCTGCTAAAGGGTTCCCTCCTCAGTTGTCTATTGTTGAAGATATGGCAAGTCGACTACTTGCAACACGCGACGCGCCACGCGTCGGGTCACGTTGGGCTTCAAACTTTGTTAAGCACCATGTAGAGCTCCGGACATGCTTCCAGCGAAAATACGACTACCAGAGGGCTAAGTGCGAAGATCCAGAAGTCATTCGTGGCTGGTTTGAGCTTGTATGGAACACAATTCTAAAGTATGGCATCAACAATGCAGATATCTACAACTTTGATGAGACTGGGTTTATGATGGGCGTCATCTCAAGCGCAACGGTAGTAACGAGCTCAGATGGGCGGGCAAAGGCAAAAAAGGTGCAGCCTGGCAATCGGGAATGGGTTACAGTAATCCAAGGCATTAGTTCTCAAGGTTGGGCAGTGCTGCCATTTGTCATTGTGGCAGGTAAAAGCCACCTTGCATCTTGGTATGAGAATAGTGGATTTCCAGCAGATTGGGTAATCGCTGTTACTGCAAATGGCTGGACTACAAACGAGAGAGGTATGGATTGGATTCAGCATTTTGAGAAGCACACAAAGCCCCGGAGTGTTGGTGGTTATCGCTTGTTAGTCCTTGATGGTCATGAGAGCCACCACTCAGACAAGTTTGAGGAGTACTGCAAAGAACACAACATTATTACGCTTTGTATGCCTGGTCACTCTTTCCATATACTCCAACCACTTGATGTTGGCTGTTTTGGCCCATTAAAGAGAGCTTACGGTCAGCAAATTGAAGATATGATGCGGGCTCATATTATTCACATTACTAAGGATGACTTCTTTCCTGCCTTCCACGCTGCATTTAACATTGCAATGACAGAAAGCAATATTCAGGGAGGGTTCCGAGGTGCTGGGCTTCTTCCATTTAGCCCTGAGAGTGTAATATCTACACTTGACCTTAGGTTTAAGACGCCAACACCTCCAACCTCTCGCCCAAACACCGCTCAACCATGGGTTTCTCAGACACCAAATAACCCAACTGAAGCTGTATCACAGTCTACTTTCATTAAAAACCGAATTGCGCATCATCAAAATAGCTCTCCAACCTCAATCTTTGCAGCTGTTGACCAGTTTACAAAGGGTGCATCGCAAATAATGCATCAATTAGCATTGTTAAAAGCAGAGAACCAAAACCTGCGACAGGCAAATGAAGTGCTAAGCAAGCGCCGGAGAGCTAAAAAAACACGACTACAGCAAGGAGGATCACTTAGTCAACAGGTAGCACAGGAGCTACAGGACGAGAGGGACGTTGTGCAGCAAGTAGAGCAAGAAATAAGGGCAAGTAGTGGTCGGAAGCCAAGGGAAGAAACCCATGCACGTCGCTGTGGCAAGTGTGGTGAGACTGGACACAATGTGCGCACTTGTCAGATTGTAATAGACAGGTCTGAGGAAGAGGACTCCGAGTAGTTTTAATTAATTTATATTGTTGTGGTGGATTTATCGCAATTCTTATGGGGTAGTCGCGATATTTTGGCACTTTCGCTTGTTTGGCACTTTCGTTATACATGCACGTTAGTGGAAATGCTATTGTCAAGTATGATTTACTGGGAGATAAACTGGTAATTCGGAAGGTGGACAGGAAGAAGATGTTGCCAAATGACTTGTATTCCATGTGGGATGATAGGGCGGATTCTGAAGCTACTTCAGATAATGATGTAGCAGCCGTCAAGCCTGTCAACGAGATTGAGAGTAAAGCTGACGACAAGAGCGCTGTATTTAGCCCAGGAGATACGAAGGGCAAACATGAGAGCGCAACGAACATAGAAAGGTCTCCACCATGGAAGAAGGACCTTCTAGGAGTTCTCAACTAGAGTTTTAGCTACAATGCGCACGCTCTTTAGAATCTGCAGCCCAGATATTTAACTATTTGTTCTACGTAACGGAGAGCGTTTGTTCTTCCAAATATGAAACCACCACGAAGGAGCTAGTGAGTGCAAATAAGTAACGAAATATTGTCCCTGGGACTGGCTCCTGTATACATATCGCACATTGTGGCATAATCATTACTTTGCTTACTCTGTTCAATGATTCGTCTCCTGTTCGCGCTCTGCCTGGCCGCAGGCCCGATTCGATCGTGTTGAATCCTCGGCCCGGAAGCAGGGATCAGGGCCCTGATACCGAAGCTGTGTCAGCCAGCTTCGTGATCCTCCGGATCCTGGATCTTCCGATTCTAAAGCTTCGATTCTGAAGCTCCAGGGAACGAACTGTAACCAGGAGGGTTTTAGGATCCGAACCACGAATAGGCACACCCGTAACAGTATATATAGTACTTAGAATAGCTTCAATTATAAAAAACATGCATTATAAAATTATCACTTCGGGCCCTACTGCTTCGTGACTGTATTTTCGGCTTATATTCTCTACCTACTGCCCTACGGATATTGTCCAACAACTTTGATAGGAAGGGCCGGGTTTGGATTGGTGAGTTGCGTATGGAAATTCGAAATTCTGATCGAAATTTAATCAGGCGTTCGCGGAAATGATGGAAGAAGCAATAAATTCAACGTTCATTATTGCACAAGAAATCCACTGAGGCATTAGAGTGGTTGGAGAGAGTGTTTTCGCTTTTCGCGTTTCAAGTTAGAGTAATCTGATTGTCAACCAAGGAGTTATGGCCATATGGTACCATCCGCAATATTCCCATCGCTTACGTTGGAGGCATCAACACAGCACTCCCTGGTCCCCATAAGGCTGAAAATGTCTTTGCACCAGCTCGTGTATCTAACTACAGTATAAGTTTTGATCGATCGTTGTAGAGCTTCCAAGGTGCATCCTGTTTCTATTTCTTCGCTATCTACCTCCATCTCACAAAAACCTGAGTCAATTTGGAATATGGATGAAACGGGATTCAGCGCACAAACACTCAGAACCGCCATGGTAACCCCACTTCAGCTGTATGTTATCTACGTTGGGTGGTGTTTTTAAGATCTTACTGGCAACTGACATTGATATTAATGAAAGAGATGATGAGGGATGGTCAGCTAGGCATGTAGCAGCATCTTGGAGATCTTATGATATCCTATGTGATATTATGTGGAGATATATGCAACGACAAACGAGGGAGTATTGGCCTCTCCCAAGATGAGGATTTCTATAGGAGGCTTATGCCAAATTGGTGTGGATGAATGCAGTCTCTCATTTCCGAAAGCTATATCATCCCGTCCATTGCCTTCAGTTTAAAAAAACTACAATCCATGCCATCGAATGCCACGGTCCGCGTAAAAATTTAAAATGTCCGCCATCTGCTCGGACTCATGTAGAACATAGTCTACCTTCGCAGAGGAGCCTTTTATCAGAGGGCTTGATCGCTCGCTGTCCAATTCATATAGATTGACATCCAACGAGCGCAATGTAATGATACTTTACTCCGTCTGGTATTTGCCTCTCAAGTTCGAGCTCTTTCGATTCCTCGAGGAACTTTGTAATGCCCTTACTTGGTCGGATAGCGTCAAGATTTGTGTCCTTGTACAGGTCCGTCAATCTTTTTGAACAACTACAACTGTATTTAGAACATAAAGAAGAACTGCAACAAGGCCGCAAGAATTGTCAATTGTCTGCTTCAAAAAATCGACATTGCCGTTGATTATCGGCACCCGTTTGGCTTCAAACGCCGCCTTTTCCAGTTCATCGTCTTGTAGCAAGCGAGAGTAGTCGGCAGGTGGGCTCTAAAGGCGGCAACGGCGCTGTTGCCGATGTGAGAAAATCGGACATAATACCCGTGCGTGCGAGAGGCGCTAGGAGTCAATTACGATTGAATAAGAGTCCGATAGTTCCGATACTCAGGGAAAATCGCAGTGTATCGGTCGGCTGGAAAACATAAACCAGCTCATATCTCAGCATCTCTGGGCAATAAAAAACCCCTATATTAGGAGGGAAAAGCCTGACTTGCCATGTCTTCTCATGCCTGCTCCAGCCCAATTGCCTTCCTGAATCTCTCGAACTTGATCTTGTCTAACGCCTTTGTCAAGCCATCGGCTACCTGACTCTCTGTCTCGATATACTGAAGCTCTATAGCTCCCTCGTTAACCTTGTCTCATACAAAATGATGTTGTATATCAATATGTTTAGTACGGGCGTGAAATTGAGGGTTCTTCGCAAGTGCAATAGCACCTTGGTTATCGCAGTATATAATCGTCGCTTGCGCCTTGTATGCTGCTTCAGGTTGTACAGTACGCAACTGTAATTCACACCTAAAATCATGGATTACGCAACTTAATATCTTAACAACCCTTTGATAATACATTATCAAAATCCGTTCTCATCCTTTTATAAGCATTTAAAGTACTTTGTTCAAATCTAAAAGAAAATGGCATTGTAGTTACTAAGGTATTGAGTTTTGACTCCCATTTTTGACCTAAATCTTAGTATCTGAATAACCCTAAGACCAATTGCTTTAAAATTTGAACAGAGTACTTTAAATTCTTAAAGGGCTAAATATGCATTTTTATATTTTATTATCAAAGGGTTGTTGAGATATTAAGTTGCGAAATCCATGATTTTAGATGTGAAATGCGCTGTGTGACTTAGGGGTGTGCTGTAATGGTGGGTGCACCAGATGTGAGAATCTAGCCACCCAAGGAAGGGATGATTTTACTAAGACAAACACTGTCTTAGGAAACAGAGCCAAATGGTTGTAGCTTAGACTATTCCACAATGCAGCAATCAGGTGTATAATGTGGTGAAGTGGTTTAGACAAGTTGCAACAAATGTTGAGTCTGAGAACTCAGGGGTAAGTCACAGGTTAGCACCTCACTGACTTTTCAGAAACAGAGAATAACAAGATTAATGCTTGGAAGCTTGGAAAAGACGTAGAAATATGTGCTAGTCGATTTACTGTATTGTCTGCTTGCCCTTTCTTAAGGAAAGGGCAATCCTATTTATGCCAAAGGAGTGTAGTTCTCTCATTTTCCATGACTTTCCATGACTAACCAGGCTTGGTAAATGTATTAGCAATCAAGTGCGACCCACAACTAGCTTGCTAATCATGTAGCGAACATAAGAGAATCCCATAGAACTATCTCTTGGGTTCGTAGCCTATAGGAAGTGAAAAGGAGGTCCAAGGTCAGAGTACCTATAGACAAATTATGTCATAACTTAACCAATCTTGTGGGTAACTAAGGAGTGATGACGTGTAATGAACCATAGAGGGTTCTAGAAGCTTCTAGAGCTATCGTTCATGTTCCTAGGGCTCTAGTTGGTAGAGATATGCCATGTGGTAGTATTGGCCCACCCCTTTAAGGAGGAGATTTTCTTAATAACTTGTTCAATGAGTGTCAAAATGATATGCCGTGATGTATGTAGCATAAACAGATGTAGTAGAAGAGTTTGCAGCAATCGTTGAGTAGTATTGCTTCTGTTGTTGGTGTGATAAGCCAAGATATGTATGGTGACTTGTAGGTTTGAGGAGGAGATTTCTAAGTTTGCTCTTGAGTTTGATAGCAAACTGAGTGCAACGAATGTCAGTATGACATGTGCGCGACTTAGTGATATACCACGTTATAAAGTATTAGTATTTATTTAATATAACGTGCATGTATAACAAAAGTGCCAAACAAGCGAAAGTGCCAAAATATCGCGACTACCCCATAAGAATTGCGATAAATCCACCACAACAATATAAATTAATTAAAACTACTCGGAGTCCTCTTCCTCAGACCTGTCTATTACAATCTGACAACTGCGCGCATTGTGTCCAGTCTCACCACACTTGCCACAGCGACGTGCATGGGTTTCTTCCCTTGGCTTCCGACCACTACTTGCCCTTATTTCTTGCTCTACTTGCTGCACAACGTCCCTATCGTCCTGTAGCTCCTGTGCTACCTGTTGACTAAGTGATCCTCCTTGCTGTAGTCGTGTTTTTTTAGCTCTCCGGCGCTTGCTTAGCACTTCATTTGCCTGTCGCAGGTTTTGGTTCTCTGCTTTTAACAATGCTAATTGATGCATTATTTGCGATGCACCCTTTGTAAACTGGTCAACAGCTGCAAAGATTGAGGTTGGAGAGCTATTTTGATGATGCGCAATTCGGTTTTTAATGAAAGTAGACTGTGATACAGCTTCAGTTGGGTTATTTGGTGTCTGAGAAACCCATGGTTGAGCGGTGTTTGGGCGAGAGGTTGGAGGTGTTGGCGTCTTAAACCTAAGGTCAAGTGTAGATATTACACTCTCAGGGCTAAATGGAAGAAGCCCAGCACCTCGGAACCCTCCCTGAATATTGCTTTCTGTCATTGCAATGTTAAATGCAGCGTGGAAGGCAGGAAAGAAGTCATCCTTAGTAATGTGAATAATATGAGCCCGCATCATATCTTCAATTTGCTGACCGTAAGCTCTCTTTAATGGGCCAAAACAGCCAACATCAAGTGGTTGGAGTATATGGGAAGAGTGACCAGGCATACAAAGCGTAATAATGTTGTGTTCTTTGCAGTACTCCTCAAACTTGTCTGAGTGGTGGCTCTCATGACCATCAAGGACTAACAAGCGATAACCACCAACACTCCGGGGCTTTGTGTGCTTCTCAAAATGCTGAATCCAATCCATACCTCTCTCGTTTGTAGTCCAGCCATTTGCAGTAACAGCGATTACCCAATCTGCTGGAAATCCACTATTCTCATACCAAGATGCAAGGTGGCTTTTACCTGCCACAATGACAAATGGCAGCACTGCCCAACCTTGAGAACTAATGCCTTGGATTACTGTAACCCATTCCCGATTGCCAGGCTGCACCTTTTTTGCCTTTGCCTGCCCATCTGAGCTCGTTACTACCGTTGCGCTTGAGATGGCGCGTCGCGTGTTGCAAGTAGTCGACTTGCCATAT